CAACCCCAACCCCAACCCCAACCCCAACCCCAACCCCAACCCCAACCCCAACCCCAACCCCAACCCCAACCCCAACCCCAACCCCAACCCCAACCCCAACCCCAACCCCAACCCCAACCCCAACCCCAACCCCAACCCCAACCCCAACCCCAACCCCAACCCCAACCCCAACCCCAACCCCAACCCCAACCCCAACCCCAACCCCAACCCCAACCCCAACCCCAACCCCAACCCCAACCCCAACCCCAACCCCAACCCCAACCCCCAACCCCAACCCCAACCCCAACCCCAACCCCAACCCCAACCCCAACCCCAACCCCAACCCCAACCCCAACCCCAACCCCAACCCCAACCCCAACCCCAACCCCAACCCCAACCCCAACCCCAACCCCAACCCCAACCCCAACCCCCAACCCCAACCCCAACCCCAATCATTTAAAGTAACTACACTAACTAAGGTTTATTATGTTAATTTTTAGCTTATTTATAATTATGAGTTTTTAATATTTTGTAAAAGATTACTTAATAAATTTAAATATCAATTGAAAGTAAATACATTTTAATTATAAATTAAAATTGGAATTTGATAAATAATAAATTTATATATCATACCAGTAAATTAGTAGAATTCAAAAAATTAATAAATGAAAGAAGTATATCTTATATTCATAATTACTAATCTTATAAAAGTTGCTTCAACTGTTTCTATAGAATGTTAAATTGGATAATATTTTGACTTGTTTGATAATGTTTGTAAAGATTGTTCATCTGGGTGTACAACTTGTTATGACTCATCTAATTAATCTTGTTTATAGTGTGCATAAGGGTATAAGTATGATTTCTATAAATAATCATGTGTAACAAATTGTTAAAGTAACCAAGTTGAATACAATAACTAATGCGTTTAATGCTAAGTAGAAAATTGTATTTAATGCGATAAGCAATTTATATGTAATAAATGTGATCATGGATATATTCTAAAAGCCAACTAAGTAAAATTTTAGATTTTTTATAGTACTTAAATGTATTCATTAAGAATAAGTGCGTTCCAGATTGTCCAGACAGCTAAGTTTTAGAAGATGTGTGCAAATATTCATGTAGCAATAACTTTTTGGATATATAAAATAGAAAATGCGTAGAAAAATAGTATTGCCCATCTACAATAAGATACAATAATTTTTGTAACTCTAATGTTATTTTAACTGCAGTTATATATGGTAAGTATAAATTAACTTTTATTAAGATGAATTTTATAATTTATAAATTTACAGATACGCTATTATACACTTTCGATAATGGAGGATAAATATAAGTTTTGAAATATCCATCACTCGACTACGTAACTTAAAAGTTGTTTTCATCTGATAGCTAGGTATATAAATAAAACATCATAGAAATATAAAAATTCAAAAATAATTATTTTAATTTAATAAATAGATTATTGATTGGATATTTCTTAGTATCAATAAAAAAAAGGTGATAAGTATAAGTTCTACATAAATAAATTTAATAGATTTAGAGATTTTTGCTCTTTTAAATTCGACAAATATTCCTTCTTCAAGAATTGTCCCAAACGCTTAGATTCTATACAACTAAAAAATGTATATAACTCCTTCAGGGTCTAATTTGATAATTATTGATTTTCTTACTTTCAATTAAACTAGTTTCCGCTTAAGTAAGTTTTTACATTTTATATATTAAATTCTTTAAAAAAATTTAATTTATTTTCTAGAGGAAGACACTATTTCAACAGCCAAAGCATGGGATACAAAAAAATTAAATCTTATAATTAAGAACGATGATTTCTCATTTAGTTATATTGATACTGTTTAAAATTCTGTTATTTAAGTTTCATGTACTAAGTGTTAGGGAATATCTACTTTTTATCTCACAGACAATATCTTTATTGGTAATAACTATTCACAAGCTTTAATAAGTATCTTTTATCTGAACTTTACAGAGGCTTCAGGGGATCTTATTTTCTAAAAAACTCTAACAATATAAGGAATTATAGTTTATGATAACCTATTACCGCCATATTATGTATTAAATTAAATAATCTAATTCAACATTATTTTAAAATAAAGCTTTTTTTCAATTTGGAATGTTAACTTTTTAAATCATATTTGAAAAATTATTTTATTAAGTAAATTTAAAATAAAGCCTTAAAAATATTTTTCTTTGCTTTTTTTGAAAGAAACTAATTAAATAATAGCAAATTTTTTTTCTTTGACAAAAGTGGTAATTAGCATACTTATTTAATTTTTTAAAATTAGATAATTTTTTATAGTGAAGAAACATACTGCTTATACTTTTTAACATAGGAATAATAGACTTTAGTTACTTATCTGGAAGATGACTACGATTTTTAAATTGAATATGAAACTTTAGACTTTATAATCTTCTAATAGAATGATTCAAGCTCTTTAGGCTTATAGATCGTTTAGGATACATAGGCTATTTCAGTTTATAATTTAACTTTAAATACAAATTTTTCAGATTATTATGTTTCTGTTGTTTAAGGGTTCAATAAATAAAGTTTGTCAATATAATATCTATTTATACTATTTGAAGGTAAAGTAAGCGTTTTTGATTAATATAAAAGGGAAGCAATCCAAAGTTGCTTCTAAGCTTACTCTTACAAAACATTTATTCCTGTTTTAAAAGCAACTGAATAAATGAAAACTCCATAAAATAATAAATTTATGATTAAATAAACAAAGTATTTTAGAAGTGCTAATGGCTCAATGATTGGCTATTTAAATTCAAGGGGATACTTTATTTTAATTTAAGAAGATACAGAATAGCTAATAAACACATACTACTCTGAATTAGGATAAAATATAGATGTTTGTAGTGCTTTTTAATCAGTAAAGCAATCGAAAATCTATTTAATTATTTAAAATATCGAAAAAAATATATTTTAGTTAATTGTTTTAGGTTAGATCAACTTGAGAGTATTAGATGTTGTTTTTATTGATAATATAGGAAATCCATCCTAAATTTAATGCTTCTATTCAGTAGATAAAGAATAAATAGTTATTGGATTCATAGACAGCAAACTTTACTTGTATCAGATAGATTTATTAAAGAGTATTAAAAATAACTTAAAATTTTCAAAATTTTAATAAAATTTCATAAAATTAGATTATAAGGTGATTAAAAGCACTCAATTGAATTCTGATTACTTATATGGAGATTATGAAATAAATATGCAAAATTAGCTTGTGTTTACAAAAAATCAATACTTTATATTTATTATTTTAAATTTTAATCTTGATATCGTAAAAAAGATTTATTTTTATGATTCAAAATGTATCAAATAATTATTTATATATTTAATTAGGTCTTTGAACAGTAATTTAGTGTCACTAGTTCTTTATAAATAGGATATGCATATAACTAATAGAATAATACTATTCTGCTATAATTCAACAACATGATCTACTTATATTAACTAGAAAATTCTAGAGTAATTTAAGAAATAAATTTACCAAATTTAAAGATATAAGCAATATATGGATTTTTAGATTCACCTTGGGTTTTTATATAAGATTTAAAGATGGCCATTATTTTAAACTATTTGACATAAGATATTATTTTAGTAATTTCAAATTTAATTTAAAAAATTTACTTTTTTTTGATATTTTATTTATAATTTATTTTATTATTTCAATTAATTTTAAGCAATACTAATAAGAAGGAGCACTTAAAATAACTCAGCAAAATTGGTTTTCTTCTACTATTTTTGGGTTTATAAGAAATTAGTTTGAACTCAATATTTTTAATTGTGATTCTAAGTAGCTTAAAAGCTAAAGCTTTGGATAAAGCATTTTTGATTATAACATTTATGATTTTAATATAGCTTTAGTAACATTTTTAACAAATTAAATCTTGGTATTTGACTATTTAAATTAGAATATCATAAATTAAATTAATTTAGGAAATGTAAAATTTATTATTCTTTTAATAATCATTAAAATTTTTTAAAATAAAAAAAGGATATTGTAAGTTTTAATGTTATTTTACCAGTAGATTTTTAGTTATCATAAAATAATATAATTTTTTAATAAAATAATGATTTTCTATTCTTTGTCACTAATCCAATACTTAGTTCCCATTTCGATATAGAAATAGATGCTGATTAAACTTAAAAAACTGATTTATATTCTTCATACATTTCAGAATTAGATATTTTTATAATTTCATCAATGGAATCAGTTTAGATATTTTAAGGAAGAACTGTTAATAACATTATTGCAGATATCTAAGTTGGAGAAACTATTGGAAGCGTTCAATAACTAATTTAGAATATTTTATATTTGATGGATTAGCAGATAATTCTTATCTAAAACACTAGATATTTTATGATTTTTGATATTATAAATAATTTTTAGGTAAATATATAAATTAATATTTAATTATATTTAATAATTATTTAAATTAAATAAAAAATTAATTTAGGTTGTTGAATTTTAAAAAGGAATAGACTTTATGAATAAAATAACTGACTAAAAGATGTTATTAGCTTATGGGATAAACGAAATTTTTGACAACTCCTCATGTTTATATGATTTAAAGGTAAATAAAATACTTTTAAGTTTCAATTAAAGTAGTCCTTCCTAAATTAAAACCTACTTTAATTAGTTAATACCCTATATTTTTTCAAAAATTAAGATTTTATGAAAAATTCAAATTTCTCGGCAATCAGTCAGAAGGCTTTATAGAGAAATTATGATAATTAAGAGAAACTACATTAATTTAATTTTATTAAAGCTTTGAAGAAAAATTTTATATAAATATCAAAATTTATTTTTTGTTTAACTATTTATAAAGATTAAAAAACAATTGGGATGCTAATAGTCTGATTTCTAAAGTTTTTTTAATAGCTATGTTAATTAAATAGTACTAAATAATAAATATATTTTATATATCTAAGAATATATTTAAAAAATTTAAGATTTAAAATTTTAAACTATTTGGAGCTATAAATCTGATGGAAGTGTTAACTTTAGCAAATGCAATGATATGCTTTAAATTTGTTTACTGTTTGATTAAGATGGTGCAATATATTTAATATAATATTTTAATATCGAAAAAGGAAATGTATCAGTATCAATTTTTAGTCTAATAAATATTTAAGCAGCTCCAATAGTAAATTTCTTAAAAAAGTTGAAAATTAAGTTTATCTTATTTTTTAATTTGGAAATAGGTTTAATTCATTATCTCGTATAATTGTGCTATGATCGCTTTTGAGTAGAATGTAAATGTTCAAGTTTTATGCAACTAGGGTGGATTATTTTACAGTAAGATTCTATATCTTGATTCACCAATAACAAGATACTTTAAATATGCAAACTTAAATGAACTAATTATTTATATTACTGATAAAGGAGAAGTAAAGTTATAGCAACTTGATCTATTAAACTATAGTAACTAGGTCTACACAATTAAAGTGATTATTTTTATTTAAAATTTTTTTTTGAAATTAAAGTCTTTAATTAATTATCTAGCTTTAAACAGATAGTAACTCATTAAGTGAAAAAAGTAGTATTTAAATGTATTAAGAAAAAGAACTGCTCATAATTTATATTGGGAATGTTATTTATTTTATTGATATCTACCTAAAAGAGTTGATGAGTTTAACAGTTCTTGATTACAATATTGTTGAGCTATTTTTAGATAAAGATAGATAAACCTTACATTGTTTCCAGCTATATAAATACCAAATATTTAGCATAGAATAAATATTTTATATTGGACCACCTAGGATATAGCCAAATAAAGTACAGAGCTATACTTTGTTTGTTGAATATAAGTATTTATTTTAGGTAGATACATTATAGGATATTGTTTTTTTTAATGAAGTAACTAATGATAAAGACACGCAGCTCGTTTAATTGAAAGAATTAAAAAGAGAGTATATTAAAAAAAATTTTTAATTGAATTTGAAAACTGAACATGAGAATAAAATATATGCTTAAAATGCTCAAATAATTCTCTTAAATAACAACGATTTAGAAATAGATGTCATGATAATCTTTAATAAAAAGATAAGCAGAATTTTGTATAATATTTAAGAATTGGTGTTGAAGTAGATTGCTTGGTCAACTACATATGATATAAATAATCCACCATTTGATTTTTATTCTCATGAAGTTATTGTTTAAGACAACTACATTATATTCTTTGACTTTAAAAATATGATGATAAAAACTCTGGTTTAATATTCAGAGAAAAGCTCGAATAATAATAATACCTTTTCAAATAACTTATTTAAATTTTTAAATGTTACATCAGTGAATACTTATTATAAGTTTATGTAAATATACTATTTTTAAAACAATTTAGACGCTCTAGTTATTGTAGAGCAAGACAACAGGTTAAAATTAGTTAATCTCTTTGATAACTAGTTGATATTTGACAGCTATGTATTTGTACCAAATAGCTAAATATCTTTTTAAATAGATTTTGTAAAATTTAGTATGATGAAATCTTATTTAATCTTAAATAATAAATATTCTTTTATGATATTGGATATAAATAATAGCTTTAAGTAAATTTATTATTAAGTAGTCACAAATAATATTTAATCTATTTAGAAAGAAGAAGCTTATAATATACTTTATATAATAGAAGATAGAGGATATTCTATCAATGTTTTTGACTTAGATACACTTTCGATTTAGAAAAATACAGTTATATTTAAACCTGGTAGAAGTAATATTTAAATAACAATCATTTCGAGTTTCATCGTAATATATAGTGATTCTTAAGTGAATTTTTATAACAGATCTACAAAAAGGTATATTCTATCTTATAGATATATTGATAAGTAGTATAAAGTTCAAAATATTTAGTAGACACTTTTTGATAACTATTATATTGTGGTAATGAATTAAGCTATAAGATTAATTACAATTGATTTTGTTTCTTAATAATCTTTTAGCCTTTTTCAAGTAAATCTTGAGTAAAGCGAAGTATTCTCAGTCGATTTTGATACTATTTATTCTAAATTTACTATAGAAATCCAATCGCTGAAATATGGCGAATATGTCATTTCAAATATTGTATTTTTCTATAAATAATGGCTCCTCCAAAATAATGAGTTTAGAGTAAAAAATGTCTTTAACAATTTCAAATAAATTAGATAAAAATTATTGTGTGCTTTTGAATTTGTCATGAATCCAAATGAAATTAATAATATAGTAGAATAAGAACTTCTACAGTAAAGTAGCAATGCTTTCAATTTTGCTATTACCTCTATGCAGGTATATGTTAAAGAATAAGCTAGATTTTAAATTCCCTATCTTGATGAATCCTATATTGGAGATGGAGGAATAAGCATTAAACTTTAAAAATATGCATAAAATTCAAATTTAGAAAATAATTAAGATACCTCATTACCTATACCAGCTGATCAAAAATATACTATGGTCTTAAAGGAAACATTAAATTTTTTAAATTCCAATGCAGTGAATTTCGATAATTTAATTGTTTCATTTAAATATTTAAAAGGATAAGTTATTGAACTTAATGGAAACAAATTTTAAAATTTATAGGATATCATCTTCAGTTATACTGATATATATACTGATATTAAAAATTCGACTTTGTATCTAAGAAATCTTGAAAAAGTAGTTTTTCATAATATAAATTTCTAAAATATGCAGCAAATTGAAACACCTTCTTCAGGGATGGGAGTAATATCTATAGATAATGTTCTAAATGTAGTTATAGATGGCGTTAATTTTACTAATATAGATAAACTTTTTGGGAGAGGATCTTTCTTAAGAGTAACAAATAGTTTAAATGTTTAAATTAAAAACATCAATTTCAATAATATTACTTGTGTTGGATATTCAGCTAAAAATTTATAATAGCTTGGTTTACCAACAACAATTAACTATTTAAATTATTTTTTACATTTTGAAAATGTGACTAATTTAGAGATATCTTATATTAACATGAATAGCTGTAAATGGACAAACTTCTATTTTCTAAGGACTATAAATATTTCAAATGTGGTATATTTTAATAACAGCTAAATAACATAATAAATAGTCATAGTAAATCAAACATTAGATTAAATACTACAATAAGGCTACTAATTAAATTAAGAGTGCAAAATAAATGGAATCTTTGCTAATTAAATATCCTAAAGTAATATAATTCAAGTTAATCACTAAAAATAAAGAGAATTTAAAGCAAATGATAGCATATATTTAAATTATAATCTTTTTATTTGCTTACCATAAAGCTTTTTTAGCTTTTTTTTAACATAGGCAGTTCAGTTAAACAATATTTTAATTGATGATTTATAACTCAATGCAGTAGAATTTAACATTTTTAATTTTATACAAACAAATCAAATTTTAAGTGATAATATTACTTTTTCGAATATATTTCAAACTTATCTTTAAAATCCTCCTTTGGCTTAAGCTATCAATACATAGGGTAGCTAATAATTTGAAATTTCAAATAGTGTATTCGAAAAAAACTCTAACATAAGATTTATCTTCACTCCTAATCTTCCTATAAGTTAGGCAGAATTAGTATAAAATCAATTTGTAAAATTCAATAAAATTTAAGTCCGTAATTCACAACATTTTGCATGTCTTATTGAAGGAAGTGCTTATGATAATGTAATTATAAACTCTTATTTTTATAATTTAATTAATGGTTAAACTCTTAAATAAATCTAAGAATTACAATCTAATAACTAATACATATATTTTTCAAAATAACCCAGTGGAATTATAGGTTTATATAGCATTCATAGCCTCCTACTTAAAAACAACATATTTCTTTCATGTAAAAGTTACTCAAGTGCAGCAATTTATCTCAGCCAAGGATATATAATTTAATTTATTTAAAACAAATTCGAAGCTAATTAGGCATTAACGATAGCAGGAGCTGTAAATTTACAAAATATTATATCAATCACTTTAGTAGGTTGTACTTTTTCTTTAAATAAAGCAAGTGAAAGTGCTGGTGGAGCTATTATTATCCAATAATCCTTAGTCTATTAATTTACAGGTAATATTTTCCAAGGAAATCAAGCAAAAAAAGATTCAGCAGGGGCTATTTTACTTATTTCTACAGATATTAAATCAGTAAAATCTTTATTTTGATAAATTAATTTTATTTTTTAAGCAAATTTATTAATTTTTCTTTTAATAATTCAAATTAGTTTTATGGAAATTATTTTGAGAATAACCAAGCAGCTATAGGAGGATGTATGAGATTTTACTATACCCTTCCTTCGTTCTTTGATAAAAACAATACTTATCTATAAAATAATACATTTAAGAATAATAAAGCTTCACTTTATGGTCCTAATATAGCCTCTGATCCATAAGGAATAAATTTAGTATAATAAAATTTAAATAGCTCTACTGTGTATGTTTTTAATCAAACTTAAAACTATACAGTCATCAATTAAATAAGTGGAGATTACCTACAATACCCTCTGAAAGTAGTTTTGACAGATTAAGATATGATACCCATAATATTTCCATATTCTCTTTATTTATAAAATTAAAATAATCTAAAAGATGCCAACTAATAAACAATAAACTAAAATGAGAATCCTGATAATAACTTTCCAATTGAAAGTGATTAAATAACTTAGCAATTTTAATCTTACTAAATTCAAGTTATTCCTTATCCTTCAATGCATATTGATGAAAGTAGTATCACTACGGTCTATGATTTCTAATGCAAATGCTATATTATAAACTTTTCATTATCTGCTAAGCCCTTATTTAATTCATCCTTTAAAATATAAACAAAAAACTCATATTATATTACTGATTTTAATAATACTCAACCATAATTATTATTTTAACCTTTAAGTTTGACAATAAATGTGGAATTCGGTAAGTGTTTACCTGGAGATATCTTAGTCTTTAATGATTAAATTGTTACTTGTCAACCATGTCCCAGTGGTAAATTATAAATATTTCCTTATTTTTTATTAGAATTTTTTTTAGTAACATTGCGTTTTGTTTTTAAAATAAAAAAATATCTAAATTAAAATTTTTATAAAATAAAATATTAATTTTTTTTATAAATAGGAAAATACACATTAGTTGATATTTCTAGTTACACATAATATGATAGTAACTTACAAAAAGATCAGTCATTATAATAATGCAAAATATGCCCAGAGTAAGCTGTTTCGTGTGAAAAAAACATAATTAATTTAAAAAATGGATTTTGGAGATTAAATAATATGACTGATTTAATATATGATTGCTAAGATTCGAGGGATAGTTGCCTTCCAGAGGATCCAAAGAGCAGATAAGGGTGTAAAACAGGATACATTGGTATTTATTGTGCTGAATGTGATTACAGAGCAAAGTTGTGGGATTTTTAGTATGGTAGATTTTATGATTAAGATTGCTAAACATGTAGTTAAATTAATTAATGGAGCAATATAGTGTTTACAGTAATTATTCTGATTTTTCTATTTATTTACAACTATATGCAAGTAAACAGGTAAAGAAAGTTTGCTAAAAAATCATGTATAAGCTATTATTTAAGAAAATTTAATTTCATGCTGATTGGTAAAAGTGGCTTAATTGACCATGGAGCTGTAATTAATTTATTTATTCTTTAAAAAATTTTATTTCAATATTTTTTGAATTCTTTTTAAATAAATTTAATTATACATTTTAAATATTCATAAAGGTCTACACAAAGATATTCATCAACTATCTCTAGATTATGTTTTTACTATTTTCAAATAAATTGTAGATACCTATTGTTAGATAAATTTTACAACTTTTAGGAGGAGATCCTCTTTAATTGCAATACGCAAGCATGGACTGTGTTATTTCTAATTTTTCTTCATTACCTATTTATGTAAACAAAACATTATTTTAGTAGTTATTACCTTTAACTATTCTAGCTCTTTGCATTTTAGTTTTGGCCATTTAAAAAAATATATCATAAAGAAGAAAAAATATTACTTTTTAGACCAAATATATATTTCCTTCAATGAGAGATTTCAAAGCTTAAGGACTATTTATTTATCTATTTTATTCTCCTTCCTTCTTGATTAAATTAATATCATACATGTTTTGTTCATCAACAATAAGCTTCTCTCATTTAGTAGGTGATCATTCTTATTCTTGCTTTACAGCAGAGCACAAAGCTTATTTCTATACTTTGCTTCTTCCTCTTTTTATTTTGTGGGCCTTTTTAATTCCTTTAACTGTAATATTTATCCTTCGTAAAAATTCTAATAAGCTATACTATATATGGATAAAGCAATCATATGGATTTTTATACCAAGAGTATAACGATAAAAAATACTTTTGGGAATTTGTAAAGATATATATGAAGATTTTGATAATGGTAGTTGTGATAGCTTTCAACAATGATTTGTCTTTAAGATATGTTATAGTTATTTTTATTCTTTTCATTTATTTTTTGATAACTTTGCAAGCAAACCCTTATATCACCAAGGATCTAAACTATTGTGATAGAATTTCGAATCTCACTATAATTTTATCTGTAATAATTGATCTATTTTTAAATTAATCTTCAAGCTCTTCTTTTGTATTCTAATAAGTCAATTAAATTATAATTTTGGTAATAAACTGCTTTTTCCTTTTGTTAATTTTAAAAAGATTGATTCTTAAGCCCTTGCCATTCAGCTATTCGGAAATGAATTTATTTTAAAAAATGATTTATAAATTAAGAAATATCTTTCCAGCTTTATTTTCTTTTGTTTAATTTTAACCATAGAATCCTTTCAACATCTTTAGAAATTGGAAAAGACTAAAGTTAATTATTTAAAACTTTTAAGAAATGAGGAAATCTAGGAATTTATTTAATGATTAGTTCTTTAAAACCTTTTAATAAACTCGCTTTTATGGTTAAGGTCTAAACGAAATAACCAGTCATAGTTCTCAAAAAAGCTAAATTGAAAGTATAAAAATAAGAGAAAGATAACCTATTCATTTATCTTCGCTACCTTGCAATATGTCAATAGAAGATTGTAATCACTTTCTTTATTTTCAATTTATTTTATATTTACTATAAAATTTATTTAATAAACATAAAATTTTATTAAAACTTATTAAAAATTTTCTCATATTTTTATAATTATCACTAATATTGATAGAAAAGTATTCATTGCAGTTGAATTTTATTGTATATTTTAAATAATAAAATGTTTAAATTAATTATCACCAAAAATCACAAGAATAAGTTTTTTTTGAAATGTCCTAAATTAAAAGGATTCAATAATTAATTATTTTTGTGTGAAATAAATTTAAAAAAGAATAATTTAAAAAAATTTATTTTTTTTGATTTTAGTTTATTCAAGTGTCTAAGTTTTATATTAAATAAAATTTTTAAAAGTTGACTAATAAGATAGTAGCCTAAAAAAAAGTACAAAGAAAGGATAATTTATTAAGACTGTAAAAACTGAACCATATGATATTAATGAAATTTAATTAGGATCTGTATAAATCAAGAGTAGTGAAAAAAATTTTTAGAATAAAATTTGTGAGGACTCTTCTGTGTTTGAAGAAAATATGGAGAGGCTGCAAGAAGATAAATATTCGATTAACGACATAAGCTAATAAAAGTTTATCTCTATCTTTAAACTTAATAGAAAAGGATTTGAAGAATAGAGAAGCAATTTCTAAAATAAAAATTAAGAATCTAATCAAATTGATCAGACAAATTTTACTAATTTTTATGAAGTACAGTCCCCGAGCAGCTTTTACTAGAATGAATTTTCTTCTTAAAATATTAGAAACTAGAGCTCTATTTAAGATAAAAGCCAAATAAATTAACTAAAGCTTAAATCTATATCTTAATTAAATTAAAATCAGAGTTCGCACAAATTTAAAAAAGTATGATTTTAAAAAGATTTTGATGTCATGTATTTTGTTGTTATTTAAGTAATTCTAATCAGTTAAATTATAAAAATAGACAAACATTTTATTTAAATGTGCTTTTTGTTTATTTAATTAATGAATGAATGCGTATAAATTTTAAAATTTTTCTATCCTGATTATTTTTCTAGTTGATTTTGATAAATACTTAATAAAATAATATGAAAATTCACATTATTTTTTATCATATATTATTTCAATAATATTTCCTTTACTTATTCATGTATGTGTTATGTGTGATATTCAATTAGCAAAAAATTTAAAATTTTTTCTATACATTAATTCTAAATTTTGAATATTTTTTAATAATTTTATATTTCTAAAAAAGCACAAAAGTCAAAAATGGATAAAAATTAAAGTGAAAATTTTATATCCAATAATATTAGCTAAGCATCAAATCCTTCGAAGTTATAGGAAGCAAGATTTAGAAAAGCTATGTAAAACAGAGTTTAAAATCTTGCTTTGTCTAATGTAATAGGTTTGACATCTAATAGTAAACACAATATGCTAATAAATCCTGTAAGTGGAGAGCTTTATTATATTGCAGGAAGTACTATTGTAGTTTATAATATTGAATAAAATGTTTAAAAGAAGTATATACAATCTCCAAATAAAAGAAATATAGTGTGTATTTGCCTTTCTAAAGATTGTAGGTATTTAGCAGCAGGAGAGGGTACAAGTAAGTAGCCTGAAATTATAATATGGGATTTACAAGTAAATTAAATGCGACTACATTAATATATTTAATAAAATTATATAATAAACAATAGTAAGTCTTCTCAAGCAATAGTCAAGAAGGTGATAAACCTATAAAATAACTTAAAGGTCATAAAATAGGTTTAAAAATGTTATTTTTTTCTCCAAATATGAAGTATTTATTATCAATTGGAGATGAGAATGATAAAGGTTTGTTTGTATGGGATTGGATAGCTGAAGAAAGAATTACTTTAAATAAAATGTCAAAAGTACCTTTATCTGCTTGTTTTTCTGAAGATGGTACTAAGTTTATCACATGTGGAGAAAAGTACATAAAACTATGGTAGTTTCATAGTAATGGGGATGTTATAAAAACACCAGTTAAAGAAAAAGAAAATGCATACATCATAGAGGGAAAATCTATAAATTTAGGATCTAAAATGCAAGAAAAGACATTTACTGACTGTGAATATGATAAGTAAAGCAAGTACTTATATGTAAGTACTTCAACTGGCCAGATATGTATAGTGGATGAAAGCAGAACAATACATAAGTTCATGGATATTAAAGTTTAAAGAATTTTTAATATAGCAATAGGAAAGGATTTTATAATTTGTTCTTGCTCAGATAATTTTATAAGAGTTTTAAGGACGTCTACTCTAGATTACATAACTTCTTTCCCTAAAATGCCTCCACTCCTTTAATACAACGTTGAAAAAGGTACAGCTTTGTTTCTAATATTAAATTTATTATAAAAAAAGTAGAGGAAAAAAAATATGTTTTTCATAAAATTATCATTTAAAACATAGGTTAAACTAAAATAAAATTTCAAAGTACTGAATATGCAGATGCAATAGGATTGGTTTATGATGATTTAAGAGCAAAAGTTAGTATTGTTTATAGTGATAGAAGTCTCTTCATCTGGGATATTTAATAATTTGATTAAATAGCAATAAAGAGAAGCTTCTTAAACCATTCAGGAGGCATTAACGATTTATAAATATTAAATAATCCATCTTTTTCTGAAATAACATTTTTTATGACTACTTCGACTGATAAAACTGCTAGAATTTGGCATGAAATAAGTACAGAGGATAATTCAAAATAGTAAGAATAGAATTTAAAGTTTCGCAGAAATGTTTATTCAAAAAATCTTAGTCGTATAATTTATTTAACAAATGATGTTGAAACATTTAAGTATAAAGGTATAATTTTTTTAAAGATAAAAACATCATTAATTCATATAAATTATTTATAGAATAACCAACAAATTTAACAGAAGGAGAACAAGTGAATTAGGACATAGAGGTTTAAGAATACCCAACCTGCATTAAAAGCACTTAAGATGGGTCTCAAATAATTTTGGCAAATAATAAAGGATAATTAATTTTCATGAACGTTTCAAACTTTGAAGTTTCGCACTAATTTTAAGCTCATGACAAAGAAATATCATGCATGGATTTAATAGAGACTTCATCACATAGATTTTTAGCAACAGGAGGAAGAGATAGACAAATAAAAATTTTTGATCTAAAAAATAATAATAAATTGATATTCACTCTTGATGATCACAGCTCTTCAATAGTGGCTTTAAAATTTGCATAATCTTAAGATCATTAAACAATTTATTTGATATCAGCTGCAACTGATAGACAAATTATTTTTAGAGAATACAAAAACTAAATCTTCGCAACTATTCATAGAGAAGTTGATAAACATAATAAAATTAACTCTTTAGATATTTCTTCTGACCAATAAACACTTTATGTTGGATTTGATAAAAAAATAAATTCATTTTCAGTATCAACAGGAAAGCCTATCAAGTAGACTGAAACCAAAGAAGATGAAAAAGTTTCTAAAACCTATTTTGATAACTTATCTACTTTAACAGATGTTTCTTGTATTTTTTCAATTATAATAATAATTAATTTGTATTAATCTATTTAAAATTAAATTAGCATCATATATAGCATGCTTCAACTAAGATAAAGTGATAAGGATTAGAGACTGCTAGACAATGGCAGTTGTTTCAAAGGCTTTAGTAGGAGATACTGTGACAGGTATGGGCTTTACAATTAACAATAGCCATTTAATAACAAGCACAAGTGAAGGTTTAATTTACATATGGAAAATGAGTTCTGATCTGAAAAATAATATAGACAAAAAAAAATAATAGCTTGGTATAATAGCTAAAAAAATATAAGACTTCTTTAAATAAGAAGGTTAGAATATGCTGTCTACAAAAGATTTAAATTTAGGCTCGTTCTGGATAGAAGAAGAAATGAGATAATATATGATATAGCAGTAAAAGTAAAATCAGAATGTACCTCTTTAAAAAGAGGATTCGTTTGATCCAATAAAAAATTTGAAACCAACTGACTTAATGAGAAACACAAATCTGCCAAACTGGGCAAAAACAAAACCATCAACAAATAATTAGCAATAATAAAAACCAGTTGATGAAGAAAATTTACTCAATGATTTTAAAGATAGAATTATAATTGATAAAAAAGTTAGTAATTATCCTGATAAAAAAACCAATAATTTTATTAGAGATAGTGAGTACATATAAGATAGTATTAATGCTAGGTTCAGCAGTTAGATTTAGCAGCATTAAGTAAATTCATAGTTTTAAAGCAAGCTCTAACAAGGTTATGGATTAGATTCAATAAATGAAAGAGATTTTAATGATAATGATTATGAAGATGAGATATTCTCAAAAAATTAGGTAGCAAGTATTATTGGCTATAACAACTAGAACAATTAATTTAAAAATTAAGATGGTTCACCATAAAATGATAAGCAGTAAAATCAAATTCTAAAAATAGAAGATTAATAATTTGATGATGATTATAGCAATTAAAAGCCCATATATATAGATGATAATAAAATTATAGGATTGAAAAATGTTTCTGACTAAGGTGATTCTGATGGATTTCAGTATAACAGTGACCACCTATCTCAATTTTTAAAATAAGATTAAACCGTACCTATATCCTCTACTCAAGCTCAGTTGCTTAGTAAACTTGCTAATACAAACCTAGCTTAAATAGCATAACAAAATAATGAATTATAAGTAGAAGAAATCTATAGCAATTAAAGTTAAAAACATTTATCCAATTAAAATAGTAATTAATCACTTAAGAGTGAAAAAGAAGTAAATGACATCAAGTATAAAAAAGATAATGGAAAGATTTCTACTTTTGACGTTGATCATATTTAGGGGTAGTTGTAAAAAGTTGAGCATAATATAAAATAAGCTGAGAATAATTTTAAATTCAAGGAAGATTAGATAAATATATTCTAAAGTAGTAATCAGTAACCTGTATCTCATAAGCAACAAACATTTTCAAATAACAATCTAATAAATTCAATAAACATAAGTGATGACAATTAAATACATTAATTTGAAGAAGAACATAAACAAGTAGATGGATTGATAATGCTTGATGATGAAGATGAATTGGAAGAAGATTAAGCCACTTAAAAAATCAATAAATTACAATATTAGGAATAAAAATAGGAAGTATATTAACTCAGTAACAAACTAAATTAAAATTAAGAGTTTGTTTTATCAAAGAAGTTTGGGAAGGATAAAGAATCTATGCCTAAACAACTTGGAGTAGATCTTGATTAAATATAAATCAAGGATCAGTCTAAACAAAATACACTTAAAAGTGAATAATTAAAATAAGATAATGTGATAAATACAGAAAATTTACAATAAAGCAATAAGCAACTCTTAATTAAAAATGCAGCAGAAAAAAAGTTTTCATCAATAAACTAATTAGTTTAATAAAAAGAAGAAGATGCAGAAATCATTTATGAAGAAATTGAAAATAATCAAAGCAGTATTAGTATGTAGTCAAATTAGGTTTTATAAAAGTAAAAGTAGCAAACTTAGCTCAATGAAAATAAAAATTCTAAAGAATCAGAAATGAATTAGCATTCGATAAAAGAAAAGAACTTAATTGGAGATCAAAGTGTTTCGAAATATTAAAAATAAACATATGTACAAGAAGAACCAAGGGATGAATTTGATGAGAGTTATATAGTTTGTAATTCAAAGGAGTATTAATAATATCAAAACGAGTTAGAAGCCAGCTTTAAAATTATTCTTGATTAGCTAAACAAAATTGAAGATATTGTTGAAAATAAATTAGATCACGAGCCAGTCTCAATAAGAAAGAAAGTATGTGAAAAGGTTCAGTTAAGAGCAAATAAAATAAAAGCATCTCTATAAAATATAAACTTCAAAACACAATAGGCAAGTCAGCAAAATATCAGTAGTCAATTCAATATTTCATATGCTGATTAAGATTTTGGTAAAATTATAATTATTTATTTAATATATTAAAGTATTTCTTAAAAAAGTAAAATAAGACCTGCTAGAAAATTATTCAAAGCTTCTTTTAGAGGCAGTTTTGAAAAGAAAATGAGCAAGCTAAAATAAATTCTATACTTAAATAATTAATATTTAATTACTAAAAAAGTTATTCTATTTTATGTATTTTATTTTTAAATTATTATCAAAGTTTTTTAATAACTCTTTGTAAATAAAGTATTTTGTGTAAATTTAATTTCTACATAATAATAATTAATCTTTTAGATAAATTTGCGTCTATTTTTATTGATTTTCACACAAAACTAATTTACGATTGTTTTTATTAGCATCTTTATATAAAATGAGCTAACCAAACCAACTAAACTCAATCTTTTCAGATGTATTTATTATAAGATACACATATATTTGAATAAAATATTTTTTAGGGTAATAGCACTAATAAGGTAGAATAAGAATATAAAAATTAAGAGAGTGAAAATGAATGCGATGAAGATTCGCAAATTCTTGCAAACTAGGGAGATAAAATTAATAATCAAATGGAATTTGAAAGTGTAAGCATTAATTAGGATGCCGAAGAGGAAGAAGATGATTCTTCAAATGATTAAGAATTAATGCCAAGAGCTCTTCCGATTCAAAGCAACAGCGATATTGATTCAGAGCATGAAGACTATGAAGGTCTTTAGTACCTTTTAAATGGTAAAATATTATCACAATATACTAATGCTTATTTATTTGCTAATGTTAAAGTTAGAAGAGAAGCTAATAAAACAAGCAATATTATGGTTGCAAAAAATGTTAATGTAGTCTAATCAGAAACAGATTAAAAGTATATCCCATAAAGCATTTTGAAAGGAGAGTTTTAAGAAACAAACAAGTTAAATTCTTGGGAATAAGACTAGCTTAATTAATTTAAAAACTTTAAAAAAGTATTATTTTATATTTATTATATTATTCTTAAAATTTAATATATTTATTACATAAAGCATTTAGAGTATATTGATGAGCAAGTACAAAAAGGAATAAAACCATCAGAAATTATTTCAAATTATTATAATGGGTTAGAAGATGACAAGTATATAAAAAGTAAAAAGTGCTTTTTAGAAAATTTCACAAACGAAGATTTAACAAAAGTTGTGATTCCATCAACATAAACTCTTTAAAAAATCACATACATAAGATTAGAGAAGATTTTAGAGTACATAGATCATGTAATTTATGATAAATTGGAATTAGCTGAGTAGATATAACAGGAAAATAAAGAAAATTTATTATAATTATATAAAGAAAAGCAAGTATTTTTAAATTATAACTAGTATTTATGGATATATGGATTGATGGGGAGATTAGATAATCCTATTTTAGCAGATATTAGTTGTATCTTAAACAGAATTCTTAAAATGGCTGTGTTTTAATAAAAAAATAGTTAATAAAATTAGGAAGACTATCAAATGATATAGGCTATGACATAAATTATAATTGTTATTATTAGGGAATATTATGGTTAAAAGTATATTGCTATTTGAAATACAACTAAATAAATAAATGACATAATTTAAAATTAAATATTTTATTGATAAAATTTTTCACATAAAATCATTAAAAACTGTAAGTAAATATGATTTATTCAATAATAAATATAAATAAAATACAATTCTATTGGACATTTTTGACTTAAAATAAAAAATTGTAAAATTATAAATTATTTTTTTTATTAAGTTCCTATTTTAAAAATAATAATTTTGTAATTATTAAAAAGATAGTGCTAATTTTCATTTTAAATTAATATTTTATTATTGTAAATTGTAATATATGCAGATATATAATCATCAAAAGTGAAAAAAATTTTTGGTTAAATAATTAATTAGAGATATTTTTATGGTAGTTAAATATTCAAATAAGAAACTATTAATTAGTTTTTATGATACAATCAATAAGAATAGGTAGATAACATACTCACAAATTATATTTTATATACATATTAAATTAATAATTATCAAGTAAATATCCCTTTTATTTACTATAGATTTAAAGTAGATTTTTTTATTACAATCCATCAAAAACTTGTTCTTAAATATTTATCTATTTTTTAAAATCGTTTATACTATTTAAAATTATTATTATTATCAATCACTATCTTCATCACTATAAGAATTCAATCCTTCTCCCTCATATCCTATATCACTACTATATTCTTCATCAGAAACTTCCATATCATCTAATTTACATGAAATATTATAAAATGTTGATATTGAAAAATAAATAAAATGTTACCATAATCAGATAATCCTTGCTACTTTATAACAAAAATCATAGGAGCTTATTTAGAACTAAATATTCCCTTTTGCTAGCCTTTCTTCAAAAAACGAAGAATATCATTACCTGCTAGGTCCATATTTTAATAGTTAAAAACAGAATTTTAGTTAAAGCCATATTTTCCAACATTAGAGTTTTATTCTGCAGGAATTATATCATCATAAGAAAAAACAGGTTAGTATCCGTATTGTTTTTCGTTTTACTACTATAATACTTCTTAAACTTCTTCTTACTTTTTAACTTCTTTATTTTCAGCTGGTTCATTTTCTGATGATTTTTACTTTTTCTTAGTAGCTGCTGCCTCGCGATTTATCATTTTATTTAAATTTTCAGGCATTTTTAACCCTTGTTTCATTGTGTCCTCTTCGAGTTCAGCTAAAAGCTCATAATCTTTAGTAGCATTGGCCAAAATGACAAGATCGTAGAGGCTTTTTATAATTAAATTCATAATTAATTACTCTAAAATTAAATTGAAAAAATAATTCAAAAGTTAAAGTCAAATTGTTATTAATTACATTTTTGTACTGAGATTAAAATTTTATTTATACATTTTATAAAGGACTTATCTAAAAGAATTATCCATATCAGGAGGAATCGAACTAAATAATCCTCTATAAGCTTCGATATCTAAAACAACTCCTGCTAAGTAAGCCTTTTAAAAAAAAACAATTAATTAAAAAAATGATGTAAAGCTAGGTAAGAATGTTATAAAATAAATTTTACGTGAATTGCAATATTGAGAGCATTAAGGTTATTTTTAAATTTTAAATTAGCATCTATAAGATAATTATATGAAATATCACTCAATTTAATTTCTTATTTTTAAAGAATATCATAGAGTTTATTTGTCAATTCAAATTCTTCATTTCTCACTAATTACTCCAATATGTTTTGAATAGGAATGTCAACTTTTTCTTAAGCTAGTCTATCTATCTCCTATTTAAAAATAAAATATATTTTAATCAAACTTTATTAAATTTAGAGCTATTCTAGATTGTTGTGATATACTATCTTGATTCTTAATTCAAAACGTAACAAAAAATTAATTTACCTTAATTGCTTTACTAAACTTGTGATATTCCATAAATTATTTTAACTTTTTCAGATTATCATTTGACTAATTTTATGAGTTAGATTAAATGTTTGCTAATTTTTCAACCCTTAAAACTTAAGATGTAAAACTATTTTTCTTAAGTGAGTTATTTAAAGATATTCTTGATATGTTTATCAAAGAGCGCATTTTTTTACTTTATATTAAAAAATAATAGTTTTTTCTTTTAATTAGTTTGAAGGCTATTAATTTGCTTCTAATTCTAATGATAAATATAATTAGTTTTCTTTCTTTTTCTCGAAGAGTAAAGATGATTTTAAGATTTCATTTATTTCTAAAGAACAATATTAGATTCATCTATTTTTTGCAATATAAGACTAATAGTAGTAGAATTCATAAAATCTTAGAATTCACAAATACCAAACAAAAACATCTATGAAATTTGTATTCATTCATTCATTTATATCTAAACGTATTTAATTTTGCAAATTTAATAATTTATCTAAATTGATATAAAAAAATAACAGATAAATAATCAGTAAGTTTTTATCTAATTCCAAAATTTTATTATTTAAAGATATAAATAAAATTATTTTATGAAACAAAAATATTTTAACAAATACTTAAAAAATAAATTCTTTTTATATAAACTTTCTTTTAAATTGAATATATGTTTACATTTTAATAAAATTAAAATTAATTATTTGTTAAAACAAAATTAATTTTTTTAAAGTTTTTGTTAGGTAAATTACATTAAACAAACATAATTTAATCTAAATTATTTTAATGTTTTATTATTTAAATTGAATAATTGTTTTTTTACTAAAATAAATTTTGCTTATTTTTTAAGTTTTTTAATTTAAAAAAGATTTTACAGAAAATATAATTAATTAAATTCATTGCTTATGTTAATAGGGAGAGCTAATTTCTTAGTTAAGAGAATTTAGCTTTTTATCATTTTAGTTGATACTTTGGTTGGCTAATTTTTCTTCAATTATTTTTTTTAAATGTTCATCATTTTCATTTTCCCTTTAAAGTTCCTCTCTATTTTGAAAAAATATTAAATGTCTAAAAAAATAGATTTAATTAATACATTTTTTTCATATATTTTTTTTGTTTTTCATTCAGTTCTCCAATTTTTGATTTTATTTTTTAGATCAACATACTTCTGAAAGGTCTTAAATAGGAAGTCTTTTGTTTAATATTTAACAGTTTAATTTAATTCACGAATAGATAGAAATTTTGATTTTACTCCCATCATAAACTCTGTATTTACAGGAATAATAGTTCTAGGAGCCATATTATTCCTTCTCATATCATAGCAACGTTTAATAGCCTATTGTTTAAAATTTAAAAATTATATTTGTTATTATAAATTGCAATTTACAGCATTGAATTTTAAAGCATCTTCTTCAGAGTGAAATTTGTATTTTGAATTTTTATTTAATATGTACAACTAAATGCCTATATTAAATATTTACAAAAACTTTAAAGATGGATTTTGAATTTTAAATTACTTTGTTTATTTATAACATAAGCCATATATTCTTTCTTGATGGGGATTGCTTATAAAATATCTTCGCCATCAATATCTTTTGAAATAACTAAGATGTTTAAGCCAATCAAAAAATAAATTTTAGTTGAGTTAAATTTCTTTTGAAGTGATGCTTGTATTTTAGCCAGTGCCTTTGCTGGCATTATGTTATCATTCCAATAAAATTTATTTTTAAACTAACTTTTCAATTCAGGTATTTTAAAAATATCAAGGGAGTTATTGTAGACATCTTTGAAAACAGGATTGATAAACTTTAAAAAAGGTTTGTTTTCTTCTGAGACTGCTTTTGCAATTTGAGTGATCTCAACAATTTAGTTTCTCTAAGAAATGAATTTAGCTCTATAGCTAAAGCTATGAGTTTTAAATTGTATTTTTAAATTAATAATATATTCATCCTCTTTTTAGCTATATACTGTTCCATCAATATCATAAAATTTGTAAGTCGTTACTTAATTTTTAGAGCCTCTTTCTCTAATCTCTAATCTAACAAAGTCATATTCTATTATGATGCTCTTTTTTAAAATTCAAATAATTATTTGATTATTTTTAGCTTTTTAAATGATAGCATTTTTATTTTTTTAATCAAAACTATATGTAAATTTACATTTTGAGAGGTCTCCTTATAAACTTCAAAAATAAAAAATGGGAACAACTTAACTTCTATTTTCATTTATTTATTAAATAAATCTTAAAATATATTTTTCAATTGTAATTATTTATACCAGGGAAATGAACATATTCATCAGACTCTAGAATTTAGTTTAAATAGCTTCTGATTTTCAAATTGTTTAAATACTTTGTTCTTGACTAAACAATAAAATAAATAATAATAATAATTAAAAAAGTCAATTATGTTAAGTTAGAATAGCTATATGAGTAAAATTACACTTGGATCTTATAAAATTTTATATGCATGTTCAATCCTTTCCATCATTTATTTTATTTCCTCAGGTTTTCTTTTTTTTATCTCTTCATTTTATAAAAAATCCTTAATTCTAGCATAATTACTATAAAAATATGTTAATTAATTCCATTCTCAGTTAATTGCTAAACAAAAAATTAAATTACACATCGATATCAGTACTATTTTAATAAAAATAAGCATTTAAAGTATAAAACAGCGCTGAATTATAGTCAGGAGTTACATGTTTCTGCCCACTTTTATATATATTAGAGCCAGGTTAGTGGTTATTTTCAAACTGTTAAAGCTAAATCTGATTTTAATTCATTTGTAGTTAATTAATTTTTAGAATTTAAGTTTATTTATATTCTATTAAAAATTACTTCTAATAAAAGCCACTTTGCAAGCAAATTAAAGCAGTAGAATATTGATAATAAATATTATAAAGAAAAATAAATTAAGGAACAAATAAGTAAATAAACAAGCTAAAAACATGAATAAATTAGAAATTAAAATATAGTTTTAATAATTAACTAATGTAATGATTATGTTGAAAAGCAGAATAATTTTAAAATGTAATTGTGGAGATAAAATGAAGAATTTTTAAATAAAAAATTAAATTTAAAGAGATTTTTAATGATAAAAAATTAAGAAAAAGTATATTTTACAAACAAAATTGTATCAAAAAAATATTTTTTATGAATAAAACTTCTAAAAATCAATCTATTGTGTAATGAATATTTTAATTAAAAAGCAAGAATGAATTAAAAATGATTAAATATTTAATTGTAATTTTTATATAAAGATTTATTAAATAATACAGTGATACCACTAATATTTTAATTAATTTATAATTACAGAATTTTTGAATAGCGTTAAAGACAAAAGCAACATATTTTAAGTAATGTATATAAAATATTTATGTTGCCTTTTCAAGTTATTTTTATTATTATTAGTATTTTTAGAGTAAGCCGTATCTTATACTAGCAATTAATTATGATGAAACTAATTATATTATATTATTTTAATAAATAGATAGATAACTAACTAACTAGTTTCAATTAATTATTGATTTATTTTATAATTTATAACATTTTTAGGTTAAGTTTCAGTAAATAGATTAAAGAAACAAAGAAAGTAAAATGAATAACTAAAAGGTACTGAATAGAATTCTAAGAGAGAAATAAGTAAGAGGAGCTAGCTAAATTAATCAGCATTATAGATAGAAATAAATAGATTAATAGATAAATAGTAGTAGTAGCAGTAAAAAATTTTATTTTATATTATGAATTTACTTACTCAAATTACAGTTTTTTGTATAATTTCATAATTTAAACTAATATTTTGGTTCAAGAATGTTTTTTCTATTCTTAGTTAATTCCATAAATCTTAAGTTTTATTAGTTTATTCATCAATATTGTCATTTTTTTGTGATTTTTTCTTTTTATCTTTATCATTAATTTACATTTATTGTACAGTCTTTCTTTCATTATTTTTAACCATATTCACTTGAAAATTACTATTTAATCCATTAGCAGCTTAACAATCTGCAATAAAGCACCTTTCTTCTCTTTATGTCTATTTATTTGAATTAAATGGCTAACTGAAATCTATTTATTTTATTTTATCAAAGGCAATAATACATTTTTATAGCTGTTATTATATATTTTAATTATCTGGATCTAGCTCTAATGCTCTTTTATAATCTTTAATTGATTGCTTGAAATCTTCATTATTTAAAGCAACTTTATCTAATCTAGCCTTTGCACGTAAATAATAAGCCTTTGAACTTTTTTAATCTAGTTTTATAGCTTCATTACATGCATACAGAGCATCATTAACATTTTAGCAATTATTTTTTGAAAGCTTTAAATACACTAAACAAATATTTTGGTATAGAACTACCTTTAATCCCTTTACTAATTTTTTTTCTTTGTCACTTTTACCTGTTTAATTGATAAAATACATTATTTTTATATAACATTTTATAAATATTCAATTTTCGCTCAATAATAATTAGAATTATTTATATTTAAATGATAATCTGTTACCATTTTCATCAACATATTCCAAATCATCGTCGTATAGACCTTCTTTTTGCCAATTTTCTCTTTTATTCCTTACAAATCTAAAAATAGATAAAGCTTGCTCATACAAAACACAAGCTTATTCATATTCTTGGTTTTTGAATTTCTAATTTCCACTTATTTTTAGCAATTCTGAAGCAAAATACTTTTACTAAATTTATTGATGGTGCATTTCTTAAAATTTCTAAAAATAATATAATCCAGCTCTGATAAATTATGGTTTGCTTTCAAATTTTTTACGCTATTCCTTCATAACCTCAGAATGGTAATTAGCAGATTCTTAAAAGAGTTGTATATATTATTCCATTTCTCAATAAAAAATATTTTTAAGATATCCTAAGTAAGCTCAGCTATTTGTTTATTTATTGCTAAAAACTATAATTATGGCTAATCTATTAAAAATAACCAATCTAAATATTCTTAAGTTAATTATTATTCTTGTTATTTTCCTTGATATTAATTAATTTAACTTGAAATTGATAGCTATTTAATTATTTATCTCTAATGAATATCTTTTATTTTTCTTAATCTCATGATTTTATTCAAGTTTTCTAATTCACATCATTTCAATTTTCAAATTCTTATCCATCATTTATCCAAGATTTAATTACTAAAGTTTCCATCCATCAACCATTTAAGTATTTTCTACTTTTTGTTCTTTTAAAAATAAGCTTAAATCTATTCCCTATATCCAAAAATACAAATTCGCTGGTCGATGAAATCTTAAAATTCTACTTAGAAAAATTTATTTTAATTTGTTGAATTTTAGAATTTATTTTTCATTAAAGAAAACAAATTGGAATAAAATGTAATTTTTTATAAATATTTAATTTAGCTAAGTTAAGTGAGAAACATTTACTATTTAAGGATTCAATATAGCTTACTTTAATAATAAAAAATAATGTAATTTTAAAATTATAATCAATTATTATTAAAATAAAAAATAATTTTTAACAAAAATATGATTTTTTAACTTTAAATTATTTTAATTTATTAAAAATTAATAAATATTATATTTTAATTATTGAATGGTAACTATAAAATATTTATTATTAAATAATTTAGATTTACTAGTAAAAGAAATTCTAATATCGCACTTTTAAATTAATTCAAATTAGTTGTAAATTTATCAGAATTTAGTCAATATCAAAAATTGAAAAATAGTAAAGATACACCTAATAAATTAAAAATTTGCATAAATAATAGAATAAAATAAAAAATAGCAAATGTTTTTATATAATTAATCATATTTTTTCCTTTAGCAACAGTGTACACTTCCTGAAATTTAAATAGGGCAAAACCAGGCTAATTTGTGTGAAGATTTATAATAATAATTCAAGCCTTTAAATCTGTACAACAGATCAATCAGATTTTATATTTAGTCAAATGTAGATATAAAAGATAGAGATATTTATGATAATATAAAATTAAACTTAAAAAAATTTTATAAAATTGAGCATTTATCTTTAACCTTTTATAAAGTATACATATAATCATCAGAAATTTAAAATTTAATCGATTGCTTTTTGGAATCTCACCCAAATATCAAAGAATTTACTTTGATACTAAACAAATCGAATTTGAATAAAGCTAAATCTGATTAGATTCTTACAAGGTTAAAAGATTTTAAAAGTATTGAAATAGTGAAAATGGAATGCTCTGAAATCACTAAAACTATACCTAAATCAATAGCTATCAATTTATAATACCTCTAGAATCTAAAGAAAATATAATTTAAGGCTTGTAATTTTCCATAAGCAAGTTCTGTAGAATTTTTTGAAGAGCTAAGTAAGATAAAGACTCTTAAGGAAATGGAACTAAATTTTAATTCTAATTGCCTATCAAATGAGGGAATGGTAGCTCTTGGAAATATGCTGATTGAATAATAGTAGCTTTATAAATTATATTTGAGCTTATAATAAACCAAATTATCATGTGAAGGACTTTAATCACTAGGTTAAGGTATCTCTGGATGCAAGACTTTGAATAGTCTTTATATTGATATAACCAATAATAACTTAGAATCTAAATTTCTTTTTGAATTTTCTATTGAAATAAAGAAGTGGAGTAATTTAAGCCAGTTATCATTAATTCTTCCATAAATTAGTTGTGATCAAAAAACAGTCAATTCATTTTCTGAAGGCTTTGAATGTTTAAAAAAGATAAAATAATTTCAGCTATATATTAATTTATCGTATTTAACATATAACAACAATTATTTAGATCAAAAAGATTTTTTGGAAATGAAAAAATTCTCCAAATTTATGAAGTCTTTCAGCAATATTACTTAATTAGATATATAAATTAATTAAAAATGTCCTGTTGCTATCTTAAATTAATTAAAGTACTTCGAGTTTATAGAATACTTCTCATTCGGTATTGATCTTTCTTAAGAATCAGAAACAATTCGTAATTATTCTTAAGATTAAATTGCAAGAGCTTTCGAAAATTTGGAAAATATTTAAAAAATAAAAATTATTTTTTACAACTCGAATTATATAAGTAAAGTTCTCATTGATTTAGTTATTTCTTTAATAAAATCTCTGCATTCCACCACAAATTTATGTTTGGAATTTCAAACATAGAGATACTATACTCTTAACTAATAACAAAATTAATTTTTCCCACAATTTTATTAATCATGCTTTGAATCATTAAGTTAAATATAAAATAGCCTTGAACATATAAGTTTCAGATTTTTACGTCACTAAACTTATATCTAAGAATCAAATTAATTAAATAAAATAAAAAATTTAAAAACTCTTACACTTAATAATTTTGGTTTAGATGATTAGCAAATTTAAAAATTTAAAAAAATAAAAAGACTTGTAAAATTAAATTTCAATTGAGTACAATATTATAAAAAATTTTTTTAAATTGATAAATATTTATTAGATAAATTAAAATATTAATGTGAAAAACTTGGTATTTATTTTTATAATAATAAATTATTAATAAATAAATAAAAAAATAATCCTTAAAAAATTATTTTTTAATCATCTTACAAACAGATATCCTAATTTTAATTTAATCTTAATTATATTTTTATTAATCTTTCCTTACAAAATTAAATGATATAACTTTAACAAATAAAATGTATTAGCTTTATAAACGATTGAGATCAAGTATCTTAATAATGAATTAGATTTTAATTGAACAAAAACTTAAAAATTAGTATATATTTTTTATTTATTTGAATTTTATATCAAAATGAAGTTAAAAAATTTTTTTATTTTCTATTTGCCAAATAATTAGATTATAGAACTATTTCATTTAGAATTTTTTATATTGTTAATTAATTCTTGTATATTTTCATAAATTAATTTATTAAATTTCGTTTAATCTTCTCGCTAACTTTATAAGACTTAAAGAATATCAAGCAAAATTTAGCTATTTAAAGATTAAAGCTTTTTATTTTCAGCATTTTAAAGTTCAATAGCTTCCATTTTTAATAATATTTTTTAAGCTAAATTTTATTTAATTTCTATTTTGTTGTTGTCTTATTTCTAATGACTGTTTCTTATCTAAAGTGGGTTATATTTTTGAATGTTAAGCTCATTAGGTTTACACTTTTGTTCTTCCACTATTTAGCTAGCACCAAATTAAGGGAGTAAATTATTACTTAAAGTTATTTCTTAACTTTTATTTTATTTTTATTAATCTAATTATATTTATTAAATAATAAAATTACTTGAAAAAAATAAAAAATTTTCTAGTTTTACTTTCTTAACTGTTACTTATTTAAGCTTATACTTCTATCAATTAATCTTAATTATTATTTTATTTTTTTACAAAGTCTCTCAAAATAGTTATGTAATCTTTTTTAAATCATTATATTGGTTATTGAATTTTAAAATATTAATTTTACGGTAAATTGGAATTTCAGGACATACTTGCTATTTACTTTCCGGACTATTTATTTACTAAACTTTTTCAAAAAATTTTTTGAAAAACTTTTCACTTTATAATCTGTTCAAATAGTTAGCAAAGTTGTATTTATTCTTTTCATAAATATTTTCAATTACTTATCCTTTCATATAATCACTTGGATTTCTTTGTAGAACGAATTGCTTCAATTGAGAAGCCAAAGATTTAGTATATTTTTTTTGTTCTTTTAAGTATTAATAGAATTCGTTACTTAAATTGTTTTTCTAAAGAAAAGTATTTAGTTAATTTGAGTCATCAATGTTAATGAAAGCCTCAACCTGATTTGGAAGATAATTAACTTTTTTTTAAATCTTTAAAAAACTAAAAAGAACTAATTTTCTATCAAAAGCATCATAATCTTTAAAAGAATTTTAAAATTTTCTAAATCTTTTATTATTTGCAATTAAATTTTCTGTTTTTTGTGCTAGATTCCCATTAGCTTAACCAGTTGAATTATTGCTTGTTTTCTTTTATTTTTGAGTAAATAATATATATTGATTGATACTAATTAATTTTACTTAACTTTCTGGTTAAGCCTTTTATTTTATTTCAAAATTATGAATCTAATTAGAATATTCTTTTCCTATCTATTATCTTTATTTCAGTTATTATTTAATGGCATACTTATAATTTAACAATATAAATTTACCTATGATCTGCTTTAAATTCAGTTAATGGCTATCTCTAAAATATACCTTTTTGCTCTTTATAAGAGGAGAGATCTTTTCTACTATTTTAATCATCTTATTAACTGTATTTTATATGATTTTTGTCTGTTTATAACTTATGATTATCTTATGCGTAGTTCTAAGCACAATCATTTTTTTCATTCTAGTTGGAACTCAAGCTTAAATCATCGATACTAATTATATGATTCCTTCATTTTTTTATTTATAAATCACTTTATACTTAATTTTAATATTAAAATATTACATTAAAGCTTTTGAAGAGAAGTTGTCCATTTTTGAGTTAATTTATATTTTTTTTATCAAAATTAATTTTTTACTTTTTTATGATACAAAAACAAATATAAATAAATAAAAATAATTAAAAGTTAGTTTCTATACGTTTAATATTAATCTTATAATTACAAATTATTATTTTTCATACCTAAAATTTTCTAAATAATAAGATTCATAGAACTAATTTTCATTTATATTTACCGAAATAAATAATTATCCGAGAATAGCTCTTTATCCAAAATGAGTATTTCAAAATCTGTAACTGCATTATATATTTTTTTAGATTATATAAATAAAAAGCAACCATGTATTATTTAAATAAATAATTTTATTCTTAAAAGACTCTAATAAAAGAATAAATATGTAATTACAAATAATCCAATTAAAACTTCTATTTTAATTTTTTTTACTCTATTCTCAATAATATTTTTTAATAAAAGTTTTTTAATTTTAAAAAGATAAAGATTGACCTTTTATTTGATATTTAAAAGAAAACATTTTATTTTAAATTTACTAAATAATTAATAAAACAAACATAGACATGTAATTGAGTATTAATATTTATTTTAAAAGAAAGTTTTTTCCTTATTGTCTTAAAAGAAAGCTTACTTTTTTGTTAATAAAATGTTTTCAGTAGTATAAATCCCAATGATTATAAATTGGATTTACAAGCTAAGGATATAAATTTGGAGCAATATGTTTAAAATATGTTTTAAGAAAAAGTGTATTCATATGTATAAGTAACTTAATCTAAGCAATTCTTTCATATATAACTTAAATATGTTTCAATCCGTATCTATTTATTTTAATATTCAATTTATTTAAATCAAAAAATAATATATATCTAATTTACCCTGTTTAAATTTCAAATTCATCCAAATAAACTAAAAATAAAAACTGTTTTGCAAGGACTATCCACTAATTATATTGAATCCCAGATTAACTGTTAGGATAAAAAAGCTTAGGATAAGCATATTAAAAAAGTAAATAATTATACGCAATGTAAAGCCTTAGCACTTTAATTTTTTTGAATTAAAATAGACTTTATATGATGTACTATGCTGAATGATAACCTAATTACTAATTCCAACTTTTAAGTAATTTATTTATGACAGAGTTATTTTTAGTTAAAAATCTTACTTTAAATTTAAATTAAATTCTTCTATTTTGCTTAAATTCTAGAAAGCATCCATAAAAACAGTTATCCCGCTATAAGTTATATTATTTCTGCTGTTATAAAATATTTTTCTTTAATTCATTTAGTTTGGAAAAACTATTACCTAATATCTAATTTTATCTATTCAAGGTTGAGTAATTGAGAAACCCCTTAGGAAATGCTAATAATATAATAATCATCTATTTCTTTGCATCTAAAAAGTAAATACTTTATTTAAAGTAGAAAAAAAATAAAAAGTTTTACGGTAAATTAATTTCTAAATATTTTAATTAGCTCAATTTTGAAAAGAAAGTTTAGAAGTTTGGTATTGGCTACTATGAGAGATTATTTGAACCATTACTTTTTAATATGAATGAAAATTAAGTTTTTTGAATAATATAAAATATATTAATTAACCTTATTTATAAAGTAAATATATAAAGTCCATGCTAATTTAGAGCTTCAAATTACTAAAGAGCTTCTTAGAGGTTAAATTATTATGTACTCTAACTAATAAATTAATTAGCTATTTCTAATATATCTTATTTATATATATCAAATTGAAATATACTATAGAAAGAGTTCCAATTCGAATAAATTTTTTTGTTTTTAAATTCCTTTAACTATTGATTTGAACTGATTCTCAGTCACTTTATTTATGCTTAGTATTTTATAAAACTTGTTAGTTCATTATTTTACCATCATTTTGAAATTAATTACTCTATATTTGCTTATATTTTTTTCAGCATCTTTTAAAGATTTAAATGGTTGATTGCTTCGTCTACTAAAGCACTTAATTCGCATTTTCTATTTAGTAAGTTTAAAACTAAAATAAAATTAATTTAATCAACTAAATATACCTTAAATTTATAGAAAATATTTGCTCCTCTTCATTTAACTGATAGTAGCCTTAATTTTTTTTCTTTTGCAAAATATTACAAGCAATTAATTTATTATTTTGGTTATTATGGGTTTAATCTGTTATTGTTTGATCATTGTCAATTACCTTTTCAGATTTCTTCTTGATAATTGCTTCAATGCACTTCATATATTTTTAGGATTATAGCTTTTTAAATTGAATTTAAATGGCTATGTAGGGATTTGTTTAATTTAAATTCTACTTTTACAATTAATATTAGTATTAAGTAGCAATTAGATATAATATAGATTTTTTTTGCAAAAAATAAATTAAATCTTTTAAAAACTAATTTGTTTAATTTTTGTGTAATTATGAGAAAAAAATGTTAATTTGATTAACTTAAGACATAGATAAACCTCAAAATTTGAATATAATATAAATAAACAGAACAATAACCATTAAAACTATGGTCATATAAAAAAATGGTTGAGTATTTATTAATTTGATTTTATATTTTGACTTTTTTTCAGATTCAACTTAACTATAATTTTTAATTTTTATATATTTTTCTTTTTATATTTCAAGATTTTGTTATTTCTTTATAAAATCTTTATGTAGATCTTTGATTTCTTCATACAGTTTTCTATCTTTTATCATTTATTCGAGTATCTATTAGCTATCACCATCAAGACTTTTAAAAATAGTGAAAAATTTGTGTTTAAAATTATTAAATTCATTTTATATTTTACCTAATATTATCAATATTTTCTGAAATAAGTTTTCTCTGTATATGATTTCCAACAAGAGATAACATATACTCTTCGGATTAAGTCACAATACTATTATTTTTGCTTTCGAAAATGTTTTACATGTTGATAAAAAAAGTTATCAAATTAAAATTATATGTTTTTTATTTTTTTTCAAATAAAATTTCTACTTAAAATATGAATTAGCTTAAAATGTGACTGAATTTCAGTGAAATATTTTATTTTTAAGAAGTATATTTGAAATATAAGAATGAGTTTACAAATACTCAAATACTTTTGAAAGTTTAATAAAAGAAAAATCAAAGTAATTTAAAAAATTAATTTTCAAATAAAAAATGCCAGTAAGTAAGTATTTAAAAAACTATTAGTATTTTTAATTTTTTGCTTGAAATTCTTTTTAAATGGTAAATAAAGAATAATATAAAAATATGCAAAATAAATCAATTTCTAATGATCAAAAATTTTTGATAAAAAAAAATAAATTTAATCATTGAGTGAGTATAAGCAATTTATTTCTAGAACTAATCATGACATAAAAAATATATTTAATCCGCTATTTTTTACGTTCAATTTACATTTAAACATATTAGAAAAAAAGGAGAAGGTTTAATACATCATAAAAGCTATATGTTTATTCGGTAAATTGTAAAGAAGATTGTAAATAAAATTTAAAAAAATAAAAGTAATATAATTTGCTATTAATTTTTTTAAAAAATTATATTTTTTATACATAAAATTTTTTATTGAAACCAGCATCAGATTTTTAATTAAAACCTATATAGATAAATTATATTTATATATTTCTAATAATTACAATTATTCTTGAAATTCTTTAATATATTAAAATATTTTTATTTGTAAGAATATCTGGCATTTCGTAATAAATATTTCATTTAAATAAAAGGCATTCAAAAAATATTTGTTTATTGTTCAAAATTAAGTACTGCATCATTGAATAATTTATGATTGACTATTAAAATTTAATTAATGTATTCACCTATGTAAATTAAAAGTTTAAATGAAAATTTGCATTAAAAGTGTGACTAAATTAATAGATCACTTATCAATGATTAATTTTGTTTTTTACTCAAGAATAACAAAATAGAACAAGTCTGGAATAATTTGAGGCATAGACGAGTACCAAAATAGTTCAATAAAGTGATATTTCATAAGAAATATCAAAATTTATTTTCAAACAAAAGCTAGAAGAAAAAGATATTTACTTAATTATATAGATTAAGGACCAAAACTTTCATTATTTATTTTTAGAAAAAATAAACACCAGTTTAAAAAAAATTGCTAAATCTGTAAATATCACATCTATTTTATTAGATCTACCTTCACTAACCCATAAACTTACTTTGAAAACTTTATACTACCCTCTAATTGTTATCGAAATTAATGTCAGCATTAAAATTTTATCTCCTACATACTGAAGATAAATCAAAGTGGTACAATTATGTTGTTTAATAATTGACAGAAAAAAAAATTTATTTCTAAGAATCTAACTAAATTAAGGAGACTCTGAAGCTCTACAAAGAGGATGAAGACAATTCCTTTATATTTATTGACATATTTAGTACTTTTTCTTCTTTTGAACTAGAGGAGCTTAGAGGAACAAAATCATATTGTGTGATTTAATGCAAATTTGAATTATAAAAAACAAAAGAAAGAATAACTGGATAAAAAATTAAAGAAATCTCAGTTAAAGGTTAAAGCATTCTAAAATGCATATCTATTTTTTCATTTATTTCTAATTATGATCCAATAATTGAGATTAAAAGTATAGCTTCAAATCATATCAATGCTCGTCTTGCCAGTAGTGAGTCATATGTTCACTTTGAAATAGTAGAACCATCTTTATTTTAAGGGTATCGCTATTGTGTTGATACTGACTCAGAGAGCTTGTGCTTTATGATTTTCAATGATAATCCTGTTGTAAAGCATGTAACAGAAGAAATAAGCTAATTTATTAATGATAAACTTAATTTAAGAGATAATACTTAGGAAAATGAATATTTTGAAAAATTGATTTATTTGAAAAAAATGGGAGAACTCTGCAAAGAAGCTATGGAAAATAAAAGTAGCTTACATTTAAAGCCTATTTTTATAACTAAACAAATTGAGTAATAGCACAAAGAGAAGTACATCATGCTTAAGTAAGAATTAGCAGCAGAAGCAGTTTCTATATAACCCACAATTGTAGATAATTGCATCGCTGATTCGAAAATAGCACCTCCTATTTAAACTGTGAATATAGATACAAAATTCGATTAATTATTTGGGTAAAAAGTATAATTTTGCACAACTGGAACAGCTGCAATTAATTAAGAAGCCTTATTTGACCCACTTAAAAAACTTAAAAATTCTTACTTTTCATCTTTTTATACATCAAATGCGAATAAAGGAAGAGTTATCTATAACTAAAATAAATCTGAAGGAGTACACTTCTATTCTGATATCTAAGAATTAGTAAACCGCTTTGACGGTATTGCTTATATCCCTTCTTTGCCTGGAAAAAGGAAAGAATAAGAAATGCTTAGTTTTATATAAGCAGAACACTCTAAGAACTATGTGCTAGCTGAGAAACCTGCTTTTGCTAATTATGATTGTGCTTAAAAGTTTTTAAAGCTTTCTTAGTAAATTAAGTAACAAAACTAATAATCAGAGTAACAAAGAGCAGATAGAATATTTTTTGGCTGGCATTATATTCACCATCCTGCTATTTAAGATGTAGTAAAAAGAGTACAGGATGGCGAGTTTGGCCTTATTAAAAAAATATAAGCTCATTTTGTAAGACCAAAGCCATTCTCTACAAACGGTAGAATATTTGATCCTAATTAAGGTGGCTGTGGTCTTGATAGGTTTTGTTACCCCCTTCATCTAGCATTGACGCTCTCAAAATATTAAGTTAAAAACAATAAAGCTTCATCTGAGGCATCATCGCAAATAGATTGCTTAAATGATAAATAGTAATTTTAAGTTATAAGTTCTACTCATCTCAGCTACAACGACATTTACGATTAGAACAACCCAGTTTTTGATTAAATTGAGGGTAGATTAGAAAGTAAGCTAATTTTAAACTCATCTATAGATGTGGAACTTTATTCAAGTATGGAAACAAATGAAACATTTTATTCAGAAGCACTTATCGGATTTGAAAACGAAACATAAATAAAATTAACTTGGTTTATTCATCCCCATGTTCAAATTAAAGATTTTAAGCTTTATTGCGCATCAATAAAATATCCTAACAAGAAAGCATTTTAACCTTTAACTCATATGACAAGCTTTGATAAAAATTTAACTTCTTATGACTATTAAATTTAATATATGGTTAAATTAAAAAGTGGATTAACTAATTATGACACTTCATTAGACAGATTTAATTTGTGTACAGAAAGCAATGCTTATCTCCATCTTGTTTTAGACTAAATATTTATTTCTTCTGGTTTAAAAGTAAAATAAGGGTTATGAAAGTAAATTTAAAAATAATCATAAACTCATTAATATTTTAATAATTTGTATTAAAATTAAACTTTGTACATAATAAAATTTTATTAAATAAATTATATAAGTAAAAATTTATATAAACAAAACCTAATTTGTTATAATAAAAAAAAAAAACATTATTTGTTATTATTAACTGCTTTTAAAAAACATTTGCTAACTCATTTTTAATAAATTAAAACTTTTTAATATATTGATATAATACTTAAATATATTATTTTAGTAAAAAAATTTTATTTTTTAAATTTATTTGGATTTTAAATAATATTTATTAATTTTTTAATATTTAGTAGTTACTTAATAATACTTATTTCAATTTATTTTAAATAGAATTTTATTTTAATAAAAAATTCATATATTTTTATACTAGATTTTCAAATCAACATCATTTATTGTCCTAAATTTTTTTTATTGAAGTTCACTTTATATGCTTTTAGCTAGAATTTAGTCATAAAATATAGAACAAGGTTAAAATTGTTAAAAAAATAAGTTTTTTTCTTTTGATGTTAATAAAAAAAACTTAAACTAAAGTTTGACAAAAGTAGATATAAATTTTAAGAAAACATATTTTTTTATAAATCTTTCAATTGATTAAAATTAATAGATAATATCTTTATTTTATATTGCTTTTGAATGATTATTAAAAAATTATAAAATATATTAATTTAAGCAGAAATCTTACTTATCATCAAAAATATAGAAGATGTAATTAATATAAAACAAATTTAATGTAACATTAATACTATTTTTTAATTAATCATTTTAATGAAAAAATCATTTAAAAATATTACTTTAATTATAAGTTTATTTCTTTTTGTAGATCAATATTTTCAATAGCTTACTCTTTGAAATATTTATCTATTCCCTATTTAAATGTTTCTAACCAGAGACTATCTAACCTAAACCATATTTTTATTGCTTGTAAATCCCATATAGGTAAGTAAATAGGCATAATATCATCTGTTAACTAACCAAACGAATCAAATAATAAACTAATTTTAATTTGAAAAATCTTAAATAATATCAATAAAAATGAATTTTTACATTTTGACTACTTGCTGCAGAGTCTCTTTTTCTATAGTTTGAGATACCTAAAGCTATTCTTCAAATAGTTCTAAAATAAATTCCTTTATTTGATTAATAGAATCATTTGGAAGTTTTTTAGCTAGGGGTATTTTTATATTCTCTATATACTGCAAGATTAAAATCTTTTTTTTGATTTCTAAAACGAAATACATATCAAATTCATAAAATTTAAGTATGTCAATGATTTGAGATACGAAAATTTCAAAAAATTCAATGCTTATTATTTATTTTTACTATCTAAATGGTTTTAAGACTGAAAAAAATTCTCTGTTTTGTAGAGGAAGTGCTAAAAATTTGAAGGTTTCAGTCACGAAAGAATAGATAGTATCTAGTTTGACTTTATTGGTAATACATAAATGATAAATATAGTTATTTCTTTTGAGACTTGCATATAAATCTTCAATTATTTCTTTTTATATTTGAGTAGAGTTGATAATTTTTTGGTAAAAAGGAGGTGTCTATAATATAAAAAATCTGAAACTTTCTAACCTAAATAATGCTAATTAAATATTGAATTCGCTCCATTTATTTAATCTAAATTATTTTTCTATAATAAACTTTATTCTAAAAAAATCTAAGTATTGAAATTCAAGTGGCTAAACATTTTCTAATAAGAGTTTTTGCTAATAAATGGTTGGATCTATTAGAATAAATTTTAGGAAATTTACTATTCCTTTTATAACCTTTTCATTTAATTTTATGCCTTTTGCAAATAAGACTTCACTGATTATTTCATCCTTTTGTTCAATAAAATCTTTAACATTATTCACTATATCAACAACAACCTCTTCACCCCCAATCTCTTCTAAAAGAGTAACATTTAGCTAATTATAAAAAAAAATAATCAATATTTACAAAAAAATTTGTAAAATTAAAATTTCAACTATTCTTTAAAATGAGATAATTTAGTGACTAATTTAAAATATGTCATCCTCTTGTTTACAATATTATAATTTATTTAAGCGGCATTAAATATCTTTTCTCTTGTGATATTTATGGTTTTGATTAATTCAAGCAAGTTTTTAAAAAAGAATTCAATTAAATAAAATTAAAAAGATCAAAAAATTAGTAATAATAAAAAGCGATTTCTAATCATAAAATTTTTATGTGAAATGGCAATAGCTAATTAAATGCTCATTTTTGGACATTTTATATAATATTAAAGCTCTGGGTATTCAATTTATAGTTTATAGTTATTTTAACAAATCTAATCATTTAAATATATTAAATCTTTTTCTAAGTATGAGTTGTATTATTTGGGTTTATCTCTAAATAAAGCCATAATAAAAGTGTGAAAATACGAATTATATTTATTTATTTATTTAGTTGCTTTCGTTTTATAGTTATTGTTTTAGAATCTTATTGTTTACCTACCTATTTCAAATACTTGATTAAAATATCAGTAATTGTTTCTAAAAATATTAATAGTTTATAGCTCACATTTCAAAGAGATAATTAGACTTATTAAATAAAAAGTATGAATAGAAAATATGCTTATTATTTTCACAATATTTTATTGCAAACATTATTAATGTATTTTCTTACAATTGCAACTTTGTTTTATTATAAATCTTTATTAAAATATACTTTGAAATTCATCAATAGCAAAAGGAAATAATTGATAATTGACTAGTAAAAAAATTTTAGAGACATTAATTTTGAAAAAAATTTAAAAATGCTAAGGAAAATCAAGGTAATTGACTTTTATATGCCCAAAAATTGTATCTAAAGTTTTGTAAACTTTTTATGAAAAAATAAAAAATTTAAAGAAGAGAACACAGCCAATATTTAATCTAACTAAACAATCAGTTACCATAAATTTTTGTGGGTTTTCTAATTTATTTAAACATTTTTGAATGAGTTTTTAAGGTAAGTTTGTGAGTTCTTCAAAGCATTACTTCATAACTTCAAAGATGTTTATATAGTGAAATTAGCCTAATCCAATATTTTTAAAGTGAATTCTAATGTCAGAAGAAGAGTATTTCTATTTTACCACTTTATCTCTGTCAAAAATAATTAAAAGAAGACATTTTAACATATCATAATTCAGTTTTAGATGTTATTTTAACTCATAAATATTTTTAAATTTGGTAATTATTTTATCTAGAGCTTCTTCCCCTCCAATCTATTCTAGCAAAGAAGGTTGAGCTTGGATTCCACTCTATTCTATTGAAGGATAAGATCCATATTATTTGGATTACTCGTATTTTGGAAGAGTTTGAAGCCTTTTTACAGATTATTTTGTGTCTTCATCAATATCATTTAGGCTTGTCACGTACTGGGCTTTATTCTTTTTTTGAGTTATATTTTTCTCAATGAAAGAAATTTTATTTAAGGAAGATTAAGACGAGTTATGATAATTCAAGAAGAGATTTTATTAACTATCTTTGATATATTGTACTGATCTCTCAGTAATCAATTCTTGGCTTTAGTTAATTGAATTATTGTGGTTATTTTTTTTTTAAATATCTTTTTGAATATCATTCTTCATATATTTTAATTAATTAATTGTCTTTTCTTAAGCCGAAGGATGGAACCTAAAATATTCCACATTTATATCCTTTTTTTAATGTATTAAAAACCTTTCATTTTATAAAATAGGTATGGTCACTTGATCAAGTGAAGATCTCATATAATGTTAGGGCTGGTTTTATTTTAAATCATGGTCTAAGCTCATACGAGGTACACTAGCTTATCTAATTACTCTATTCCTCAACTCTTAATTTTGTTAATATTTTTATTAGCATGACTGCTGCTCTTGAAGGTATTTTTTAAAAAAATATTATTGATAAAAATTTTTTTAAGTATTTCTATAAGCAGCTTGACATATATTGCTTTCATTGATTGAGCTACGCTCCGTCTTTGGGCTTTCATTTTTGAACAGATAGTTTAATTTATTTTCTTGCAAGGCTTTGAAGCGCAATTTAAGAGTATCATGCTTACTTAAAACATTTTAAGAACTCAAATTATTTTATTAATTCAGCTTAGGAAGCATATACTCAGAAAAGTCAATTTAAATGTTAGTTTTTGATTATAATCTGTCATTTTAAGTAGTCGTAGTATTAATAGTTAATTCCTATTGCGAATCAATAGTAATTTATTTGTTAGCTCTACTATTTTCTCTTAGTTTTCTATTCATAAATGTTAATAGCTTTTTATTTTAATATATATTCTTATCAATCAATAGCAAGCTTGAGAATAGGAAGTCTTCAAATAGTAATTATATAGTTAGCATATAAGCAAAAAGACAAACAAACTAAGCAAATAATCATTTAGGATTTTTATAAATTTTTAGCAATAAATTTGAGAAATATTATAATTATCTATTTATAATGTTTTTTTTTATATTAGCAAATAGTTTAACATAATAATATTTTATAAAAGCAAAGTAAATTTTTGTAAGTTGAGAAAAAAAAGTTATCCATTTCTATTTTTTTAATGATATTAGTATTACAATTCTTTTTCAAAATGTTTTTAACAATACATGTTACCTGTTATCATAAAAATAAAGTTGAAATTTTATTCTAATAGTTCATTTTTATATTTATGTTTGCACGTAATAATCTAATCTTAAATATTTATTTATTTACTTATTCTTAAAAAGAAAAAATTTTAAATCGTTTCAAAAACATTTTCCTTATTCTTGATTTCTAACTAAAATAACAGAATTAAAAAATAACTATTATTCAGTCTGTTTCCAAATAGTTATCAAACATAAAATATATGGATCTCTTAATACATTGAATACTCGCATCCACTTTTTTTTTTATATAAAATTTTACATTTATTTGAAATACTCAAAATATAAAAAATAATTATAGGTTTTCAATTGGTATTTCCTCTCATTTCATTAAATTAGGAGTATAATATAATAAAACAGGACAGGTTTTTTATTTATTTATTATTCTCGCATTTTACCAATTTCTAATTATGGTCTAGTATTTTGAGATAAATACAGTCAGCTGAAAGCGGTATAACTTTTATGGAAATATATAAGCTCGAAAGACTACGCCCAATGGCTAGCTTAAAGATACAATCAGTTATTTTATTTAATATATATTAGTTTATAAAAAATTAGTACATATTTTGTGGTATATTATAATATTTGTCATTTTTACATTTACTTTAGTTATTATTTTCTTATTATTCATAGAATTCATATAGATATGCTAGTTATTTCTTTACTTTTTATCATGAAGCTACTCTTAAGAAAAATGTTTGATCATTCTTATGTTTGCTCAAATCTAAAATATAGAAATTTTGGAAAAATAAACTTTCGTCATTGTTGGGTTCATATAAACATATTTTTTTTAAATAAAGCTGCTTATTATTTAAGCTGCACATCTAAGACAATTAATTTGTTCAATAATTTATGAGTGGTTAATAATTTAAAAAATATATTCAAAAATTAAAATATTATAAATATCTAACTATAATATCAAAAAGACATATATTAATTGATAATTTGAGTTACATTTCAAGGATAAAATATTTTTTATTTAATTATTTTTTATGTTATAAAGCTTTTTTTATTATTATTTTTTATTGATTATGAACAATTTATTTCTTATTCCTAAATCAAATTTCTCTTTTTATTTTTTAATATTGAAAATAAACTTAGTTTTTTTATAAAACCAGCTTGTTAGAAGTTAGCTAGCTAGCTAACTAGCTGGTGAATTGTCATAGGAAATTCATTTTCGGTAGGTTCTTATTTCTTTTAAAATTTTATCGTTATGTTAGTATTAAATTAATCTCTCAACCAGCTCAATAATCAACTCCCTATCCTAGACCTTAGAGTTGTTTAGCCATTTCATAGATTCGTTTTCTAGATAATAATAGAATATTTGTCTCAAGTGTATACTTTTTAGTAGGCTTTTGAGCTTCATATTCCATCTCGTATTTTTATCTTTAATTCTTTTTGTTACTATCTTCTTCAAATTTGTGTAGTTTATCCCTTAGCTTTAGTATAACTAACAGTACCTGTTCATAAGAAACTCATCTTATGTTTCAGTAATATGGTTTTTGAAGCTGTTTAGCAAATTTTTTATCTAGTTTTATCGTTATGAGAAGTAATTCTATTAGCATGGGATATCCAAAATTGTCAATTAAGAATTGTTATCGCAGTTATAAGTGGTTTCTGACATTGTTGAATATGAGCTATTTTATTAAGGAAATTTTTAGCCCTAGACCAGATATTACTCATAATATTCCAGAAAAAGCTAGATTAGATTATTATGATTTTACTAAAATGTGTTAGAGTTGATCTCAACTTACTTCATTTTATTTTATAGTGAATTTTTATTTTTGTTATTATTATTTATTATATTTTTAAAAAATTTTAGGCATTGATAAGCTAAACAATATAATTAATTAATGGTAAAATAGTACTGATTTTACATTCCAACTTATTTTTTTTTCTATTTGGTTTGTCTCAAATTAATAATACTAAGTAAGTATTCTTGATTAAAGTAATTGTGTATGAGCAACGTAATCATTTGAGAGGCATTTCTTTTTGCTTTTCATAAATTATGTATGCATAATTAAGTAAAATTTTTCTATTAAAGAAAGCTCATATACTTATACTAAACATATTTTTCAACTTTTTTGTTCATACTTTTCTTTTTTTTACATGAATTTTATCATTTCAATTAAGAAGCAACATTTTTATTTTAAAACCATGAATAAAAAAATTTGAAAAATAACCCATAATTATTTTTAGTTGCACAAAATGAGCAAAATTAAATAAAAATATGAAACTTTGATAGATTGATGATTTAAAAAATCCCTAATTCAATAAAATTTATTAAAATATTTATTGTTAGTTGAAATAACTTTTTCCAAATTTTTAAAGGCAAGCTTTTATAATTGTAAAAAGGTTTATTTTATTAACAAAAAATAACAATAATTAATTAATTCATATTAAATAGATAATATAAATTGGAGAAAACTAAATTTTTTCTCTTATCAAAAATGAATTTTAAAATTTTCATGTAGAGTAAACAACAAATTTATTTTGTTTTTCCCCAGCCTTAAATAAATTTTTAGAAAAATTAATTAGAAATATTATAAAATTGTACTAATATCAATATACAAAAGATAGGTATTTTACATTGTGTATTCAAAAATGCACTCTTTGAATCTTGAAACACAACTTTATATCTATCCAATTTATTTAAAAAATATTAATTAAATTGGTATAAAAGAGGTATTTTTTAAGGAAAATCAAAAGGTTTCCTTTATAATCTTGCATTTTTATGATTTTTTTCTCCTTGCTTTAATTCAAAAATTTATTTTAAGTATACAAAAATGTCTTTATTCAACTGAAAAATATTGTTGTTTTTAATTTAGCTTATTTCAAGCTTATGTTATTAAAAGTGAAAAATAATAAAAGCTAATAACATAAAAAAAATAGCAAATTATATAACATTTTCTTTTTAAAAATACATAAAATTTATATTAGAATTACTGAAGAATGATTTATCAATTGTTAAGAAGTATTTATCTTTACGGTGGTAATATTATTCCATGAATTCATTATTTATTATCAAATATTTTGTTTGGTCTTATTTACAATATCTTCAACCTCAAAATTTCTATAAATTTATAAAATTAAAGTGATTATTTACTAATGTTTAAAAATATTTAAAATCTAAATTTGAATAAAATATTTGATATAAAATTTATGAAACGAATTATTTAAATATTTTTCAATGACTTAAAACTATATAAAAATATTTAATGAGTCAGTAAAAACAGATGCTAAAAATAATAATTTTTCACATAACTGTATTCATGCTTATTAAAATAAATTAACTTGTTAATCTCTTTTTAAATTTCTATTTCATTATTACTAATAGAATTTCACTATCCTAAAATTTGATTTAAAAAATAAAGTAAAATAGATATATTGGCTAGATTAATGGCTTACACAATTAATTTTTTATTTAATATAAAAAAAATTTAAAATAGCTTATTAAAATTTATTCCCTCCATAGTTTTTGTATGATGTTATCTCACTTTTATATTTTTATGATTAGTTATTTATTCTAGCTTTAACGCATTTTTTTTATATAATTATAAATTTAATGTACTTGCTTCTTATTTTCAAGTATGTATTGAATTTTGCTTCAAGAATTAGTAGCATATAAATAATAGTTAGTAGAATTGATAATATTCTTCTCTTAGAAGCATATTTAAGTTTCAAAGCTCAATTATCTTTATATATCTTTAATTTTTATTTTTTTCTATCAAAAGCTGAATTTAAAATGAAATTTTTTTTTTTTAATTTTGCTTAGAAATTTTAATACTGTTCCTTTTGCCAAAAAATAGTTAAAATAAATTTAAGTTAAATTAAATGTTAAAAAATGAACTAATAAATATTTGAGAAATATTGAAGAAGAATAAAATTTAATAAACTAAGCAAATCTTTTAAAATATAATTTAAATTTATTTTCTGCTTCTTATTGTAAATGACAATTTAGATTTAAAATAAAAAAATTAATCAAAATTTTGTCAATTTATTTTAATAAATATAAAAAGATTAAACAAGGAGCATGCCCACCACTTTTACGTTTTCAACTAGCTATTTTGCTTAGGCTTTTATAGTATAGTTAACTTGCTTAGACAATCTACCTTATCCACTATTTTTAGAAAAAAATGGTTAAAAAAATAAATAATTTTTTTTTGAAAAAGCATATGATTTCATGGTTCTCTTTATTGTTAAAAACCAAATAAGTTAATCCAATCAAGATAATATTTACAATTTTAAACTCATAATTATTATAAATAAAATCATTATTTAAATATTTTATCAAGGAATTTTTAATAAAATTTTTATATTTTTTTGTGAAAATATATTCACATTAGATTTTTATTATTGTTTTATTTTTTACCTAAAATCTCGAAATAGATAATTTAATTTATTACTTAAACCATTTATTTCTTCTTTTTTTTAAAAGAAAATTCTTAGCAAATACAAATAATTTTTTTTATTAGTAAAATTTTGAATTGACTTATTATAATGATTAATAAGAATAGTTGAAATTTAAATTATAGTCATGTTAAAAAAAGAGAATAATTATTTTTAATTGATAATTTATTAGGTTTATCAAATTTTTAATTAATTATAAAAATTGTTAAAAAAACAAAAATAAATTTCTTAAATATTTAATATTTGATTTATGATTTGCTATTAGAGTAGTAAATAATTTTTTTAGTTTGATTTTAGCAATAATTTTTATTTTTCTTTGATTTGTAATTAATTAATTTTTTTATTATTTAATTGCTTTTTATGAATTTCTTCAAATTTTTCTTATTATTCTTTTATTAAATTCTTTTATTAATTTTAATTTTATTTTAATTTTTTTATTTTTTCTTTTTTATGTTTCTCTTCTGCTCCTTTTACCTTATTTAAAAAATATTTTTTTATATATTTAATAAAAATTGGGTTAAAGAATACTTATATTAATATCAATTACAATTAAAGGATAAAAAAATAACGGGTAATATTGGTTTTATTTATAAACTTATCAGAAAATAATCATCCAATATTTTCTATGTGATAAGTATTATTGTGCATTAAAAACTTAAATTTTATTATAATTGATATTAACTTTTTCGTATTCGTGAAGAGAATTCGAGGATAAAAATATTGTTGCTAATTATATTTTCTAACTATTTATTTATTTAAAAACTTAGTGGAAAGGTCCCTCTTATTGCAGTTTTTGTTAATAGTCTCTAGACTATATTAAGATACTATGACTGCAAAATCACATAATATCTTTTTTTTATATGCGGCGAAATGCATATTTAAAAACTTTTTCTTTAGTTAAACTAAAGAACCTGCTAGGATTTTACTTAATTAGCAGTAACTAAGCTTAAATAGCTAGATTATAATATAGCAAAATTCTCATTTTTTAGAGCTCAAGTTTTATTTCAAACGAGCTTCTAAATGTTTATTTCAAATTTATTTTTACTTTATTTTTTTCAATTAATTAATTTTTTCTTCTTTTTATATTTGCCTTCGATGTGTATTCAAAATTTAAATTTTTCATATCAAATATTTAAAATTTTATTAATAATAAGATAGATTGAAAAATAAATGAATTAATAAATAAACTTCAAACAAGTGATATATACACATACATACATACATATTTGAGAATTAAAACACCTATCTAAAAACACTATCTGATTATAAATTTATGAAAATATAAAATATTTAAAGATAGATATCTATGAATTTTGATTCAAAATAAAAATAATTTTTAACAAACAAATTATAGATTTTAAATACATAAAATATATCTTATGTTATTCTAAATATCTAACTTGTTACCTAACAAAAAATATTTTATTTAAAAAATTAATTTCTTCAAATATAAAAATATATTTATGCCAAGAATTATATTTTGAAGGCTAGTATCTTTATATATTTAATATAACTTTTATAAAAAATAAATCAAGCATTAGAATCTGGGCTTCTGCTGAGGTTTGATACAAGAGTATCATTATTTGTTAAACCTGCTTATTAAGTCGTGTCATAATTATTGATAGAAATTATTTGATTATCAGGGAAACCTTATTCTTAAGAATTTTCTTCAACAGATTTAATAGGACTCTAGTATCTGGACTTTTATATTTGCTATAGCTAATTCAATGCAAATGCCAGCTATTAAGAAGTCTCTAATAATTTCTTTTGTAAATTTTAATTGCTTTCTTTTCTTAGAGTTAAATTTTGTTATATATTCTTCATTTCTTCGGCAGTAAGAGTTGATTCATTTTTTATCTATGAAATTTATAGTTAGCATTCATTCATTTTGGTTTTAAGATCACTTTTTTCTTCTTTTATAGAGTCAAGTTCTTCTTCAATAATAGATTTTTCTATTCTATAAAAAATATAAATAAAAAAGTAGTAATTTATTTTGCTGTTATTACAAGTTAGAGTTTAAGGCGTCCTGTAAATTCATCATCTTTCTCTTGTATTCTTAAATCTCTTAATCTTTCTAGGTGTTTACAGATTTTAATTATTCTATTTAATTCATATATTACTTCACCAAGGCATCTAATTATGAGTTTTGTATTTCATATTCTTTTAGCTTGTGTTTTATTAGTTCCTGTTCTGTTAATCTAAGATTCTCGTCAGCCTGTTCTTTGTCTTTAAGAAACTCGTAAGTGCTTTTAATGAATTAAAATCCTTCTGATAAATTAGCAATATTTTGATGCTTTTCTAAGTCCTAAGATTTTCTAAGGAGAAAGATGTATTCTTTTTCCTTTGTTTAAATGAAATAAAAAAATTTATGAAATTCTTTTAAGGATGATTAGATTAATTTACCTTTTGTTCATACTAATTTTGTAAATCTTTGTAAGAGTTTTCTGTGAATTACAATTTATCTTCAAGTATTTTAATTTTTTAATTTGTTTCTATTCCATTAGACTCATGTTCACTTATTTTAGTGTTCAAGGTTACCCTTTCTCTTTCTAATTCTTTTATTTTCTCTTCAAATACTGAGAGTTGTTTTTCTAAATTAGAATGGAAATCATATGAAATTGAGAGTTTAGATATAAGCTATTATTATTGCTATTACTCACTTTTATATTCATTTATTTATGTTGTATAGTTAATTACTTTTTCTTACAAAGTTTCTTCACATAGCTTTGACTCATTTAGGTGCTTTGCTATATTAGAGATTTGTGAAGATAAATCAGAAATGTTTACTTTTAAATTGCTTATTTCTGAATTTTTCATTTAAATTTGTTGTTCATTTTCTTTTGCTTCTTCATTAAGCTATGAAACTTCTTTTTTGTAAAACTTTATCCTATCATCTAAAGAATTAATTTTCATGTTTTTTTCCTCTATTTTTTTTAAATATTCTTTTTCTAATTGAGCATTAAGAGCTTATAGGTATTATATTTCTTTTTAGTGACTTTCTTTAAGATTGCTAATTTCAAGATTTTAATCATTAGCAACTTATTTCATAACTCCTTGCAGCTGGTCTATTGATTATGATAGCTCTTATATAATTATTTCTTTTTATCTTAAATCCTCTTCAGCACTCTTAAGGGCTTCTGATAGTTTATCGATACGAGAAGATGCTTCATTTGCCTAAATTTCATCTTAACTAATTAAGAGTTTTTTATCTGTAAGCTCTTAATCTAAATTTACTATTTTTAACTCTAATTCTTTTTTTTACTACTTTTGTTGTTAAATTTATTCTGCCTAGAATTAAATCTATTCTTAAAGTAGTTCTGTTTCTTTCTTTTACTATGCTATTTGCTATTGAAGTAATTCATTCTACTTCGTGGTAGCTTCTAACGAACTACTTACCTAATTTAATTTTTCTGAAATTTGAATAAGCTGTTACTCATTTTATCTAATACAGCTTATTTTTTCATCATTAATTTTGGCTTTTTCTAATATTATTTCATTTTTTTCTGATAAAGATTCGTTTAGCTTTTGTATTTCATTCTATTTTTCCTAAAGGTTTTTTTCAATTGTCTGTAACTAAATATTTAGATTTTCATTCTTTTCAACAACTATAATTTATTATTTTTTGAATTAGTCAAATTCTTTCACTATTTTTTCTAGGTTATTAATTTTATCTAGCTATTCTGATAATTTGCTTTTGAGACCATCAATCTATAATAATCTTTATTAGTTTGCATGTTGTTCACTGTCCTTCTATTGAAGTATATTTGATAACTTATCATTTTCATTCATCATTATTTTAAGTTTTTCTAATATATCATCTTTATCTTTTTTAAGCTAGGCTATCTAGATGTTGAGTTCTCTAATTTCCTTTGATTTTTTATCAGACTCATAAAGCACATTTTTATATTCTTCTGCTTTAAGGTCATAGTTATCTTGTAGATTGTTCAGCTATTCTGTATACAACTAAATTTACTTATTTAATTACTCTATGTGATTTTTAAGTTCCTTTTAGCATTCTTATTCGTTTTAAGAAACATTAAATGCTTTTATTTACTATTCTTCTTGAATTTGCTTAATATATTTTCTTAATTCATTATTTTCTTCTTGTAATTTAAGCTTTTCGTTCATCTAATTGCTTTGAAGCTGCTAGATACTTAAGTCTTTTTGCTAGAATTTAATTTGCTACTCATTCATCTTTGCTGTTTACTCTTAAAATGTATTTTCATACTTTTTGATTTCCTTTTCCAATTCCTTAATTCTTTTTTTATACTTTTCCTCATTTTCTATGTAAATATTGATTAGTTTTTCAGAATTGGCTTCAGACCTATCTTAAATAGTTTCTTAATATGTCTTTATTGTTGCTTCTTTTTCTAATAAATTTATTTCTAATTCAGAAAACTATTTTCTTACATATAAATTATTCTCTTCTAATTCTTTTACTCTTTATTTCAACCTTTAAATTTTATCATCTTCATGAATCTTATGAATAACTTAAATTCTTTCTTCTTTTAAAATTTTTAGTTCATCTTTTAGAGAATTTTTTTCTTCAGAAAGTAGCTAAGTAATTCTTGTCAAACCATCATTCTCATCAATCAAAGTTTATATTTATTTCTATTATTCACTTATTTTTTACATCAAAACGTAATCGCCTTTTATATTTTTTTCATTGTAGCTTTGTTGTTATTGTTATTATGATTCCATATTGTTATTGGGACTCTCAAAATTCTATACATTTTTATTTCCTAAACCTGAATAATTATAATCGCTTAAGACAGTTGGGGAATTGTTATATTTTAATTGCTTAAGAGCACTTGCTGAAAGTCTTATTTGTTAATAAGCTACTTATTAGTTTTCTTATGCTAAGTTTTGTTCATTTGTTGTCACTTGATTTTAAGAAAATGCTTGTAAATTTTATATATTTTAGCTGCTCCTAAATTAATTAGAGTGATTTGAATATACAGAAGCATTGTGTCTTTAATCGCTAGAAGTATTTCTAAAATTTTGAATTTCTGACCCATATAAAGGTTGTGTCGTATCACTTTTAAGTCTAATCTAAGATGAGAATAGATTTCTGCTATTAGGATTTCTTTCAAAAGACTCTTTACTTATTGTTTTTGGAGATAAAGAACCAAATAATTAATTTTTTCTTGAGTTTTGAATGCTGTTTTAAACAGTTTAAACATTACTTATATTTTATGCTCTATTAGAGGATGTGCTCAAAATTAATTGTTGAGGAAGTATAGTTTATCTATTATTCTAACCTAATACTATTATTGGCTACTAGTATTACTAACGCTAGCTTTGAACAGGAATCATAATTGTTGAAATTAACAAAAACAATAATAAAATTCTAAATAATATTTCAAATAGATAATAAATCTTTCAAATTAATTCAGTATTTAATTATTCAGTATCTTTTAAATAAAAAGTTGCTTTCAGCTTTTATGAATAACGAACATTGAATTTTGTTAAGAATTTATCTATGCTTGAAATAAAATAAATAAAGTCCTCATTTTTCAGTTATTGTGAATAATTTAAAAATAAACTTATTAAAAAAATAATTGAATAATGTGATTTATTTAATAAATAAATAAATAAATGAATTTCTGAAAATATTTTTATTCATTTTTTTTAATTTTCTAAACAAATAAATCAATGTTATTTTTTTTATCAGTTTTTTTATTTTATTATTTTGGTTGCTTCATTAAATTTAATATTTAATAAATAAATCATACAATTTATTTGAAAATTTTGTTAAACAAAAATTAAGAAATACAAAAATAAATTTAATATTATTTTTTTAGAAATCATTAAAATTTACTTGAAATTTTCTATTTTAATCAAAACATAAAAAAGAAATATTTTATTTTTAAATTGCTAATAAGCCAATATTTTTCAAAATAAACAAAATTAATTTAAAGTTATTTATTAAATAAATCGATTAAAAAAACAGAAAATATATTTATAAAGTTGATGTTATTCGAATGATTGTAGTTTTTTTGGTGACTATTGTTGAAACAGTTGAGTTACTACTGTAATTACATTTTCTTATAAATTGAGAGTTTTTGTTACTGATTTTAACTAATTTTAATGAAAAATAATTTTTAATCTCATATTTAATGCAAAGACCTTAATTGCTAAATTTTGAGACTAATATTTTTGAAGAATATATTTTATATATCAAATATAAGCAAATTTAATAGAAGCTTGAATAAAATTTTTATTGAAATCTCTCAATCTAAGAGTTGTTTACAACTTACATTATTAATTAAATTCAAAGCAAAATTCATAGATCTTACAATATTATTTAAATTAAGGTGATCAGTGGTAACATTTAAAATTTTTTTTCAAATTTTAAAGATTGAATACAAGCAAGCTCAAATAATTTTAAATTTTATATTGTCTGTAGTGAGTAAATATTTATAAGTTATTTATAGAATATTTTTTCAGTGGTTAAGATTTCATTTATTAAGAAAATTTAATATAAAAAGTTGTGTAAGGTTAGGAAGACTATCAAATTTATTTCAATCTGTTTATTATTAATTTATCTTTTTTAATGTTTTTATTATATTACTGTATGCAATTTTATTTTTATGACATATTAGAAATAGCTTATTTTCATTTTAATGTGCCAACCTTCATTCAAATGTAAACAGTAACTAAAATAATTAAAATACTTAGATTAATTACTCATAAATACATTAAAAATCATCTGATCTATATTTTCTACGTCTTCTTTCTATAAGATGACTTACGTTGTAAAAAATTTTCTTATTGAACAATTTCAAAAATTAAAAAAATATATATTTACTTATTTATTAATTTCTTTTTGTAAAATAAATGAGTAAAAATTATAAATTAAATTTTTCAATATATTTAAGTAGTTTTTTTATTTTAGTTATTAATCTTTGATTTTAAAAATAACAAAATAAAATCAATTGCTAATTCTTATCTAGTAATTATTATTTAAAATATTCAATTTTCATATCCATACAGATTTTTATAGAATAGAATTATAATAAATATAGTCTAATGGATTGTTGATACTTTAATAAGTTTATTTTAAAAGCGACGTTATATAGCATTTTTATATAAAATTTAAATGTAGGTAAAAAATCAAGAAAAATTTTACATTTAAGCAGTACATACAATAATTTATTGAATCTATTGAATACTGAGAGCCCTGTAACATTATTTATATACAGATAATTAACTTTAACAAGATAATCTGAAATCACATATGGTATATTAGATTTAATTACAAGCTAATCAAATTTTAAAGAAATAAGTAGTTAGAAATTATCAAATTTTATAAATAAACAACAAACCAATAGTTTTTAGCAACAAATACCCATATTTTTATACAGTCTTAGTCTTAAACTTTTTTTGCAAAAATGAAAAATATAAATTTATAAAATGCTTGGTTTAATTCATTAATAATTAGTATTAAAATACATTTTTAAATTGCATATTTATGACAACTTTGAAATAATAAGTCAACTTATATCAATTTAAGGTTTAGGATTAAACAACAAGATTCAGTAAAAAATAATCATATTTTCTAAAAATGCCAATACTTATTCATTTTTAAATGTATATCATTTTTAAACTAATTCATCTTGATATTTTAAGAACCATTTATCTTAAGATTATTATAATAAGTAATAAAATAAATAGAAATAAATGTATACTTCTTTGTGTTTAATTTTTAAAATTTGATGGACATTCTTCAATTTTTTAAAAAATAATTATATGAATTTTAATAAATCAAACCAAAAATCATAGTTAAATATTAAATATAATAGAATCCTCACACTATCAATAAGCAGGATTAAATGATAAACATCTTATATCTCCATAGCTGAAACTTTCGCTGTGATTTTAAATTCATGAATATGGTTCTTACTTTTTTATTAGACTAAAATAGGTTTTTTTTTAAATCAGCTAAAGGATTATTAAACTGATTACAATAAAGTAATAATTAAATAAATTAAGAGAGAATATTATTTCATAAGAAATATTTACTCAAAGATGAATATCAATCAACCTTGAGTATGCATAAAAGAATTTGAGATCTCTCTAAGTAAGTTTTTTTTGGAAGAAAAAATGTTAAGTTGATGCTGTAATTTTTTCATTTAGCACTTGCTAACCTTAGAAAAATTGTAATTTTGCACAAAAATTAAATCTGAAAACTGTTTGAAAGATTGAATTTTGATGTAAAAATTTACTTCTCTTAAATTACAATTAAAAAACATCATAATAGGTAAAATATATTGGAATTGATAATTAAAAGTGTAAGTTAATTGATAATAAATTGATGTTTTAGGGTAACCTTTATAAATAACAAATAGTAAAAGTAAACATCCCAATAAATAGAAAGAAATAAAAAGTTAGTTATTAGCACCTAATCACAGTAAAAGTTTGATTATATAATTTATTAGAATGAATGCAAATGTATATGTAACAAATATTATGAAATATAGAAAGAACTTAATTTTTTTATTTATTCTATATAAAGTAAGAGTTGTTGAGGTTAATTTTGGTTATATATTTTAATTATAATTAAAAGTGTATATAGATTTGATTAAGACAGTTTGTTGGGAAATTCATGTGATTTGTAGGAAAATAAGTAATAAAATTTATTAAAAAAGCAAATAATTTAAATTGCTTTCTATCAAATTTTTTCACGCATGAAATTACAATTGAATTTTGGTAGAAAAATCACTTGAAAGCATTCTGTATTTACAGACCTTCGATTTGTTAAAATCAAAATCTTGAATTTTGAAATAGTGATTGTTTATGAAATATTTCTCTTCATCAGTTAATTTTCTCTTAGCTTCATTTAAATTTACTAAGGTATTGCACTTTGGTTGTTATTACTGTTCTTCTTTTATTTCGTTGTTATTAGCTTAATTTGCTTATTCTTATTTCTTTTTATTTTTTTTCTTTGTTTATTTGATTTCATTGACTCCAACTTCAACTACTAGATTGCAACCACCAATTATAAGATCATAAGACTCTAGCTCTAAAGTGAGATGCTTTTGTAATAAATTTAAATATAAATACAAAAAGTATAAGGATGATAAATAGTAAATTACTTGGCCATTTTGAGTAATATGTTCTTTTTAAAATGTGTAGCATTATCTTTCTTCATTTTCTACTCTGCTAATACTCAAAACATTATTAACAACATTAAGCAGTTATTTCACCCACTGATAATAATTGTGGCTGGTTAGAAACCTAATATTGATTGATAAAATAAAATTTTTTAGAAAATTTATTTGTTTGTTTTTCTAATCTTAAAATATAGGCTGTATTAATCTTTCTAAATTAAAAAAGACTAAATGAAAAATAACTTAAAAATATTGATATATATTATTATATTCTAGTGTTGTTTTTATTATACAGCTGTAATATTATCTTTTTAGTTTAATATTTCTTTAAAAGTTCTAAAAGATTTATTTACTCTGGGAGTCCACTTAAAGCAACTTCTAACTGGAATTCTTCAGGAGTGTATTAAAGGAAATTTAAATAGCATTCGTTTATATGCACTGAATACATTTCTTTTAAGACACCTCTCCATATAATCATCGGTTTATTTTTGTTTTAAATAAATAGATCATCAATTTTATCAATATCATCTCTTTAGGAACCCTCATTGAAAATTTTTTATGCTGAGTGTTGATCGTAGCTCTAATCATTTAAAGATTCAGTATCTTCTCTAGGAATATACTCCTTTTGACATGCATCAGCTAAATAGTTAGACATCTCATAAGTATCTTAGCTTCCAAAAGATTGCATTCTATCAACAAGGCATTTCCTATTTTAATAAGGTAAATTAGGTAAATTAAATAATTTTTTATTTATTTATTTATTTACCATGGCAATTAAAAACAGTCTTTCTTTTAAAAATATATGTGGACACCATTACTTTTTTTACTGATTTTTGTATATTTAATTTTCTTAAATTAGTTTATAACTGAAATTATAGATCCTTCAACAGGGCCATTACTATTTACACTAGAAAATAAGCAATCAATATTCAAAAAGAAGTCCTTTTGCATAAAAAAGATAATTTAAAAATGTATTTTTTTTTATTGTTAATGCTGAAATTAAAGAGAATTCTTTTAATAATTAATCTTAATTAGTAGTGAAAGAATTAAATGTCACATTATTGAATAAAATCTTAGATTTTTATCTTTAGTTAAAGTAGTGTTGAAAGAAAGAATACTCTAAATTAATAATTTTTCAGCTAAATTAAAAAACAAGAAGAAAAGCATTCTTACAAACTATGGGAATTTAAAGTATGATTTTTCACTTGAAATGAAGCGGTCAGCATGAAGAAGTTGCCTTAGAACCGCTTCATTCAGCACTAATTAATTCTTTTCCTTTTATTTCTAGTAATTTTTCTATTAGCTAAGCTTAAGCGTAGTTATACTGTCAGAATCATTTTGGGTGATAGATATTTAACCTTCACTGACTATAGAAGTTTTTTTATTTCTATTAATGGATATCATCGAAAGCGAGGAATTTTTTGTTAATTTTAATTTATAAAAACTATTTTTTTGTTTGTTGTATCAAATATTTTTTTGGTTTATTCTCTTAGATATGTATATATTAGCAGAATGAACGTATGCAGTTTAATATCTTTTTTTTTATTATTTATTAATTTTTTTTAAATTTATTAATTATCTAAAATTAGAGTTATTAATTGAAGCTATAAATTTATGTGCCAGCCTTTTTTTCATCAGCTAAATTACATTGCTTATAGGTTCTTTTAATGTTTTAGGACTGATTGAATTTAATTCATTTCTTAATCTTAGGCCAGTTTAATTTTAAAGATCTCTATTTCAAAATATAGCCATTCTTACTTGGACTGATCTAACTATTATTAAAGTTTTTCATTTGGATTTTTCATTTAGTTATGCCATTAAAAACAAAAGAAAGTAATAGATTACTATTAATTAGAGTTACTTAATTAACATAGATGCCCTTACAGATACATTATTTAAATCAGATTATTACAAAAGAAAAACGGTTAAAAATCGAATATCTTAAATAACTAAAATTTGAAATTTGGCATAATTAGACTTAAAAGTAATAATAGTAAATCTTTAAATAATTTTGAAAACTTTCATGTTATATTTGAACAAGCCTATTATTGATTGTGAATCAAATAAATTGATTAAAAATAAGTAAGCTCTAATATAAAAATTTTAGCTTCAATTAGACGAAATAATCACTAAAATTTTATATATTATTTAGATTAAGCAAACTCATAAAAATATCAATCAATCAATAATTATCTTGATTTTGGTTTGATATTATCGAAGATTTTTTAGAAAAAGAAGTATAAAAAATTCAATCAATAGTTATTTAATTATTGGTTGACTTTGATAAAAGACAAAAAGAATATTTTTTAATAATCTATGATCAACCAAAATTCAAAAAATACTTTACTATCCAGATTATTCTATCATACATAAGTAAACAAGTATTTTTATATAAAAAGTATAAATTTCATGTAGATTTAAAAAAATAAATCTAAAAAAACTCTAAATTTTATTTAATATTTTAAAGAAGAAAACTCAAGTTAGAATTGGTTGTTATACTATTTATTAATTTAAAGAGGAATTTATGATAGAAAATATCTCAAAAATCATTTTTATTAGTCTAAAATATTTAAAAAATGTATAGAAAAAATTTGGTTAGAATGAAATAATTAATTAACTAACTAACTTTGTGGGTAATAAATACTTTCGCATCAATAATAACTCAAAATATAAAAAAATTGATTAAGAAAAATATCTCTAAATAACAAAAATTATTAGATTATATGTTACTTTCACTCAAATTAAGTCATTTAAATATCAAAATATTAATTTAATTGTTATCTTCATATCCAAACTATTTCAAAATAATTATTTTTTATGTAAACGAATTAAAAATTAAAATAACAACAAGCATAAATAATCTTTTATAAAAAGTTAAAACTAAATTCGTCTTAATTTTTTTTACATCTCAGATTATATATTGAGATTACAATAAAAAAGTGTAATTAAATAATCAAAATAATACCTCTCAAGGAATTTTAAATATTGAATTATAGGGTGGGCGTAATTAGATAACCTTAGCTAAAAACTTCATTTTTTTAGATGGCTGTTTAAAGATAAGTATTTTTGTATATATTGTTAAAGATAGGAATATAAAATGATATAAAAAATATCTTCTCATTTAATAGTTATAGTTTTTGGTTGATATTTTTTTTCATTTTAAATTGCTGTATGTTAATGTTTAGAAGTGTAATAATTTTATAAAATTTTAATCAAAATTATGTAACAAATACATGCAGGTATCTAATGCTGATAAATATTATTGATCGAATCGATTAAAAATATAAAATTTATTTTCCATTTATAACTTTCTTTATTAAGAGTAATAATTCTCTGTCTTTGATCAGTCAAATAAACAAAGCTATATTTTTGTATATTCTTTTAATATTATAGATATTCTTAATTTTTTTTCTTATTAAAATGAGCAATTTATCTAAACTTTATTTACACATTAATCCAAATTTATTATCTTTACTATTAATTAATGATGTAACACAGTAAAATGAATTGATACTCATCACAAAAAGAGGTTTCAGTTGCCTACTAAGCTTATAAATAAATAATTTATTTTTTAAATTAGAATTTAAAGATTATATCCCCACAAAATTTAGAATAGAATTAATTATTCAATAAAAAGCCATAAATTTAGTGGTAAAGGTATAATTTGATTGATTTGGGTTTTACAATTTGCGTTTGTAAACTTACAAGATTTGGTATGAATATCTAAAACTAAATTTAGTTAATAAAATACAAATCATTCTTCAAAAACTATTTAATCTTAACAGAAGCATTAAAAATACATAAATTTAAGAAACATTTTAGAAAAGATAATTTAAAATTATAAGTGAAAATTTATTAAATATACTAAGTACACTTTTTAAAAAGTAAATAATTAGGTCTTTGCAATTAAAAAGCTTAGAAAAATGAAAGGTATAAACCGTTAGATTTTTATATATTGTTTGTTACAGTTAAAAAGGATTTTAAGGCAAACAAATAGTCAAACAATTGCAATTTTAAAATTAATTTTTAGGCACTCATTAATCTTGAATAAATTCAGTTTTTATCAAAAATATAAGTAACATATAGAAAGTGATTATGTGTGTGACTAATAATTAAAACAATCATATAATTTACAATTTTTGATTACTATTTTCAAGTGAAAATTAGCCCAAAAACATTATTTATTTATTAATTTATAAATTAGTTCATTAAATTTCCTTTTAAATGTCTCTTTGCTTTACTATAAAATCGAATGAAAAAAAGAAAAACAAATGCATTTAAAAATCCAATTTAAACAAAGTTAAAGTTGAATAAAATAAACTAATTAGTTTTATTCTTATTTATTTTTAGAATTTATGTTAATATTAGGTAACTTAACCTCTAAGTATCTTCATTCGATTTTATGTTTTTGTTTTTGAGAGTGTAAGATATAAAAATGTCGCCTCTTTTATAATAATTATATACAACAAGAAGCATTATAAAGATGGATAATTTTTATATTTTTATTAATTATAACTTCATAAAGTTGATTCATTAAGGGTAAAAAACTCAATTTTGTTTCTGCTTTATTATGTTTCATTTTTTATTTTTGTATAGTGGTAAAAAAGAAGATACAGATTACACATTTCATAAAATCAAACATCTTAATTACATTATTTCGATGGAATTTAACAAATTAATTTAAAAATACCAATTTTGATTTTGATTCTATGTGAAATCTACTTCATAACAAACTTCATCAAAAAATAAAGTAACAAAATTTAATTAAATTGTTCTCTTATCATTAGTTTTAATAATTAATTTATTACTCTTTTTCATTCAAATTAAGTGATAAAAACAAAAAATAAAATTAATGACGACAAGAACCTAACTTTATTCAAGTTAATAATATTGATACTTTAAATTAAATTCCATTGAATGAGTTTACACAACATCTTACGTTAAAAACATTGTATCATTTTTATTCTAGATATGTTCTATTTTTCCTTAATTAACTTTATAAAATTTATATAAAAGATTACTTTGTAAAAATATTCAATTTACATTTAATAATTTGATTACTTTTAAGATTATGAATGACTAAAATTTTGATTGTTATAAATTAATTCATACCATTTTTTACTTTTTAAATTGATAGTTATTTTCTTATTTTGTTAAAAAAAATTATTCCATTATTCTATTGATGTGATAATCTTTAATTAAATTAAATATTTTTAAGTAATAAAAGGTATCATTTACATATTTTACTTAAATAATAAAGAGATGTGTAATTAAAATATAATTTACATATTTTTATTTCTTTTAAAAATTTACAAAATAAACAAAATATTTATTCTTTATTTCAAAAAACACCTCTTTATTTTTTAACTTTTAAATAAATTATCATTTTTAATTTTATTTAAATGTAAAAATTATTAAATTAATTTTATTGCTTATTTATTTTTTACTACATTTTCAATAAATATGAAAATTATTTATCAAATTTTAATTTTTATATTGGATAAATAAACCAAATTTATTTTTAACAAAAATTTATGCACCATATTCAATTTTCCAATCAAAATATTACAAAATGTTTTCAGTTATAGGTATTAAACTCAAAAGCTATTAATATTATTTATTTCAAAAAATACGAAATTAATTTAATTTTCTTTCTTTATTTAATCATGATAAATATTTAACAAACACATATGGAATTCTATTTAATAGTTTAAGTATATTTTTAGAAAACAAAAAAAAAATGCTATATAAAAAGAATTTGTTTATTATATTTATTAATATTTTCTCTAAAAATGTGCAAAATAATTTTTTATTATTAAGCTATTTCATTTTTATATATTTTACTTAGCAAATATTTTTTAAAATATTTAAAAATAAAATAACTTTAATTTATTTTTAACTTTAATTAAAAAAAACATTTTAAAATATTTATTGAGATCACGATTATTTTAGTTAACTAATAAATGATTTGAAAATTAATAAATTAGAATAAATAATTTATTAAAAAATAAATTGTGAAATATCAAATAAAGATATATTTAATAAATTGAAAGCTTATCAATAATTTAGAATTTAGAGTGACTGAATATCTTAGTTATCTTTCTATTTGTCAATAAATTATGATTGAATTAATATTTATCATTTATTTTTCAAAGGTAATTAAAAGAGACACATGATATCTTATAATTTCAAAATCATAAATAAGAAAAAGAAGATTAATTAATAGTGATAATTAAATCTTTATAAAGTATCAATATAATTTTTTGTTAGAAATACTTAGAAAAAATTTCAAGTTACTTTACAATAAAGCAAGTAGATAAAGGGTAAATAAACAAACATACTTTGTATATTATATCAATGAGTCTTGTTGATAAACTCTTATAAAAGCCAGAAAGTGCTACATTTGTAGATGAAAGATAGTTTTGGTCAATAGAAAAAGCTTCAAATGGTTAAAAATATTATTACAATAAGAAAACAAAAGAATCGTAATGGGAAAAGCCTGAGTGCTTGAAAACTGAAGAAGAAAAGGAAAATCAGACTGATTGGATAGAGTGTACCAAATAAGATGGGAGAGTTTTTTATTATAATACTAAGAGTAAAAAATCTTAATGGTTAATTCCTGAAGAGTTAAAGATTTTAAGATAGTAGCAAGCAGAAAGACGTAGGATACGCGAGTAATAAGGTTTAGGTGATGAAGAGGAAGAATAAGAATTCACAATTTCTGATGAGTAAAAAAAGGTAAAACTAAATTTCATTCAAGTTTAATTTTGTAAAAACGAACCAATAAATAAGATTTAACTCACACAAGTTAAATAATTAGTCAAAGATCAAAATTAGCTGATAATTAATTCATTCATTTATACTTAACTTATTAATCATAATGTATTAAAAAAGGAAATAGATTAAAGAAATTTCTTAGAAATGCTAAGAGAACATAAAGTAAGCAATTAAATGAAATGGGATTAAGCTTAGAAACTTATGCAAAATGATTAGAGATGGATTAAAATAAAATAAATTAGTGAAAAAAAACGTTTGTTTTAAGATTATATTCAAAAGATTAAAAGAATTGAAAGACAAGAGTAGTAAAATAAATCTGAAAAGGCTAAGGAAGACTTTTTCAAATTGCTAGAAGAATAAAATTTTAATTCTGATGCAAAGTTCTATAAGGTAGTTAGCAGCTTTGCTTAAGACCCAAGATATAAAGCTCTAGATGAAAAAAATAGGGAGACATATTTTTAAGACTTCTTAGATAGATTGTTCGAATAAGAACAAGAAAATATGAAAGATGAAAAAAAAATTCATATTGATCTCCTTAAAAAAAAGGTAAATAGATATTAAATGATAAGCCTATAATTGATAAAAAAATATTTTTAATTATAAAAATAGATTCTTTAGTTAAGTGATTTATCAACATCGTTTAGATGGTCTGAGTTTTGTTAGAGATTCAAGGACGATGAAAGCTTCAAAAAGCTTTCTGATTTTGATAAGATTTATATTTTTTCAGATATCATTCAAGATTTGCAAAAATCTGAAAACGATGAAAGACGTAAAAATAAACGTAGAAATGAAAGAATCAATAGAGAAAAGTTTAGAGAACTTTTGAAATAAAAAATTGCATATGGAGAGATCAACCATAAAACAAAATGGAAAAACTTTGTTTAAACAATCAAAGATGCTCCAGAATTTTTAAATATGCTTGATCAACCAGGTTCTGCCCCACATGAATTGTTTGAAGACTAGTAGGATTTATTAATCGATAATCATAAAGCTATGAAAGCAGAAATAAAGCAACATATAAAATAATCAGGAATGAAGGTAATTAATTTTTTGTTTTGGAATTTATTTATTTATTTATTTTAAGTTATTTCTAAATATTTATTTATTTATTCATTCATTCTTTTTTGTGTGCATAAATAGGTTGTAGCTGATATTACTTTTTAAGAATTTATTGAAAAAATGAAACTTTTGAGTGTTTTTGATACCCTTGAAGATTACCTGAAGAATTTCTATTACCACTATTTCATTCAAAAAGCAAAACTCAAGGAAAAAGAAACATAAAAGAAACATAAAAAGGCTCAGAGAAAATATCTCAAATTTTTAAAAACTTTGTAAGAATTGAATAAAGATAGCTAATATAAAGATTTTTAAGAAATTATAACTAAAGGATTAGGTGAAGAAATTAACGCCTAGATTCCTCTCACTGAAAGAGAAGAAATTTTTAAAGAATATGTAGCTACACTTGATCCTAACTATAAAGATATTTATATAGAACAAGAAACTGTTCCTCAAGATTTGAATAAACAAAACTCTTAATAAAATAATAATTCTAAAGGTAATAGTTAAATATAAACAAATAGCTCTGCTCTTGCTGCAACTGCTGCTATACCTCCTATTGTTCATAATCCTCCCTAGATTTCTAAGATGGAGCCTTCACCTCAAAAAAAGTAATAGCTAAACCATAAAGTAATTTTTTATAGTAGTGGAACTATATTTTATTTTATTTTTTTAATCAAAAGGGAAGTGCTGATGAAGGAGAAGAAGGTGAAATACCTTAAATGGAGAAGAAGCTTAAAAACAAATCAGATGATGAAGATGGAGAGTAAGAAGAGGGAGAGGATTCTGATAGTGGATAAAAACATAAAGATAAAAAGAAAAAGAAAAGCAGTCATAGACACCGTGAACATCACTCATCAAGAAATAAAAGCAAAAAGAGTCGCTCCCGATCAAATTCTCGTTCTCGCTAGGAAAAGAAAAGTAAAAAGAAAGATAAAAAGAAAAAGAAATCTCACAAACATTCAAGAAGTAATTCAAGCTCTAATTGAAGAGTTAAAAATTTTAAGCTAAAGTAATATGATTGTTATATTAGCTGTGGCGACAATCTATATCGCTTTAATATTTATGATAAAATTAGATTATCTAAATTTCAATTAATTTAAAAAATTCATACCTTTATTTAGCATTTTTATTTTCTCTATAAATAAAAATAAATAAATTGTCATTTGTTTTAAAAGAAATTAAAAAATTTTTAATTTAATTTGGATAAATTTTGAAAAAAAATAATTTTTTTATGTTTTTAGTAAAGCATTTTTTATCTTAATTATTTTTAAACTTTTTTTTAATAATTCGTTTTTAATATGGTAAAAAAAATTTAAAAATTAGATAAAAATAAATATATAAATGACAAAAAGTATTTATGCATAAATTTATTGTTAAATATTAATATAAAAGATAAGTTTGTTGGAGAGAATTTTTTACATTAAAAATATGAAATTTAGTCTTTAATGATAAAATATCAAACTTAGCTTTAAAGAATATATAAAAAATAATTTAAGGTAAATAGTTCTCGAATTATATTTGAAGAAATTCTGATAAACCTAAATCATATGTTAGAAATATTTTGAAATTTAGTTCAATAAATTTATTATTTTACTTTTGTAGTCATAATATATCAGAATTATGTGTTTTTACTTTGCTTTTCACTAGTAAATATTAATTATTTTTGATATAAATCAGCTAAAAAAATTAAAAAAAAGCTTAGATTAAACTATTACCTAAAAATTAAAATTGCTTATTAATTTATATATATGTACTTTTTATTATTATCTTTTTTTAATTTCTAAATCTTTAATTCACATAATTTATTAATCAATCAATCTATTATTAATAGTAAATTATTCTTATATTTCAAAACAAAGTCCTTGAAAAAAGTTTAATATATTTAGAATTAGTTCGAAAAAAGAAATATGAATTACATAAATTAACTATTTAAAAACTAAAAGTAAATATCTCATTAAAATGAATTGGTTAATCAGATAATTTTGATTATTTATTAGAGATTTAAAAGATTAGCATCAACCAATTAAAGGTGATTCGCCGTAAAAAAAATTAGATTTAGCAGATCAAAATGACTAAAAAGTTTTAGCTTCATCAAATTAGAATAAGTCCATAAAAGAAGAGATTATGGATGATATGGATTAAAGGCATTAATATCGTGAATTCAAGATGAAAAATAAAGCAGCCCAACACTTAAATAGATCAATTACTTCAAGGAATTAAGTGTTGTTGAATGAAATTTAGAATAAAAGTACAGTTTATTTTTTTTATATTCTGTTATTGGAATTTTTTTTTTCATAAATGATAAAAGAAGAAGATTAAAATGTCAATTTTGTAGGTGATTCTATTCTATAATAATATTATTAAGAATAAATTAATTACTAGGTCCCTTTATAAGATAAAAAAAATAAGTTTTACAAACAAAAAGTTGTTTTTAATATAGGAGAAGAAAATTAATAAGATTTTTAAGAAAATGTAGCTTAAAAAATAGAAACCAACGAAGAAATAAGACAAAAAGATGTTGATAAATCACGTTTTACTCCAGATTAAGAAAATTTCTTTAATAATTTGAAAAAAACATAAACTATAAAAGATTAAAAGTATGCAAGTGAAAATGATATTTAATAATTATAATCAACAATCAACTAAAAAAATTAGAAACTATAGCAGTCACAAGTAAACAAATAAAAAGAATAAGTAGAATCAACTAAATTTATAAGAATGAAAACAAGCTAATTTAATTGTGAGTCTGAAGTATTTAAGAATTCATTAAAATAATAGAGTCTTTTTTAATTTAATAAGCAAGAAACCATTCAGAATGGATATCTTGATTCAATTTTTATAAGCGAAGATGATGAAGACATGGATGATGATAATAACGATAATGAATATGAAAATGACTAAAACATAATTGAAGAAGAATAAGAAACATAGTCAAATAAGGAAACGTTTGATATATAAGAATAGCTTTAAAAACCACCATTTAATGAGGAAGATGAAACTCAAGTCCAATAAGCTTTAGAAAATATTAAAATTTAAAAAAATAAAAAATAAAAAGTAAAGAAGTTAATAAGAAAAAAATATGAGCTTACTGCAGTACCTGACGAAATGAATTCATTTTACATAACTTTATAAAGAGGGAAGAAGAAAAAATAAAAAAATTTTAATAATGAAATTCTAAGTATTTAATTCATACCTTAAAGTTAAACTTTATTGAAAGATCACGTAGGTGATTTTTAAATAAGAAACGAAAGCAAAAGCAACTTAAATAATTTAATTCCTTCTAAAAATAAAGAAAATTTATCTTTTGTTCTCAATTGCTCTAATGTTTTCAATTTTAGCAAAATGACTTCTGTATTATTAAACTTTCAATATAAAAAATAAGTAAATTTATTAATATTTTATATTTTTAAAATAAATAACCTAATTTTTATTTGAAAAGGATGCACTGCTTTATCATTAACAAAATGATTTTCGTTATATAACTTCTATAGGTGAAGGAAGCTTTGGTACAGTAGATTTGTATGAATTTACTCCATTAAAGTTTCCGATTGCTGTAAAAAAATTAAAAACTATTGAAGAATTTGCTCGTGAACTCTATTTAATGGAAACACTACAATCTATTTATATGCCACAACTATTTTTTTATGATGAAACTTAGAAAAAGCTATTCATGGAAATGGGTTTGTGTAGTTTAGAAGATTTAAAAAAGTATTCTGAGTAGACAGATTTCTGTCTCACCGATTAGTAGACTTTTTCTATTTTAAATTAACTATTAGTGGCTATAGAATTGTTCATCGATTAAAAAGCTTTCCATAGTGACATAAAACCTTCAAACATAGTTATCAGATCTAAATTAAATGAGAGCAATAAAATTTAATTATAACTCATGATAATAGATTACGGAGGAGCTTCTTTTGATATTGAAGATTATTGGATATATTACACTCCAGCTTTTGTATGTCCAAAATTATGGGAAAAGTTGTTATCAAGTGACTCGTGCTTTTCAAAAGATATTTCTAAAGAAAAATCAGCATACATATAAGAATTAGATTCAATAGAAGAAAATTATGAATAAGAATGTGATACAAATAACATTGAAAAGTCCAAGTTAGAAAATAGTGTAATTAATAAAATAAAAATAAAACCTATAAAATAGACCAATCTAGGAGAAATTGACAGGAGGCAGTCAATGGAAAATTCATTGACGTTAAAAACAAATAATTCAAATGATAAAAGTACACTTGCAAGTAAAACAAGCCAAAATTTCCCTAGCTATTAATAATAAGATTCTATTTAAATGCTTACAGATCAAAAGCAACCAATTAGCAGAGTATTTAATGATAACTTATCAAGTTACTAAAAAAGTTAAAATTTTGATAAAAAATCTAAAATTTTTTAATTTTAAGAAACTTACAGTAAGCAATTGTCTATGAATGAAGGTAATAAAGATTTTTCATAAATTTTAAAGATACAAAATTAAGAATAATCATAATTAAAGAGTTAGCAAATAAATTATGATGACATATAAATAACTTAAAATTTAAAACTGGAGAGAAATAATGAAAAGATTGCTAATGAAATAACTTTAACATGGGAAGAAGTGAGATATTCTGAGATGTATGCAGGGTGTAGATGCATTTAATACCTTATCCTAAACAAAAATGAAGAAGATTTGTTCAAAAAGAAAAATATTGATGAATTCTTTATGAGATACCATAAACAATACCCAAAAACTTTAAAATTAATGTATAAAATTATGAAGAAAAACAAATTCTGCTCTTTAAATAAAAGTTAATTAAATTAACTTTTTACAAAAACAACAGAGCAAGATTTTAAAATAGATATTGATCCTAATATTCTATTCGAAATTTCCCCTTTAAAAAAATAATGGAATCAAATATTAAAAACATAAATCTGACAAATAAATAATATATTTAATTAATTATTTAATTTTATATCTATTTCATTTAACCAAATAAATAATTATTTTTAAAATATATATTCAAAATTAATCTTTTAATTGTTTAATAATTTATTATTTTAAATTTGAACAAAAGTTTTAGTATATAATTAAAACTTAATTTACACCTAACATTTTTAAAATGGGTATTATTTATTATTTACTTTTGATTTAATTAATAAACAATTGTAAATACTTATTTAATACAGCCACTAATTTTCTTAAATTTTGTTTTTAGTACCCAATAATCTAATTTTAAGAAAAAAAAAAATTATTTAATCTGAGATTAGAAGTGATTTGAAGTAGGTATATATTATATAATAACTAAATATATTATATTAATTTACGCTCCTTTTAACTTTTATAAATCTTTGGAAAAAAAAATTTATAATTCAATTTTTATTAATAAAAACTTAATAAATTGAAAATATTAACAAAAAGTAACCTATCAAAACATCCAATTTGATATCTTAATTTTAAAAAGATAAGTAAAAACTATAAAATATTTATTATTCTTGAAAATCAAGTAGAAACAAAGTACTTTTTTTTAAGAAAAGTAAAATTTTTATATTAATAAATTTACTCTTTTTAATTAATATAAATGCATAAATTTTCAGTATAATTTAAAAATTTAATATAAAATAAATTTAATTTTAATACTTTATATCTTATAAATTAACTTATTGATTTTTATGAAGATATTTATTGTTTACCTTCAAGCAATAATTTACTCAATCAAATTAATCAAAACTTACTTTTTAACTCAAAACATAGATTTTTTTTTTGTTTTTTTGTTAATATTGGCAGCTTGTAGAGAGTTGTCTTATGTAGTTTTTAGCAAATTATTTGAAATAATATTTGTGTTACTGTTACAAGTAGTTACAGTGCTTGTTGTAGGGTTCTACTTGGCGTTATTAGATGACATGCTAAAAAATCCGTTTATTTAACTTTATACAAAACTACCTTTTTTCTAAATGTTATTTTGTTAGAGAATACTATTTGCTAACTGTTAAGGATTACAACCACCATTGTTAGACTAAGAAAAACCTACTTAATTAAGTTAATTAAAAGTATTAGTATTTGTATTTGTATTTGCGCATGTGCTACCTGCTGGGTAATTGTTATTTGCATTCAAACTTGAGTTGACCTATTAAGTTGTGCTGTTATTACTGTTATTATTAATGTTATTATTGTTATTAAGCTAACTATTCATACTACTGCTATTATTATTAACTCCACTATTTGGATAATTATTATGCTGACTGTTTGTGTTATTGGTGTTACTATTGTTATTATTTGTGCTATTATTAGTAGACCTAAATAATTCAACTTAAAAATTCATTTGAGTACTTCTTGAGCTTAGTGGCGACGCTAATGATTATTTCTTATTTAAAAATTAATTATTATTGCTATTTTTATTATTATTTGTTGATTACTAGTTTATTGTCAACTGTTATTGTTATTGTTACTACTAGCTATTCTACATCTTTTCATTAAATGGCTAAAAGTTTTAATTTAGCACAACTCTTGGGGATAATTGTGAAGAACTAATCGATTAATATTACTATTAATACTAATTATGATTTTGAAATTGCTATTGATAATTTGCTGAAGAAGGTGTTTATATTGACTGAGAGCCTGCTAAAATAGCACTATTAGGAATTATTGGGTTATTCATTAGCGAGAGAGCTTGAATTTAATTTTTATGACCTTTTTTTATTGTGTTGGCCTATGTTGCTGATTATGCATTTGGTGAAATCATCTGATTTGAAGGAGTCTGAGGTATTTAGCTTTGTTGCTGATTCAAGCTTTGAGTGTTAGTTTCTATTATTAGGTTCATAAGATTTTCAGATTTAGTATGCTTATGCATATTTGCTACTTTCTTAATTTAAGGAGAGCTTACTTTTTGTGCTTATAAATTTGAACTATTTATCGTTGATTATATCATCTTTGGCTATTAAACTGGTTGCTATACATTAGAGGCCACACTATTTGTGTTAAATTACAATAAATTTTAACTTAAAACTTTTTAGTTTTAGTTTTAATATTAAGGAATTTACTACACAACAGATTGAGATAAGTTTGATGCATTTGGGGTTAGGAACTATAATTAATTACTATTTGTAATTTAAGCACCCTGAATATTATTATTTTTTAAAGTATTTTAAATGAAATTATTATTTGCTGGAGTATTTTATTGCAATTATATTAACTATTCTGAAGCATTTTCAGAATCAAAAAATTGACCTAATTGCTATTTGCCCTGTGCTAGTTGTTGGTTTATATTGGTATTTACAGAATTATTATAGCTTGGTGATTAAACAAATGTTGATTATTATATAATAGATAATTAATTTTGTGAACCGTGTGAAGTTATTTCTGGCTTTTAAAAATCGAAATTGTTAATTGAATTGCGTTATGTTTGATAGTTGCGAGCAGATACCGTTTATTTTGGTGTAGATTATGTTAAGTTATTTGAAAGTTGCTGTACTAGATTATAAACATTTTTTGTTTCTTTTTATTGATATTTAAACAGTTAAGGAGATTTTTTACGCAAAACATTTGGATTGTTATTAATCTCAAGTGATGAATTTCTTGAAACGTGCTTACTGTTCACATTCATCGAATTTGTAACTGGAATAGCAGCATTAGAATTAGTGGCTGTAGAGTGATGTGATTTCTCAATGGCAGTTTTTACTTAAGAATTCTTTCTGGTATTAGCCTCGCTTCTTGTTGTTTGTTAGCTAATTACTTTTTTCTGCTATTCAAGTTATTATTTTGGGGAATTAATTTGAATGTTATTTCCACTACTATTAATATGAATAAAAGTTGCCCCACTTTTTCTATTAGTGCTATTTGTAGCTGTCCTTGCTGCTCCTCCTGCATTTTAGTTATTGCTATTACTATTAATTGTATTAACATTAGTATTTAGATTAGATGAATTGTTATTGCTATTTTGTTGCTAAACCATAACTGTTTATCCTGACTATTAAGATTAAACTAAATTATTTATTTAAGGATTGTTGAAATTTAATAAAACCTTAACAATATTATTTGATTATTATGTTGGTGACTATTAAGTAAAACTTTCTAGTGTAGTCTTTTACTACTATGGAGATAGCAGAAAGGGTTGGTATTAATTTTAATTAATATAATTTTATATTTACTGCTTTTACTATTTATTTTACTCGTTTTAACTCAGTGTATGTACTGAAGAGAATTAATTTTTATTTGTATCTTATTTGCTTGCAGGATTTTAATTTTAAAATTCAGACTAAAAGGCTACATTCTTTTGTTGTTGAGAAATTGCTTGATTTTAATTAGTTATCTAAGAAGATTGAGAGTTTATATTTTTGTTATTTTATTGCTTTTAAGAAACTGGATCAGATTTTAAAATTGCAGATGCATAAGCCTAGTTGCTGATTTGTTGTTTAAACATTTCATAAAGATTATATTTGGGAGTTTGCAAATCTATATTCTTGCTTGAACAGCTTCTCTATGAAAGGGGTTCTTTTATTATTTGATTTGTGCTTATATTATCATTGTGACAGGTTTTTTCTTTTGAGAAATTTAGCTGATCTAATTTCAACTTAAGATTTAAGTGTTTCATATTGCCTTTCTTTAACATTAGTTAGCTGGAAGATACACTTTGTTATTGATTTAAAAAAGAACCTTATGGTAAACTCTAACTCACTTGATTATTAGCTGTTATACTATTATTATTTCCTTAATTAGAGTTAGAATTATTATGAACATATTGTTGTTGAATGCTCTACTAATAAATCTGCTAATTTTGTTATTTCTTTTTTGCAGCTGCACTATTTTTTGTTGAAAAACTCTTGCAAATTAGATTTTGTTAGTCCAAAGAAACCTAATTAAAAATGGAATTCATTTAATTTTATTAGAGTATATCTTAGCTTTAAATATTTTGATTGTTGACGCTATTTATTATATTTTCATTTTAAATTTAATTTGAATTTTTTGGGCTAGGCAATGAGTCTCTTGGCGATAGTGGCGGTTTATTTGGTAAAGTTTAGCTGCCTTTACTAAGATTTTTTTATATAGAAGTTGCTATAATACTTGGTTAAATTTGGGGTTAGCGAGGAGTAAATAACTATGATTCCTTTGTGTCTAATTTATTAGCAACTGAAATTGATGATATAGAATTTGGGAAATTATTTTTTGTAGTATTTGTTGCCTATTAGAATTAAGTTTACTAATTAAAATTGTATTAACCTTATTATTATTTGCTTATAGATGAGCTAATTAATGAGTCTTTATGAACTTAGCTATTAGTAGGTATCTAAAATTGTGATTAACAGCTAGATTTAGTTGTTTAACTACTTTGCTGTATTTAAAAGCCACCCAGTTTACTATCACAGCTACTTTTTATATTGAGATTAAATTTATTAGTTGTAGTAGTTGGATATTAATCTCTAGCTGATCTTATACAATTTTAAGTTTATTAAGAATTTAGTTAGTCTCTATGAGAAAATTTTACAGAAACCGAACCTGAATGCTAATGTTAGTTGGAAGATTTTCCTACTACTAATTTATTATCATTAAAATACTCAATATCATCTAATCTCAGCTGAGGAGTTAATCTTTTTTTAGACTAGTTTTGATTGATTTAACTGTTGTTTTTCAAGTAATTGGCTACTTGTTAGCATTAAATTTATTAGTTTTGTTATTGCTAATGCATGTAATTATCTAAATTCATTTCATTTAAAGCTAAAATTTACATTTCATTATTACTTAATACATTATTATTTTTAAATTATTCTATATTTATTATCTCGCTTTTAGAAGGCTTTACTTTCATTTTTTTTTAAGTGCTAGTTGAATTTTGCTGTAACTATGCTAACTGATTTTAGATGATTTATTACTAATTATTGGAATTATTGGAGACATTAAAATTATTGCGAGATGTATCATTTAAAATTTAAGGATTCTATTAAATATTTTACTTATTGTGTTAAATTGCTTATTGGAGTAACAATTGCTGGGTCTACATATTTTAAATATTTGGGTTACTCTTTTTTTCATTTTTGTTATTTATTTAGATATTTTTATTAGCTAAATTAATATCTTTAGAGTTCAATAGAGACTAAATGTCTTTGGTTCCTGCTTACTTCTAAAAATCATTTGAAGATAAAGTTTGAAGATTTTATTGTTAATTTGGAGATTAGAAGTTTAATTAAATCTTATGAGGATTGATTGTAAATTAATTTTCTTTCTCCTTTTAATTTAAAAATTTAAGAAACTGATCTAATTCTCGATAATCAAATTATTATCTAGATTCATCTTCTACAATGTGACTGCTAATGAGTGAGTGACTTGTAACTATTTCCTCTAATTTTTGATTCAATTCATGAATGGTTAATGATGCATCAGTGCGAGCTGTCTTTTTTTTGCTTTTTTCTTAAATCATTTACTGTTAGCTAGAAAGTATTTACTGCTTTGTATTACTTTGACTTGGAATACTTTACTTAGCATTGTTCATTTATTCATTTTCCTTCTTTTAGCTATTTTTGTATTGTTCTAATTTTTTTTAATAGTTAAGAAATGCATTAGCAGAAATCTCGTATTACTATAATTAAGACGAAGAACCTTGAGGCTATTGCTGAGAATATTGTGATATAAAAATTTATTTACCTTTTTGGTTTTATAATTAGCTAGCTTATAAGTTTTTTTAAGATTTTTCCTCTCTTGAATTATTATTATTTTTTTAACCTTGATTTATCTTTAAACTATTCAGAGATGAAACTGAATTAATAGGACCACAGTTTGATCTTTAGAAATTTAAGTATTAAACAAATCTATCTGTTAATTCTAAATCTTCTGTATTACTATTAGCAATCAAATCTTATTCAATTATTATTTAGTCATCCCTACATGAGCCTCTATTAATAAAGCTGCTAATTTCACCTAACAGTAATTCATGAGATTATTCTGTTTCTTTTTACTATTGTTATATTTATTCCTATTTATCTTCTGAGCTTTCATTTGTTCTAAGAGGGGGTTTTTCACCTACTATTCCTTTTGGAGGGCGATCTGGATTTTTTTTATTCTCCTCCTCAATTAGTTAAGCTATCCTGTAATAATCAAAGCGCCTCTTTTTATCATGGAAATTATTTAAAATATAAGTTTCAGGGAGCATAAATAGTCGTGGAATATCCTTGTGAAACTTATAATATTCAGTTAAAAGTTTAGATTTCTTTGGGTATTCTGAAATATTGTAATATCTTTTAAGGTACTCTGCTTCTTCATCATACATAGTCATATCTTTGTATTATATTGCAGCTTTTGTTCTAAAATTATTTAAGATTTCATTTAAATCTCTCGTATAATAATAATTCTAAGAAGATGCATATTTGGTATAAAGTCTACTAACTATTTATGCGCTAGTGTAGTATATTTTATGTGAATTCTAACAAATTTAGCATTATGCTTAGTCATCTAAAATAAATTTGTTAGAGTAAGCATTTTAATGATGAACCTGTTAACAGTTTTAGTTCTATTAAGATTTGTTTGAAGGTATATTGTGTTATTTCACAATTTATATATTAAGCTTTGGCATAAATGAAGAGCCTTCTAAATAATCTTAACTTGCAGCATTTCTATTGCTAATCTAACCATTTTAAATTTCCAAACTGTCAATTTTACAATTAGACAATAAATTTGAGTTAGGTAAAATAGATCCTCCAATCTTTAGGCTTTGCTCGTTTAGAAAGTTATCTTCCTGCTTTACATTCTACTAATATAATTACTGCTAATTTTCTTTTTGGATATTTCCATTTTATTGTCTTAAACTACTGTAAACTTTTTCATTTTATATACTTTTTTATAAGTTAAAATTTTTTGAACTGCAAACATTTAAATCATTGCTAACAACATTATTTTCACACCAACTAGTTAAAGAAGGAGGACTATTTAAATTTGGCCTTTTTGTAATATTATTGGGCAACTTATTGTTTTGATTAACCGAATGCTGCTATTAGCTTAAGTTTTCTTAATCTAAAAATAAAATCTAGCTTTACGCTCTAGTACCTCCTATTTATGCAGTTGCTGCTTTTTCTTCTGTATTTAAATAACACTAATAACCTAAACCATTTTAATATTCTTCATTATTCATGTTTTATTTCAACTATTGATTCACATGTCCTATATTTTTTTAATTTAAGTAGTTTTCTTAACTATTTTCAGAGATTTGGATTTCATAATAATCTTATTTATCTGTAATATTGTCTATGCATTAATCAAGTATATTTACATAATTATCTTCATTGTAATCTTCAATAAATTCCTAATCTATAAGTTAGCCAGATATATTGCTTACAATCTGAAAAGCATTCCTATCTTAGTTCAGATTGTTATCATAAATGTCTATGTCATCTATTTCTTCTCTTTAGGGTATTTCATATTAATTTTGATAACCCTATTAATATTTATTAAGCTCTTTGTTTTAATAGCTAACTTAAGCATTATGCTTGTAAAAAGGATATTGATTCATCTGCTGCTATTAGTCTTTTTAATGATCATACTAACTCATTTGCTAATTTTAACGAGTTTTTGCTATTGTATCAAAAGTTTAGATCTATAAATTTTATACTATTTTAAATTTATTGAATCCTAAAATATTCACAGACCCTTCCTTTCTTCTAGCTTATCTTGATTGATTGTATGTATGTAATAATTCAATTTGAGTTATTTATTATCTTTCTTTTTCTTTTATCAATCAAATTAAAAATAACAAGAAAAAACACTTAAAATTACTATCTACAAAGAAAAAAAAATTTGTATGTATTTATAAACTGAATTGGTAAATATATATTAAATTATTAGAAGAACATTAAGAGTAATGACTGAATGATTATAAAGTGAGTGAATATATGTATGTATGAATGAATAAATTAATTAATCAATTTTTGAGTTAGTGAGTGAGTGATAAAACAAATAACACTTTCTTTAACTTCATTTCATTATGAATTTAATTTATTTTCATTTAGTTTAATTGAATTTTCTTTCATTTATTTTTATTTTGAATATAATACCTTTAAAAAAAATTTTTATCTTCAAAAATTTAATAGTTAATTATTGTTATTTATGTAATTGAAATTTATTTAATTATTTTTCATGTTTGTTTCTACAAGTATATCAAAATTTTCAATAGCATTCAATCTATCTTTTTCTTAGTAATTAATTAGATTTTCAAATGAATATTTATTAATTTCAATTTTTTTTATGGATTTCTATTAATTTGATAGATATATAGATAGATACATTCTTGCAAACGATTTATTTATATCTTAACCATAACCAATTTAAATAATTTTGTTAGTTTCGAAATACATAAACAAATATTGGCAAGTATTTTTAATTAAAATTGGTTATCACCATAAAAGAAAGACTATATTTTATATTATTCAAAGTATTTGAAATACTATCCGTAACTTTATTTTTTTAAAAAATACTACTTCCAAAAAATTTGTCAATTAAAAATATAAAATGATTAAAATTATAAAAGTAATTTTTTTTTTACCTAATCTCACATATGAAATCCTCAAGTTAAAAAATTGATTACTTCCCTCAAAAATTTTAAATAAATCAGAAGTTAAATTTATAACTGAAATTTTTTAAAAAGCATGTGTTTGTTATCAATAAATATTTCAAATATCAAATTTTAAAAACTTAAGATTCTCTATCAATTCTAAATATAAAAAAAAAAACAATTATTTTCAATATAATTAAATAAACTTTATAAGATAAATTAATTTTTTTCTTTTTAGCAAAATAAAAATTTTTAATACTTATTTATCTTTTTAAAATATTTAGCAAATAAATTAATGTATTAATTAATATTTAGTATTACTAAATTTTTAAGTAATTTATTTTTATATTTTTTTAAATTAAATTATTTTTAGAATATTTTGTTTTCTATTTTATTTTTCATTAAAACTAGAAAAAATTATAATAATATGATTAATTTTCTTAAAAAAATTTAATTCTGTAAAACAAATAAATTATTTTATCTTTAAGGTTAGAATATTCAATTCATCAAATCTTAGTTTTTTAATAATTATAATTGTGAGTATTTTAAATAAGTTTGTTTTGCATAAGAGGTTAAAAATTTTATATTTTCTCATTATAAAGTAAGTGGATTTAATTTTTCACAAAAATATTACAACAGCAACATTAATATAAATAAAAACTTTTTTTTATAAATTTGACTTGTTGTTTTATTAAAAATTCAAACAATATCCAGTTAAAACTTAAAATTAAATCATCTTCTTTAGCTGTCTTTTTTCTATATTTTTATATATTTAAATAAAAACTTTCTATCAATTAAAAAAGAAATATTTTATAAGTTAACTCAACACAATTTAGATTATTCAGAAAAGTATACCACTTTTTTTTATTTTAATAATATTTAAGGTGATTTGTTAAAGCTTATTCAAACTTGTTACATGTAATATGTAAGAATAAGATAGTTTTTTGAATAATTTTAGTAATTTAGTTATTATAATTATAAAGTAATGTCTAAGTAAAAGCATAAAATTATGTAAATTGAAAATGTTTGTTATTTGTTCTCTAAGCTAATCAATAATTCATTAGATTTTGTTAACTTTAACTTTATTTAAAGGAGTTGCTGCAGTCTTTTAAAAGTATTTTTAGTAATCTAATAATTTTTACAACATGTAATTATCCCATTCTGTTTACTTTTCTCTATTTAATCTATGATTTGTTTCCTTGTCATACTTTTTTTCAAGAGCAATATAATCTTTAAGAATTTTATCAAATAATCTTGGGATTTCAAACCTATAATTATCAGTAAAGTTGTATGACATCATCTATTTTTTAAATTCTAATCCACAAAAGCATCCTATAATATAGTGACCTTGCTCGTGGTTCAGAAGATGAGCGTTCTGCTTTTTGGCCCAACTTTTCTTTTTTAGCCAAACATTAACTTCTGGCTTTATTATATAAGACACCTTTTTATTTTTAGCTGCTTTTTACTGAACTGTATATGTGTAGTTAATTCCCCAAAAAGCATGAGCACTCCACTTCAAATCATAATTTGGTGTACCAGAAAAATCTAACCAAGATAGTTTTTTTATCCTTAAGTTACCTACAGTACAAGGGAGTATTTCATCTAATGGAAAGGATTATTGGTCGTCTAGTTTATCAACCAATGAGGAGGGTGCTGAAGGATTTTATTACGAATTACTGCAACATTACTTATTACACTATTCAGTTTATTATGGATTTTTAATATTTTCTAAATCCTCTTCGTCTTCTGTACAATCTCCTTCATCATGAGCATCATTTTAATCAGGATTCATATCTTCATTAGAACAGAATCTTTCTTCGATCTATTCTTCAGAAGTAAATATTGCTTCGCTAGAAATTATTGGTTGCAAAGATGTACTAGTACTCAAAGAGAATTTGCTTAGTTCCTTTTCAGAAGTAAAAATTTCATTTTACTTCAAAGTTTCTAAAGCAGTTAAACTCATTTTAAGATAATTCTAGCTTTGATTTAATCTTAATTATTTTTTAAAAACAAATATTTATTCTTCTTACTTAACCATAGAAATTTAAAGTAATAGCTAAGACTTATTTTGTATAAAAAAGCAAATTGGGTTATTAAAACATTAGTTTTTTGCAGATTTAACACCTAATTTAAATTAAATTAATAATTTGGTTTACCTTTTAATCAAAAATTCAGAATCCATGTATAAAAAAAATAATATCAATAATTTTTTTATAATTGATTAATATTTTTTTTTTTTTTTGAATGTTTTATCATTCTTCTTAGATTTTAAAATCATGTATCTTTAAAAAGAAAATTTTTAAAAATATTAAAAGCTAATAATTGCATATCATTTAAATAAAATATGAAAGTAATAAAAAAAATTATTACCAAAATTAAAAAATTATTTTAATGACAGCTTTTATTATTTTTAACTTTTTATATTAATCATAAAATTTAAAATATTTTTTTTTAATTTTTGATTCTTATAAATATAGTTTTTTTTAAATCAATCAAGTTCGTTCGTTAAAAAAATTTAATAAAATCAATTAAAAATATTAAAGTATCTCAAAAATTAAAAGAAAAAATAGTAGTAGTGTTTATTATACATTTATAGTTAAACCAATTGAAATGGTAGATATTTAATTTAAATAATAAAATCTTATACAAAATATATATAATGTAAAAAATTTAGAAATTTTCTTTTGAATAATGTAGAAATAAAAATATTTTAATTTAAAAATGAGAAAATTAAATTATATCAATTTAATTTGATTCATATTTATTGAAAGATATTTTTATTATTTTATTAGAAGCCTAATAAAATTAGCGTCTCCTTAGTTTATTTTCAATTTTATACAATTAAGAATTAATTTTATTTAATAAAAAATAGAAGATTAAAAGCAAATTTTTAGTATTTATGGAGAATTTAGAGAGTACTATAATAGATAAAAATAATAAGAAAGCTTAGCATAATGGACTTCCTTATGACAAAAAACCTTTTGGAGAAGTAGTTGTTTAAAAAAAAAAAAGAAATGAACAGCTGAAAATAAAAGGACTATAATAATTTGATATATCAAATAAGCATGGCGCTATTTTATGTGCTAATGATACTGTACTAAAGGTATATTATGGTAAAAATCTACAAAAAGAAGCAGAAATTAAATTCGAAAACGAGATTACTTGCTTTAAAATTAATTAACTAGATGAATCTCTAATAGCAATAGGATTCCGAAATATTAATGAACTTCATATTTTAGAATTAGTTCCTTTTATTTAATCTCACTTTAAGAATTAAGAAAGTCTTATTAAGTTTAGCTTCGATGAAGAATTCAACTAGATAAAATGGAATTCAATAAATAATAATTTAATTATTAGGAATTCCAAGACAAAAGCAACTAATCATATCTGTTTAGCAGAAAGGAAGATAAATAATTTAGAAGAATCTGATGCAATATGCTTTACTTTAAATGGATGTATAATAAAATGTCTGGGATAAGATTATAAGTTTATTAAAAATGAAAAAGAATTAAATGATACTATCGATATTTAAATTGAAACGCCTAAAGAATTGTCTAGAATAGTCCATATAGAAGAGTATTAAGATAATTAATGGTTTGTTATTGGCTTTACAAAAGATGGTGACGATGATGATGAGGAAGATTCAGAAGAAATGTAAGTTCATTTAGTAGTTCTTAAGGGTGATCCTGAAAACATGGAGAGCAAAAGTAAAAAAGAATCAGTAATAAGCTTGAGTGGTAATTTATCAGAATTAAATAAATACTTAGACTTTTTAGAATTTAAGATCGTGAGAGTCAGTAAAAATATTTATACTTTGTTTTAGTCTGTGATACCTAATAGTGAGACATTTTAGGTATTAGATAATGGATAAAAAATCAATTGTGAAGTAGAATTAGAAGTTAAATAAATTAAAGGGTAAATTAGAGGAGCTGGTTTTGCAAAATTCTAAATAGATGAAGATGATTCTTTCTTACAGATAAAAGATGGTGAAACTTACTATTACTAATTCATTCCACCATGCTTGATGGCTTTTGACTCTGAATTAACTATATAGAAATATTATTTCTGTCATCATTTATCAAAATCATAGGAATCTAAGAAATAGCCTAATGATATAGAATATAGGACTATCTGTATAGATGAATAAAATTAACTTAAAGAAGATACTGATTATAAACCAAAAGAAAAAGTAGAGTAATAAATAGATATTTCTGAGAATTTAGAGAAATAAAATTAGGTAATTTAGGAAAATTAATAAAAAGAGATTCCTCCTATGTAATAATAGTCTGATAGTTAATAAGCAGAGCAAAAATAAGCTCCTAATAGTGACTAAAAAAGCGAAATTAAATAGAATTAATAAAAGTAAAAAATTGAGGATTAAAAAATTGTTCCAATTTAAAAAATCCAAGAGGAAGAAAATTTAATAAAGCCTGATCAAATTTAATATACAAAAAAGTTTGTTAAGTAATTGATCAGTAACTTTAAAGATTACCAATCTAAAACGAAGAAAATTATTTACACAAACTAAAGATATGCATATGACCACTCATGTGATAAAACTGTTGAGCAGCTTTACTCATATACAAATCTCTAAGCAAACTACCTGAAAAAAGATTTTGATAAAGTTTTTAAATAGTAATCTATCCACTGTATTGATTATATTTATGAAAAAGATAAGCTTCTCCTTTGTACCAATGAACCTGATGGATTATCTTATATATATGCATTCTCATTATAAGAATACACACAAATCCATGAATTTATTAAAAAATTAGAATAAGGATTTGAAAAAATCACACATAGCTAATTAAAACCAAAGGAGGCAATTTAAAAAAAGAAAGCTCATGTAGAAGAATCCACTAAATAAATTCAAAATGAAATGAATAAGTATAGAATATTTTGCTCTAAAACACAAATCGTTCAAATACATGTTGTTTACTCATATTTTCTTGCAATAGTCTTTGCTAATGGAGTTATTTTAAAATCTGTTGATTCTCTACTAGCCTAAATTCCTTATAACTAAGCTCCTTTCGTTGCCCAAGAGTAATCTTCACTTGCTGTCAGATAAGTGATTTTTAGTTAGTCAAAAAAATATTTTCTTATTTTGACTACTGATAATTAAGTAATTGTTTTGAACACCTTGACACAAGAACTCAAATTCTAAAAATCAGATGTTATGTTTGCTAACTTCTGCCATGACAAAGAAAATTTAATCTACATTTTAGATAAAAAATCAATTTAAGTGTATGATTTCATCAATAAAAAAGAAGAAGGAAGTTATAGTAAGGTTAGTCCTTAAGAAAATCTAAAAGTGGTACATTTTGAAGAATATAAACCTGGAAGCTTTTTCTCAGTTTAATACTAAATAAATGTATTATAATAAGAATGTGATTAATGTAGTAATCTTGGTTGTGATTTTTGCAAAGAATATAATATATATGTCTTTTAGTCTAACAATATCTCTAAATTTTAATAAATATAGCTAGATATGCAACATTCTTGGAGTACACGCAATTTAATACGTGACAGTTGTTTTGTGAAATGCCATTATAATCCTTAGATTAAGTAACTTGCTTCTATATTTAATTAAAAGGGTTCAATATTAATTCTTAATATTGAAGAAGATGAGTTAACAAATCCTCAATATAAAGTACCTTAGTGGGCATTACCTGAACAAGATATTTCAGGATTTGTTTACTTCCCTTATAGAGAAAATAGCTAGAAAGATTTCTTCTATTACAAACCTAGAGACGATTAGTAAAAGCGCACATACTTATTGCCTTCAATTATGGTTTTTTCAGGGGCTTTCCATTTAACTAGAATATTTCTATTTGATGAAGGAAAAGCTATTGCAACAGATATTGAAGACTAAAAAGCTTTGTAAATACTTAGTTAAAGTAATACTCTTATCTCTATTGAAGAGTACACCAAATTAATCAACAATAAAATTGATAGCTTTACTTAACATCCTGATTACTATTTGCTTTATGAAAAAATGGAATAGCTAAAACATATCTTAAACTTTTTAGAAGATAACAATGTGGAAGATATAATTGAAGCAAAATTTTAAGAAGATTTGAATTAAATAGATAAGTAAATGAAATTGATTAAACAGTAAAATGAATAATTAATAGCATAAGAAAACAATCTACGACTAAACAACCAAAAAGAGAAAACTCTTAATTAATAACCATAAGCCAAACAACAAATAATTCAAATAGAAAATAAGATTTAATAAATAGAAGATAAAAAAGTAAGTAATATAGTAGAAAATTAAGATTTTAACCAATAGCTAGATTCTTAAATGTAAAAAAAATTGAATGAAAATGATGAAGCCAAAAAATAAAAAAACTAATTACTACAATAACTACAATAAAATTAACCAACTAATTTTAATTCTATTTAAGACAAAGCATAAAAAATACTAGATCTTTTCTTATAAACTGCTCAGGATTTAGTTGAATCAAATGAAAGATTTAAATCATAGATAGACAACATCCAAATTAATTTTAATTAAAGCGAAAAGAATTTGAATGAAAATAAAGAGAATAAAACAGGTATAAATCAAATTGTTCATTTTTCTGAAAAGAATATAACTATTTTTGCATACAGTAACTAACTTTATCTTTATGATAAAAGTAAAAGCTCATTAATATAAATGAGTGATTAATCATCAAACTCAAATCTTAAAAAATTTACTGAAATTCAATTTATTTAGAAGTTCCCATAGAAAAATGATAAAAGAATGCATTTAATTGTAGCTTTAAAACAAGAATAAAAATTAATGTTTTAAAACGGAGCTTAAAATGGATAACAAAACTGCATTTTCCATTTAATAGTAGATGATAATCCTTCTCGTTTTAAAGTATAAAGAGTCGTCCATAAATATGGGTCAAGGCTCATAAACAATATTTCAACTTGTTATGGAGAAGATAAACTTTTAATAACCTATTCTGATAACTTTGTTGAGTTACTTATTGGATAAGGAGATAATTCTGAGTTCAAAGTTATTCAATTCTGGAAGGCTAATTTTGCTATTTTTTCTATGATTGGAACAATCTTTTTAGGTAATGATAATATTTTATAAGAGCATGTTTATATACTTCATGAAAGTGGTAATCATGAAGTATTTATGCTAAAAGAAATAAATCTAAATGAAAAAGCTGGTGTCAACTTCGTCAAGGTAGTATATATGTACTAATATAACTCAGAGTGCTTTTTAGTTGTAGGAATAAGCCATTCTTCTTTCACACCTATACCAATTTTATCAAGTACATTTACTCCAGTAACACACCAAAACTAGCTTAATTATTAAATTAGCTGTAGTATTACGAATATAAGTTAGGCTTCCATTTAATTTAAAGCAAGTTTCTCTAAATAAATGAAACAACTTTACTTATCTAACAATTTTAGTAATTCAGTATATGTCTTTCCTATCTCTCTAAATTAGATAGTTCATAAACCTTAAATTAGCACATTACAACTTCCTAACTTAAAATTGATTAATGGATTTTTCTAATCTCAGTAAGATGGTGAAAGCACTACCTATGAATATTTTGATTTTAGCTAAATGAGAGGATCCAAGATAAAATTCTCAAAAAATAGTAAATCCATATATTATTAATTAGACTTTTGATGATTTGTATAAATAAGTAAATGTGATATTTATGTTTTTATATGATTATTTATCAATTTTACCAATTAAGAAAATAAAATTTTTTTATTTTTTTTCTTATTTCATTGAAAATTTTTAAAAATATTCGTAAGAAAATTGAGGTAAATTAAAATTAAATTAAGGAAAAATACATACAATTAATGAAAATATTTTCTTTGAATCTAAAAATTTTTTTAGATTGGATATTTATTTCAAAAAAAATATTTTTTTGTTTCAGAAAAATTTTTAAAATGAAAAAAATACTTTATTTAAAATATAAATTTAGAAATAAAAAGTTTTAATTTATTTTAATTAAAAAAAAACTTTTAAAAATAAATATCTATTTTATAAAATTGTAAATAATTTGTATTTATATTATTAAAAATACTTATATTTTTTATATTCTAAGTTAATTGTTAAATTTCTCCTTTAGAATATATCAATCCAAATAAATTAAAGAGAGACACAATCTTTTTATAGTAGGAAGAAATATTTTTTTAATAGCATATTAATAGAAGGAAATGTAGGTATCAAAATAATATCTAATCTATTTTTTCATTCATAAATAAATTAAAAAAGTCAATCTATCAATTTAAATAAAATATTGATTAATTAATTAATTTTATTTTAGTTAAAGATAAAGCAAATCGATCTTTAATAGTGTTATTGTATTAGCAGCATCAGTAGAAAATGTTCTCAAGTTAAGTATCATAAGAGAGCTCAATTTTTAGCTAATCTAAAGTATTGCCTGCTTTTAGTAACTTTGGAGCTTCAAATAGTCAACAATAAAGTAATTAAAAAATGCATTTAATATAAAAAATATTTTTATTTTATTTTCATAAAAATAGATTCAATTAATTTGAATTTTGGTTAGCCTAACACTCTTTTTTCAAGCTAAATGGTATAAAATGCACCATTTTTTAGTAACAAAAGCAGCTCTATAGCCTTTGATGTAAAAAAAGAAGAAGTAGAATAGCAGGAAACAACTTTAGATCCTTATATTTAGGAGATAGAAAGAAAATAAAAGTTACTTTAAGAAGCTAAAACAAATAAAAAGTTAAGAGAAGAAATCCTATAATAAGAAGATGTATTAAAATCAAATCCTAAACTGCAGAAAATCGATGAAGCAATTAATAAAGTAATATCGTAGACTGATTAATTTATCGCTTTAATTTAATGTAAGGAGGAGAACTACATGTTTCCTAAAAGAATCGAAACCATTTAAGGAGAAATATAAAAAATTTCAAATGGAATAAAATATGGTAGCAATACTTCCTAGTTTTAAAAAATTTTAAGTGAATTAGGCTATTTATGTTGGTAAACTTCTAATAATTTGGAGTAAGTTTAAATTGAGATGAGAAGAATACAAAAACAGATTAATGAAGGTGATTAAAATTATTAGAAAAGCTCACTCTCTACAAAAAGTAAACAATAAATTGATAGTAATTAGTAAAATAAAAAGATATTGGAAGTTTTAGATGTAAAACTTAACTTATTAAAATGCATTTTAGATGAATTCAACAAGAATATTGTATATGTCAACAATTCTAAAGAAATAAATGAAAAGAAAAATTTAGAAAAAATGATAAGCAACATTAGTTTAATTTAATAGGATGCAGCTACTTAATGCTTTCAAACATAAACTCTAAATAGCAAAATTGAAGATAAAAATAATTCAGAAATTCAATTATTTTTAGATGAAAGTATCGATGTGAAGCTATAGGTTCTAGAAAATATGATAGTCTCTCGCTTCAAAGAGTTACATGATAAAGTTATTTAGCTTGACATATAGTTAATAGATAACTAATAAAAGTAGAAAGAAGTTAAAGGCAGAGTCGACCTTAGTTTAGATAATATTGATTTAGACACAACTCAGGTCTAAGAAAACTAATATCATTTACTTCACTACTCTTATGTAAAAACTTAGGAAGAAAAAGAAAGTAATCCCACTTTGTAAAAGGATCGTATTCCAAATATAAAGTTAGCAGGTCGTGTTACAATTGCTGATGAGGTTGAACTAAATCAAAGTTAAAAGAAAACTGTGGCATAGAAAAAGTAAAAGAAGGAGGTCGAATTTGATCTTGATGAAAACTTCAGCAGTGATCCTGAATAAGAAGAGATCAGCTAAGACGATTTTGCAGAAATTTAAGTAGATCCATTCGAAATCTAAAAAAATTTTATTTAGTGCTAATCATCTATAATGCATATTAGCAAAGTAGGGGGATGCGTTAATTTTTCCTAACCTTAAAAAGCTTAAACTGATGATTTACTATTCAAAATTTAATGCGATAACTCTAAAATTCCTATCCCTCATAACATTAAATTTAGGGAAAATCTATTTAAATCATTGAAGTCCTCAAAGAAGTTATCTAAATCATAATAAGATAAAGAAATTTACTTAGGTGAAAATCATTACTATTTGAGTAATAAATTAATAATTTAAAATTTATTAACTCCCTTATAATATGAACATTTGGGAAAAGAGGCCATCACAAAAGAAAAAATGAAAATAATAGTTAATGAAACTTAAAAAGTGCACAATCCAACTAAGGAAAATAATAATATTAATCTTAATCTTAATGCTATTGCAGAAAATAAGCTACCACAAAAGTCAAAAGGCGATGAGACTGTAGGAAGAATGGTAGCAAGTATTAAAGAAGGAGTGCCTTCACCTAAAACAGAAAAAATTCCTTCAATAATGGTCAAAACTAAAAAGGCAGACTCTTTTACTATTAATGAAAGTGAAATTAATAATCCTTTGGATTCTGATTCATCTGATGAAGAGGAATATCTTTAAAATGTTTCTTAATTGCAAGTAAAAACTGATAAAAAAGACCAACTTCCCGCTAATATCTTAGGTAATAGAGGAGTCTCAATCAATTTACAAGAGGTTGAAAAAAGTAACACAAATAAATAGTAATAACCAGAATTACCAAAACAAAGTAATTCACTTTTCCAAAATGTTAAAAAAGACAATACCAATGAGTAAGCTTAATAACAACAAAATAAAAATCCTCCTAATTTGATGACATAAAATCAATTTAAGCTAAGCAGTAATTAAGAAAGCTAAGCTATATAAAATACAAATTAACCTAAAACTGAAACTCAACAATCAAAAAACCCTCAAACAAATAATCCTCTATTTGGAAATATTAACAAAGCTACTACATTCCCATAAAAAGATACTCAGAGCTAATAATAGTAAAAACAAATATCTAATAACTCACTTGCTTCGGCCCTTGTTTAACCAAAATAGTAATAGTAGCCTTAATTAGGAATAGGTATTAATCTTACAAATTAAAACTAAAATGAAAAACCTAAAGCTTAAGCTGCTGCAGCATAACCTCCTTCATCTCCACCATAATCTTAAGTTTAATAATAAGTATCATAAGGTTTATTTGGTTAAAATAAATTGTTGCCAAAAAAATAGGAAGATAAATCTGTAGACTTACTTTAAAATTAATAATAAAAGCTAAATGACTAATAAAAAGCTTAGATAGCATCATAACCTCCTTCTTCACCATCCTAAGCTCAAGTTACTCAGTAGACTAATTAAAGTTTATTTGGATAAGGATTAAATGAACCTAAAAAAGTAGGAAATATTGTAGATTAATAAACAACTTAACAACCTCCAACTACCTCTTTATTCTAAGCAAAATAATAAAATCAATAAGGTTTATTCAATTAAGGTACAGCAGCAATATAGCAATAACCATAATAAAAACAATAGTAACAAAAGGCTTCTTTACCACCTGATTCTCCACCTTTAGATTAAGTTAAAAAGTAAACTTAATAAGAAAAATTTGGAATGTCTGCACTTAATTTAAATCAATAAGCCTAATAAGGCACTGAAAAAGCAAAATAGTAAGTATAATAACAATAACAGTAAAAGGCTTCTTTACCTCCTGCTTCTCCTCCTCAGGATTAAGTTAAAAAGTAAGCTCAGTCAGAAATGTTTGGTATGTCTGCACTTAGTTTAAATCTTTAAGCTTAATAAAATACAGCATAAGGAGCTTTACCAAACTTATAATAAAAACCTGAGGCACCTACTGCTGCTGGAGAAAGTGACAAAAACAAAAAATTACCACCAGCTCCTTCAAATTTTAGTTTAAACAGTTATCCAGCTACCTAACAGAAAACAGGAGGTTATTTTAACTTTTTGAATAATAACAATACATAATAACAACCTTAAGCAGATAATAAATAAGAAATAAAACAAGATGTGCCTTAACAAAATAATGAAGTAAAAATTCCAATATTTTAGGTTAATAATAATAATAGTAATAGTTTATTAAATCAGTAATAAACTTAAGCTGACAACAAATAAATATTGGAAACAGGTATTAAATAGCCTACTCAAGGTTAAGGGTTAATTAGCTTTGCTAATACTTCAAACAATAATAATGCAGGTGGAATGTTTGGATAAAAAAATAATCAAATTCCAGCTTTTAATCAGCAACCTGGTATTATTTAAAACCAATTCTAAGATAAAGAAGGTGATGAAGTAGGTATTAAAAAGAAAAGGCTTTCAACCGAAGATAAACAAAACAACTAGCAAACATCTGGAGCAACCAACTAATTTGGAATGTTTAGTTAGAATAACTAATTTAGCTTGAATAATGCAAATTCATTTTAAAATTAACAAAATTAAAATGGAATGTTCAATAATACTTTCCCATAATAATAAAACAATAATAATTAGTAAGCAAGCGCTTTAAGCAATATTAATTTCGGAAATGCCAGCGGTTTAAATATGTAAGGGGGTTTGTTTTAAGGTGGAAGTAAGCAAGCTTTAAGTGGTAACACCAGTAGTCTTTTTGGAACTCAAAATAATAATAACAATCAGAATATGTTTGGTTTTGGTTAGCCATCTTAACAATCAGGTCTTCCATAAGCAGGATTTGGTGCTGGTAATTCCGTATTCGGTTTTAATACCAACAATAATAATCAATAAAATAATTAAGCCTTCAAGTTAGATCCTAAAAATATTTCATTTGGGTCGTTTGGTTAGAATCAATAATAATAACAACAACAACAACAATAATAATAACCTAATTAATCATCTAATATGTTTAGTAATTTTGTTTAATAAGGATAAGGTCTTTTCTAAACAGGTTAACAAGGTAACCCTATGCTTGGAGGGTAAGCCAATACCATTACACCTGGTATTAATAATACAAATAATACTGGTGCTTTTTATAGACCAAGAAAATGAGATAAATAAATATTAAATTTCTAAGATAATTTATATTTTAAGTTGATTTTTATTTATTTATTTATTTTTCACTTAAAAAGTAATTTTCATTTTGTTCATTTTCTGTCTTTATTTTTTAAAATAATAAAAATATCTAAAAAAATTTTTATATTAAATAACTCACCCATACATATAATACACTTAATTAATAAGGCTATACCGAATCGAAAATTTTAGAAAAAGGATAAATTATTTTTTATGTATTCTATTTGTATGTAGCCTTGAAAAAGACAGTACCCTGGGGTGCTATACATATATATATATATATATATAATTAAAATTTATTTCATTTTTTTAGAAAATAGTTTTATTAAATTTAAATAATTTTTTTATCTTTAAAAAATAATCTAAACAATTTAATATTTTAGAAAATATAAAAATTTAAAGATTTACAAAAACGCTAATCTGTATTGATTTTTCAAACGTTTTAACATTCATTAATTAAAAGGAGTTAAACAAAAACTAAAATTTTAAGGATCTCTTAATTACATTTAGACAAAAAATAATAATATAAAAAAATTAATTGATCTATTTAGATAAGAAGTATATAATATGAAAAAACAAATCATTTTGGTTCTTGTAATAGCATTAATTCTTAGTTCTTGCTCAGCTTTAAGATATAAGAAAAGACACAATCACAGATTGTTCGCCTAAGTCAAACAAGATGGAGATCCTCAAAACGCTACACTATAAGAACTTCTGAAATTAGATGTGTCAAATTTTTCATGCGATAATCTTGCTGAATATAAGTAGTACTAAGGAAGAATGGAAGATTTTGTAAGTTTTTTGAATAATAATCCTGAAGAGGAGCTTTTACAATCAATAAATGAATTGGGTTAGGCATCATTGCTCTTAAAAAAGGCCAAACAACTATTTGATCACCCCTCTGAAGTTGGTTCTCTTTCATAAACCAGCAAAAACAAATCTAAAAAAGCAAAGCATGTCCATTATGGAAAGCTTTCTAAGCATTTGAATAACATAAGTGAAATTGTTGATCCATAATTAGTTCAAGAAATTCAATCAGCTATAGTTTTAATTTCAACTTCTGACGATAATGAATAAATTAAATAAAAAATTGATGAAGTCATAAAAATCATTTAAGTGTTAAAGGAACAATGCTCAAATCTTTTAGGTGAAAAAGATAGTTTTGAAGCTTACAGTGAAGAACTCACTTAACAAATTAATGATATTAAAGCTTAGTCATCTAATTGCTAATGATTTGTTAACATTTATCTTATCTGTTAACCAGTTTTATCAATGCTTCAGCATTTTTATGGTTTGAATTCTTAAAATTGAATGAAATATTTTATGAAAATTTGATAGGAATTATTCGTTTTTCTTTATATTGTGATTAAATGTAAATCAATTTTTGACTTAAAATTATACGTTTTTGAACACAAATCAATTGAAATAGAAAATGAACTCATAAATTTAATAATTTATTTAATAAAATAATTTCAAATCTTTCTGATCTCAATAAATTAATATTTACCAATGAAAATTATCTTTTGAATAAATATTTATTTTTTTATTTTTTTCTTTTTAAAATTAAGCTTTTCAAAATATTTAATTGAAAAAATAATTTTAATTATTATTTTAAATTTTAACATTTTTAATTGTTTTGGATGAAAAAGTAGTAGTAGTAGAATTGGATTTATTTAAAAATTTATTATTTTTTTTTGAAATCTACTCACAAAAATATTGATGATTACCTTAACGGATATTATTTTAACCAAATATTTCTTAAAATGTATAAAGTGTTTGTTTTCATAAATTTTTTCTCATTTTTAGATAGAAAGTTAATTAGCGATTAAAATGTTTACTTAGCTTAATACATTTTTTAGTAGAACATAAATAAATTTAAGATAATTTTTTAATTATAAATATACGAATTTTCTTATTTGAATATTATATATTTTTATTATCATATGAAATTTTTTTGTTGATTATTAAATATTTAATATTTTAAGTAGAAATCAATAAAGCTGCCTTAAATAAAAAGTATTTGCAAAAGTAAAATGGAGTTAAGTTAGGACGCTTATAACTTTAGTTAGCTTGTTTTAGAGGAGTTTGGTGCTCCTTATAGAAAAGAAGAAATAGAAAAAAAGATACTAAACATTGAAGAAAAATATAAAAATTTAGAAGAATTAAATCCATAAAATAATCAAGAAAAATATTCTTTAGATTATGAGAAAAAATTCAATAATATTAAAGATGAAGAAGATAAGCAAAAGGAATTAGAATAGATAATGAAAGGAAATCCCTATTTGTAAGCTATGGGATGCTCTCATGATAGAAGAAAGGTTTTTATATTAATATCTTCATAAAATTTATAATGTTGAGTTTGTTTTAATTATGAAAAATAAATTTAGGAAAGAGAGTTATTTGAAAAACCAACAAAAGAAAAGTTAGATAATGCTGAATATTTTAAGGGTGAGGGAAATAAAGCAATCAAAGAAAAAGATTATGAGAAAGCAGCTTATTTTTATCAAAAAGTATAAAGAAAAAATAAATTTCATTAAATCTTTTAGAAAAATTTATTTAAATTAATTTTAAAAATATATTTTAAAATTTTTCTAGAATATAGCAAATTATAATTTTTTAAATTTAATTTTAATTAATTTTAAAAATATTGAACAGGCCCTTCTTTAATTTGATTACACATTTCCTGATAATAATGATGAGTAATAAAGATTTGATCTGTTAAGTTAATAATGCTTTGTAAATATGTCTTTAGTAAAATATTATCAGAAAGAATATGATGATTCTTTGCAAAATGCAAGATAGGCACTTAAATTGAACTAAAGCAATATAAAAGCATTATTTAGAATTGCTACAATCCACCTTGAAAGAGATGAGTATGATAAAACAGAAGAAGTAAAATAATAATTAATTCTACAATTTTTTGACAATCTTCTTAAATTTTAAATTCAGAAATATGAACTTTTATGGTTTTGATGTTGTTTCTTTGTTTTTCAATAAAACTTTCTCATTTAAAATTATAATTTTTAAAAAATGTTATTATACAAACAAACATTAAATTTTTAGTTAAAAGATAGAATTATTTTATTGTAAATACTTTAATTTGATCCTTTATTTTAAGAAAATATTTACTTTAAATTTTAGGTTATCAAGTAAATGGAGGAAATTGATAATAATAAAGAAGTTTAATAATTAAAATCATAGCTGTTGCAATAGGTAATAAATTTAATTTAACTTTGAATTTTAAAACTTAATTTTTTTTTTTGAAAATAGAAATCTAAATATCAAAAAGATGAAAAAAAAGTTTATGCAGACATGTTCAGCAAGTTGAATAAAGAAAAATGAATAAAAATTTAACATAAGAAGGTGATTTGAGAGGCATCTAAAACTTTTTAAAAAATATAAATTTTCATAAAAGAGTATGATTTGAAAAATATCTAAACTTTTTTTGAAAAATATAAAATCTTATTAATTAATTAGTTTTAAATTATTATGAAGTTATATATAACTTTTTATTTATTAGCTAGATGCAATAAATTTTATAAAATAAGAGAATATTCCTATATAATTTTAGTTTCAATTTAATATTATTTGATTAAATTCATTTTAAAATGATAAATTTTGTAAATCTATTCAAACTTTAAATGATTTTATTGGAAATAAATTAATTCTCGTATTTACTATGAATACCTTATCATGATTTACACATTAATTTCTTATACTAAAAATAAATGTTAATAAATCTTCTGGTAAAATTTATGAGTATCATATCTTTAATTAATTTTTAACTAAATAGAGGCAAATCTCTTTTATAAAAGAATTTTGCAGTAATAAATACAGTTCTTCCATCAAATAATTGATAAAATTAATCAAAACAATATATTTCATAAAATAAGTCCTCATAAAACTAAGAGATGAACAAATAATTACTTTTATTAGCTCTTTTAGGAACAGCTTTGATTGGATCAACTGTTTTCCTTTTAGTCAAGTCTAACAACAACGTTTAAGAAAATGAAGAAAACTTAGCTTAGCTATGGTCACTTTGGAAGAAGACTTACAACAAAAAATACGCTGATCCTGATTCAGAACATTACAGAATCTAAGTTTTTTCTTCTAATTTAGACTTTGTTAAGTAAGACACAACTGGTACTATGGGTATCACTCAGTTCTTCGATTTAACTCGTGATGAATTTGCTGCTACTTATCTTACTGAAAGACTTACTGATAATAATGAACCTATCGCTGAAGATATTCCTATTGATTCTTCAACTAATATCAATTGGGTTACTGAAGAAAAGGTTACTGATGTTAAAAACTAAGGATCTTGTGGCTCTTGCTGGACTTTCTCTGCAACTGGTGCCGTAGAATCAGCTTTGATCATCGCTGGTAAAGCTGAAAGATCTATTAATCTTTCTGAATAATAACTCGTCGATTGCTGCACTGCTGAATATGATAATGCAGGTTGTAACGGTGGTAACAAAGATTAGGCTTTCAGATACATTGAATCTAATCCAATCACTACTGAAGCTAACTATCCTTATAAGGCTGTTAACTAAAAATGCAATACTTAAAAGGCTGCTTTAACTCCTAATTACACTATCTCTAACTACAAGCAAGTAAATGCTTCTACTAATGATCTTGCTGAAGCCCTTAAGATTCAACCAATTGCTATTTCTGTTGATGCTTCTAATTGGTCTTTCTACACAGGTGGTATTTTCTCCAATTGCAATAATACTACTCATAATCATGCTGTCCTTCTTGTTGGTTTCTAGAACGATGCTTGGATTGTTAAAAACTCTTGGGGTACTACCTGGGGTGAAAATGGTTACATTAGACTTAAAAACGGTAACACTTGTGGTCTTGCTAATGTTCCTTACTATCCTATTGCTTGATGTTAATTCAATAAATAGAATAAAAATTTAAAATAAATTTAAAAATTAAAAAAATATTCCTTTGTAACAATTTTATATAAATTGAACAATTTTTATTTTTAAAACATTTTTTTTTAGAATTTATTCATTTTTTTTAAAACTTTTTCTAATAAAAACAAATATTATTTGATTGATTATTACTTTTTTTTAATTGAATATTTATTTATTTTTCTTGTTTTTATTTTGCTCATTTGCTTTTTTTAATTTGCTAATTTAGTATTTGAATTATTCTGTTGAAATGTAATTAAGAAGTAATGCAAAATCTGTGAAATTATTTGAAATAAAATTTTCAAGAAATAATCAAGAAAAACAAAATGAATAAGATTTATTATGAATATTTACAAATAATTGAAGAATTTATTTATTTATTATGAAATAGTTGTTGATAATTTATTTTTATTGAAATATTTTTAGTAGAGAAGATTTTTATTTTATAATGTATTATTTATTTGATGAATGTTGAGTATTTTATCAGTAATTTCTAAAAAAGTTATTTATAAGCTAGACTAATTTACCATGGTCATTAGGCTTACTAAAAAGCTCTTTAAATCTTTCGGATTGAATATGCCAATTCCAATCATGAGATTTGTCAGAACATGTGCTAAATGTAGCCATAAGTCGTCTAGAATATTCAAATGAATACTCAGGATGACCCTAAAAGCAAAGCATACGTTTATCTTTTGAAAAGGCTATTTCATTAGGAGAAGTATCGGATTCACCAATCTTTTCAAAGAATTCTGATGGTAAAGACTCTACGTAATCGCCATGACCCTTATTGATAAAAAGGGTGTTTATTTCTTCAGCAAAAATATCCTTGAAGAATTATTCATTGTTAATTTGTTTAGAAATTCTTAACTCTTCATTGCCAATAACATGAAAATGAGGGTCTTTCTTTCTACCTTCGGTTTATTTAACTATGCCACCGAATGTTTGAGCCATAATTTAGAATCCAAAACATATGCCAATAAATCTTAAATGAGGAAATTCATTATATATTTTATTTAAGAAAAGTCCTAAATTAATAACCCATGGAATGTCTTCCCATGCACCTGCTCCGCTACCAGGTACTATAATAGCACGTGTCTTATTCAGAAGTTCCTCATCAGGATATTCTCCTTTAGCTACGTTGAATGTAAACCAATGTTCAAATTTTCTTTTAAAGACTCCTTTATAGATAGCATTCACTGGGACAAAAGAACGACCTTTTACAAATGATTCCCATCCAGATGGCTTGTTAATAAATTGAATAAAAGTATTGTTGCGATTAGGTTCTTCTTAGTTGAATTTTTATATTTCATCTATTAAATTATCTAAGTTATTATATTGATCTAAGTCTGTAAACTTATTAGTTTAGAGATTTTAAGTTAATTTATCTGAGGAAATTAGAGATATTTTACGAAGTAGGCTTAAATTTTGAAGACCTATATCACTGAGCTTAATTAAATATGTATAAGAGCTCATATCGTTAGTGTTATATATATCTTGCAAGCACAAAAATTCTTGTAATTCATAATATTCTGTGTGCTTCCATAAGGTAATCCAATCTTCTTTTAATTTATTTTAAAGATCTTATTGCTCACTGGAGTAGACTTCAATTTTTTAATTCCCATTAAGCATTTCTTATTTCAATTCGCTGTGGATTTCGCTTAATAAAATTCTTGCGCCAGCTAATGTAGAGGCATTTGTGTCTGTATCCATAATATCTCCAGATAGTATGCCAGTTGCTATGTCATCAAAGTGAACATATTGTCTTGAAAGTTCGTTTTCAATGTAGAAAACAAAAGTTAGTTTTTTAGTTTAAGTATTTGTGTTCTTCATTTTGTTAATAATATTATGAATAAGTTTATTATTATTAATTTATTGGTATACACTTAAAGGCAAATTAATTAATTTTTGATTATGATTTAATTAATCAGCTGCGTGACTGTTTTTTTTATTATCAAAATATTTCTTAAAGTTAGCTATTTTTTTTATCTAATAATTGATTATGATTTTAATTAGATTGAGTTTCATTAATTTAAAGATATTTTTTGATAAGTGATTTGATTGTCACTGATATTACAAAACAAACCTGATTTACATAAAAGAAATATTACTACAAATTTGATAAAATAAGATAGACATATTAAATTTGTAAATGAGCTTGAAATATATAGTGAATAGCACATTAAACTTTTTATATGTTCAAGGATATAATTTAAACTCATAGAATATTATTAATAGTTAAAATTTATAGATTATTTTAGCTTATTCCTATTGTATCTTTAAGAAATCTTATTAATCCATCATAGTAAAGTTATAATAAGAGGAATTGCTGTATTCAATATAAAAGGAACGCTATTTTTACATTCGCATTTCAAAATGAAAAAAGTGACTTTTTGGATTAATTTAAACTATATATCAAATACTTTAAAATAATAATGATAATTCTTGATTTTTTTATAATATTCTTAGATTTTTTAATATATAATTTGTTGGTTTTACTCAGAAAAGTAATTATCAATAAAAATATTCTTCCTTTAGTTAGCAAAATGACTTTTAATTAGGATAACAGCTTTAAATTTAAAATAATAGGATTTAATAATAGAGTTATAAATACTTAATATTAGCCTTCTTTTAGTAAGTATGTTAAGTTCAAGATGCTAAAACAAAAAGATAATTTTAAAACTATGTTCAAATATATTGTACCTACCTTCCTTATTTTTTAAGTAAGAATTTATAAATATATTCAAGTAATAGCTATGCTGTTATCAATACTTTACTAGAAATCAAAAAATGCTTATAAATTATCAGTAGCTTTAATTTCCTTATAGTCTTCATAGAACAAATCGAGAAGGAAGTAAAATTCATTATTAACTTTTTTAATTAGAAAACTTTTAGTAATTAATATGGACATTAATTAAATTCTTTTATTAAATAAATTTAATAGAAAAAATTTCTTAAAGATTGCATATCATTTTCAGATGCAAACCAAATGAGTTTAAATAAAAGAATAAATATTCGTATTATCTTAATTCTGATAAAGCAAGAACTATTTTCTTTTATAAACCTTTTCTCATTTTTAAAATTTTCTTAAATATCATACTATAAATATAAAACAAGTTAAAATATAAATTTATTTCCTCTTTAACATTTTCAAACGCATTTTTAAATGAAAAATCCGCATTAAATAGATTTCTGTTTCTTTTAATTTTCATGCTATAACTCATTTAGATTATAGACAAATTTAATTAGACATAATTTTCTATTGTTTAATTTTAAAATAATCAATGATATTCTGTTAGAACTAAAGTATATATTTAGATATAGATTATTAGCTTCGTTTATATTATTCATCAATTAATTGAAACAAATTTTTTTATTATTTTAGCTTTTTATTAAATTTGGCAAAATATATAAATAAATTAAAAAATTTTTAGAATATTTTTATTTCGAAATAATTAAATAATTGAAATTATATTAGAATATGTTAAAAAAATTAACACAATTTAAGCTCATTTCAAATTTAAAAAATGTTTAAAGAGAGTAAAAGAAATAGGTTTGTTTTTTATCTTTACTAAGTAATCACAAACTAATTTATGGTAGAGACAATTGCCAAGACTCCAAGCAACAAATGTCAATTTCTCCAAAAAATTAATAAAAGATAAATGGAGAAGAGCAAATAAAGAATAATTATTGTGAACCTTACATTTTGTCTTTGATAAATAAAAAGTTATTTTTGAATAAAAGAAATTTTTGATGATAAATCAAAAGAATTGATAATAAACAAATTCTTTGACTAATAATTATTGCGATCCTTACACTTAACCCTGGATAAAAATTTAAAAAAGATATTTTTTATATAAAAGAAATTTTGATGATAGTAATAAAAGTATTCACTTTTTAGTACTTCTCTCAATTTTCAAATTGATCTTGTTTTAGTTTTATTCAATAAATATGATAAGACTATTAAATGTATTAGTAACTGAAAATTTAAAGTTATTTTATGCTAAATTAGAGTAATTTGTTAAGGTTTACTCAAATATTTAAATATTTCTGATTTAGATAGATTACATATATTTTAAGGTTGTAGATTCTGTTTTAAAAAAAAGAAATTTTCAAAAACAAATTCAAAAGATATTTCTTTTATTTATCATATCTTAGAATAAATAGTAATTAATAAATGATTAATAAAAAATAGATATTAAAGTCTAAACAAACAAAGATAATAATTATTTTTTATTAATTTAATTAAAATAAAATAAATTTTTTTTTCAATAACTTTAAAACTATAAAAGCCTAAATTATTGTAATATTTAATATAAAATATTGTTTATAAATCTTCGAATCATACCAGATAATATTATTTAGCTTTAATAAATAATAATAGCTTAAGCATAATTTATTTCAAGAAACCTATCAAAGAAACTGTTTTTAATTTGTTATGTTTAAACATTCTTTAAACAAAAATTTAATAATCCTATTTTAATTAAATTTCAATTAAATTCATAAAAAAATAAATTTTAAAGTATGTTAATTTTAAAAGTTTTATTTTTATTTGAATAATTTAATTTGTTTTATCTAACAATTTTGTGTAGATTAAAAATTAACAATAAATTAAAATTTTATTTAATTTATTTCAATTTTATAAATACAAAATCACAAATTTATTATTTTTAATTTATAATTAAAAACTAAATATTTAGTTTTTTATATCAAATATTTATGTGTTGATTAAAAATAAAATATAGATTAAAGCGCTATTGCAAATTATTTAATATTAGAATTTAAAATAATAATAATTTTGAATCAATTATTAATAGGTAATATCATAAGAATATTAATATTTTAAAATTAATCTAACAATACTTTATATTAAATTCTCTTAAAATTATTTTCATAAGCTTAATAAAGAATAAAACTTATTTAATAAAATAATTTTTAATTATTTAAAATTAGTACATCTGTTTAAATATATAGAAAATAAAATTTTTTAACATGATATTACCATTTAAAATAATTTTAAATAAATTAAATAAATAATTTTTATTTGATTGAAAATAAAATTTATCTATAAATTCTTAATTTTTTTACACCAACAAATTAAATAATCAAATTTTCTTTTAAATATATCAAATTTAATAAACTGATTAAATATTTTTGCTTAAATAAAATAGTTTGAAATAAGCAACCTAAGATTATGAATTGACTAAATTTCTATCCTTAAAAATCAACATTAATAAAAAAATTTAATTAAATTACTAATGCTATAATATATTAGGATTAGATTGGTATAGGTAAGATTTTACAAAAATTATTTTAATCTTTTTAAAATTTAAATTTAATTTATTTTTCTGAAAGTTAGAAGCAATTAGGAAGTAAAGTTACTAATTTAATTAATAATGTGCAATTTTATCAAATAAATACAATTCATTTTGAATGCTTGTTAAAAATTGGATCAATCAAAAAGATTTACTTAAATTTTTAAAGAGGATGAAAAACATAAATTCACTGGTTTTTAATACAAAAAATAAAGAAAGAAAAAAATTGACATTAAATTTTTGATAGAAAACTTTTATAGAGTTTTTTAGATATTTAATATATAAAATTTCAATACTAATATTATTTAATAACTATGTAGAATTATTTTTATAGAACTCATTTATTTTTTTTCTAACAATTCATAATTTAATACTCGAATGAACAATTTAATAGTTTAATCTGAATTTTTAATTTATGGTTAAGATTAAAATAATTGCACTATGAAAAGAATTTACTTTAGCTATCAATTATTTATTTATTTTAAATTAAAAGTTATTCAAAATATCATCTTAACAATTAATTAAAAATTAATTGATAAATATCATAAAAAGATTATAAATTAATTAATTAAGTAATTCAATTTTTCAAGCTAAGATTAAAGAGATTGATGATGATTATAAGTCCACATAACTCTTCTTACTAATTCAACAGCAACATTAATACTCCTTCTAACGCTTAAAGCATGTTGAATTCTCAAGGGAGTTAAGGATAAATTAAATAAAAAAATAAATTAATGTTAGCCATTCGACCATAAAATGAGTATTAAGTTTATTAAAATCAAGATTCTAACACACCATTAAAGGATATTATATTTGCGCCATAAGTAAAAAAATAAAAAATCAACTTTAGCCAAGCATCTTTAAACAAAACATCTAGTTAAGGATTTTTGAACAAATCGAATGCTAACCAAGGATAAAGTTTAATGGCTACTGATCAAGGAGAAAATAATAATAATTTTCATTTTAATCATCAGCTGTAGAAAAAAAATAGTTGTGTTGGATTGGCCTTGCCATCAAAAACTATTTATGGCAATGATAAAATACAATCTCCTACTCAACCATTAACAGCGAAAGCAGGAGAATAAAAACAAAATAACTTTTATTTCCCTTCAAAAAATAGTAAAATAAATAAGAGAACCATTTATAAATTCAATGAGAAGATTTTAGATTCTTAAAAAAAACCTTTTCAAAGTAATGGAATAGTTTTGACGACAGAAAACTCTCCAAAACAAAAGTTAACTATTCCATCCTCTTAAATTGGTACTTCAAGGCTTTCGGTAGATGCTAATTTTGAAAAGAAATAAGTAACATTAAGTAACTTTAATAGGCTAACTTCTTTTATCCAAAAAGAATAAGTAAACAAACTTAATGAGAACTCTGATTCTAACAATAATAGCAAGCTTTCTCCAAATGGCCATCAATAAAAAGTGCAACCAAATAACAACAGTAGCCAGCCTTCTTAATCACTACTATTAGTAGAATATAGAAAATTGCAGCTGGCAAATTATAAACTCCAGTAAAAAGTTTAACAACTTGAGAAGCAATGTATGGAATAAGAAGAAAAATTATTAGAAAAGGATTAGATGCTTGCTATTTATGAAAGCAAATCTTAAAATGGTTCTATTTTATAGCTTAATTCATTTGTTTCTACAAGTAAAGCTTTTCAATTCAAGTAGTAATTAAATAAAATGCCATCTCTTATAGCTACGAATAGTAACACTGTATAAAATACGTAAGTTGACACAAATGTATCTAACAACAATTCCTTTAATAATGATAAGAAAAACTGTAATTCATCAAATGCTTAAATGTCTTTATCTTTAAGCAAATCTCCACATTCTCCATAACGCAGTATTTTGCACTTATCAACAATAGCAAATGCAAAAAGTTTGTAGAATCATTCATAATCTATAAATGAACTGATTTCTCCAAAACCTTAAAAGAATAAAACAAAATTGCTCAGTATTAACTTACACAATTCAGATGCAAAGGATTTACCAAAAGACCAATTTAATTAATTTTAATATTCTTAATAGCCACACTTTAGTGAATTATATTCGGATAAATTAGAAAGTAATTTTATTATCCATGAATCATTGCTTCATTAAATATCTCCCATAAAAGAAAAACAATAATGTGGGTTTACATTTTAAAATGGTTAAGAAGAAGAAGAAAAAAATACAAGAAAATAATAACTAGATGACTAGCAATTAAATATCTAAAAAGGATTAGATGATCTTCTTTCAAGATTAAAAAAAGTTTTAGCTTCTAAAAAGGCAAAAAAGTGAATTTTACTTTTCTTGCTAATATCAGCTAAGATTTTATTTTGATTACTAAAAAAGCAAATTGTTTGAATAAAATCAATATATAAATAATTTTTATTTAATTATCATAATTTGAATGAAAAACCTGAAATTAATATTTATTAAAAGAAAAATCTAAAGTAAAAATAATAATTTATATCTCAAGCCAAAAAAAAAACAAAACATATATTTATATGTAATATTTCAAATTAATACTTAACACCTAGAATAAAGTTTAGAGTAAATTTAAATAATATTTATTGTATTAGCTTTTAATGCATGTACTTATTACTCTATCTTTCTTTTCAGATTCATAAATAAATATCCTTTATTTTTTATTAATTTACTTACCTTATATTTCTAAATTTACATTAAAGTAATAATCATAATAAATATTGATGCTCCAAATTAAAATTTCTGAAAATAAAAAATCAATTCATTTCTCAAAAGATTTATTAAGAATTCCAGGGAAGAATTTCAAATAAAAAAAATAAATATTTGAGCTGAAAACAAAAAATTAATTTATACATAATTAATTGAATATTTTTAAGATATTTAAAAAATAAATTAAATTTTTATTTATCTATCTATCTAACTATCAATTAATTGTTCATTCATAATTTCTCAATTAAATCAAGTTATAAAAATATATCGTATATTGAAATTTAAGAAATTTATTCAGTAATTCCTTTTTTTTGCATCAAAAAAATCAGGGAGTGAGACATTCCAACTAATTAGTTTTAATATATTACTTATTGGTCTTCATCAATATCAAAGTAGCAAATTTTATTAGATTAATTTTGTTTTGTATTAATAATTTTATTATTACCAAACTCATATTAATTAAATTCAAATCTGCACTCTTTTTAGCAATTAGTAATTTATTTAGTAATTAGACCATATTCTGCTATGTACAAACCCTCTGATGAAATAAATTCAAATATAACTTTTTAAAAACATTGATTTAAACAAAGAATTCGATTTATAATTATTGGATATTCAAAATTGTCAAAAATAATTTCTGCTTTAAATTGAGATTGTTAAGTGTCATATATTAAGTAACAGGAATCATATGATGTTTACTTTTCATTAGTATTCATGAATATAATTAGTTAAAACTAGTCTATCTCCCGAATATCTATAACTTAATTATGATATTTTTTAGAGGAGAGATTTTAAGATATATATGATTTATTGTCTTGTTTTTTTAAGTACCTTTGAAAATAATTTAAACTAGTTTAATCATTTTCTTATAAAATCTATTCACTTTCTTCAAGTTTTATTTTGTAGATCATCTCAACATCAAGGCATAACAATTTTATTGGCTCATCTAATATGCATTCTTAAACAAAATAAATCTATTCTTAGCTACTTAAGTAGCAACCAAGAAATAGACCTCTATCAAATTTATCACGATATCCAATAATACTTTCCCTTATTACAAGTTGGCCCTTTTGATTATATACAGATATCTAAGAAAAGCTATAATTTTAGAATCTACTTTGCAAGATAGATATAAAGTTTTAGTTCAATAGGATTATTTATATACTAGAATGAAGGAGAGCCTTTCTTTCTAATATATACTTTTGGTGATCTTGTTTACTACATAGCTCTTATGTATTTTGGACATTAAAAGAATTAGATAACTGGAATTGTATAGTCTTTAAAATCTTTTTTTCTAGCAAATTTACTTCATGTAGATAATTATCATCGAATATAAAAACACTATATGGTTAGGAAGAATATTCAATCAAATATATTTCATTTTTATATTTATTATTTTTTATTTATTAAATATTTAATTTTAAAATTTCTAAGATATTTCCTTCTGCAAGAATAACTTCATTTGAAGTAGAATCTCCAATCTTCACAATTTAATAATCTGATTTATGAAAAACAACAATCAAACACTTCTCACTAAGATTATTCTCGAAAATTATAACTTTTTATATTTTATATTAGTATTCTTTGCTATTACAAATATTTTATTTCGAAACATCGTAAATAGGAATCTTAGAAAATCTTTTAGCATTCATTTATATGTTACCTATTAATAACAATAAATCTATACTTGAAAGTAATATCTTTCAATAAAATTAGTAGTATTTCGTTAAATAAGATTAAATGACAATTTTTATTAGATGTTATTGCCTAAATTAATTATATTTTTTATAGCATAAATTAATATCATAGTAAATTTAAGTTATTTCAAAGTCAATTTTTCTTTTAAATTTGAATTAACCTTAAAAATTATGTAAATATAAATATGAACAAATCAATTTAAATTTATTATAAAAGTAGAATAATCCAATTTTTATTTTAATATGAAATTTCATTTTAGAATCTAAGCTAGTTATTTTTAAAGATTTTTAGATGAATGAATTAAAGATTAATATAAAATTTTTTTAGATGATTTTTGGAATACTTATTATAAAAGATTTTTTATGTAAGTTTTGGAAAAATATCCTTATTTGAAATACAAAAAATATAAAAACATTACAAATAAAAGCTATTATATCTTGAATTATAAGAATTATTAAATTAAATGAACGTTCTAGTAAAGCTTAAAATGAAATATACATGATAGATGTTGAACCAATTTAATTTCAAAAATTAGATAAATAGTCAAAAATCTAATGAATAGAAATATTTTTGCAATTTTTGATAAACTTGCTTATTTACATTCTGATGCTAATATTTGGCTTAAAAACAAAAATTTTGTAATTAATTTGATTGATAAATATTTAATATTTTGCAAAAAATTGATATTGTTTCTCCTTAGTTTTTTTGCAATTATTATAAATTAAAGCTTAATGTCATTTTATTTCTTAGAAGAAAGCAAACAAAATTCTTTTGAAAAATATGCCTCACCTGAAAGTGTTGTTCTATAAGTAAGATAAGATGATCTAAAATAAGATTCTGAAGGAGAATAATTGGAAAAGAGATGCGCCTTTGACCTTAGTTTAGATTTATTAGAATGTGAAGACAATACTTTAACTCTCGAAGAAATTTTAGATAAGATTGTCGAAAATTTAGAGAAAAAGAAGAAAAAATTAAAAAATAAAATGATTTAAATTGATGAATATCAATATTTTAATCATAATTTTAACTTAGCATTTTAGAATGAAGATGTTTGTTAGTAAAATTTAAATGAAGAAATAAATAAAAGCTCTTTGGTTCATAGAATAAGAGACTCAGTTGAACTTAAGAAAAATAAACAATAAAAGTATAATATCGAATAAGTAGATGAATTGACAGAAAACAGCAAATTAAATACAACACAGTAATCTTTTTTTGAGTCAAGATTCCACGATTTTCAATTACCTATGAAAAGAGGGTATTTATTGAAAAAAAGCCCTACTTTATTTTAAGGATTTTAGGTAATTATTAATTAATTATTCTGTATGTACACTAATTTAATAAATACAAGTCTTCTTAGTATTTTACAAACATAAATATATTCATTGACTCATTATTATTTGATTAAAAGTAAGATTTTATTATATAATTTTAAATTTAGAAAAGATACTGCACTTTGGATAATTTCTATTTCAACTACTACTTGCCAGAGAACAAATCAAGCATATTTGGTTCTATAAATTTTTAAATTATTGATACTTATATTTAAGAGATAAGAGATCCTTAGACTTAGTAATTGACAGAATTCAAGTAATTAGTATTTTCCAAAAATTTTAAATATTTATTATCATAAAAATAAATTATCAGAATAGTGCCTATAAGATCAGGCAAGGTTTTTCACTTTAAAAGTTGTGATAATAATTCTTAAACCCTTGAAGAGTGGATTTTTGCCATAAAATAGCACTTAGAGTAAGCTTAATATTATCATTATAGATATAAGACATGCTATTTAGATAAATAGTTTTGGAAAGTAATTATTTTAAATTTATTTTTTTACATTACATATATTTTATATATTATAGTAAACATTAATATCAGAGCATCAATTCAAACAAATATGTGATACTGGAGATATACTTTTGTTTAAAAATAATAGCATTGGTTCAGCTATATAAAGAACTTTGACCACAAGCTAATATGGTAATAAATTTTAAAATAAAACTCATTCTTTTAAAAAGTATTTAATACTATTAGATCATGTTGGAATGATTCTCAAATATAAATGTGGAAAAATAGTACTTTTTGAATCTAATTTAAAAAATGGAGTAAACCTCACTCCTTGGGAATAAATATCTGCTAGCGATTGGTCTAATTAATTTGAAAAGTATTAATTTTCACTCTGAAATAAAATTTATTAATTCAATTTTATTTTATTTTATTTTAAACATCAAGGATTGCATATAGAAAACTCAACTACAAAAAGACCTAGAAGCAGATATAAGGTTTTTTTAACTTTATGAAAATAACTTTAGGTAAATAGTTTGACATTAGTACAAAACAAGTGCTTAAAAGCGCAGGAGATCGCATTTGCAGAATACAATCTATCTCAACTTAAGAATCGAAATCAAGAATTTTAAATGAAAATAACATAGAGCTGCAAGACTTATGTAACAAAAAAGAGTCATATTTTTGTTCTGAATTAATTGCTTCATGCTACTAATATAATAGCTTATTACCTTTGAACGCTTTAAGTGACCAATATTGGCCTGGTACCTAATTTTATATCACTTTATTTATAATATTTTTTTATAATTTTACAAAATATAGTTGATTTTTCTGAAAAGAAGAAATTAAATTTCTTATAAAATGCCAGTCTCTCATGCGAATATTAAATTATTCAACCAATTTAGACATCTTAAATATTTTGAATTATATAAAAAAACTACTAAGTAAAAAAAATTCAATCTCATCCAATCTTATTCTTATTTAAAATTATACTTAAAAATATTTTTTTCTCAATTTAAGCTTAATTTCTTCTATAAAATTTTTATAAAATATGAGTTTATTTATATTACTTGTTTATTTATGCACATTATTAAATTCTCCAAATCCATTTTTATAAAAAAAAAGCTGAAAATAATTTTTGTTTTTATTGTTGTTCAAAAATAATAAATCAAGCATTTAAATTTAAAAAGAAAAATAAATTGAATAAATTTTAAATTTTGTAAATAAATCTTTTATTTCAACAAAAAAATAATTTATTTATTTGTATTTAGCAACGATTAAAGTCAATATTATATTTGATGAATTATATTTTTTTTTATATTGTTCAATATTCATAGTCAATTTCATCTAACTTTTACTTAATCCATCCAGAAATCAACTCAGATTTTAATGTAGAACCACCAATTACAAATGCATGCAAAAATCCTTTTTCATCTAATTTAGCATTTAAATGAGGCATATCAATTCTTATGTCTTTATAGTACTGTATTGGGCACCATGCATCATCTATTCCATAATAGAGCATCATCTTTTAAGAAAACTTATCAAGCAACTTTGCCTATCTTTCATTGAGCATTTAATATTCTGTTTTTGTCATATATAGCATAGAGTAAAAGTTGCTGTAAGTAGCATAGGTTGCAAATATTTCTGCCATATCTGAAACATCTTCTTTGATGTTGCCTAGCTCAGATTCTAAGTAAATTTTTGAAATTACTCTCTTAAGTGACATTGGTAAATAAGAAAAAAAGCCAACAGCAAAGCTAGAGAGATAGATGTAAGGAAAATAGGGTAATTTAGCTTTATGAATACCATTTGGAGTTTCCTTTATTCTTTCAATCACAGGATAAAGTTTATAGCTATATACTATTTTTTCTGATGGGATTCTGTCAAGCATGTTTAGAACAATGTATGAACCTATTGAATGAGATATCAAAATAAATTTGCTTTTAGGATATTTCTTAAATAGATAGTTCATAAACTCTACTTTCTAATCAATTTAATCAGTCAATGAAAAATCATTATGGATAGGTTTATTTTAGTAATTAAACTATCCTAAATGTCCTATTCCATATATATCGAATTTATTTTCTAATTATTTTGACAGTTCATGCAAGAATCTATCGTAAAATCTGATATATCCTGGATTTCCTGAAAACATAACTATTTTTACATCTTCTTCTTAGTTATTTTCAGACACCTCTGAGTTACTAATTTGCTATTTACTATCACTTGTTTATCTATTTTACTTTTCAATCTTTAATATTTCGGTCTTACCCTTGTTTAAATCGATTAGGGAGTACTTGCATTTTAGTCTATATATAGGCTTTTTATAATTTTTCAAAAAAATACTACTTAAAAGTTGAGCCATTATGAAAATGGGTAATGTGCAATAAGCAAAGATTTTTGCAAATAATTTAACAAAATACATGAGCTAACTATTCTATTATTTTTAATTAAATTCCAAAAACACTTTTTAATTTATGATAATTTTTATCAATTTAATATTTATAGATAAATGTAAATATCTAATTAATTATTATATATTTTTTTAATTAATATTCTTATATTATATGGTTACTGCTTATAAGTCTTTGGATAAAAATTTTAATAGTATTTATAATTTCTTTTATTACAATTAAAATTTAAAAGAGCAATCTCTAGTTTAGATTCCAAAGAAACTTCTTAGATATTTAGATAGAAAATATTGTTTTAATACAAATAGACTAATTCAATTAAAATATAATTAAAAGATGGAGTTTTAAATGCTTAAAATTTTTATTATTTTTAAAGCAGATTATTTTAATAAAAAATCCTATTTACTAAACATTTATCTAGATATTATCTTTTTTTACCATTAAAGAAATTTAATAATAATAAAAAAAATAAATTAAAGATTTATTTTTTAATATTTTTTCATCTTCATTTTAGCTTAGGTTAATTATTTTCTTCAGGTTAGAGTATTTAAAGCTCCACATTACTTAAAACATCGCAAGATAATATTTCATATTGAGCTTCATCTTAACTTTTCTTGTCTTAATCATTTTAATCTGTCTAAATCTCATCTAGTTGCTAGAATGTAATGACCTAAAATTCCTATTAATTATTTTAGCTTATTTATTTCAATTCAAAATTAATTGGAGAGACAATTTTTGATTCTTGTAAATTGTTTTCTATTTTTTAATCTATTTAGTCTATTGGCTTTACAGTTTCTAATTCTTATTATTGATCTATAATTTTACATAACATTAAATTAATTCAAAATTTAAATTAAAATTGATAAAAGTAAAATGTTAAATTTACCTTTTTTAATTAATTTTAATTAATTTTTTTAAGAAATATTTGGAGATTGGTCTTGGTTTTTCATGCTGTTTAAATCTAACTGTGATATGTTATTATCGAAGTATTTCAAAGTATTAATTGGTGATTAAATAATAAATTCAGAACCGATAGTTTTATGCTCTTATATTTCTGTAGCTTAATTTACATCTTACAGCTTTTGAGAAAAAAAATTACTTTATAATGTGTTACCTCTATCCAAAATATTTTATCCTTTTGATTTTTCACTAATGTTATTGTTTTTTACAAATTTAGATTAACTAATTGACTTGTTTCTTATTAAGTTTTGTTCTTAAATGATGGAACACTCCGATTTTTACTTATCTCTTTATTGGGTTTGATTTTAAAAGCTTTCATTAGATTATTCTAATATTTAGTTTTGTTCTATTATAAGTGCTTAGTTGCTGTAAAATTGCATTGGAGAAAGACCTAATTTGTCATAACCTGATATTTCCATTAATTCTTACTGCTTATCATTTTAGTTAGCATCATAATATGCATTTTACAAAATTTAAATATTATCTAAATTCTTTTTGTTTTCTTAAAAATCTCCTGATGATGGCTATGTATTTTCGTTTAATTCTACGTTTTAGCCATTTTCTAAAGCTTAGCAATTACTATTAAACTGTTGTAATAATGTTTAGAAATAATTTTTAAATTTATAAACTATTTACATTAAACTATTAGTGATTTGAAGACTAGGTTGAGTCTGACTATTTTTTTGTGTATTAATTTAAGTTTTCTAAAGAAAATATTTATTGTTGATCTATTTAAACCTAAATATCATTTATTTCAACTATATCTTCTGTTTGCTCTTTTTCATTTTCTTATCTATTTTTTAATGAATTAATTTGGAGGTATTAATAATTATTATTAGGAGTATCTTCTTGTATATTGTTGTCTTCTTTTATAGAGTCCTAACACTATAATACTCCTAAATTATATTCTATTTCACCAACACCTTCTACTTTATGAAGATTTTTAACTATTATTAAACTCTTTTTTGATGTTTCAAGTTGAGATACTGAAATTTTATTCAAGCCTATCAGTTTACTATTATCATGAGGCATAAAACTCTCATGTTAATCTTGAAATTATATCTGTGAAGACTAAAGCCTATTTTAAAAGGATTTTGCAGCCTAATCTTAATTAATGATGCTAATTTGGTTAGGTACATTCAACAATATCTAAGAAATTGATTTATCTATTATTGTAATTTGATTTAATTAAATAAAAAAAATATTTTAAAAATAATACTTTATGGTTGCTAGATACTTGTATTTAAGTTGTTTAGCTTCGCTTTCTCTTATTAAATTTAATTAGATTTAGATAATTTCTATTATGAACTTGATGTAATACCAAAAATTTATTCTCTTACTTAGCCTGATATCTTTTTTTCCTTAAGCTAAACGATGTGAAATTTAATCATTTTCCAATGTAAGAATTTTTTAAATGATGATTCTTTGTTTAAAGTTATATATTTGCTTAATTAGGGGAAATAAAGTATCAATTTTTTTTTAACAAATTCTATGTAACTTTTATAAGAAATTTCTATTTTAGTTTTTATTACTTCTTTAATCAAATAGAGCTAATAAATATTGTGAATTCCTAATAAAATTATGTAAAATATGACTTGTTAAACGTAAGGAGGATCGTTATAAAGGAATATATTCATGATTATCAATACTATTATAGTAAGCATAGAAGCAGTATCTAAATCTTAAAAATAGTGCATTTAAAATGGCCTCAACTTTTTCAAAAGTACTAAATACAGAATGCAGATAATTAGTGCAAAAATGAGCTTATTTGCTTTTATTAAAAAGAATGTTATAAAAATAATTTTAGATATTTAATTACTATATGGATCTCCATAAAAGCTGTAGATACAAACAATTAAGACTTTCATATAACTTCTAACAAATTCCCAATAATAATGTTTTCTTTTATAATCTTGGTATAAGAATCCAAATCTCATTCTTACATGTGAGTGGTCCAATTAATCTTAATATTTTATCATCTTCTTCAAAATGTAAACGGGAATCATAAATGCCCATAATAAAAAGCCTGGAAAGCATATTAAGAAAATATATTTAATATGTTCTCCTGTGTAGCATTCATATGATACATCAGCTTGAATATATAATTTTTAATCTATTTTTCTGCATGACATTACTGACAAAAGATTAGAAATCATGTTTGGCTACAAGTATAAAAATAGAAATACCAAACCACTTTGTAAATAAGACTTTTAAAAGGTAAAAAAAAAATGTTATTAAAATTAAATTTTAAAATTAAATATATTTAAATCAAATTCAATTTTGTTTAATTACAGTCTATAATTTGACATATTTTAGTAAGACTAATGAAATATAGATCAAATATACTCCCGTAAGATAAATAACCGGAATAGATAATGACCATATAGTTCTTTGAAATATTATTGGAACACCTCCTTGTACTGATCTAGCAAACCAACAGTCAAGTGTATACATCATATTTTAAATAGGCGAACCTTTAAAAAAAATTTTAAATACAACAAAGCAAATGAAAAAAAGTATTTATTTTTACCTACAAAATTAGGAAGAAAAGTAATAAAAGAAGGAAGTTAAACTTTAGCTGTATTCACAATTTAAGAAATTTAGATGTAGTTAATTAAAGATTTAATATTCATATTTGTTGTATCTGAAAAAGATGATTTGCTAACTGGACATATTTACATCATTCTTAAATAATATCCTAAAACAATAAGCCTGCTAATATCTAAAGCAATCTTCAAGCTGAATCCTATGTAAACTATCATTCCAAATATTAGAATCAAACTTGGTATAATATATTTTGCACTTTAAACTTCACTACAACTTAAACAATTAAAGCTACCATCTGTTGCGTACTTTTCACCCCAAATTGTTCCTTTTATGTCACACACTTCACATAAAGGGCCTATATGACCCTCTTTACAATATCCTTTATCGCTATTTCCATTACAATTTGATGGCATGTTAGTACAATATATTATGTTGCTACTTGAATTCGAAACTTTCCAATATCCATCATTTATAGTCATTTATCTTCCATAGCAATAGCTAGCTTGACTAGGACATTTCATACAATTTTATGTACTATATTATTCTAAAATCAAATTTAATTTCAATCGATCAATCATTAAAGTAATTTACCTTGCGTAGGCTAAATAAGAGAATATGTTCCTTCTGTACAAACTTAACAGTAATATAAGGAACCACTTTTTCTAAAAACTTCTCCTGGTATACAGTCCCTGAATTTAAGTAAAAGCTGCAAATAAAAGGGCCCTTTATGTATGAATAAAAATAAATTAATAAAATAAAGGAAAAATAATTTTTGAAAAACAAAAATATATTAGCTCTAACCTTAATCTATTTATCGATATTCTGGAGAACTTAGGGCAGGCCTTTAAATAGCAGGACTTTAAATGTACAGCTAATTTTAAGATTTCGGGTTGGCTATCACTTACAAGCCTGAAATAGAAAACATCTTAGTAGTAGAGTTATAAAAATTATAATCGGAGTATTATTATCCGAATAGTTTGATCTAATTACTAAATACTTATGATTAAATATAATAGCTAATTATTTCACTTTAAATGGACTTCGGATATCCATTACTTTTGTATAAAACTGTATCAAAATATAAAGGATTATTTTCTTCATCTAATAATTAAAACTAAAATTCAAGAAATCCTCCACTCACAAAAGAATTTATATAGACTTAACTTATGATGTGGATTGTCGAATTAACTATTTCATTTAAATTTTCTTCTATCTATCTTTTATTCTTATCAAAAGCAGCTATTTTTTTTAAGTTTGATCCAATATTATTACTATGTATTACTGCTTTATTAAATTGGATTACATTTTAGTCATTATATTGTTGGCTTTTTGATTTGAGATAAATAAAATATCTATATACAAAAATGGGTTGTATTATTAAGTATCTTACGCCTCCACCTATTATTGCTTTATTTTATTGAATTTAGCAACCTTTCATTTGTATATTACTGTTTAATATGTACAAACTCCCACCACTTTCTAAAGCTTAATTAAATTAAAATATTGATTATTATATTAGTAGTAAACATAAATTCAAATTAGAATTTGATGATACACATGCAGCACTACTCTAGCTAATTCCACAATTTTTAAAAGCTAAAGCTCCACCACTTTAGGCAATATTATTTTGAAAATTAGAACTCAAAATAGAAATTTGTTAAACAGAGTCAAAATAAACAGCTGCTCCAAAACAAGTAGGACAACTAACAAAATTAATTGTTAAATTTTGAGCAATAACTTAGTAACCTTTTAAATAAATCAAGCTCATTTAAGTGAGACTATTAATATTTGAACATTAAGAGTTTGTAATACTAAAAATACTCTTATCAATATAAATAGATTTACTTCCAGACTAATACAAAGGTTACCAATTTATGAATTAACATTATGAAGAATCATGGAAATATACTTGATCAAAAGATATATTTTAAACTCCTAATAGCTTAAAAATATAATTAATATTTGCCTAGCTTTGCACACTTGAAATTTAAGATATTAATATCTTAACTTACTAGGAATTATTTATTGAAATCAAACTATTAAAAGTATTTTATGATTATTATAATTACCTAGCATTATTAAGTTATTATACTTTATTAATATTAGAAATATAGAGCCCTTGAATGAATAAGTTAAAAATTTAGTTGAAATTAAATATTTATGAATCTAATGAGATTTTAGAATTAGAATAGTTTATATTTTTAATAAATAATTATTAAATATTCTAAAAATAAAAGAATTGAGATGATTCTATATCTACTCCAGAAATATTTATATTCTCTAAGATTACAGATTAAAGTTAAATGAATTAAAACTAACAGTTTTTAATATTAGAGATAAAGTTTATATCCTTCATGACTATAATTTGAGTTTATGGTGAAAAATTAATTTAGCCACTCATTTATGATAAATCAAAGTCATATCCTTAAATTTAAAGCTATTAGATTTTATTTTAATTGAAAAAATTTTGAGTTAATTACAAAACTCTCTTATCTGTACCACCATTTAAGTAAACTACACTAGAGCTTAAAGTTTAGAAAATTTGATCGTAATAAAAATTATTTTTTGCATCAACCTAAATTATTTGTTTATTAATTTAATTTATAAATATATTTAAGATTATAAAAGAATTTACATTAATTAATGTGCGTGCTATACCAAAATTAAACATTTAGCTTGACTGTAAGATACCTGTCATTTGGTTACTTAACTATATTTGGTAGTTGTTTTAAGGGATATTAAAGTAACAGTTTTACTAAGTTAGAGAACTCTGTTATCCCTATTAAATATTTATCACAAATTAGTAATTAAAACTTATTCCACTGCTTATCCCTATAAGATTTATATTTAACAAATTCCCATTTTAAGTCAGGCTCTAATTTATTAAACGATAATTTAATAAATTAAGCTTTAATAAAACTTATTAAAATCCTGATTAAATATTAGCATTTACAATCTATAAAGAATCTAGTGAATTCATTATAAAAATATTTTGAATTCCTGTACTATATGCTTGAATAAAGCTTGTTAAAATATTGTTATCTCTAAAAATTGCAACTAAATTTACAGAAGTAGAAGTGAGTTAATATAAACCATAGTAATATGGAGTTTGTATAATAAGGCACTATCCAAAATAGCAAGTTAAAATTTGTATTTATGTTGTCATTACACTTGAAGGGACTATTAAAGAAGGTAACTTAGTGAAAACAAAGGTATTTGAAAAGCTATAAACATTGACTATAGGAACCGATGTATTTAATCTTAAAACAAATATTCTATTAGCACTTTAATCAATAACCAAGTCTTAAGCTCCTGATAATGTAAATAAATATTATTAATTTGTTGCATACGAGATACCTTAACTATAACTATTATATAGAATAATATTTCCATTATTCAAAATATGATAAATTAATTTTCTTATAGGATCAATTCTAATAAATTATATATTTTAAACTGATACAGTTTCTATTAATTAACAATTTGTATATGAAAACCTGATTACTTTATTAAGTAACACTAAAAATATCTCAAAGAAGGCTTCTTGAGTAACTATAGAAACAGGATAAGAAGTTAAGAGGTATTTTTACCCTACTTAGCTGAGGTCATCAAGTTTTAAGCATATGAAGTTTAAGCTATAATCAACAACCATTAAGTGTGTTTAAGTGTATTTGTAAAAGTTTGCACTAAGACTAATTTATTTAATTTTATTCATATTGTTATCATACTTAATTATGTATAAATTAGTTATAACATAAAAATATTATCCAAGAACCAATGAATTTTTGACATTATCAATTTCTTCCACTTCTTGAAAGCCATTGTTACTATTTAAATTTTGCACCCAAGCAGTACTATCATTATCTATGTAATATAAAGCATTAGTCTGCTAATTATAAAACTAATCTTAAATTTTTGGTTCAGTCAAATCTCTCATGTTATTTAATTGATTCACAGATGGATCGATGTCATAAACTCTAAAATTAGTAATGATTAAAATTAAAAAAATGTTATTAAATTTTTATTACCTTAGATTTGCAGAATCCAGAAATACAAATTTACTATTTTTACTCAAAACTATTCCTTATCTAACATAAGAAGGGTTCCATGAATATTGTACAGTGATATACTAAGTATATCTGAATGTTCTAACATCTATAAGATAAGTGTATACCCTTAAAGATTTAAAAACAATAAGCTGATAACTGTCTTCGTCAAGGTAAGCCTTAGCAATGTTACCATCTTCAATACCCTAAGCATTAACGATATCAGTTATTTTTTAACCAGTACTAAGCCTATAAACACTTAAGCGATAACTTAAAACGCCTTTTGTCCAATCACTGTAAAGATAAATATGATCCATTTTTTCAAAAACTATAAATTACATAATTAAAGGATTTTAACAAATTATTCTAGTTAATTCTTTCAATGTTACTCTATCCATTACTACTATCAATTATGTATCAACAGTGTACGTTTTACTATTAACAAACCTAATTTCTGTAATAATAGCATGGTTTTGATATAAATTAAATTAGTCTATAAATTTTTGGTCATCAATAAACCGAATGTAAGAAGTAGTACTATCTGGCTATAAGACCAAATAAATATATCTATTATTTTAATAATTCATATCAATCCAAAAGTTTATTAGTTTATCTTTAGTGTTTTAGTATAGCATGACTTCAAATGTTAGATAGTTAAAAGAATAAAACTTATTAATTGTATTCAATGAAAATACTCTATTATTATTGATGTCATGTGCAAATTAAATTACTTAGAATATACCATCGAGGTTCTATTAATTAAAATAGATGTTATCTTGATAATGGAAATCAAATTTTTTAAGCACTATCCCAGAACTATAAATCCAGATAAGAAAATTTAAATCATTAGAAAAGCTAATCATTCTGTCATTTTTTAAGTCAACATAAACCATAACAACAGAATCCTAGTGCCCATTTTTAAAAACATAACTTGTTAAACTAGTTAAATTCCATTTTACTATATTAATTGTAGTATCGTTTGAATATGTAACAAGCTGTCTAGTTTAATCGTCAAACCAACCTCCATTAGGTAGTATTGTATGAGCACTTGGTATTGTAGTTTTAGACCAATCTATTGTATTAAATAAGCTAACACCCTTTAAATAAATATATTTTAGTTTTTTGTTTTAAGAGGATTAAAATAAATATAAAGTAGTTAGTTACCATTTTAAAAGCTATAATTTAGTTATTCACTGATGAATATTTCATGTCTACATAAGTATAAGGGTCCTATAAACCAGCTAAAAATTATTAGAAGTATCCTGTTTTGATAGAACCATCTTAAAATCCTACATAAATTTTACTATTAATAATATCAACATTGAATGTTGATATTTTTTCAGTAAACGTAAGCAATAGCTTAACTTTCAATTAAGTATCAAATCCTAAAAGCTTTATTTTTAAAATAAGTTTTAAAAATTTTTAAAAATAAAAGTAAATTTACTTGATTTTGTATTTATTAATTGATGGTATTTTAATAGAAGAAGTGAAGCTCCGGATTGGCAAATGATGCAACTTGCTAAGAAAAGACTGAAGCAAATCCTAAACTTGAATAATAAGAGTAAAGAGTTCCACCATTATGAGTATAGTATGATAGTAAAAAATTTTAGCTAAAAATATATATATTTTTGTAATAACCTGGAGTTAAAGATATATAAACTGGATTTTAAACCTATAATGGATAATTTTTAAATTTTGATGAAGCAAAAAGCATATACAAATAGCTATTAGAAGTTCCTATTGCCATTATTTAATATTAAGAAAAATACTTTATGAATAAAACAGAACCTGAAATAGGAGTACTGTAACTCACTATAGAGCAATCAGGATGAGGACAAACAAATAAGATTGAAAGAATACTATCATAATAAATAACTTAAGTTATACCATCAATAATTTCTAAAACAGCATATAGAGCATTATTACTTTTAGTAATAGAGGTTTTATCCTTCACATTATAAACTTACCACATTTTCGTATTACAAAAAATTAGAAACTACTATTAGAAAAACTAATAGTTTTAAATTTATATTCCTAAACTGCTTACGATCCTATCTCTAATGGAAACACTAAAAAGCTAATAATCCCAAAGAATTAATTGGTTATCATTGTATTGTGTGATAAAAATTGTGCTTGTCAGCAAATCCATTTTCACTAATTGCTTATTGCAATTTGATGATTAAAATTAAGGGCAATCAGGATGGTACTAATAAATGACCAGTCTAAACTCACCTTGCTATAAGTTTATTTGATCCCATATCCTAAAACTTCCATCATTAGAGTATGTAATTATTCTATTATATAAATTATCAAATAAAATACCATTAACTCTGTCACTGTGGCCTCTCCTATATTATTACAATTTTCTTTTGGTTTCTTTTTTTTATATTGAGTATTATTATACATTTATTTAAGAAATACTTAAAATGTTTAAATTGCTGTTAGCAATTAAAAGGTCATTATTATTATTCATAGTTATTGCATTTATAGTACTACTTTATAAAGATTTTTTAGTAAATTAACTTGATATCATATTTATATCAGCTGAGTCTTTTGTTTATTAAAGATTATATCCGTGCATAGATAAAGCACCACTTTAAGAAATTACAAAAACTAAACCATTATTTTCATATAAATAAGCAATATCACTAGAAGCGCTCTATAAGAAATAAATACTATTATCATCATAAGTAAGTAAATTCATTTCAGTATTGCTATTTGTGAAGATTATATTGTACTTAAAACGAGGGTCAACAGTGAAAATAACATTGCTAATAAAATTATGAGTAGTTTAAGTATTTAAGCATTTATTATTATTTGCGTTACACAAAAATAGAGTACCTGAGTTTTGAATCACTACAGCCATTAAATTTTATTATTCTAAGCAATACATAGCAGAAATTTATTATTAAAATTTGAATATCTATGAAGAAAATTTAACATTCTGAATATCCCATTACGCTATAAACAGTTCACTAGCAAAACTATAAGCAAAATTATTCATAATACATATTTACTATATTGCTTAAGAATGAACCAAGGGGAAAATTTTATAATCAATTGCAAATTATTACTGTGAAGCTTTTAAGTCAAGCTCCTTTAGGTCTATATATCCAAACTGTTAATTCAAATTATCATTTTTTAGTACTACTAGATAGTTTTAATTGATAAAATTTATAGTATTGCTTATTATTATATTACTTGGTAAATTTAATAAATATATATTTTGAGTAGTAATTAAATTCCATTTAGCTATCTCATTTTATGAATAAGAGTATAAGTATTCTATTTAATTTATATTTTGACTACCTACTGATTGCTACTACTAAATAGGTAAATAGAGCATATCGATTATCTAACTTTTATGAGAATCAATTGTGCCAACTAGATTGTAGTTTTAATTGTCTAGTAAAATGATTGGAGCTGTTGATTATTTCTGTATTTAACCTTGCAAGACAACAAACATGCTTGAGATAACTATTTTCTAAACTACATCAAAATATTCTTACCCAAATTCTTATTTACTAGGGCACTAAGTTATTTTGGTACATACCTTTTAATTTTGATCATTTAAATATTACTGTGGACATATTGTAACACATTGATTCGTACTAGGATCAAACAATTAACCATTATTGCATACAAGAGGAACGCATAAACTACTAGTCTAATCTAATATAAATCCATTTACGCAAGATGAACAAATTTGTTTACTTTAATCGCATATACTACAATTTTAACCGCAATCTCCTAAAGCTTTTAAAATGATTAATCCTATAATTGTTAAAAAAAGTTTTCCTAATTTCAAAACTGTTAACATTTTTTAATCTTTTTGGCTTACTATTTAATATAATAAATTTACTGTATACAAAAAAAATTTGATAAAAATAACTTTGTTCAATTCGAATTTATTTAGTACACATGAATTTATTTAATTGATTAGTATAGGCTTGATTACTAACTAACTTAGTCATCAATTTAATAAAAATTAAAAAAATAAATAAATTCAAACTTGCTTCATTTTAATTCATACAATTACTATTAAAACAATTGCAATCTAAAAATATGTTTTGAAAACAATTATTTTAAAAATCTCTTTATATTCGATTATTTCTTTATCTCAATTACAAATTATCTAAAAAATTTATTAAATCTAACTTAAGGTTTAAAAAAATTTGGAAAAACTAAATTTCCTAATTTAATTAAGATTAACTTTACTAATGTGTAAGAAATTGATAACAAATTAAATTTAGAAGAAATCCACATTAGGAGGAATATTTTGGAAGTAAATAATTGTTACTAAATAAATGATTAAAATATTAAGATTCAACCCAAAATTATAGCAAGTTTTTCAATTTACATTTTTTTTTAAGCAACTAACTTTATTTTACATTTAAAAACCAAATTAGATTATAAAACAAATAAGATATAAATTTAGTTTGAATTTAGCAACTATTTTGTAAAAATATTAAAAATTAAAAATATATTTAGCATTTCATAAGTAAATAAGAAAATAAAAATGAGTGAATAAAAATAACATATAATTCTTTTAAGGAAAAAAAACATCTCATCACCCTCTGAAGACCTGATTTAACTAATAAGCGATTGAATTATGTTATTTTTACAGCAATAAATAAATAAATTTTCCTCATTTATATAAAAATCAGCATTTGTTACATACTAATCTTAGTCAACACATATTCAAAAAAATCTTAATTGAAATATTATTATTCAACAGTCAATATTAACTAATATTCAAGCAAAATTACCTTAACTTTAAACATACTTCATTTATATAAGGTTAGATAAACATTAATATGGAAGTAGAAATAACGATTTCAAATCGACAAAATAGTTTAAAAATTTAATTCATTTGAATATTTAATGTAAATAATTGGCATAATTTTATAAATTAAGAGAAATATTTAAATGCATTAAAACTTATTACTTTTTTAGTTAAGCATATTTAAAAAATTAATTTATAACCTCTGTTACAAATATTTCAAATTTCTTAAAACTAAATGTAAATAAATATTTGATTTGTTGTGTATTTTTTTATGATTTAAAAAAATACTTGTCAAATAGATTCACAATTTCGCTGTAACAAATTTGTTTAAATAACAAATATTACTTAGTATTTCTTTTATCTTACATGTAAAAAAACTTAATTATATAGTAAATGTGAGTTTTTATTTTAAAGAATCAAAAATACAAAATTTTCCTTAATATATCTCTACAACTTGAACGTAAATCACTCATTCTATCTTAAAGATGATTTGATATTTATTTTTAAAAATATGTAATCTTTTAATTATTAATGCAGATTTTAATGAATCAAAATTTTCTTTGGTGTGGGAAATAAAAAAATAATAAATAATTCATATTTTAATTAATTTAGTTGTAGTCTCTCTTGGTCTTAAAATAAAAAACAAAATGATTTAGCTGATATTTTTCCTATGTTTGCTTTTGAGAAAAAAATCTATTGATGTATTTAATTTATTCAATTTTGTAGGTTACTGTTTACTCTAAATAATTTTTAAAAAATTATTTTAGATTTAACTTTATGCTAAATAATTTTTGAAAATGCAATAAGTTAATTTCCAAAATAAAATAATTATCTATTTCTTTTTTTAGAATTTTCTTTCTCTTAGAAGATATTTAATAATTTATTTTAAAAACAATAAAATATCAGTTAAATTGCTTAAAAGGTAGGTATTATTACAGATAAAAAACAATAATATCTAATGCTTTAAAAAGTAATCTAGAGAGATGTTTACTATATATACCTGTTATTAAATAAATTAATTATTTAATTCCTATTTAACTATTTTTTTTTCACAAAATTAATCATAAAAATGTAAACAAAAATCAATACTTTGTTAGAACAAATAAGTATTTTTATCAAAATAAAATCTAATGAATTAATAAAATAAGATGATAGTTTTCAACTATTTTAAGTAGCATCATGAACTTAATGATTTTGAATGCTCAGTTTAATGTTCTTAAATATCTTAATAATTTTCTAATAAAGAAGACTCCTTTGTAAATTTATCTGATAACTCAGAATTTTATATTTGTTACTCTTTTGAATGAGAGTTTTTAACCATATTTTAGCTTAAAATATTTTAATTTTTTTGTTTGGCATTTTTCTCAGCTTATTAAATCTAAAAATCTTCCTATTGATTAGAGCTTTTTTACTAATTAATAATCAAATTTTTATAAGATGAAAAACCATTCTATTTTTCTTAGATATTATTGATAATATTTTTATCAATCAAATTATGTTAGTTATACTTTACAATTTTTAAATCATTAGTTGTTTTCAAGCTAGATGTTTATTCATTCTAATATTTATAAATAAAAATATTTTTTACTAAAATGATTAAACCTAAAAGTATCAAATATTATTAAAGCTCAATTCTTAATTTTAAGATAATTTAAATATCTAGATTAATTTAATTTATTTTAACCTATTTAACAAACTTGATAATTAAAATTATATCTAAAATATTACATTATGTTCAAAATTAAAGTCTGATTTTTCCTCTTTGTTTATATTAGTAGAATAAAGTGAGTTCTCATCTTCTAATTTGTTTTAATCGATATGAAAATTAATGATCATCTCATTAATTTTCTTTCTAGGGCTTACTTGATTGATTTAACTTTCAACTAAATTTCCTACTTCAACTTCATCGATATTTGTTTCTTTACTAAATAATAAAATATTTACAAAAGATAAAATATACTGTAATTTCTCATATATTAAGAATAAAACACTCAAGACCAAGTTTTGTAATTTAAAAAAAAAGTTGAATGTAAAAGTTGTATTCGAGTAGCTATTATTTTAAGAGAAATTACAGTTTATTAATTGAATTACCTATTCTTTTATGGTGTTAATCCTTTACTATTTCTTTGTAAATATACTTTTGAAAGATTTTTGTAAATAATGCTCTCATTTTTTTCATTTTAATTAGAAAAATCAAAATAATTTTTTTTATTTAGCTTGTTGGATAATTGCAGATCATTAATAAATTTATTTTCTTATTCAATTTATTATTAATCACAAATTTATTTTGTTGATTTTGGGAATATGAAGTGACTATTGTCTAAAATGATTTCATTAATATCTAAGTATTTTGAGCTTTTTTAGTTAATCTAATTTGTATCTTCTATTCTACTTGCTTTTATAAATTATTTATAATATTTTAATAAATTATATAAAAACTTATTTTACTTCGATGAGTATCTTTAAAAAATTGGCTTCTCTTTGTGTTAACATTTTAGGAAATAAAGTAATTTTGGCTTTGAAAGGAAGTTGTTGAGGGTGGCTCCAACTATTTTTTACTTGCTTTTTTTTGTAAATAAAATATTTAAATAAAATTATATTAATTTAATAAATTTACTAATTGAATATCCATTTAAGTTTTTATGTGAGTCTATTAATTCTTTGACAGATATATCTGTTAATTAATTAAAAAATTCTTAAATATTATTTATTAACTTATTTTTGTTAGCTACTATTATAAGATCCTATGTTTGCATTTATTGATTAGGAAAGTGGTGAAATCAAAGCTGGTAAAACTTCTTATTAAGACTTAGAAGAATTTTATTTTTGTGATGGATCTTTTTTGACTGAACTCATTTTAATCCTTAGTATTTCTTTTCTTATTTTATTCCAATTATGAAATGTTTTAAGATCCTTTGGCTTATCAAATTTTATAAACTTAGATAATGATGGAAATAATTGAATTATTTTCTTTTTAATTAATTCTAAGTTTTTTTTCTAAGCAATTGATAGTTTAGCCTTCACTACTTCAAAGATTAAGTATCCTAAATAAATATTATGGATACCTAATACAATCAAATAGAATATTTGTTACTAAATCTTATCAGGTTAATTATACAAAAAGATATTCATTATTGTTATCACAGTTAAGGTTATCATACTCTTCTTCTCTAATTATTAAAAATACCTCATTTGATATGGCTTCATAATAGATAAGCTTACTTAGTATAAAAGTAGTATAATCATAATAATTAAGAGTTTATTGTCTATTGTTAAAAATAAATTATTATTAAATATGAATCTCTTTTAAAAAATTACTAAATGGATCTCCATAGAAATTTAACACTACTACTATTAATATTTTCATATAGCTTTTAATGAATTCCCAATAAAACCTCTATTGTGTGTAATCTTAGTATAAAAATCCATAAGGTAATCTAATTATTGCATAGTCTAGCTTATTTCTATGCATAAAGAGTATTTTCAAAATACTCATTGGTAAAATAAATCCCCACAAAACTAACCCTGGAATACAAACTGATAGAATAAACTTAATGTGCTCTTCAGTGTAGCATTTATGTGAAACGTCTGCAAGAATGTAGTAATTTTAATCAATTTATCTGCATGATAAAACACTTAGTAAATTATTAATGATATTCGGCTGCAAAAAGAATATTATAAAGACTAATCCACATATTAAATAACTCTATAATAAAAATTTAAGTTTTTAATTTTTTTTTAAAATATAAAATATTACTTTGTTATATGATAATACTTTGAATTAATACAACGCAAAGTATATTATTCCAGCAATAAATATGTAAATTACTGGGATCATAAGACCCCATATTGTCCTCAAAAATATGAGAAGAAAACTTTTAGACTAAAGGGTACTAAGAAAGCAATCAAGTGTGTACATGAAATTATTGACAGGAGATCCTTGAATATGTGTTATTTTTATAATTTATAAGATTAAACTAAATAATAGTTACCTATATATTTTGGAAACAATTCAAGAAAACCAGGAAGATCTACTTCAAAGGTGTTGATTAATTAAGATATCTGTATGTAATTCATCATAGCCTTCATATTCATATTTGTTGTGTCTTGATATGCAGATTTACTAATATTAAGCATATTTAATTTTCTTAAGTAATATCCGAATATTATATTTTAGCTAATATTTAAGGCTATTTTAACACTAAATAATATATAGAATATCATAAATATCCCTACTAAAATTGAAGGAAGTAGAAATTTAATATCATTCTACAAACCCTTACAATTTATGCAATTATACTTACCATCTGACATATATCTTGAGCCCCACATCTCTCCCGTAGAATCGCACGATTCACAAAGAGGGCCAATATGACCTTCTTTGCAATAATCAGTTAATTCATTTCCATTACAATTTTGCTCATTATTTTTGCATTTTATTATCACATTTGTTTCATCAGAAATTCTCCAATAACCCTTTTTTACAATTATCTTATTTTTATAGCATTTTTCTGCATTTTCTGGGCATCTCTCACATTGTTAACTTTATTTATTAGCTTTAACATTTTTGATAAGTTGAAATTTAAAAAATAAAATTAATGTAACTTACTTTAATTAGGTTAAGATAATGAGTAAAAACCTTCTTTGCACTCTTAACATAAAAAAAGAGACCCACTTTATGTTAGTATTTCTCCAGCAATACATTGCCTAAATTAGATGTTAACTTTTACACCAAATCTTTCTATTATATTAAATATTTCAAATGATATTAGAAAGTAGATATTTTTTAAATGTACCTTATTTGAAATAGTATTGTTAATTATTGTTATGTGCTCTAAATATGCTTGGAACTTCAAAAAAGAAGTAATTTCGTGTCTCAGGAATAGATACAATATTCATATCTTTGATTGAAAATGTTCTATCTTTTGCATTAAACTACTATTAATCAGAAATATATTAACCATACACTTTTATTTTATCGTTGCTTAAAGTAGTTATAATTTTAAAATTTTAGATCTCTTCACTTACATCTTGTGGATAGCTTTCAGATTCATATAATTTTTAGTCAAAATTAATTGGTACACCTTCGAGATCTAAAATTTAAAATTTTACATCAATATTTCCCCCACTTTAAAAATCATTAATGCTTACAGTATCAAAAACTTAAATAGTATCCTTTTCAATCATAGGTATGATTTAATCATTATAATTTTTAGTAATACTGTTAGAAGTAACCTTTAAGGAAAACGAATATGAGCCAAAATTATTACTATGAATTGAAGCATTATTTTTAGTAATTGAATTAATAATATTGTTTTCAACTAAGTCTTTATTTATGATTTAATTAATAAAATCTGGTTAGATTCCTAAATACCTAACTCCTCCTCCAATTAGTGCTTAATTCTCTATTATTGTTGTATTATACATTTACAGATTACTAAATTGTAAGAATATTGCTCCTCCAGAACTTAATGCTTTATTATTTAAAAATATACTACTTTTGATAATAGTACTATTATAATAATTAGAATCGATATAAATAGCACCACCTTTTTAAGCTAAATTAAATTGAAATAATGAATCCTACAGAATAAATTAATTACTATATTATACTTAAATGCCAGCACCTAAGCAATTAGAGCAGCTCACATTAAATATTTTAATTTAATTAATAATAAAAGAATTCCCTGTTAAGCTTATTACAGAGTTTTAAACATGATTTACAGATGCTATAGTTGCATTTTATATAAAAAATTAATCGCCTTTCTATATAAATTACTTAGAGTTTTCATTATAGGAGTTTGAAATTTGTAAAAATGAAATTTTGTTTGAAAATTTAAAGTTTAAATTTCTTATTTGTAATTCTGCTATTCCAAATCCTTACATAAAATATATGAATTCGTTAGAACGAATGTTAATTATTTAAATATCATTAAGATGCACTTTTTTGGAATTCTAAATTAAAAATAGAGATTCTAAAAGAAAAGTTTGATCAGCAAAAATGTTTTCAAATATCAGTTATTCAATATAAATATCTTGTACTCTATCAATTTCTATTATTTTTGACTCGTTTTGAATGTTAATGTCTTGAAACTTTAAATTTTTTAGATAAACTTACTTACATTAACTAAAATAGAAAAAGCTACTCTTTCCTCTTATGTTTATATTTTTTATAAGGATATCCTCTAAAATAATTGAATTAGCTTAAGTAAAATTCATCAAAAAATTTTGAGCATCATTTTTAAAATCTATTTAGCTTAAAATTATTTTTTTTGTTTGATTGTTAAATTAGATGTTATCTGATTAGCTGATATCAAATATATAGTTTTGGATATTAATCTAAGAAAAACTTTCTGGCGAAAAAATATCATCCAAAATCTAAAGAACATATTTCCCATTATTATTTTGAGTTGAGCCAACAGCAGAATATTATGATTTTAAATTGGTAAAGATAGGATCATAATACAAACTTAATCTTGGTTCACCCTATTTTAAAATATATAAGAAATTTTTAATTAGTAAATATAAAATATGGTAATTTTATTTACATAGATATATGTTTAAGATATTTCAGCATCTGCAATTTTTAAAGATTTTTCTAAGTTTTATAATTAGTTATTTTACTGATAGTACCTACTATAAATTCCTATGTTAAATTAGCACTCAAACTTATTTTGAGTTGTACTTTGGTTTACTAACTGAAAATCATATCTGTAAACTAAACCATTACTTAAACCTTAAATTATTATATAATTATTCCCATCAATTTATTTGATTTGATAATTAATCACTATGGGATAGCTTAATTGAAATTACTTAACTACCTAAACATTTTGTTTATTTTAGTATGCTAATGATAACATATTGTATGAACTAACAAAAAAATAGCTTTAATTTGTATCTCCAAGCTCATTAATATACTTTATTTTATTTATATTGTTCAGAATATAGTTATCTCTAATAGATTTTTGAAGGATATTGGTTTATCTATCGTAATAATATAATTACCAAGGCATTTCAATCAAAAAAAACTAATCTTAGAGATTTAATTTAACATCATTCAATAAAGTGGGTAAAGGCAGCCAGTTTTATAGTGTAATAGAATTAATTGTTCCTTTTTTTGTAAAAGAAAACCCATATACAATAATCAACCCATTATTACTCAAAGTATATAATTTATTTGTTTGTGGGTCATATATAGCTTTATAAGCACAATAAGCCTCAATAAAATCAAATGATGTGTCAATATCTTGGTTTGGATCTTTAATAGCTCTAATGTCTTACTTGATTGCAGAGTAAATATCCATTACATTATTCTCTTTTTTGAAAATTATTAACATACTGTTTTGAGGCTGAAAAAGCATAAATTAATAACTGTTATCAAAAAAAGTTTATATTGTTTTATAACTTGCATAACTATACCTAATAATTAAAACGCTATCTACTGATTAATATAAAATTAATATTTCGCTATTCGATTCTATTATAATTAATTATGTTAAAATTTTATAAAACTTCTATACCTTAAATTTTGAATCTAGAGTAAGAGAATCAATATCTATTTTAACTAAATCATAGTTTTGATTTTAACAAAATATGCTTTTTTGACTAAAATATAAGGTACGCAGCTATATATCTAATTAATGCAGCACATTGAGTTGCATATCTAATTTAATTAATGCATTTGTTGTAGATAAATAAATGTTTTCATTCCAAAATTTAGCAGCCATTATTGTTTATAATTATTTTAAAAAGTTTAATTCAAAAGATTAGTTATCTAAAACCCAAAGTGAATTATCGTAGTCAATAAAATAAGTTTTTTATTGCTAATTGTGTATAAAATAATTATCGTTTCTAGATTAGTATAATGGAGTAACTAAATTTCTTGAATTTAAAGCATTTTCGACATTAAAGAACCTTAAAAAAATAAAATAAAATTTAAGTTTAAGAATATATAATAATCAATTTTTTACATAATTTAGGCACTATCTGAGCATAGGAGAGAATTATATTAAGGTAGAAATGTTAAAGTAGTGATAGCAGTATTAAATTTAATGATGTAATATCCAGTGTAAACAAATCTTAATAAATCAAATGCAAAAATACAAAAGTTACTCCTAGAAAAAAACAATGTATAAGAAGATTCATCTAATGTTACTGCTCCAATATTACCATATTCTAATTATTAATTAGCAGATACTTCTTTATAAAAGAGGCCTGAAGAAATATTAAAAATCGCAATTTTTTGATAAAACACCTTATCTTTGTAGTAATCATTCCATATAAAAATCATGTCTAATTTTTCTGAGATTATTATATTTAGTATTGTTGGATTTAAGCATTTTATTGTTCGAATAGTTTACAAAGAAACTTTGTCAATTACAGCTATTATGTTTATATCGTACGAGTATGTGTACTTTCTTTTAAAAATTACATTTCTTATATCAAGGTTATGGTCTCTCTTTTCAGCTATTTCAGAAAGGCTTATGTTATAAACCTTTAAAACAGATTACAGACCAAACCCTTTTTTAATAAACAAGTAACCAACTTCCTCATCAAAAAAGAATTTATCAGAGCTGTTTTCAGTAAAAATATAAGAAATATTATTTTGATAGTTATAAGCAATTATTGAGTCTTGATTATCTAAAATTAAAAGTGTCATGTTCTATTTAAACAAATAAAATTGTTTAACTGCATAGGTATATTAAGGTTATTAAGATCCATTTTCATTCGAATCATTGTTATTTGTTAAATTTTACTTAGCTTCCTGCAAAACAGTTCCCTTGAACTGAAATTTTAAATTAGGATACGTCCATACAATTATCTCTAAAATTGCTTAATTAAAAGTTATAAGAAATCCATTATACAAATCCAAAAATACTTGATCTACTCCAGCCATTGTACCTCCTTTAATTTAGATAGGATTTTTTATTTGATAATACTCTAAAGCGTTTATATCCCATTTAAAAAGATTAGTATTTGTTTCGTTAGAATAGGTAATTATGCTATTATTATTTTCGTCGAGGATATATCCAGATATATCATTTAAATGTTTTTTTGGGAATATTGAGGATTCCATAGAAATTAAATCATAAATCATTAAATTCTATTATAATAAATAAAAAAATCAATAATATTTAAATTAAAATAAACTTACTGATTAAAAAGAGATAAAACCTCTAATTATTTTAGAGTATCTAAGATCTTATGTATATGTGGTCCTATATGAATTTATTTTGAGTTAAGGGGAGAAGCTTCCATAATATATTTAACCATTTTAAAACCCAATAAATATCTTTTATGTTATGTGATCTGCTTTTACACTAGTAATTTTCTACTCGAATGTTGCTAAGTAAATGATTGCTCCTTGATGATTTATGCCTATCACCTATCCAATAGAAATAATAATTTAATTAAAAATGAAAACCAAAGAAAAATAAAAAAAAAGCTTCATAATATTATTTACTTAATTTTTTATAGCATCATTTGCATTATTAATATAAACAAAGCAAATCTTTTATCTGAAGGGAATTGTAATTGCATTTTCGCTAATAATAGAATTGAAATATTAAAATTAGTTGAGTATGTTTGTTGAAGAAGCATCAACTAAGTATGTTTGAAATGACTTAGAAAAGCAAATCAATATATCGAGATCTGTAAAAAAAGCTAAAGCTGTTGCAACTGGAACAACAGTAGTAAATTTGTTAAAATTATAATCAATAAAAAATAGTTTGTTTTAATTTGTACTTATAAAAAAAGAATAGAGATTTGCATAAGAAGTACTTTCATCTTATTCAGTAACATGGATAGATTGCATTTATCCTTAAAATTCAATATAAAAGTTTATCTTTTCTAAATTTTAGCCCCTAATTGAGTAGAATAAAGCACTTATAATTGTTGGTGTTTGCTTTAAAATAACTAAATAAAAATTATAATCGTTCCTCAAAATGTAAGTTTTTAAAGGATTGTCATAGGGAAGAGAATAAGTTTAGTTTTAGTTTAAGAGATGAAATACTTTTACTTCTTAATTATTGCTAATAGTTATATATAAATAAAATTTATCAATATGAAAATTATTTAGTTTTTTTGTTTAATCTTTTAAGCTAAATGTTCTTATATATGTTATTTAAAATATCGAATATTGCCACATTACTACAGTATTGTCATTATACTAAGAAAGTAGATAACCACTATCCTTAAATATATCCATGCCTAATACTTTGAATTTACATACCAATAAATTGTAAGGATTGCAAGAAGGATGATATTATTCCATAATAAAATTTACATTATCAAAATTACTATCGTATGACATTTATTTAGCAAAAGTCTGATTATATGAATCTTCATTCAATTCCCATACCTTAAAACTACCATCATCGCTATAGCTTATGATTCTTTTTTATAGCTCATCAATAAGCATACCATTAATCTTATCTGTATGACCATTTTAAATTTTTGGAATATTCTTCTATGTCTGCTAATTATTTATTTAGCTATTTTTGTAAAAATCAAAGTTTACTGACAATATTTGCTTCCCGAATAAGGAAATCATTTGTTATTTCACATTTATTATTATGTTAGTCAAAAACATAGGAGCTTAAAATTTGAAGTCATACTAATTTAAATAATTTAATACTTTTTCTGATTCTATACTTTCCTAATCTATCAAAATTTAGTAAATTTTTATTAAACCGGTTGGTTCTAGAGAAACTAAAAATCCTTCACTTGAAAATCTAATCATCATTAAATTTTCTTGTATTTTTTGAATCTATAATAGATCGACTCTAGGAATTTCCTCTCTTTGCATTTATAACGGCAAAATATTTAATTGAAAGACAAGTAATTCGTCATTTGTAAGTATAAAAAAAATAGAAGAAGAATAAACTAAAATTTCTCCAATCTCCTATTAAATATCATCTTCTGAAACTTTGGCACAGCTACTTGTAATTGTCATTATAAATATTTTTGTAGACTCATAGAAATATATCAAAAAGATATCATCAATTATTAATCTAACTCCTTTGATTCTTTCATCAAAAGTGCACTTTTTATAACCAATTTTGGATAATATATCCCATTAAAATATGTTTTATTCACTATAGCTTATTAATTGGTCTCTGTATCTTATAAATCCTTTTATATTTTTTACATGTTTCTTTTCAAACAGATGGAAAAAATGTGACGCTTTTAAGTTTTAATTTCTCTAAATAGAATCTAAATACTCTTAAAAGTAAAATAAACCAAATTATCGCTCATCATCATAATTTAAAATGATAAATTAGCTGTCAATATAGATTAGTTCAGAGTATTTATTACTTATAAAATAAGGATTTTCGATTGTAATATTAATGTATAATTAACCATAATGTAAATTCCATATAAATATCTCTTTAGAGCTAAGCGAAATTACTCCTTGATTATTTGTTTCTTCTGAATTATATTCTTTAATTGCAATAATTTCTTACAAATGACCATCCATCTATCCAATAAGTTAAATATTGTTGCTCTCAAAAATTTTTATTTTATAATCAGACTATATACTATTTCTACCAGCTGTGATAATTTAATCTTCTACTAACAAACTAATTGTAAACAAATCAAAATATTATTGGCCAATCTCTTCTAGATAGGGGCATTATTCTATTTATTTACACTATAAAGTGATTTCATCTTATATATATGGATATATGCAAGAAGATGAGCATTACTATGTTTCTTTTTAAAAATATCTGCCATAACCGCAGCTTGATTAGCATGATTATATCTCTTCATTATAAAAAAAATTAGGTTCACATCTTTAACATTTTCTTAAAGTGTAATCGCATTCTTGACATTTAAATTTACATTAAACTATTTGGATTATCTCTTAACATTAAATGTATTTAAAAAAACCTATTAAAATAATCAAAATTTTAATATCCATTATTTATATCTTATCTGTAATTAGTTTTTATTTATTATACTTGCCTTATTTTATTAGTTCTAGTTTATTTTTTTCTTTTAAAAATAATTTAAGCACAATAATTATTAGATATAATAAAATAAAGTAATAAATAAAAAAAATATTTGATATATTATTAGATTTTTCAGTTCAATTTTAATATAAATTTTAAGAATATTATTAAAATAAATATTAAAATAAAATTATTTTTTTATGTATGATAATGTTACTAGAAAAATAAAGTATTTCTTTAGATTAAAAGTAAAAAATTTAATAAATAATGTCGAATTACAATTATAAAAATATTTAGGATCACATTTGAAATTTTTTACATGTTTAATATATATATATTATATTTAAAAATATATATACTTGTCATATATCTTCATATTATTTAATTTAGCTATTCTATTTTTATTCTTATGAGCTATCTATACCTTAGCTGTCAGTTGATTACTTACTTTATTACTTTGCATGGCTATCTAAATCTGGGATTTTATAATTAATTTCTTTAGATTGTTATATTTATATAGAAATTTAATCTTGCACTTAACAACTTAACTATTAAGAATCTTATTATTATATTATATTTTTTTGAACATTATCTTCTATTGATTCATGAGGTTCATATTCATTTATTTATTATTACCTATTTATAAATATTATTTAATATATTAATTGATTAAAAAAGTAGTTATACTTATTTAACTCTTATGATGAAAGAATGTTAATATTTATTTGATCACAATCAATAAGGACTCTTCTAAGGTTCTTATATATTATACTTACAATTTAAAATGACTCTTTTTAAGATTTTAATGATTTTTTTCTTTAAATAATCTACATATCTTGTATATCATCTTATACATTTTTACTATTAATATTATTTTCTTAAATATTTGAAAAAGCAGACTTTTAAATTTATTAAGTATTATTATTTTTAGCTGAGCTAATATTCACATGATTTTACAAATTAGAGTTAGAATTTATGTTGCTTTGAAGCCAATCATTCTCTTTGTCTTACAAGAGAAAAGAACCAATGTCTATTAATAAAAAATATTAAATTTTATAAATATGCTCTTTTATCTTTTAAATAATACTTCTTTAAGAATATATGTCTTATTGACTAAACATGCTATGAGGACCTATTAAAATTAAAATAGCAATTATAATTTATTGGTTAAAAATTTTAATTAATATTACTTTAATGATTTTCTAATTATATTCTTCCACTATTTGATTACTAACACATTACAGAAGTTATGTGTTATTAAATAATAACCTCCTGCTCAACTTTCTTTTTCTTCATTTCTATTATTTCTTTTCTTATCTATCTCCAATAGTAGAAAACCCCTAAAGTACTTTTTGTGTCTATTTTGATATATTTTTTTAGCATAGGAAAATATTCTAAAAGTTAAAGTTTTAAGCTTCTTATTTAATATTTATAAATTATTATAAGCTTATTTTTAACTACTTCAAATACTAAATAGGCTTAATATAAATTATCTATTCCTAGTACTATTATATAAAAGAGTTGCTGTTGAATTATGTCTGGTTTGTTATATAAAAAAATATTCATTAGAATAATAATTATTAACACAACCATGCTCCTTTTATCTACTTATTGATAGTAAATCATATTATAGGGCTTTGCTTTTTGAAGTAACACTAAATATAGTAAGAATAAAACTGCAGCTATTACAAGCTTATTATCTAATATTTATTAATTATAAAATAAAAAATTTAATTTTATTATTGAAAAATAAATACTGTAAGGATCTCCATAAAAGTTCATGATAACTATGATTATAATTTTTAAGTAGCTTCTCACAAACTCCCAATAGTAATATTATTATTTATAATCTTGATAAAGAAAGCCATATGGTATTCTTATGTTAGAGTTTTCGAGGTTATTTTTATTCTTTGATAGTTTTTTTATAATCAAAACAGGCAAAATTACAGCCCAAAGTAATAAACCAGGAATGCATATGGTAAAAATATATTAAATATGAGTTTTAGTATAGCAAGAATAGGTTATATCTGCTAGAATATATTTTTAATTATCAATTTCTCTGCAAGCCATCACACTCAACAAATTAGAAACCATATTTGATTACAAAAAATATATCAAAAACACAAGACCACTAATTAAATGATTCTTTTATAAAATAAAATATATTTATATTAGTGAAAAGTTAAATTCTAAAATAACTATTTACCTTATGAAATTTAGCCCATTTCAGTTTTACAAATATAAAATAGAGTATACTCATTCCTATGATATATAAAAATGGCATAACAAGTGTCCATACCGTACGTAAATATATCAGAGGAATTTTACTGCTAGCAATTTTATTTAGGTAACAGTCAAATGTGTACAAAAAATTATCAACAGGGGAACCTATTAGAATATTAAGATTATTAATTTTATATAGTATCTATAATAAATTGAAATTACCTAAATACTAAGGTAAAATTTGTAACCAAGAAGGTAGCTAAACTTAGAAGGTATTAACAAGCTTAGCTAGCTGCATGTAGTTCATCATAGATTTTATATTCATGTTTGTTGTATCGAGATAAGCAGATTTACTAATAGGTAAGAGCTTTAAACACCTTAAATAGAATCCAATTACAATATTTTCACTTATATTTATTGCAATTTTTATACTAAAAATTAGGTAAATTAACATTATTATTCCTGCAATAGCAGATGGTAAAATATATGAAGAATTATTCATTAAAGTAGAGCATTTGACACAACCATATTTACCATTACTCATATATGGACTACCCCAACGAACTCCATTATTGTCACACATTTCACAAAGAGGTCCAAAGTTTCCTTCTTTACAATAGCCTTTAGATTCGTCTCCATTACAATTCGATGGCTAATTAGAGCAATAAACAATAGAATCTGTATTGTTACTACTCCTCCAATATCCTTCTTTAAGCTTAATTGTGTTTCTATAGCAATCAGAAGCTCCATCTGGGCATCTTTAACAATTTTATATGGTAGATTTTGCTTAATTTTTTATAATAAAAATAAATATTAAAAAATGAATTTTAGTTTGTATATCTTAATTTAAATAAAAATGTTTAATTTTCAATCAAAATTAGTTTTTTTTAAAAAATAAAAGCAAATGCGAAATTATCAAAAATAAGAATTTCTTATTAATTTTGTTTAAATTCAATCATTTCTTGTTAAAAGAAATATTATTAAATTAACAAGTAAAAATTATCAAATAATGAAATTTTACTTTGTTTTGGTTCAACTAATGAATAAAAGCCGTCTTTACACTCAGAGCAAATATATAATTTGTTGGATTCTTAATAGATTTCTCCTGCAACACATTTTCTAAATTAAAATACTAATCTCGAATAAAAAGGACCTAATAATTTTATAAAATAATTAAGTATTTTCAAAAATTGGCTTTTTTAATATTACCTTGACTAAAACTCCTATTTGTTAAATTAGAATTAACTAATCTTTGGATAGAAGGCACTTATATATAGATTAAATTCTCAGTCTAAGGTAGAGAATAAATACTTAAATCACTTATCAGAAAGGAATTTGTTGTTTAATTAAATTGTTGATAGTTAGTTGATTGCTGCCCGAACAACTTTACTTCCTCAGAAAATGTATTTGCATTAATTACATAGCTAGATATCTCTTAATTAATAATATCTGGGTATTCATTATTGTTATATTTATCTAAGTTAAAATTAACTGGATTTCCTTCTAAATCTAAAATTCTAAAGGTAAAATTAACAGATCCACCACTTTAAAATTCTGTTATTTTATACTCATTTATTAAGAAATCATTAGATATAGATTGTGTATCTGTATGTTATAGCTATCTTCTAGAAGCTATTAAAGACATAGCTGAATTTTCAGATGAAATTTATATAGAGTGTGTGTAGGAGCCAAAATTATTTGTGTGTATAGTACCAGTATTATTTACAAAAGTATTATTATCATCAGTTAGCTTTAATATTTAATTATAGGCAAATAGTGGTTCAATATCTGTATATCTAATAGCACCTCCAACTAGTGCTTGGTTTTATATAAAAGTTGAATTATGCAATTTAAGATCACTTTTTTATAAATAGATTGCTCCACCGCTTGCTATAGCAGAGTTACTTATAAAATTACAGTTTTCAAAAACTATTTCATTATAATTAGAATCGGTAATGTAAATTGCTCCTCCAATGAACGCATTTATTTTATATAATGATGAATTGCTTAGTTTAAACTAAACTGCATTTTTGGTATAGATTGCACCCCCTAAGCATGAATTACAATTTATATTATTAAAGTAAGAATTTTTTACTATAAAACTATTTCCAACAAAATTGATTAATGATGAATTTAAATTTTAAATTTAGGTTGCGTTTATATTACTCATTGATAAAAAATTATGTGTTATTTAGTATAAGTATTAATCTTATTTATAGCTATCTACAAATGAGATAAAAGGAATTCTTTCAATGTTTAAGTAATTAATTTACTGTAAATTCAGTTATTTGGTTGCTTCTGAGAAAAGAAAGTTAGTCTAAAATTATTAGTTTTATGAAGAAATGTTAAAGAAATTGCAATTCTGAATTTAAATATATTTTAAGTTAAATAGATGGAAAACATTGCTAGTATTTGAATTAGAGTCTATAACTAGATTATTAATAGTAAGATTATTAATAAATATATTGTTTGAGTTAATGAATTCAAATAGGCTCGACTAATTTTTTAGCACTACATTACTTATAGTGAAGTTGTTGAAATAAACCTAAGAGCAATTTGATATTGAAAATAGCTTGGAATTGTTCTGCAGTTAAATGTCATTAATTTAAAAATTTTCTATTACCAAATACTATAAGTTATATAAATCGAAAGAAAATCCATCACCATTGCTAGAAATTGTTATGTTTTAAAAAGTTATTCGTACTGTATTTTAGTTGAATCCTACATTATTTGCATTAGAGATATCAAATATCATGTTTGATATTTGTAAATTTTACAAGTAATTTTACTAAAAACTATCCTTTTTTATTTGAATTATATGGTTATTCTATGCATCTTAATTTAAATAGACTATCTTATTGTTTGGATTTTAAAAAAATGTATTCTCATAAAAAGACTCAGTAGGATTAACCTAATTTTTAAATTTAAAATAAAATAAAAAATGTAAAATGTAGAAAATTATTTTTTTACATATATCAAAGATTACTACAGCTGTATCTACAATTAGTTTAGGGAATTTTAGAGTGTTGTAAGTTAGTTTTATAGGCTATAGCTATACTTTATTTATCCTAAATTTTCAAAGCACTGTGACTAGATTTGTATTGAATTAGCAGAAATTGAATATAAGTTAGAAGGTAAAAGAAAATTATAGCTAAAAAATACGCCATTACTTGCACCAACTATATTAAATTATAAAACCTATCCTTAATTCTATATTTTGAATATTATAATCCTTGGATATGTCATTTAAAAGCTATATAAAATATTTCGCTTTTTAGTTGAAGGATTAAGCACAATTAAATATAAAAACTAATCTGAAGTCACTAAACCATATTAAGGTTAACTGTCTGAAGGTATATAACCAGTAATACTTTTAAGATATCTATTATCTCTTAAATAAGATATAGGAATAAGAGATTTCCTTTATAAAAAAACAGCTTACCATGGGCTAACAATTTATAATTAATTTCCATTTAAATACACTTAAAGGTCAGGTGTCCTTAGTGGAAGAGGAATTTGACTAATTAATACAATATTATTTAAAGTCAAGTTTGTTGTTGAATTATACTAATACTAAAGTACCTAAAGGTAAGCTAAATTCTTATATATAACTATCATTTGATTGCTTTGATAGTCAAAAATCACATTAGTAATGTTATTTGAAAGGGTTGAGTTGTATGGTTATGAAAATAAATTATAATATTTTACTCTGTTTGAGGTAAAATTAGTAAAAAACTATACAGAAGTAGGCTTTATGTACATCAGAGTCATCGCATTAAAATCAAATTACAAAGCATTTATAGTACTTGGAGCTTAATAATTATTGATTACTGAACCAGTAAGGTAATTAATGTGCCAAATAATATTGTTCTAAAGAAGAATAATTACTTCTGTGAAATTTTAGATAATCAACAGATTTTGAATATAAGAGCTGAGTTTAGTTGTAAAATATTAATTTATCTATAAATTGGTTTAATTTAAAAGGATTATGCTTTATGTAACTTATTCTAAAAATATATAATTATTATCGAACCAAATATTCTTAAACCTGCCTGAGTAGTTGTTTATATAATTCATATTTAAATCATATTAAATCAAAGTATTATTAAGAATGACATATATATTATTACCCCACTAAGTAGATAATCTGATTTAATCAAGTTGGAATAAATAAGATTGTTATAAATTTTGGTAATCATAAGACCAAGCTGTATTCTATTTGTCTAAAATATAAGACTTATTAGTAATTTAATTTTAAAAATAATCGTCATTCATAGTTAAATAAATTGATCTGAAGTTATTCTTCGTGTTAATAGAAGTCTCGCATCTTATAAAACTAATTAATTTAAAAATATAAAATCATTTTCTGAATAAATATTTTTTACATATGATAGTAAAAATTAAAAAAAGAAATTTATTTACCTGATTTTACTAGCATCTAATAAAACAATCATGTTTTGAATTGGAAGAAATTACATCTAAGTAATAGCAGTGTCATAACCAATTAAATAGTATCCAGAGTATTTAAATGATTGTAAATCGAACGAAAACATAAAGAAATAAGAGTCTTTAGTAATAAAAAGTTGCTAAGAATCTTCATCAAGAACAACTGTGTCAATATTACCTGAATCGATTTGCTAATAACTAGAAATTGTAAAAACTTAAGTTCCATCAACTAAGCTAAATATAGCTATATTTGAATTTTTGCTAACTTGTTAATTATTCCATACAAATACATAATTTAGCTGATCAGAGATAATTACACTTTAAAATGAAGGATTATTTGAAGAAATAGTTAATAATAGCTTAAAGCTAACCCTGTCAATTACATTTAAATTTGTTTAGTCATAAATATATGATTTGCTTCCTTAAAATATAACTCCTTATATATCTTTGAGAAATGAATTACCATTTATGTATTGTTGCTAAAGCTAGTTTGTGTCATAAACTATTACAGTGCAATAAGAAATTTAAGAAGAGTAGCTAACATAAAGCATTAATTGTTAGTTATCAAAAAATACCTTTGAAAATGGGTTCAATTAGATATAATTTGAAGTATTTGTATTGTAAAAATATCTATCAATACCTCCATAGTTATTTGTTGACAATATCATATATTATTAAGGAATTAAGAATATATAACCAACGTTATATACAATTGAGCTTGGCTAGTCACTACCTGACACAATATCATTGTAAATATTTATATGGTCTTGGCATGAGTACAAGTAAGTAATATTAGGGTATTTCCATACAAAAAACTAATTTGTTCCATTGTAATAGCTTATTAAATATCCATTACTTGTATCCAAATATGCTGAAGTTGTACCTTGCTTATTTCCTCCAGTTATATTATATTTTAAAGTATTTTTATTTAAATCAAAGATGAAAAAGTTGTAGTACATATTACTATTTGTAAATCCAATAACATTTTAGAATGCCTAATCAATAATTAATCCATTTAGTTATTATTACTATCCAGAAGTAACTGTAATAGCTGTGTTAGAAGATAATTATAAATATTTTATATCCTATTTTTATAATATAAATAATCATCATTAACTTTTTTTACAATTTTTTATTTATTTTTTTTTATCTGTAGAGTTTTATTAATTATAATATATGCGGAAATTTTTTTTTTAATTGTTAGGTTTAATTAAAATTTAAAATTATTCAAAAAATGAATTTTTAAAATTTTTGTTAGGATTTAAAGCATTTAAATAAAGTTTTAAGGCAGTTAAAATTATATTTTAAGTTTAATTAAAAAAAAATTTAAGATATTTTTAGAAAGTGATATTCGTTTCGAAAAAAAAAAATCAAAATAAAACAAGTTTACTTTATCAAAATAGTATACTCTATTTAATTCTTAAACATATTAGAACTAAGGTGAAGCAACAGTAATTTAGTTTTATAAGTAGTTGTTATTAAAGTATCCAGATTAAATATCGCCATTTTAAAATCCAATATATATTTTTTATGATTATTGAATTGCAGTTAAGCTAGTTATCTTATTTTAAAAAGATACAACCATTTGTATATCTAAGTTAGGACCAAGAGCGTATATCTAATTAAGTTATAAAAACAATTTTATTAATAAAAAAGTAAAATCGATAATTTTACCTAATTTTGAAGCTATTTGTTCATAGTATTTTAATAAAAAAAATACATTTCTGGGGAATTAGCACTAACTGCTTATCTAGATATAACACTAGAAAAGGTGAAAGATCTTTAAGCTGTGTAAGTTGTTAAGCTCCTTGTCATATAAGTTGCTTTTTAATTTGCTTAAAATATAATAAGATTCTTGCTTTAAGGTTCATATGAAATAGCAGAAGGAGTTTATACAGCTACGTTATAAATATAGAGAGTTTAATTCATTATATATAAGAAATTAGGTGTTATAACTATCATTTCCATTGTCTCTTAGATATAGTAAGTAGAATTAATAGGCTTTGAAATACTTTAATTAATTCTGTTTGTTCCTGCAGGAAATAAGTCTAGTCTTAGATATTATAAGGAACTAGTTTACTGTATAATATAAATAAGATAATTACCTATTTTGGCACCATTTATTGTTGGCTAAAAATCTATCGCTCCATACAAATATGGTTAATTTATTTGTAATTTGTTGTAAATAATACTTGCTGTTGATATATTAAAAGCAGCTATTTGTTTGGCATTACATAAGGTAAGAGTCAAGTTTTTCTTTAAAAAGTGATAATTATTTAGCTTAAGAGTAGGATCAGTAAGATTATATGTATTATTTAACCAAACAGCATCATATTAATAATTAAATAAGTATACGCGATTATCATTAACATACTAAGCTATCAGTAAATTACTTTAAGCTAATTCTAATGACTACATTTAGTATGGACAAAACGAAGAAATACTGGAGGCACAAATTGGGTGAAATTACTATAAGACGAACCTAACCTTTATTAATCCACTAAATTAATCTACAGTCTCTTACCATATGATGAAGGAACCATCTAAACTATAAGAAATAAATCTATTATTATTGGCATCACTAACAAAGCCTATTACGCTATTTGTATGTTCTGTTTTAGTTTGAGAAATATTTTTTTTAACTATATTTTTGAGGACAATATTTTTGGAAAAATCTATTTCCAAAAAGCTAAGTCCTTATCCAAGTAATATTATATTTCCTAGCTATTTATTTACAATAATTTAATTAATTAGTGATTAGCTTTAAGTATTTATTTAGTTTAAATTAATTAAAAATTGATTGACTGGATTTGAGCTGTTTTAGTCAAAATCAATTATTGAATAGATCTGAAGAATTCCATTATTAAATAGTATGACTAAGTATTGGCTTGAATTTTAATTATTAATGGTTTATATTTAATCATATTTATATATATTTATTTAAAGAATTTGTGAAGAATGACTTATCGTTTAAAGCGATTAAATATACATGTTCGATGAAATGCTATCGTATTCATTAACCTAATAAAGAATAGCTTGTGTATAAAATTCAACTAATATTATATAATTTTGGTCATCTACAATATAAAAATTAGTAATTTATTCATTTTACTGAATTGTTAAATCATCACACTCACCTCTGTAATATGTTTGCAAGTTAAAAGAAGACTAAAATAAAATTATTAAAAAACTTGAATCTACAGACTACACTTACTAAACATTCTAATTAAAAGAACAAATTAATTAGCCTTGATATTAAGAATTATATTTGACAAGTTCCATTGTTGAATAGCTATAAAGAATTCCTGATTAATCTTGAGCATAACCAATTATATTTAGCTAGTGAACAAGTTAGTACATTGTTATATAAGCGCTTAAACTAACTGGATTATTGAAATATTATTGATATTAAAATGATCCAAAGTAAGTTGTATTTTATTGCAATAAAACAACCTAACTGTCAATATATGGTTTTGAAGGTGCATAGTAATTTAACCCAAACTTAGCTTGATTCACTAACTTTCCTTGTTGTATATCCCATTTAATAAGATCATTGGCAGAAAGAGAAAATATATTTGTGGTTTTTTGGCTTGATTAATTATCAATATCTTAAAAATTAACTATAGATAATACTGAAGATAAATGTCCAGTTAATGTTCCTTAAAATTGGCAATCGTTGGCAGTATCAAATATTTTTATAGAATAGTCATTCTGCGCAAAGTTATTTCCTATCGTATAAAGAAAATTATCTAATTAAATAGCTTAATTGAATTAGTCGTAGTATGCTTAACCTAGAGTGCTGAGAGTAGGACATTGAGTAAACTAAACGCAAGATTGTGATGAATCTTGATTAAAATACTGATACGGGCATACTGAAACACATGTCTAAGATTAAGGATTATAATACTATCCATATTAGCAAATTGGATTACATATATTTTAACCTGCTTAGAGCTAGTAACCCTAGATGCATTAGATGCAGTTATTCAATTGATCACATTTAGCACAATTTTAAGGACAACCTAGCTAGGACAAGCTTTTTTATATAATAATGTAAAATATAAATAGAAATAACTTTAGCATTCTCAATTTTTTTAATTTAATTAATTAGAGATTGTTTTTGCTTTTTTAATTTTTCAAAACTTCTTAATATACTGATTAATGTTAGTTAGTTGTATAGTAAGTTAAAAATTTATTAGTAAATAACCATACTTAATTAATTTATTTACATTTATTCAGATGCCAAATATACAAAATAATTTTATTGATGTATTTAATTTACTCAACTACTAAAAATTTAAATTTATATTTTGCTAAAGAGGAGAAAAGTAATAAAGACAATAACATGTAGAATTATTTTAAATTTACACACAAAAAAAATCAGTAAGAATGATAATAAAAGTAGATCAAAACACCCTCAAAATACACATCTAAGTAAAAAACTTAAAATCACCAGAATTTTTTGATTCCAATAAACTATCTTAAGTATTTATTTATTTAATAAGATTTTTTCAAATTAGTAAAAATACAAATTTTGGTTTATTTACACAATTTATGATATACTTTTCATAGTTTTTTGATTTATCTATATAATCAGTTGAGGCTATTTATTTTTTAAGATTCACTGTGCCCTATTGATAAATTTCATAAATATTCACAAGTCGTCATTTATAAATATTTTAATATTTGACAAAAATAAACAACAGAATAGAAAAAAATTGTTTTAGATGAAAATATTTTTAAAAACAATTATTTATTTATGAATTAATTTTGTTTTAATTGGCATTTGTTCTCTTTTTGCTTATAGTTATTCTTATATTTAAATTTCCTTTATCTTTAAGATTGGGTCCTTTCTAAGTTACTGTATTAAAAAAATTAGACTTTAGCTTTTATTTTTTGTTTTTTAATGTTCAGTCTTTAGTTTTTTTTAAATAAATTTTTTTAGTTTAAGTCTGGTTAATTTATTTATTAAATTATCCTAATACTCGAGAATAAATTGTTTATTTTCTCCTTTGTTTTGTTGTAACTTAGTCTTTTTGTTAGAATCGCTAGCTCTAATAAATAAAAAAATAAATCTTTTCATATTTTTAAGATAGAACATCGCTTTTTTAAACTATTGAAATAAGAAATTGAAAATCTGCTTTCGAAAAAATGTTACTTAGATTATATCTATCATTATAGTTAAAAAGAATTGTTCGTTTTTATTGATAAGCAAACAAAATAATATTTTATTACAACATATTTTGAAATATATTTAAAAACAAACAAGTTAAAATGGATGATTTTTTAAAAAAATTGAGACCAAGCATTTTTAATTTAACAAGTAAACCAAAATTAATTTTATTAAATTTTTTATTTTACACCGCTATAAATGTTCTTTAGAAAGATGTAACTATAAATGGGATTTATCATACTTACCAAGTATTTTCTTCTTTTTAAATTAATTTTATAAGGTAAAAAATATTTTTAAATAATAAAAAAGAAATGTTTTTTTTAATAAGTCATATTTTATAACTAATTAACAATTAACTCTATTTTGCTTGTTTAGATTAATTTTTATTTATATAATTTCGACTAAAAAATATTCTGAAAAACTATTAGTTAATATATCAAAGCCTTTTTTTTAAATACTTCACATCATGAAATATATTTTTAACATTTTCCTAAAATAATAAATTTAAGAATAAAAGATGTTAAAAATAAGCAAAATATAATTTTTTATTTTATTGATAATTAAATGAAATTAATAGAGCGATTTAGTGGATAGAAATTGTGAAATCAATCAAAATTATTATAAATACAAAAATTTATCTTTATTACATTCATCTTAAAAACAGTAAATAAATAAATAAATTTAATATTTTTTTCTTTCAGAAAAGCTAATTAATTTGCTTCAGTTTTATTTTATGTAATGTAAATGTATGCATCTAAAAAGAAAATTTTTAATTTATTTAAATAAATATATAATTATACTGCTAAACTAAGCTTTTAATCAATGATATGAGTAATTACTTCATTATAATAATGAGCAAAAAGTAATGAAACATTTTTTCTGATAAAATATAAATTTGTTACTCAATAAAATTTGTTCATTATATTTTATTTTAGTCATCATACTATGAATATTTTAGCATTAAAAATATTCATAATGATTTGTAAAAAAATAGATTAAATAAATAATTACTAATTTAGCATAAAATGATATTTAGAAATTTATTAATAAAGTTTTTATAATCTGTAAGATAAATTAATTTATTCTAATTTATAATTTAAATAAACAAGGTAAAAAACACATTACTGATGTTACATTTGATATTAATTTTAAATATTGAGTAAAAAATTTTTTGACTAAAAATCTCTAAATTTTCTAACGCAAAAAAAATTCCTAATAATAAAAAAAAAGTAATAAATTTAGTAACAGGATATAAATAAATTTGTACTAATCTGTAAAATCAAAAAACAAACAGTTTTGATTAAAATAATTCAAAGTCATTTCATTCAACAAATTTACTAAAATTGTTAATCGATATAAATATATTTTTTAAATTTAAATAATTTTATCATTCATTAAATATTTTAATATAATTAATTAATGTTTAGGTTTATGCAATTAAAATCAATATATTATTAAAAAATATAACTATTATTGTTATATTTTTTAAGGTTTAATCAGAAATCCTATAAATAACACTTCTTATTAAAATCATAAAAAAGCTGACATCTTTAAAGTTAGTTGTTAAAAAACTTAAATTAATTAAATTAAACATATTTTAATAATTCATAAAATTAATAAAATATTTTTTTTATTTGCTTTAATGCAAAATTGAATGAAAGTAAATATTTTAACCTTATCACTTAAATTGCTAGAAATACGGAAATGAGTAAAATAATAACATTTTTATTCAATTTTATTTATTTGAAATAATTATCTTTTTATTTTAATTATAGTCTTACTTTCATTATTTTCCATACTCTTATTTTATTTCCTCAATCTTTTAATCTTCTTCTTATTTTTTATTGATTTTTTTATTAATTTATACTAACTCAGACAGCTCAGGGATATACTTAGAAAAAACTACTGCTACTTTTTCTTTTGTTAATTTATCAAAGTTTATTCTACATTTTTTATAGCACTTTTCATTTGATATGAATGCCATAACCTTTCCTTATGAAGAGCTTCCTCTTTCGCATTCTTTTCTGCAATCAGTAAATGTTTTTTATTCTTCAGCGAAATTATTATCAGTAAATTCTTTCATTTTAATTATGCAATAATTTTCAACTTCTTTCATATTTTCATACCTATGAGTTTCACCTGATTCAAAAAAATCTAAAATCTAAACATTATTTGGATTAACTTTATACTATTTAGCAAATTCTGCATGATAATAGTTAAAACATTTCCATAAGGATCTGTTAAACTATTAGTTTATAAAAGTATTTTAGCTAATACCTATAAAAGCCAAAAATGCACTCTTATTCTTATTATCTTCTTAAGGTTTACTTTCTTCACTCATGCTTTAATTTTGTTCCACTATTTATTTAATTAGAAAACTTCAATAGCTCATAAATTAATATCTTTTCTTTATTTCAAAAAATTTCAATTAAAATTTTCTGGAAAAGTTAATCTAAAAGTAATGTTAATATTAAATATAAATTATTTTATTATTAAATTGGAGGAATTTATTTATTAAATTTATAATAAAATTTTATAATTATTTTTATATTTTTCTCAAAATTTTACATTTTATTATATTTTATTAATAATTTTTTAGAAAATAAACTATTAATTACAAATGATTTTAAATATAATTAAATAAAACAATTTTTGATTGAATCAAATATTTTATATTTAATAAATATTTAATAATTAATAATTTAGTTTTAAAATAAGCATGTTATGTAATAATAATTATAACATTTAAGACTAATTATTTATTTAATATTCACCTGAATTAAATAAAATTGACTGTAAGCGTAATTTGAATAAGAAAACACAATTACAAACAGATTTTACTTTTCTAAAAATTATTAAATATTAATTATTCTTTTGAATGAATATATAAAAAAGTATTTAAAGACAATACATTGAATAAAAAAACACAAATGCAAACAGATTTTACTTTTCTAAAAATTGATAAATATTAATTATGTCTATAAATGAATGTATGAAAAAGTATTTATAAAAGTTAAGTAAAAACCAAATAAAATCATTTTAATAAATAAATTGAACTTGTTTATATTATTTAAAGAAAGCTCTTTAATTATTTAAGAAAATATTAAATATTTAATTATTATTTTGTGATAGAATAGACAAAAAATAAAATTAAATTCAAATAGATTGTAAGATTATATCAAAATTAATCCATAAAAATAATTGATTTATTTTATCAAAAAAAAGCATATAAGAAACTTCATGGTTTGTTTCTTTCTATGAATTAAACAAAAGATTGATAAAATTTTAATAAAAAAAAATTGTCTTATAGATTAAAAGAATTATCAAGGAGAAATATAAATAATAAATTCTATTTAACAAAATAATAAGTGGAATCAAAGTGTTTAGCACCTAATTTAGGAATAAATTCAATTTTGATCAATATTGTTATATTAAAAATACAATAATTAAATGGATCAAGAAGTTTCAAGCCAATAGTAGTCATAAATAGAAATAGAAAATTTATAGGATTCAGATTATGAGAAAAAGCCAGAAGAAAAGAAAAAAAGGATTAAAAAAGATAAGTAAAGCTCAAATGGAGTTTAAGCTAATGGAATCCGCAATTCCAAAAAACAGATATAAACAAAAGACTCAAATCAATTGGTATTAGCAAAAAAAAAATAACCACAAATGCTAACTACAAATGATTTCATGTAGCAATTAGGTTCGATACAAATTCCAGAGCAATTAAAGCTATTTTTTATGAGGGAATTACGGCAAACTGTGCCAGTTGTAAAAGAACTGCTTCCATCTCACAAATTTCTTTTATTTGGCGAGATACCATTGGATTTAGATTATTTTATTAATAAATTAAAAATAAGGAAAATAGATTCAAATGGAAGTATTTTTGATAAATTTAGGTCGATTGTTAGAAATATAAGATATAAGGATAGAATTGAATTCGATTTAAACAGCTAGTATTTAGGTTTAACTGATTTTTAGTATATTATTGAAGCTTTGCGTTCAATGAATAACAACACTTCATTTTAGTTTGCCTAAAATCTGTAGGAATATTAAAATTAAGTTCGTTACATAATAGCTAGAAATGACTATTATAAAAAATATTTGCAATAATAAAATAACTCAGTGGACATAGAGCAAAGAGTTAAGTAATCTCTAAAATGTGCAGAGGACATTCTTGAATCTTTAGATGGATAAAACGAAATTTTCATTTACAATATAATTAGTAAGTAGTTTGATGGTTTGATAACTTTAAAAAAAGGATTTTCCAAAGGACTAATAAAAAATTTAGATGTCAGTGATGATGAATTTATTAAATCTGTACAAGAAAATAAGGTTTTCAATAACTTAATTGATTAAGTAAATCACGCTAGTATAATATACTGTTAAACTAAAATGGAAGAAAACCCATATATGAGTTTGAGATAATCAGAAATAATTAAGAGCATTCATCCTGATATATAGCATCATCACTCACACTAATTTAAAAATATATTGCGTAATCTTGTAAAAGAAGCAATAAAAAAGTAAGATGTCATTGAATAATTTCTCCAAACGCAGTAAAGTGAAATGGCTTAAAATAATTTTTAAAATTATTTACCCAATCCTCTCCCTTCATTCTAATAATATCAAAAATTTATCAAAAATATTAATCTCCATCCTCAAAGATTTAAATTTCCACCACATAAATAAATAGAACTATTTTAAAATATTACTTAAGTACTTACAAAAAAATAGCAGAGTAAAATAAACTTTTAACAAAATCTTTAGAAAATTACTTAAAGTAGTCCTATTCTTTAATCACAAGAAAGCAGTGGTTTACATTAGCAAGATAGTTTCGCCTAAGAAGATAACAGTTAGCCTTTTAGGAGTATTTAAATGCACTAAGAACCCTTTAATTAATAGAATTCTAGTTTGGATGACTAAAACTCTATCTTAGGATAAAGCTAATAGCTTTTCGATGAGAATAGCAAAGAAAAAATAGATGAAGAAAGTTCTTTTAATTAACAAAACGGCTTAGCTTCAAATGGATATATGAATATTTTCAAAGATAAATTTAATTTTGGGAGTTCAGATTTTTAAGATGATAACTTATCAGTTACAAGCTAGTCTCATGGTTTACCTTTTCTTAAATCTTTGAGCTAAAGTTAGCAACTAGATATTATCTCACAAGGAGTAGTAACAAGTATGTTTAACCAATACAACGATTACTAAAATTCTCTAAAAATGTCAGTTTTGGGGAGCAATAATATTTTCGAAGACGAAAATTCTTAGTCTTTATTTTATGATAAATCCTAATTTAAATCTTTTTAAGAAGAAAATTAAAGCTTTTAAATCGAATAAGGGATGTCAAATAATTTTGAATTATTTAAAGAAAATAATTATAATCACAGTAGCAATGAATAATTTGAGAAAATTAACTTTAATCACTAAAATTCGGAATAATATTAAAGATAGAGAGATAATTATTTCTAGTAAAAGATGCATGATGAAGAGGAGTCATACTCATTTTGTAAAAGCTAATCCTAGAGTCATACATCTCATAAAAATAATAATTCAGCTTCACCTTAGAATGGAAATAACCCATTCAGTAATATGAGTATGCATAAGTAGAGTTCTTCTGCTTCTAATGGTAGTGAGAATTCCTAAAAAGAAAATAAAATAAAAGATTTTTATGAATAATTGCTTCAATATATTGGTAACGATGAAGAAGAAGATGGGTTGTTTCCATTCCCTCATATAAATTCAACATTTAAGGAAGATATAATAAGGGAATATGAATAGATTAGGTCAATTCTTGAGGATGGAAAATATATGTCAAATGAAGAATTTAATTAATTCATTGAAGAAATAAAAAAATAACCTAGAATTAAGAAAAAATAATATCTTAAGCACTTAATGAAAATTCCTGATTATGTTAATTATGAAGAAAAAGAAAGAAGAAAAAAGGAAGAAAAAGAGAGAAGAAAACAGGCAGAAAAAATAAGAAGTACTTCAAACTCTAGCAACTCAAGCTTATCAAATGCCAATATAAAAAATTTACCCTCTTAATCTCCGAAATTTGATTCAGGATAACCTTTTAAATTTATTGAATAATTCTCTTAACAATCAAAAAACAATTAGCCTCAAAATTAAGCTCATAGTACACCTTCACATGGCTAAAATTAAGATGCAAATAATAAAAGTTTTGGAAACATTTTTAACTTTAGTTCACATCAAAATCATTTTAATTAGTAAACTTGTAAAGAAAATGACCATGCCAATTAATATGGTTAGCAAAATTAGTTTTTGCTAAATAACAACAACAGTAATAATTAAGATTTTTAGTCAAATAAATCTGACACAATTTAAGAAGAGTATAAAATTTAACAAATTCAGGAAAATAATTCAACATAAAAATATAAAAACTTATACAATAATCTATCCTCTTCTAATAATTTGCACAGTTTAAATGAGTAATCGCCTATTTAAAATGTTCTTTTTCCCTTCAAGCACTAAGATATAAATCATCCTCCACATCCACCACTTCCTCATCCTCTTCAGTTTATTTAATAAATAAGGGAGTACTTTTAATAATAAAAAATTACTGATTAATCTGAGCTTTTGAAGATAATTAAAAACAATTTACAAGAAGCAGTTAATTAAGGGTAATTAAATAGTAAAATAGGGTAGTTTTTGTCTTAGGAAAATAACTTTGATAAGGCATCATATGTTATAAATTAGCTTTTGGTTGATAAAGATGCTCTTAAAAAGTTAAATAACGGGCATTTTTTCCCGCTTCCACATCATCATCATCCACACCACCACTTCCATCACCATCATCATCATTTTGAAGGTAGCAACGATAAACCAAATGGCAATAGCCAAGAAAATAATCATCATCATAATCATTTAAATTCTAATCCTCATAAAAGATAGGAATAAGTAATTAAAAAAATATATGAATTAAACACTAATCTCTCATTAGATAATGAAATTTAAATAAATGACTATTTAGAAGTATTTTATATAGGCAAAACAAAATTATGGAAAAACTTCTCTAAGGATTTTATTTTAAACAATTCATTTAGAGATATAGACCAAGAATTCAATACTTTAGCATAAAATTAATTATTATAAAAGTTTTATCCATAGTAGTGTAATAAAATTGAATAAGATCTAAGACAGTCTTAACAAGAATAATTTTAAAATAAAAATAGTCATAGAAGTGATAATTCTCAATCTTCTTCCCCATAATCTAAAACTTTAAATGAAGTAAACAAAGACTCAGAGAATGGAACAAAAAAAACTATTAATAAGGAGCTGCTCAAAAAAATAATAAACTAATTTAAAATGGGTCCTCCTCACCCTTTTAAAATTCTTTTAATTTTGAAAAAGTCTCTTTAGAAAATTATATATCATATACCTAAGTAATACTTGACTTAAGAGTTTTTGAAAAACTCTCTGAAAATGATTGTCTACCAATCTTAAGGTGATGTAGAAAACTTTATTTAATGTAGATAAAGAGTTCCTATGGAAATTATAGAAAGTATGGAAAAAAAAGTTATGAAGAAATTTTGTAAAATTCCAATAATCTGAATTAATTTCATTCCTTCTGTAAAAATAAATGCTTTAAATATTTATTAAAATAATTATCTATCTATTTATTTATTTAAAAACAAACATTTTATTTTTTGTTTTTGATAAAATTTATAAAATTACTTTTAAGTCACAAATTATTTTTATAATAAAATATCAAATATCATTTATTTAATTCAAACAGAAACAATTTTTTAAGTTAATTTATATATAAAGTAAAATTTATATTTTTTTCTATGTAAGAAGTATTTTTTGGAGTGAGTCTCAAAAATAACTTTTTATTTTAAAGTATCTTATTATTAAGATTATATATTTATATTTGTTATTTTTTTTAACTTTCAAAATATTTTTTTTGGTTTAAATTATATTAGCTAGGTTATTGAGAATCCTTAAATTCAATATGTTTCTAATAATGTTATAAATCATAACTTTTAGTTTGTTGCATTATTTGATACAATTTTATTATCTATTTTTATCACCTAAAAATAAAAAAATTAGCCATGAATTTTCTATTTCAAAATATGTCTAAAATTACTTATTGGTTTTATAAAATTTTTGTATTTTTTCGCTTACAAAAAAATTTAAAATCCAAGATTTAATATATCATTCTGAATTACTCGTTGATAAATATATACTAAAAATATATATTTGATTAAATAATATAATTAATTGTATAGTAAACCAAATTCAAGAAATTCTAATTAAATTAAATACAAAAGTAAATATGGAAGTAGAAATTTCTTAAAATTCATATTTTACAGAGTCCCTAGTCAATGAAGTAATAAAAAAAACAAAATAATATAACCTAAGAAGCAATAGTTCAAAAAAATATGAGCTTATTGAAGAGGCTCACAGAAATGAGTCAAATGAAGACTCAAATTTGTAACTTAAAAAAAAAATAGTGAAAAAAAATAGTAAATCTGCTAAAGTTAAACCAAAAAAAGCTTTATGGGTGAGATTAGAGTATCCTATTACTAATTAATTAGCATTTCCTTTAATTGGGAATGTTATAGTAGAAACAAAATGCATGGAAATGGTTGAAATTAAATTTTAAATTAAAGAAATTGAGAAAAGTAATAATTACTTTAGTATTTGTCCTCGCTATATTGAAGCAAATACATAATTTGATAATGTTATAAACATTTTAGTGAATTCATAATGCTAAAAGAGATATTAATTGTCTGAGCTACTAAAAAAATACTAAAATATTGTTGTATAGTAATTAGCTGTATTTGATGAATTAGGCAAAGAGATTTTAAACCCTAAATTTCAATAACTCATTTCTGAAAGAAAATAATTTAAACTCAAATTTATAAATGATTATATAAAAAAAAACTTAAAGGATGAAGATTTTTTTGTTGTTTGTAATATAGGAACTAATTTTATTGAAAAGACTTCTCATTTAGATAGCTTACATATGAGTAAATCTTATTGTTCTCTAATAGGAGTCGATGAAGAATAATTTTCTAATTTATTTCTGAGATTCAGATCTCCATTTCTATTTTTATCTCAAAAGGCCAGGGAATATATTTATGTTTAATATTTACAATCCTACCTTAAAGATGATTATAATAATCCAGTTATTATTAAAGATTTTGAAATAAATACTTCTGATGAGTTAACCTTTTACTGTGAAAGTTCTAAGTAATTTATTAAAGTTGAATATCCTGATCATTTAAAGCATCCTAAACTAGACTAATTGCATATGTTAATGGATAATATTAATATTGGTAAATTAAACGTATCTGAGCACCATCTAAAATAAATAATACAAAATAGAGCAATAAGAGGAGATAAACAATTTGAAGACTTTGAATATTCTTTGCTATCATAAATTTTTATGGAAAAATTTTATCCATCTTAGTTTACTCAAATATAAAAAATCCAATAAGAATAAGAATAAAAGGAATTAGAAATTCTAAAATATTAACAATTACAAAACAAAATATGTTCTTATAGATTTCTCAATTAGTTAGTATGAAAGTCATTTATTTTTTTCCTGTATTTCATAATGTTATATCATTATAGATTCATGTAAAAAATATAAAGCAGTTTCTATTCTCAAAAAATCTTATTTATGGAAATATTTTTTAGATTTAATTTATTTCACAATTTATGTGAAATTAGGATTTTCAATTTAAATAAAAAAATGATAATTAATTTTTGAGTATAAAAATTATTTTTATATTAAATAAGAATTGAAGTTTATTATTTTTTATCGTATAATAATTTATAAAAATAAGTAAATAAATATTTTTAGAAATTTAGAAATTCGATGTTTACTTTTCATTATATTAAAAATATGATGAAATTTAAGTAATACCAAAATTAAAATGAAATTTAAAAACTTAACTCGAAAATTTGATAAATCTTGTTTAATTAATACATTGCCCCTCCTCATTTATGAATCTGTTTTTTTTCAAAATTTAAAAGAATTTTGCTAATTTATTTCGGTGTTATTAATTAATCAGGATTTTCATTAAGAAAATTATATTTTTTTTGTAAAAAATCATAATAAATCTGATTGATAACTTTTATGCTATGATAAATAAAAAGCTTAAAACAATAATTTTAGAAAGCTCAAGCTTAATTGTAAGAATTTAATTATCATTTAAATTAATTTTTGTCTGAAAAAACAAATACACATTTCTTAAAATAAGAAATTTCAATTATTTTTTAGGATTCAAATTATTATATAAAAATACAAAATTAATTTAAAACAAATCTAGTATATGAATTGAATAAGATGAAAATCTCCTGCTTTAAAAAATTTTTTAATCATACTCAAACTTAAATTGTAGAATTGCTGCTGATTTATACTAATTTGATGAAATATAAATATTTAAGTAATTTTTTTTATTTCAGAAAAATAAACTTTTTATACTTGAAAAAACAAAAAATTGATATTAATAAAAAAAATTATTAGAATAAATACATTCAAGATCGATCACCTCTATCAATCTAAAATTCTTTTAGAAAAAATTCACCTATAGTTAATTACTGAATCAATTTAATATAATGATCCCTTACCTTCTACAAATGTTTTGAAGTAATAAAAGGTAAATGTTAATTTATATACATTACATAAAATCTACTTTTGCCATTTTCAATATCCTTATTATTGCTACTCTCCATGTTAAAAATTTACATAGATTTTGTGTTTAATTTACTAGATCAATTCAATTAATTAATTTTTCTTTTGGTAAACATTTAGTAATAAAAAGTGTAAAAAATAGAAATTCTGAGTTTTTAACTCATATTATGTTTGAAACAGAAGATAATAAATATTTTATGGAAGTCGAAGCTTAATCTAGTTAAAAAACATAACAATAATAGTATATGATAGCTCATGATGAAATGAAATACAACTTAAGAAGTAAAAATAAAGATTCTAATGTTGAATGTAATCAAATCGAAGACACTAAATCTGATAATTACCAAATAGCTAAATGCTAAAAAAAAATTGTGAAAGATAAAGAAAATGTTTCCAAAAAAAGATATAAAAAGGTGAGCTGGATAAAAATAGAGTATCCCCTAAATTTTGAGTTTATATATCCATTAGTGGGCCATGTTGTAGTTGATATTAGCACCTAAGATAAAGTGTATGTAAAAAATTAAATAAAACAAGTTGAGTAAAATTGCAATAATTTTACTATATATTCAGATAGTATAGAATCACTTGCTAAATTTGGGTTTCTTATACATATTTTTGAGAACTCTTAATCGTAAATAAAATTATAATATTCTATTCTGCTTAAAAAATACTAAGACGTTGTAATTTAATAGGTCAACCTTTTAGATTAGCTCAAAAAAGAAATGAAAACTCCTCAATTTTAATAATTAGTTTAGGATAGAAAAAAATTTAAGCTCTAATTTATACAGACTTATGTAAAAGAAAATTTTACTGATGAAGATTTCTATGTTATATGTAATGTAGGAACTAATTTTTAATCAAAATCTTCTAATGTAGAGAGTATTTGCTTTAGTAAATCTTATTCTAGTTTGCTTGGATTAAGCGAAGAATAGGTTTAGAGCATGTATTTGAGAAATAGTTTCCCCTTTCTAGTACTATCTTAAAAAGGTAGAGAATAACTCTCTATGTAATACCTTTAATGTTATCTGCAGCAAGATTAAAAATAGCCAGTAGTCATAAAAGATTTCGAGGTAAAGACTTTTGACGGACTCTCCCTATTTTGTAATAATAAAAAATATCTAGTATAAGTACCTTATCCTTAGTAATTAAGACATCCTAAGTTAGATTAGCTTCATGCTCTCATGGATAACATAAATGTATAAACTGTTGATATCGATCAGTGCCATCTCAGATATATTATAGAAAATCGTTCAAATAAAAAGCAGATTAGATATTAAGATTTCGAGTACTCTCTTATGTCTTCAATATTCATGGAAAAATTCTATCCAAAGAAACTTTTGGAGATAGAAAAATAAGAGTAATCATAAGAAAAAGAAGAAATATTGCAAGAATAAATATAAAATTTAATTTAATAGTAAGAACAAAAAAGATGTTCTTACAAAAATTTAATATTTGACTAATTTTGAAAAATGATAAAAAGATTGTTATAATTATTTTTTATATAATTTATTATATTTATTTTTGAGAAATCTCAAATATTTTCAATGATTAATTTAATTAATATACTGGATTCTATAAATTGTTTAATTTAACCTTAATTAGTATAATTAATTGATAGATTTTATTAGATTTTATTTTCCTTGTTTTTTCATTTATTCAAAATGGAATAGACAAAATTCAACACATATATTTATTTATATTAAAGATATTACTATTTTCAATTACTCAATCATGAATATTAAATCTTTGGTTGATTATCAAATTTATTCATTTCAAATTAAGTCAGAACAATATTTAGCATATTAATAATTGAATTACTATCTATTTTCTGCTTATTTATCCTACATAATCAGGAACGAACAAAAAATATAAAACATCAATCATATTAATCCTCATAATTAGAATAAATCGCTTTAATCTATTGGTACACTCTCAATCTTCTATGACTGATTAGTTTAAAGCCCCTCTTTAATTCATCTGTGATTAAATCTTAAAATATAATAACTCTAGCGAAACTTAAATTCAACATGTAGAAATAAATAAACCAATATAAAAATAAAAGAAAAAAAGAATAAGACGCAAGCCTTTAAAGCGTTGCAAGTGGCTAAAAATTGAATTTCCATTTAAAAGCTCTAATGTTTTTATGCTGACAGGGCATATTATAATTGAGACTTAGCTTGCAGATGAAAATTTTTGGAAATTCTTGGTCAACAAAATTGTGAAGTAGAAGGAATTCTATATGATAGAAACAACCTCTTATGAAAATATAACAAATTTTGACAATCTAATTAACATCTTACAAAACTCGTAGTGTTAGTATCTTTATGAATAAAGTCAAGAGCTCTAAAAATACAAACAAATTACCTTAAATGAAATTTCTACCATTAAATAAACTATGAAATAATCTAACTTAAAAACCATCTAAAAAGAGTTAGAATAACGATAAATCTTTAAAGACCAATTCATTCAAGATTATATTAAAAATAATTTGAAATAGGATGACTTCTATGTAGTAGGAAGTATTGATCCTAACATCGAAAGTGGATACTCAGATTTAAAAAAAGTTTTTTTCAGTAAATCTTATTTATAATTTGTCGGAATTTCTGAAACCCAGTTCGAAAGCTGCTATTTCCGTGCATTTTGCCTTTTTTTTAACATCCCTTATTTATCAAGGAGATAATTTTTCTAAAGCATTCTAAAAGGTTATGTTTCAAATGAATCAAACTAAAAATATATTTTAAAAAATCTTTGGATTTAAACTGCTGAGTAGATTAATCTATATTGTAATGTTTCAATTTAACTGATTGAAGTACCTTATCCTGAAAATTTAAAATCCACTCTAAATTTACACAAGAGTTTAGACAATATCCTCATCACAACTTTTAATATCGAGCATTATCATCTAAAAACTATTTTAAATACTAGAAAGCAAGATAATAACAAAAACTTAGATATGATAGATTTCGAATATTTCATGCAGTCTTCAATATTTCTTGATAAATATTATTCAGATATAATAAATCCTTTTGATAAAGAACCAGATGACTCACTAGATGATAAGAGCAGGTGTTCTTATAGATTAATTAATCAATGATAAAATAATTTATACGTTTTAAAACCATATAAATTTCCTTTAAACAATTAATTTATAAAACTAAATCTGGTAAAATAAATTTCAAAATTTTTAAATAAAACATTAAATTACAAGAATGATTAAACTAAAACAATTATTATTAATTAATTATTATTATGTTAAACTACTTATTTTTTATTTATATTTATCTATAATTTATTCAATACTATTTTTATTAAAATCAAAATACTAATGTGTGAACATAAAAATCTATTTAAAACTTAGCTATATTTTTGAAAATCGTTATTTACTTTAGAATTAATTTTTTGTTAAAATATTTAATTAATTCCTCATGGCTTATTATTTGATATTTTATTATGAAAATTTATAAAGAATGATTAAAAAATAATTTTTGAGAAATAATGTTTAATTTTCTAAAATGAAATTAAACAAAAATTCAACTTTTTGTTTGAGAATACAATAATTAATAATATTAATAGAAGTATATTATAACTTTTAAAGTTTGTTTAATTTGATATAGTATTTATTTATCTCTACAAATCTTATAAATTAATGAATTAAATGCAATCTGAAGATAACACTAATATTCAATAAAGCTACAATTAAAAGTTCCTTTCTAATCATTTATTTGATTTTACAAGTAAGAAATAATAAAATGATAATAAAGCTAAGTTTACATGTTAAGATAGTACAAATTAAATTGGTGAAGATACCAGTTAAAAAAGTTTAAGTAGCAATAGTGTAACAAAGAAAATATAAAAATAAAAAAAAAATAAAATTAACTAACTTGGTAACCATGATAGCCAGCAATAAGTGATGAGATATTGTCTAACGCAAGTTTAAAAGCCTATTTATACTCCGTATTTGTTTCTTTTTACTGGAAATGTAATCATAGATTTTATTGATTAATCAAGAGAGTCACAAATATTTAATTCACTAAAACCGCTTACTATATAATCATTAACAAAGAGGGAAGATTGGTTTAGTGCTAAGCCTTCTTTTATAGATGTTTGTAATGAATTTGATATGGCGATATATCTTCTTGAAAATAAATAATCCTAAATATAATATGATATAGCATAGAAAATGAAATAATTTAAGTTATTTGCTAGTAAGTAAACACAAATTATAAGCAAAATTAAAGAAAAATATAATAATAATTTTGAATAATTGAGTGATCTAAAAGCTGAGAGAGCTAAGTATAGAAATGATTAAATAGATAATTACATTAAAGCAAATATGAAAGAAGATGATTTTTATATTTGTTTTGATTACGGAATCGATTTTTAAAATAGTGTCACTCATCCTCTTTTTATTAAGTTTAGTAAAAGCATGTTTGCACTGTTTGGAATAGAAGAAGACTATGTACACTTATTTTTAACTAAGAAAGAAGCTTTCTAATAAATGATACCAGATATATCAAGAAAATTACTGACCTTGGTCAATATGTAGCTACTACTCTAAGAAGATAGGTATAAAAAATTAATTATAAATGGTTATTAAATAAATACAATAGAAGATTTTCAAATATCTTGTGACTTAGAAGCTTATATATAACCTATTACTTATCCGCCTAACTTTGAATATATTATTAACTCTTCAGATAACTTGGAAGATACCGTGTTTATAAAATTTATCATAACAGCATAACATATAAAAAATGTATTGTAGCAAAGATAAGTCAATAGTAATTGTCCTTGTTTTGAAGACATAGAATATTCAGTTTTTTCAGAAATGTTTATTCAAAGATTTTATCCTGAAGAATATAATAAATAATAAAATTAATAATTAACAAGTTAAGATACCTGCCAAGAGGTAGAAATAGAAGAAAAAAATAATGAAGAGGAAGAAAATACCCAAAAAACATGTGGTTATAGATTTATTTAATGAATTAAAATTCAGTAAAATACGATCTTTCAACAAGAAAATCTTTAAATTGCAACTATTTTTTACATTTTTAATTTTTAAGATGAAGGAAGTGTTTGTTGATCTATTAAATTTAATAATTTAGGCATTTATTAATATAAATAATTTAATATTTAATCATAATAATGTTTGTTTTTATACAAATATCTATTAAATTAAAAAATAAAACATTTTAAAAATATGTCTTTCAAATTTTAAATTATTTTTAATTAATAATTCTTATTTCATTTTCAACTATGGTCTCAAGTATTTCAGATCCGATTCCTTAGTGTAGTGGTTATCACGTCAGTCTAACACACTGAAGGTCCCGAGTTCAAACCTCGGAGGAATCATTTTTTTTATTTTTATTGAGGAAATTTAAGGGCACTTTAATCTACCAATTTTATGTTTTTAATTTGTAAAAAGGATTTATTTTAATTGTGTTAATGATTTTATCAAGCTTACACTAAAAATATATTTATTATTATCGTTAAAAGTTTGAAAAAAATTACTTATTTACAACATTTTTTGTAAAAAGGCAAATTAATTTCTAAACCATCGATATTTAATATAATAAAATTTTTGGTTTTTTAAGTAAAAATAGAAATTTTCTAAACTCGTTAAATATTTTAGATTTTAAGGCTAGGGTATTAAAGGCTGTTATTTCTTTAGTAACATTGTAATGCATAGTGTAAATAAACATTCGCCAAAACAAAAATCAAAAGTTAACATGAACTAAAAGCATCCTGATTTCATTTTTAATCCTTAAGTAAAGCTACCTGACTATGATGGAGTGAATGATAAATACCTATAATAATTCTTTGAAAAGAAGTAAATAAGAAGGCACTTGAAAAAAATGGGGTTGTATAAAAGTAAATCAATCATATTACTAAATAATTAATTATTTTTTATCTTTTGTTGATTATACCTAATAATTCATACTTTTTATATACAAAATAATGTAGAAAATAATGAATCTAACAAAGAAAATATAAAAAAGAAAGAATTATCTCCTTTAAAGCTTAAAACAGAAATAGCAGATATTACAAGAACTGGTAAGGATGAAGATAGCGACAAAATTAGAGCAATTGAGATGAGAAAATATGCTCATTCTACTAATACAAACAGAGTAAAAGAATTATTTTAGTCTTATTATTAAGTTTATAACAAGATGAAAAAAATTACTTAATTGAATAAATATAAAACAATATGTAAAAATTTAAGGATTATTCTTTTTAACATAGAAAACCACTTTACCTAATGAGAGAGTTGCTAAAAATAGCATGCTGCTTCCTTCCTTAAATCACAATGTATTGAAATTCTATTAATGTAAATGATAAATAAACTTTTTATTAAATAATTAGCAGTAAATTTAAGATCATTCAGAAGTAAATCTAAATAGGTCGTTAAATGAGTGAATTCCTAAATAAAAGAATAAACCTAAAAAAAAAAAATCCCCCTCTCCTCTTGCTGCTTCATTAACAAAATAATTTCATCCAAAAACTATTCACAGTGAGGTTTAATCTACAAAAAATAAGTTCTAGAGATCTCTTTATGGTATAGAATCTTGTCATTCTACTTACTCAAATCATAATACATCACTTAGGTAATAAACTCCAAAATTAAGAGAGAGTTTTGATGAACATAAAAATTTCTTTATCCATCAGTATGATATTCCAAAATCTACAAAGTCTTAATTAGATAACTATAATAATATATCCATATAAAATTAAAATGGAAGAGAAAGGTCTCAGTCTTCTATGAATACTTACTAAACTCATACACATTATGATAAATTGGCTAAAATAACTACTAATGATATCAACTTACATTAAAGCAAAAAGTAAAATTTAGATTAATAATTTTATTATTTTTAATGAATAATATTATTTATTTATTTTAAAAAAGGTAGCATAGGAATAATACTCCATCAAATAAAAAAAGAAATAACTCTCTACATAATTATTGCTTTTAGTAATAAAATGAAGAAGAAAAAGTTAAAACTAGTACACGTATAACAGGATAGCAATTAAAAAATATATTAGATAAATATCGTTCTAAAGTTTAGGAGAGTATGGAAAGATCGAAACTATTCAATTAAACATCGACTCGCTACTCACCATAAAATTATATTTAAAGTGATGATGTTCCTCATAAACCTTAAATTTTAACTCCCTCAAACTCTAATCCCAACTCTACTCGAAAATTTTCAACAGTAAAAGAAGTACCATATTTATATGAGGAAAGCGAAAGAAAAAAAACAAAAAGTATATCCATACAAACAATAGTTGCTGAAAACGACATAAATGATTAAAAGTTATAATAAAACTAAAATATCAATTCACAGAATGAATACTAAGCATATCTCTAACAAAATAATTTATTCACTCTTAATCCTTAAAAATCAAATAATAAATATAAGTCAACGATTGAATCTAAATTATAAAACAACAATTCCTAATTTGAAAATATTCAAAAAAATTTAGAATATTCTTTGCTTGATAGCAGTTCATAACAATAAAACGATTTTCTTGATAAAATGACGGCAAATTTCAGCTATATTAAAAATAATTAAATGAGAAATAATAGCAGCTTAAGATAGAAAAGTAGCATAACTTCAAATGATTAAAAATAAGCTTGTAGAATACCAACAGAAAAAGATGAAAAAGTAAGCATAAAAAGTAAAAAATTAGAACCAAGTAGGATAGGACTAAATTCAAATACAGGAACTTTAAATGAAGACAGCTAAGGATCATTCAATCAAGATAAACCGCCTGTTTCGATATAATCAAATAAAGAAGAGGAATAGAATAATAACTCAAGTTATTTATAATACAAAGATTACATATAATAAAAATCTATAATTTTACCATAAATACCAAATTAAAAAATAAAAGGAGTGTAAAACGATTTAGAAAACCATCTAGATTCATCAATCATTAACTTTAACAGTTAACTTAGTTTAGAAAATAATATTTCAAAAGAGAAAATACAAAAAAAGATATAATAGCACAAAAGAATAACTTAATCTCCCGAATTAAACGAAATCGTTAAAGTTGATTCAAATATAAATATTCTTCTATCAAATGATAATCTAAATTGAAATATTCAATTTTTCATAAAATTAATTAAAACCTTATCAGAAATTAAAAGTTTTATTTGAAATATGTATTTATTTCAATTAAAATAATTACAAAAAAATAAATAAATAGATAAATTATTGAGCAAAATTTAATGTTTATAGTCAATTAATTAGTAAATAAAATGCACATATCGTATTATTTTTATAAATTAGCATTCATCAACCAAAATAATTAAATTTCTAAAATATTTAAAGAATTTTAATTTATCTTTTTTATTAATAAAATAATTTACTTACTTACTTAAAATTTAAAAAAATTTACTTTTCAATTGATCTTTATTAACAGAAAGAAAGACAGTTTTTAGATGTAAAAATGAATAAATATTTTTTGATATTTGACTTTTTTAAATCAAATGTAAAATGTGGTTGAAATAATATATTTGCGAAAAATATTCATTCAGACTCTGCTAATTATCATTTCAACGACTTTCTTTTCTCTTTTTTCATTTATTTATTTTTTTAGTTTTTCTTATGATTTATTGTATAAATGAATAGTTAATGAATGTATCATAAAATATATGGGAAAAACATCCCAAAATAAATAGAAGTATATCATCACTTGTATCTGAAGAAAAAGTTAGTTGTTAATTTTTGAAATAAAAAAAGAAAAAGAAAAAATTACAACAAAAACAAACTATAAAATACATCAACTTCAAAAACAAAAGAGAAAAACAGATTTATTATTTCTACTGTAAAAAAAATATAAAAAAATTTTAAAATATACTATTACCAACTCCATAGATATGTCATCTTGTAATAGCAGTAGTATTTCTGGAAATTTAAGCCACTCTCATAGTGGAGGACCTTTGCTTACTGCTTAGTAGTCTCAAGCAGCTCGTGATCTAATACAAGTAGAATAAGAAATAAAAAATACAGTTAACTTGCTAAAAAAATTAAAAATAAATAAAAATGATTCTTGGATTCAAGAACATATTAATATTGCTAACTCCTAACAACCCTCATCAAGTCGTAAATAAAATACTTTGTTATAAATTTATTTTATTTAATGATTTTTGCATAATCCGCAATATAGAATAACTTTTTTATAAATGATAGTTTATCCGAAGTACTAAAAAGGTACAAATTATTATCAAGAGTTTTGGAGAACCTATTTAATGAATGAAATGATGATAGCTAAGATTAAAGAATTTTCCTCAGAAAATAAGCTATTAGATAATAAAATTTAAGAATTAGAGGTATTTTTAATTCATAATAACTCTTGAAGTTATTTATATTTTTAACTGAAATTAAATATTAGCAACTTCATAGAGAATATTAGAAACTAGTTTCAATGAAAAATAAAAAGAAAAATAGAAGAACAGCAAATGAAATCGAAAAGAGTCATATCTGTCCATATGTTGAATGCTAAAAATTATATGGATCAGAAGTATCTCTAAATTTGCACATCAAGCTAAAACATAATGGTGGAAATAAAACTGAAAGAGAAAGACTTGCAGTAATAATATTAATTAACTAATCATTTGTTTTTTTGTTAGTTTTTATATTTTTTTCTTTAATTTTTGATTAATCAAAGCAAAGCTACGAATGAAAAATATGAAATTGTTAATCAAATTAAAATCAGATAGATATCTTGCTTGCATAATTTAAATTATTAAATTGAAAAGAAAATTCAATAATTTAATAATTTGATAGTTAAATTTAACGTTTAACAATAAAAATTCTATATTTTAAAATCATTTTTTCAAAAATTTTAATAGAGATCGATTTGTTTAGCACAAGAAAATGGCGATTTAGCTCCTGATTTATGCTTAAATTTCCCTCCTGGATATCTAGATGTAAATTTTTTCTAACGTGTATAATAACACTAAGTAATATATTTTAATTTTTTAGTAATTCAAAGCTTAATACAATAAAGAAAAAGAGAGATAGCTTAAATTAGAGTAATAAGGTGAAAATTTAGAAAGCAATACAATCGAAAGAGAGAAAGATCTAGAACCAGTGACCAATTAAGATAATACCATTAAAGATGATTAAGAAGAAATGGAATATAGTGATGAGGAAGAAGAAGAGTAAGAAGAAAGTATTAAATAAGGTAATAAATTAATTTTAATTGTTTTATTTACTATTAACTTGTTTTTCCAAAGAAAATAAAAAAGCCAATAAAAAGAAAGACAAAGAAACCAAATAAAAAAAGAGCAAATCTAATGCAAATAAAAATTCTAAAAAACAAAACAAAAAACACAGAGCAGAAGAATATGAAGAAGATTAAAACTCACTTTCTTCAACACCTGTTAAAAATTCATAGAGTATATCATGAACAAAAAAATGATTTTCCTATGAAATATAATTAATAAAAATTACAAAATGCAACCAACCAACCTACCACCTATTACCTACCTACCTACATACCTATAAAAAAACAATATTTATCATCTCAAAAATATATACAAACAAATAAATAAATAACCTTAATATTCTTTTATAATAGAAATTAATAATAAATTGCATCTTGCTTAAATGCTTTAATAATAAGACTAATAACAGAAATTAAAATATAATTTAAGTCAAGATGGAATAAAAATATTATACTCTTATAACTTAAATTCTTTATAGATAAATTACATCTCATTGTGTAAAGATGTCAGTATTTAAAATTCATATATTTGTATATTTGGTACATTAATATTTTAAATATTACAATAATTAAATAACTTTTGCTGAAAATCTCTTTAATTTATGTGCATAGATATTTATTAATAACATAAAAAGAGCCACTTGGCGGGATTGAACCGCCGACCTTTCGCTTACTAGGCGAATGCTCTAACCACTGAGCTAAAGCGGCGAACTTGTAATACAGGCTACGACTTACTAAACCTTTTTTAAAATAATTCAATATTTAATAAGAACCTAAATTTAATTAAAAAATAAAAATGTTTAAAAATATAAACTTTCAAAAAAATAAAGGTAAAAAAAGAGCCACTTGGCGGGATTGAACCGCCGACCTTTCGCTTACTAGGCGAATGCTCTAACCACTGAGCTAAAGCGGCGAACTTGAGATATATGGCAATACTTACTAAACAATTTTTAATTGAATATTTAATAAGAATCTAAATTTAATTGAAATCTATTTAAAAAATAAAAATGATTAAAAAATTAATTTAAACTTTAAAAAAACAAAGGTAAAAAAAGAGCCACTTGGCGGGATTGAACCGCCGACCTTTCGCTTACTAGGCGAATGCTCTAACCACTGAGCTAAAGCGGCGAACTTGTGATACAGGGTACGACTTACTAAACCTTTTTTAAAAATTAATTGAATATTTAATAAGAACCTAAATTTATTTATTGAGATCTATTAAAAAATAAAAATGATTAAAAAATTAATTTAAACTTTAAAAAAACAAAGGTAAAAAAAGAGCCACTTGGCGGGATTGAACCGCCGACCTTTCGCTTACTAGGCGAATGCTCTAACCACTGAGCTAAAGCGGCGAACTTGTGATACAGGATACAACTTACTAAACCTTTTTTAAAATTAATTGAATATTTAATAAGAACCTAAATTTAATTGAGATCTATGAAAAAAATAAAAACGTTTAAAAATTTAAACTTTAAAAAAAACAAAGTTAAAAAAAGAGCCACTTGGCGGGATTGAACCGCCGACCTTTCGCTTACTAGGCGAATGCTCTAACCACTGAGCTAAAGCGGCGAACTTAAATGATACTCTAAGCAAATATAACTGAGAGAAGGAGTTTTAATTTTAAAAATCATTTTTAATAACTCAGCTGCTAAAAAAACTAAAAAAATAAAGATAGATATTTTTATTGAGATAAGTTATGAAATTAATTTAATTACATTTTATTAATTATTTAGATTAAAAGTAAAAAAAATTGTTTTTGATCATTTAATTAAAAAATTAATACTAAATTTTTTTATCTGATTATTATTATAAAAAGAGCCACTTGGCGGGATTGAACCGCCGACCTTTCGCTTACTAGGCGAATGCTCTAACCACTGAGCTAAAGCGGCGAACTTAGAATGCTAAAATAGATTAATTGCTTTGGGTAAACTTTTAAGGTATTAAAAATTATTTTAGCTCATTAAAATATTTTTATTTTAAAAAATATTATTCAAAATAAAGAGCCCACTTAGGAAAATATATTTAAATGTAGAAAAAAAAATTTTTTATTTAAATAAGCATAATAAGCTAGCAAGAATTAAAAAAGAGCCACTTGGCGGGATTGAACCGCCGACCTTTCGCTTACTAGGCGAATGCTCTAACCACTGAGCTAAAGCGGCGAACTTAGAATTAAAAAACCAAAACAAAATTTTTTTGCTATTTTTAATTAATTGTTAAATTATTTTTAAAAACTAAAATATTTTGTAAAAAAATAGAGCCACTTGGCGGGATTGAACCGCCGACCTTTCGCTTACTAGGCGAATGCTCTAACCACTGAGCTAAAGCGGCGAACTCAGAATGCTAAAATAGATAAGTTGCTTTGGGTAAACTTTTAAGCTATTATAAATTATTTTAGCTCACTAAAATATTTTTATTTTAAAAAATATTATACAATAAAAAAGATCCCACTTAGGAAAATTTAAATGTAGTAAAAAAAGTTTTTTATTTACATAAATATAATAAGCTAGCAAGAATCAAAAAAGAGCCACTTGGCGGGATTGAACCGCCGACCTTTCGCTTACTAGGCGAATGCTCTAACCACTGAGCTAAAGCGGCGAACTTGAAATTAAATTTATAAATTCATTTTAGTTTTTTTAAGAATTCATAATTTGTTTAAGGTTTTAAATAAATTTATTTAAATATTAACTATTACAAAAAGAGCCACTTGGCGGGATTGAACCGCCGACCTTTCGCTTACTAGGCGAATGCTCTAACCACTGAGCTAAAGCGGCGAACTTATAATTCTGAACGAGGTACCTTACTTAGAATACATTTTTAAAACTTATAAATAATTTTAAATTCTCTAAAATAGTTTTAATATTATAAAGAGTATAAAAGAGTGAGCAACTTGGCAGGATTAAAGCATCGACCTTTCGCTTACTAGGCAAATGCTCTAATCACTAAGCTAAAGTGGCGAATTTTAATCTTTAAATAAATTTTAATAAATTAACTTCTAAAAATATATAAATTATTTTTAAATTAATAAAATAATTTGCCAATATCAATTAAGAAATCATAAAAAAGAGAGCCACTTGGCGGGATTGAACCGCCGACCTTTCGCTTACTAGGCGAATGCTCTAACCACTGAGCTAAAGCGGCGAATTTAATAAAGTAAGCAGCTTAATATATTTAAAAGACCCCTTTTTTAAGCAAATAATAATTTAATTAAAAAATAAAAAGAGAGCCACTTGGCGGGATTGAACCGCCGACCTTTCGCTTACTAGGCGAATGCTCTAACCACTGAGCTAAAGCGGCGAACTTGAAATTTAAAAATAAAACCTTACTTTGGATAATTTTTTATTTAGTTCTTATTTTTTTTTAACTGTTAAAACATTTTTGTGCGATTATAAAAAGTAAAAAGAGAGCCACTTGGCGGGATTGAACCGCCGACCTTTCGCTTACTAGGCGAATGCTCTAACCACTGAGCTAAAGCGGCCGAACTTAAATTTTAAATAAAAATAATTATACTTATCAAAATTTCATATTCAAAACTTCATTATTGTAGTAAATATTCTATTTAGCTGAGATTAAATTTGAAAAAAGATATATTTAGTAGTTTAGTCTTTACATTAACTTTCAATAAATAATTAAAAAACTTAAAATGAAAAAATTGTAAATCCCATAATCCCAAAAATTTACTTTTAAAAAGTTATAATTAATATTAATAATATCTTAATTCTTGTTTATCTATCATTTGTAAATATAAAAAATTTTAATAATTACTTTATTTATTAAAATATAAAATAAATTTTCACAATTTTTATTTAGTTTAATATTTTTTTTTTTGTAAGAATATAGCAAAAATAAAAGAACAAATAAGAAGTTTAATGTAAAAATATACTTAATATCTTATTTATTGTGTTTACAATTATTTTTCTAGTATAATTAAATTTATTTTTTTCCAAATCAAAAACTCAAATTTAATATCAAAGATTATCTGAAAATTCTATGTGTTTTTATTGTGAAGAATTGTTATTTAATTTTCTATAGAATTTACAAGCTAGATAACTAGATATTAAAAATAAAGTAAACACAATTATGGTAATTGCTATAAACCAGGTAGGAATATCTTATAAACTGCTATCTTCATGATTATAATAGTTTGTATTTTCACAAATTACATCCCAATCTTTGATTTACCAATCTGTAAATTTTGTTTTGAAATCTGAAAATAACATAGTATCATTTCCTTGATTAAACTTTAAATAATCTCCATTATATCTAATTGATATAAACAATTAATTATCTAAGTTGCTTTTTCTTAGCTCGAATAAGATGTTGCTAGCAACTTTTACAATATTAGTGAAACATACTTTAGTTTCATCCCAATTTTTATCTACTAGCTTTTTCTTTATGCAATCATATCCAGTTAAATTTAGAGTGTTTAAAATCATATTAACTGTTGTGTCATGAGCAAAAAATAATACTAGTTTGTGATCAGTTTTATTTTCTATATAATAATCTAAATGAGATAAAAGCAAATTATAAAATGGAGTTGATATTGCTTTAAGTTAATACTCTCTTAAAAAAAAAATAATAAAGAATTGTAATTATGAAATATCTTGCATAGTCTAGAATAGTTCATCATCTATTTATGGATAATTCGAACCTCCTTTCTGCTTTTAGCATAAAATAGCATCCATCCATTCGTAAACTTAGTTTATGTCTAATGGAGTGGGAAGATCACTTTTTATGAATTCTTATATTTTTTATTGCAATAAATCAATTTGTGGTTTATAATAATTTGACACTTCTTGCCATTCCTTACTTTACATATTTTATTCTCTCCATTTAATTGATGCATTACAAGCATTTCCATGAGTCAGTAAATACTTATCTTAATCTTAAGGTAAAGTTCTTATTGGTATTGGAAAGATATCTTTTCCGATAGATAAATTGCCATCTGGTTTAGTAATATTTTAAATTATTTGAGAATCAAAGGGAGGATCAAAATACTTTTGATCAACTTTACTGTTAATAGCAGCAGTTTGCTAATATAATCCATGAAGAAAGCTCTAAGCTGATTAAATCGTTCTATTTATTTTTAAATATAGTATTAATTTAAGAGTATGATGATTTATTCTAAGTTTAGTAAAATAGTTTAATATTTAACACTACCTATTTTTATCTGTTGATTGAACATATATCTCTGATGGTTCATAATTTAAGCTTATTAGCTTTTCATTTTCTGCAAATATTTTATGAAAAACTCTTCCTAATTCGTTTTGTTGCCTCATTCCTACTGGAGTGAGTTCTCCAGAATATTTTATATCTTCTGGATCAGCAAGCTTAGGAGTTTCAACATATCTTGTGCCGTGTCTTATGACTGAAACTACTTTAAGTAAAGTGCTATTAGATATTTGAAATTATGCAGAGCTGAATATCAAAAATTTTTATAATAAAAGTAAAATTAGTTAATATTTCATTTATGCTTATTTTATATAAACAATTATTACAGCTTTATTTTAAATAACTTAACAAAAAATTATTTAAATACAATAAAGAAAACCTAATAATCTTTAAAGCTGTTTAAATATAAAATACAAAAAATAATATCGACTGAATAACAAACAAATGCTTTATATTTAAAATTTGATTTTAAATAAAATAATTTATTTTTTCTCTATATTTAATAACTCAAAGAATAATCTAACATTTAAAAGATAAATAAAAAAAATTGATATAAATATTTGTGTAATTTTTACAAAACATAAATTTCCACTTTTTTTCTTATTTTTCTTATTATTTTTTTTTTATAAAAATATAAAATTATTTCATAATCATTTTTCATCTTTGAAATTTACATGAAAAGATTTTAATTTTTCCATTACTCTTCTATGTCCATTCTTATTAGCTTTACTAAATTGTGGCTTTTCAATTCTTTTTCTATCAGATGGCTGCTAGTCTTAGACAAAATTTTTAAGTATTTCAGAACTTTGAATGATTGGAATGTACTCTAATCCATTTTCAATACCACTTACTGATTTATCTACATTTTTGAGAGTTAAACTTCTTAATTTAGATTCTGGAGAGGCCATTAAAACTCTTTCTGAGCTTGCAATATCCTTATCTATTATATTCTATAACCCTTACATATTTTAGCTTTCCTGACCTTGAGCTCTAAAATCTTCACTTTACTGCTCGCTAGATTTTCTATCAAATTAAAATGATGGTGGCTTTAAGGAAGAAGAACTTTTTTAAAAGTTGCTAGGTATTAAGTTAAAAGTAGAGCTGTTTCCTCTAAGATTTGAGCTAGAAGGGAGAGGGGAGGGCCTTTAAGTTTTAGTTGGAGACTCATTAAGCACACTAATTTCTTATCTTTCAACAGCATCGTGAGTTGAGTTTGAGTTTTGTTATTTTATTGAAACATTCATTGGTCTCTTTAATCCTGGTCTACTAAGAGGAGGTTTTTTATTGTTTAATTTGACCTCTTCCATTTAATCCTTTTATAGGCTATCTTCACAAATATTTTGATTTTCTTATTTCGTAGTGGTAGGAGACATAGGTACTACTTTATTTAAAGCTATTTAGTTTTCTCTCTTTTAAAGTTTTTCTTTAGCATGCTTTAAAAGCTAAAATACCTTGGTTAATACTTCTTTAACGAAAAATCCTAGCTCAAGCATGATTATAAATATTAAATTACCTATTACAATCCAACCCAGCAACATTTGAGATTCTTCATTACTAAACTTAGGTACCATGAATAAAAATAAGAGGGAAGTACTTGTGAGGAAAAAAAAGCTGGAAATTATATCTCTGTAATTATAAGATTTATGTTTGTTTGGCTTTGTTTTTATAACTAAGCAAAGCATAAAAAGATTCCAAACATTTAAACATATTAATTAGACAAAAGGAGAAAATCCAAATCCACCAATTACAATAGAGTAATAGTATTTTCTAATATATTATATAGGATAATAGTACTGAAAGCTAGAATTATCAGATATCGAATGTATTTAATTTGTCAGTTTTTTATTGTAAATTAGATAAATTAAAGCAATTGGAATTAACGATATGATTATTCCAATAGATAGCAAAATATAATTTACTATTTCAGCTACGTGGTGATTATATTAAAATTGCTAAACTTACAAAACAATTGCAATTGCTAACTCTATGTAAATTACAAATAAGAATTCAAAGTAAATATTAAATGTGAACACTTTTGTTCTAACGAGGTTAATGTACTTTTACCACACAGGCTTTATTCTCAGTCCCATTTCAATTAAGTAGACAATAAAATTAGTCATCAAAATAGTGATTATAAGTGATAAATATTCTCCTATAAAAATATTTTTATAATTTAAAAATTTAATTATAATTTAATACAAAAAAGTAAGTAAATAAATACCAAAGTTCTCAAGATAGAATCCTTAAATTTTTTTAAATTCGAATTTTTCAGGAGATTTATATTCTACTTCATGAAAGTCTTCTATCAGCTCAAAAAAGTTTTCAAAAGGAATTTTGACATCTTTAACTGAATTGTAGAATGAATCCAAGTTGTAAGGGAAGCTTTAAAGAATAACAAAATAAATTATTTACTATTTTCATAAATTGAGAATTAATTTTAAATTTAATGAATTACTCTAAATTAATGAAGTTCATAAGATAAATAAGCTGAGAAACATCCACAGCTGAAGCAATAAACTAAAAGTTTCCTGAAATAGCAAGAGGTAATAATGACGCTATAGTAGCCTTAGAAGCTACTTCAGCAGCATTGCCTATTGCTTCTGTAGCTTTCTCTGTTGTACCACTTGCTTAATAAGTTAGAAATCCTGAAACCTATTGAGTATAGCTGAATAAATTAGATTATGAGTTTTAATCAAACATAAAGGATATTGTATAATTCTAGCTAGAGGGGACTGAATTAGGAGAAATCGTTACTATAATAGTATTATCAGAAATGATTTAGCTTTAAAAACTATATTTACCACTAAATGATAATACATCAACATTAACATTTTTAGAAAATTGGTTAATATTTGTTAAATTTTAGTCAAATTAAATAAAGAATTTGTTTGATTCAAATTCAGTTATTTAATAATATATTTTCATCACAAGAATACATTAATTGATTTAGTTAGGTTCATAACCTTACGGGCAAGTAGAAACACAAGTATTAAGAAAAATATAGTAAGACTTTTAGCATTAGATGCATATATTTGTATTTTAACAAATTTGGCAATACGATATTTAGCACTGTTAATTATTTTACTTGCAAATATCTGAACCAGCTACTTCACTATAACCTTATTGGCAAATGCAGGTGCTAGTTAAGCTGTCCAACTATCTAAATTAAACAAGCGAATTGCATGAAGTGCAAACATTTTTATTACTACATGTTAAACAAGTTGAATTACAAGATTAACAAATACCATTATTATCTAAATATTAACCATCTTTACAAATGCAAAGATTATTGGCATTTGGTTAAGCATTTATATCACTACATTATAAGCAGCCATTTTAATTGCATTTACTACATCCTATACTACAAGCTTTGCAGACTCCATTGCTGTCTAAATAATAGCCATTTTAGCAAACACAAACTTTATTTGAATCAGGCTAAGCTTTACTATCACTGCATTATAAGCATCCACTTGAATTGCATTTACTACATCCTATACTACAAGCTTTGCAGACTCCATTGCTGTCTAAATAATAGCCATTTTAGCAAACACAAACTTTATTTGAATCAGGCTAAGCTTTACTATCACTACATAATAAGCATCCACTTGAATTGCAATTACTACAACCTACACTACAAGGAGTACAGCTCTATGATGAATTCAGATAATATCCACTTTGACACGTTTAACAAGCTGATAAAGATGTACATACTATGCATGGACTGATACATTTTTAACAATTAACCTAGCCTGCTACCTGAGTATATCCTGATAAGCAAGTGCATGTATTTGTTGGAAGATCTAATTCCCTAAATTGAGTCAAAGAATCACAAGATGTACATACATTCTTATTACTACACGTTTTACAAGTTGCATTACATGCTTAGCAAACACCATTACTATCCAAATAAAAGCCATCCTGACATACACAAACTTTATTAGAATTTGGTGAGGCTTTGCTATCACTACATTACAAACATCCACTTGAATTGCAATTACTACAACCTACACTACAAGGAGTACAGCTATATGATGAATTCAGATAATATCCACTTTGACACGTATAGCAAGCTGATAAAGATGTACATACTATGCATGGACTGATACATTTTTAACAATTAACCTAGCCTGCTACCTGAGTATATCCTGATAAGCAAGTGCATGTATTTGTTGGAAGATCTAATTCCCTAAATTGAGTCAAAGAATCACAAGATGTGCATACATTCTTATTACTACACGTTTTACAAGTTGCATTACATGCTTAGCAAACACCATTACTATCCAAATAAAAGCCATCCTGACATACACAAACTTTATTAGAATCTGGTGAGGCTTTGCTATCACTACATTATAAACATCCACTTTAATTGCAAGTACTGCATCCTAAGCTACAAGCTTAACAAACACCATTAGAATCTAAATAAAAGCCACTTTAACAAACACAAACCTTACTTGAATTAACTGATGCTTTACTATCAGTGCATTATAAACACCCGCTTTAATTACAGCTACTACAACCTATGCTACAGCTAACACAAGTGGATGATGAATTTAGGTATGATCCTGCTTAGCATGTTTAGCAAGTTGTTAGAGATGTACAAGTTAAACATGTACCTTTACATTAACTACAACTACTTGCAGTAGGATTATAAAAATATCCTTTTACGCAAGAACCACATTAGTAAGAAGCGGTACCAAAGCAGGTCAAACAGTTAGGAAAACAAGTAAAAGAAGTAGAAAGATCAACTCCTAATATTAAAAAAAAAAAATTAGTTAATTTTAAGAAATAAAATATTAAATAAATAAATAATTACTCATGACATTGTTGCTATAATCGTATGCAATTAAATAATTAGCGTTCTTTTTATTAAATATATTTTAAATAATTTGTTTGTTTAAAAATATGAAATATACATAAGCAGGATAAAAACTCATGAAGTTTGAAGACTTTGGGTTATTGATGGTTTCCTAAGGGACAGAAGAATTATCAATAGCATAAACTTTAAAAAATATAAATAAATAAATATTTAAAGTATTATTTTTATTATAATTTTACTTTGCAGTTTATTATTACTGATTATCACAATATTAAAATTAATTATTTAGATGTAATCAGGGCTTATTTAAAGAGCTTTAAAAAATTAAAAGGTTATAGAATAGTTGACTTCATCGATTTTATAAAATCCCAAATTATTATCTGATGATTGAGTTATTATTTACTTTGTCTATGGAAGCTAAGTTAAAAATTTTTTTTTAATAATAGTAAAATATTAGATTTATATATTTATTTACTGGATGGATTTTTGTTAACGATTAAGGAACATTTGCTTAGAAAACTACATTTGAAATTGTTATTGTTGAACCAGGAGTATTACTTATTTAATTTTACATATCTAATAATAAATAGAAGGAACATAATTAAAATAGAATGGAGATAACAAAAATATTTTACAAAAAATAGTTTATTCACATCCAAAGGCTAAAATGTTGCTTGTCTATTAAATAAAATGTAGATTAATAACAGAATTAATATTGAATTTAAAATGTACATAATAAACTCCTTAGACAGGTCCACCAACACAAGTACCCTATGGTATATCAATATTGTAAAGTACTGAATTGTAATAAACTATTATTTTATGTTTTTTTTTTTCTATTTACTATTTTTCTGAAAAAATTATATTTACTTGAAGTAGTATCAGCATACATAATCTAGTAAGCCTTTTATATTTAAAAATTGTGTTAAATTAATGATACATAAAGAGCTATTAAATTTAATACATTTAAATATGAATATATTTAGAAGATACTTTAAGCTGCCTATGACCCAAATGGATTTTGTAAAAGTATCTAAGACGAGGTGTAAGTAGTATCTAAAATGTTTTTAATGTAAATTTAGAAATTAGCCTAGTAAAAATAATTCTACCATATTGATTTGTGCCATCTGCGTAAATTATTTGAGGCTTTTAATAATGTTTAACAGTTATATAGAATAGATAATTAAAATAAAATTATTTTACATAAGTGTTACCAGCCATCGATACACAATTTATATTTTATTAAAACTTGAGCTAAACTGTAGGACTATATTAGTAAACTAATTCAAAGCATATATTTAATAACTTGTAATTATGAAATGTTAATGATGATTACTCGATAATGAATTTTAGGTCGGGTTACAAACTCCAAAGTCGTTAGAATTTAATACATAAAGTGAACCAATTTGGGAAGGGAGTGTAATCAATTGAGTTACTGTAGAGGCTTTTTGTAGCTTAAAAAAAGCAAAATATTAAAGTAATAAAAGTATTATTTAGGATATTTTCATATTTTTAGTGCCTTTCTTTTTTTTGAGCGAATTAATTAAAATATGATTATTACAAAATAAATGCATTAAATTCCTTTAATTATTTATGTTTAATCAATAAATAAATAAATAAATTGCTTTAAAATAAATCCTTTATTAGGTTATTAATCATAGACAATAGTAATACCACCTTGCTTTTTGAGTTTATTTTTCTAATATTACTTACATTTTTCCAGTACATTTTTTGAAGAAATTTAATATTCTCAAATTTGGTTACAAACATTTTTTTTATGCTTCTAGTACTTGAATATAGCTAAATGTACCACTTATTTTTGAATTTGTAAAATGAATATTCAATTCATTAAAGTCTATATAAAGTTTTAACCTTATATTTTAACTAAAATATAGTAAAGAGTTTTGAAATTAAAATTCATCATTGTTAAAAAAATTGATCCATTAGATTTTCAAATATAATTAAAAAACAAATACCATTTTGAGAAGCATAATTTATTACTTAATTTTTGTACTTTCTGAGATTCATGACAACTATTTGTTAAAAAAGTATAAGCCTATTTTTGATGTATAATTTTAAACCAGTATTTTCAGTTTTTTAGATTTTTAACATATTTAAGCTAAGAAGAGAAGTATAATTAATTATTTACGCTTCTTCATATACTATTTAGGATTAAGATTTACTTATTATCAAAAAATGGTAATTTAAAAAGGTTTGATTTGTTTTACAAATTAATTAGATACTTACTATTCATTCCAGAGACTTTTTTATTTTTAAAATTTATCAAATCACTTTATTTTACATTTCTGCATTTAAAAAAATAATAGTTTTTTAATTTAATAATCTTAAATAAAAATCTAATATATTTTAATATATTTTGTTTTTTATCAATAATTGTTATAACTTACTTTTTAAAAAAGCAAAAATTTATGAAAGATACCCATTATTCTCCTAAAGATATTACTTTACAATAATCTTATTATTTGATTATTTAATGACAAAGATAGTAGGAACTAGAAGTAAATAATAATTAATGATTAAATCATAGAGACAAAAATTTACAAAATTTATGCATATGTGTAAAATATTTATAATCTTAAAATTTAAGATGAAATCATTTGATATTCTTACTTTTTAAATGAATTTCCTTGCCATAAAATAATTTTTATTTTATTTAAATTTTTTTAGCTACATTTTTACCACTTAAATCTATTTTAAGTCAAAATAATTAAATTCATAAAAATGATAATGTTATAAGTATTTGATATTTAAGACATGTAATTGTAAGATAAATTAATCTAATATTTTATGAATAGAAATGAGCTAAATAGAAAAAAAGTTAAAAAAGAATGTCTTAACTATTTTTTAAGGATTTATAAACAAATCTTCGATATTTTAAAGTGTGAAATTATCATATTTTATTTTTGCGGAATTCCTTAGTAAATTCTATTAAAAACAAATAACACAAATTTTTTTATTCTTTAAGATTTAATTCGTAAAAAAGTATAAAATATTTATGTCTTATTTTTTAAAAAATCTGAAAAATATAATTAAATCAAAAACCTATTTTACAATATTTTTAATCCAAATATATTTAAATATCATTGATTTATTTAACCAATTTTTTTTTCTTTAATATAGAGTAATTTGTTTAAATACATTATATAAGTCCTTAGATTATATTTTTATAGTTTAAATTAAAATTTTCCTTGATAACAATTACAATTCAGGTTTTTTTATAAAAGTATTTTAAATTATAATTTTAATTTTATTTTTAAAAAAATATTAAAATCAAACCAATTGCAATATTTATTTTTTTAATTGTATTTTATTAATCCTTAAACAAAATTAATGCATGTCTAGAAATTGAAATTAATTAAAAAATAAATTAATTAATTATTTGGCTAGATTCTCATATATTTTTATTCAATTTCCTTGCTCATAACCAATTAAAATAATTTAATTAATATTATAAATTTTTAATTCATAAAAAATTACAATTAATTTAATGTTTTAGTGAAAAATGAAAAACTTTAATATAAAAGATAATTTTATTATTACTGATAAAATAAATAAGTGATCTAAAAAAAGAAAAAAATATTTAAAAAATTTCTATTTTACAAATAGAAAAAATTTAATTAAAAGAAAAATAACAATCAAATTAGTAATAATTTATTTTTTGTAAAATTTTTTCTGAATTTAAAATAATAAATTAAATTTTATTCAAAAATTTATTAAAAGCTAGTTTAAATAAAAAAATCTTATTGTATTATTAAATAAATTATTCTCTTTTCTTAATCCTAAAAAATAAATGAACTACATAATTAAATATAAACTTATTATAATTTTTGATTAAACTAGAGTAAATATAAATTTTTAATTAACATTTTATGATCTACAAATTCGTGAAATTACTTTTATCCTATATTTTTTATCATAAATTTACAATTAAAAATATTTCTATTTTACATAAAAATACTTTAAAGGAATGTAATTTAATTTAGCAGTAATTAATTGATTTTATATTTTAAAATAATATCATCTACACTAAAATAAAAAAAGAGTGTGCATTAGATTTCATTCAATAATCATTTATTTGAAATCTCAAATATCTAAAATTTCCATAAAGATAATATTAAGTTTATCAACAAGCAGGATAGACTGAGTGAATATCATCACAATCTAAATAATTTGCATTAAACAAAAATATATATTAAAAAGATTTTTTTTCATTAAACTAAGACAAAATGAGTAAATAGTATTTTTATTTATGTTAAAAATTAATATTTAAATTTTTAAAAAAATAATCAAGAAATTCTTCAATAAACTAAAAAGATATAAAAATATGAAAAGAAAAACTCGTTTTAGTGTTTAAATTAAATTTATAAAAAGTTTGATATTAGTTTTTTATAATTTATGAAAAGGAAATTATGGATTTGGAAATAAGTTTTTATTTAAATAATCAAATAAATAATTTTAATATAAGTAAAAATTAACATGTGAAATATAAGAATGAACTTACTAATTGAATAATATTTATTATATTACAATTTTTAAAAAAATACAATAAAGAAATTAATTCAGAGGTAAATGTTACTAAAGTTAAGTAGTTGAATGGATAATAAAAAAACACAATTTTTCTAGATTAATTCTTTGACTAATAGAAGTTTAAGAGAATGTTAATATTGTAATTATTTGAGTAAAATTAGCTAACATGTAAAATGTCTAAATACTTACAATACTAATATAAATAATTTTATACCATAGAATACAAGTATTTATTCACAAGTTAATCCTCTATAAAAAATGATACCTAAGACATGTAGATTGTCAAATAAAATAAGTGATATTTTGTAGAAATAAAATTTAAAACAAAATAAGCTAAAAACAAAAATTATATTTTTAATCTAATCTGTGTTTGTCTGTCTGATAAAAGCTTGTAAAATTTACTCTTAATTATTTATAATTATTTCACTCAAAATTTACACTTAATTTTTAATCAGATTACAAATTCTAAAAATAATAATTTTAGATAGGTAACTCAAAATATTTCTATTTGAACAAATTAAATTTATAATTAATTTGGATAGCTTACATTACCACATTATTATACTTATCCAAATACTATCTTAATTCTATTGCAAGATGATATTAGCAACAAAAAATAAAACCATACTAAATAATTATACTTTTAGATTCTAGACAAAATGTAATAAAGATACGAAACATAAACTAATTATTTAGAATTTATATCGCTTAGCGAAATTAGATGATAATTCAAATTTCAATTTTTTATAAAAAGTATACTTGATTCATAGTATAAATTGCTGTGTTTTCTAGTACCTCAATCATACTTTTAGCTTAAATTTTAAAAACATAAAACTTTTAAACTTGCAAATAAATTATTTTATTAGTTTAAAAGTTAAAAATAGTGAAGGAGAAATATAAATTTTTGAATCTGATGTTGTGAGCAGCGCATTTTGTTAGAACTGTAAAAGTAATCTAGTAAATTTTATAATTTATTGATGTCTTACATTAATATTAAACAAAGAAAAGAAATAAATAGTTAATAAAAGAATTATCTGTGTATTTAATAATTTGATGATTTCTGCTAAAATAATAACATTCATTTATGATAATAAATTAATAATTCTATTTTGGGATAAGAATTATCATAAATTTATGGTATAAATAAAGGAAATTTAAGGTTATATATAATATAAATTAAATAAAAAATTTAAAAAAGATAAACTTTTAAAATAAGATGAAAATTACTATTGCTTTTATTCTTTCAGTCGCAACTCTCTTTGCTACTGTTTATTGTTAACAAGAAAACTTTGCTTAAAAGGAAGACGATATTTGCTCAAGACAAGGATTCTACTCATGTAGACTTAGTCTTGGCTGCTATTATGATGGTGCCACAGCTTCTTGCAGAAAGATATAATAAAAGGAATAAACTGAAAAGCTTTCATAAGAATATGATCATTGCAAAAATCTTGGTTCATATGCTTGTTCATCTTCTAGAGGATGTACTCCTGACGGAAATGGTGGATGCAGAAAGATTTCTACCTAAAATTCAAATGGTGCCTTGAAAACTAAATCAACTCCTAACCCTGAAAATGGAATCAACAAAGATGACGACCATTGCTCTAGAATAGGATTCTACGCATGTAGTTCTGATAGAGGATGTATGATTAACCCTTATACTGGTTAATGCTAAAAACTTTCTGACTAAGTAAAACAATCTAATCAAACTAGTGAAAAATAACACACTATAGAATAATCTGTTTCTGATGACATTTGCACCAGAAGAGGTTTTTATGCTTGCAGTTCCGATGTAGGATGTTGGATTGACCCTTACACTGGTCATTGTGCTAAAATTCCTCAATAAGTAAAGACTTTGTAAGATTCCTACGATCATTGTTAAAACCTTGGTTTTTATGCTTGCTCTTCTTCTAGAGGTTGCACTCTTGATGGTAATGGCAGATGCAAGAAAATTTAACCTTGAAAATTTGAATAAACGAATAAATACAATTATATATAAAATTATAAATTATTGATGTGTTTTTATTTTTTGTTATTATTAGAAATTAAATATAAAATTTATAATATTTCAAACAAAACTCAATTAATAATCTTACATATAAAAATAATACATATGTATACCTTTTTATTAAAAAGCAATAATCGTCGAAATCCAAAACAAGTAAAACTATTCTGAATCTACGAAACTATAATATTCAAGCATGTAGTTGCATTTTCAACTAGCGAAAGTTTATAGTTTAAAGTTATTTTATCAAGCAATACTAAAATCTATAAATCCTTCAATCATTTAATTTAAAATCAGATAATAAAAAATGGGTTCTTACTGTTTAAAAATAATTGTTGTCTCTTATGTTTTAATTTAAATTTTAAACAAAAAATAAAAATATTTTTAAAAGTTAAATTTGTATTTATTTATTTAACATCATAATGTTACTATAAATGCTACTTTAAGTATTTAATATTACCAAAATAAAATGAATGGTTTATTTGTTATACTAGAAAATAATTATTTCACAGCATCAATATAATATAATTTATTTCATCTTCGACTAATTCTTGATTTTTATTTAACATCTGCTATTATTTAATATCTATTTAAATAAAAGTTGATCCACAGTTTTTTATTTGAATTTAAGATTTTATGAAAAATTTAAAATTCCTTATAAAATAAGTAAAAATAAACACTTAATAAGAGCCATTAAATATAGATTTTTGAAAAAATTAATTCAGTACCAAATGATGTTCTCAATATTATATTTTGATGTATCTTAAAAAAGTATAGTAAAAGTTAATTTAATTAAAAATTCTAAAAAATATAAATATAAAAATCCTTATCACTTTTAAATAAATAAATAATTAGATTTCATTTTTTATTTGCTTTAGGCAGTTTTTTCTTCTTTTAAGAATTTTAAGAAGAAGGCTTTTTATTAATTTCCTTTGAAGATTGTTATTCCTTTTATTAATGAGAATCAAACAAATTAGAATTACTGATATTATTACTTATGGCATATTTATCATATTTATCAGATGCAGCAGTTAATTGTGACTGTTTTTTGTTGCTATATTTAGATTATTTTTTCCTTTATATTCTTATGATGTTCGTTATCTCATTATTTTTCATTTCAAAATTACCAAACATGCCATTTTAGCTACCTTATTTAATTGGAACTTAAGGGCTTGATAAATCATTCCGTGAAGAAATTTAATTGAGCCTATTAGAATTTTAATTAACGCTCATATTATCATTTTAGTAAATGCTTTTAGTGCAGTTGGTTTATTGCATAGAAACCAAATCTTAATTGCTATATACTTTAGATTAAGCAACTATATCTATCCTATTAGTTTCTATATCTTAGAAATCTTGTACTTTTTCTTACAAAAGCTAAATACTATTAGGCTAATTGTTAATTGATATTTCTTAGAAATTTAATATTTTTTTAGATATTATATTCTACAGTTTTTATTAATCTATTACACTCATACTTTTAATTTAATCTTATTAAGATGATTAAGAATATTATTTTATTTTTTCCATATCTATTAAAATGTCATTAGGAACTACTTTGTTTCTTTTGCTTTTAAACTCTTTAATTTTAGCTCTGATTTTTGTGAAATACATAAGTAACGCTGTACACGACTCATGAACAAATGACATAAAATCAGCTAAAATTATAATAAGAAGATTTGCAATAATGAACCAACATAAATTTATTCTACTATCCTCAGTACTCTTTTCATAGCTCTTAAATAATATAGTAATTAGCATCGTTGAAGAAAAGAAAAATAATGTCTAAATCATATGTTTATAATTATCAAGTTTAGATTTGTAAGGTTTAAATTTTACAGTTATAACTAACTGTATTAAGCTCCATACCATAAAAAGCACTATCTGTGTTAGTGGATAATTGTATAAAACTGTAACTACTAGTATCAAAAAAACTTTTCTCAGATACAAGAATATATTATAATATTGAAAATTTAAATTTTCAGTTAGTATTTCTGTGAAATAATTATGTTTCCCTATCTTGATCTAATAACAAATATAATAAGGGAAAACTATAAATACTATGGAAAAAAAAGTGAATAAGTAGCTTAATCCTTCTAAAAAGTAATCAGCCTATTTAATTGACTGAATTTGAAGAAATACAGCTATACACAGCTCTATGTATAATCCCCAAAGGATATCCAAATAAAATTTAGCATTAAAAAGCTTAGTTCTAGCTGTTTTTATTAATTTTCTTAATCTTTGAATTGGCAAAAATCTTGAAAATAAATTCATCAAAAGGTCTACAAGTATTATCAAAATCAAAAGAGATAAGTTATCACCTTTTTTATATTAAAATAAGTAAGTAAATGTATTTTAATATTATTAAAAATTTTACCAAAATTAGCTAAATAAAACCCTTATCTGTCTTCCTCACTAAATTTTTTTGGAGAGTCGTTATGAATCTCATCAAAATGTTCCATTTTATCAAAAAAATTTGTAAAAGGAATATTAAATTCTCGAATGGCATCATAGAATAGTAAAAGATTTAATGGCAATCTATTTAAATTAATAATAATATATATTTGAAATTTATCAAATCTCTTTAAATTATTTAAACTTAATAAATATTATTTTACTCTATATTAATGAATATCATAGCATATATTAATTGGCATATATCCAAAAGTGAAGCTAAAAATTGGAAATTTCCGCTTATGAAAAGAGGAAGTATTGAAGATACTGCGATTTTTGAACCTGTTTCAGTGATTGAAGTGATCACTTATGTGGCTATTTTGTCATTTCCTTTTAAATTAGCTTTTAGCTGTACTTCTTAGCAGTTTGAGTAGCTTTTTAGATTAGGAATATTACAATTGCTTAAGTCTATACTAACATTACAATCTTATTCAATACCTACATTAGGATTTATATTAATGTCTATTTAAGTACTACTGATAATTTAAAACTATATATCAAATTAAGAAAGAGGATGTTGAATAGTCCAAGCCTCATCTGATAGCCTATCAATCGTAATTTAAATACAATCTTAAATAATTATCCCACTTTCTAAACTATCTTCGAAATTAATTTTTAGCTGATTACTGCTACTTGAAATAAGTTAGAAATAGTTTAATTTCATTTATTAGCATGAATTTTGATGGATTTCTTAATAACCTTAAATACATTAGCATTAACCATTTTAAAACACTCTATTATATTATTAGTTGCAGGGCAGACATTCACCAGTCTTATTATTAAAATCTGTAAAGTATTATTCAATGCAAATACACTCATTATGTACTAATCTTCTATTTGCAATTTGATTACACTATTTACTAGCATGACATTCTGCTATTTAGTCATTACATTAAACACATTATTTATCTTTTTCATAAAATCCTTTCATGCAAACACATATTTATTTGTAGCTTTCTCTATTTTAAGTTTAATCGCATAATATGCATGTATCTTTATTTTTACATTAAAGACATCCAGTGGGACATTGCTGGCATAACTGTGTTTAGTTATCTATGTAATATCTGTCTTAACAAATACATTAATTGTTTATTAATATTTTTTATTAAGTTGGATCACATAGCTAGCATATTCCTTCATTTGTTAGGCTAAAATATTAACTTTTACAATCACAAGTATATGTAGCTGGGTTAAAAACTCTGTTTAACCCATCTTCGCATTTAGTACATTTTTTTTAATTATCTTAGCAAGTTTGACAGTTTGCAGAACATGGTTGACAGTTGTTATTAAGATCAGCGTAATACCCATCTTTGCATTAACAGACTTCATTTATCAATATGAAGTTTTTTGTTTCATCACAGAGAATGCACTATTACATAGAATTTTCAAAATATCCTGATTGGCAAACACACTTATTATTAACTAATTACCTATTAAGATTCGGTAAACATTTTGTACACTAAGAGTTTAAACAATCTTGGCAATAAATTGGACATGCTTCACATTTTCCATTTTGTAATGAATAACCTAATTTACAAACACATTTTGTATCTTGTATTATCACATTCTAGTTCGAATCACAATTATAACAATGATCTTAATTTTCACATTGTGTACAACCAAATGGACATTTAATACAGCTATCATTACTCATATAGTATCCATCTATGCATATACAATTTCCAAGCATTAGCATTTTATTTTCATTAGGATCACATAATTAGCATTTTTCTTGGTTTGGGAGGCTAAAATATTATGCTATACAAAGACATTATTTTATTGATGAGCTAAATATTCTGTTAATACCATCTTTACATGAGGTACACTAATTAGCTTAATTTTAGCATGTTTTGCAACTAATATCACATTATTAGCAGTTACCATCCGCATCCATATAATATCCATCTTTACATTAACATTAATTATTAATAAAAATTAAATTCTTAGTTTAATCACATAACCCCACACACTCGAGTTGATCATTTTCTTAATATCCTTATAAGCAAACGCATTTTGTACCAGAGAGTTATCTGAAGCTTTATTATGAGCAAGATGTACAGTTTTCAGCTGTATCTGCGCAGGTAGCACATAATTTTGAGCATTATTAACATTAAGAAAAAGTAGGACTGTTAAAATACTGAGGAATGCATTAGCACAAATCGGACTAAATTGAGCGAAATAAATCTTTAGTGCATAGTTAACATAAATTTTAGTTATCTTATTAGCATATTGCACAATTAGGACTTGAACATTGTCTCCATGCAAGTTTATTTGTTAACTAATATTCTTTAATTTAAAAAAAAATAATTATCAACTCTTTATGTTCATGAAAATATTTACCTGCAAATTAAACATTTTGTTAATCCAAATATGCGAGAAATACTGATTAATCTCCCTAATTAAAAATATTAAATTAAGTTAAAAACTTATATTATAAAAAATGTTTACTTCAAAGACAGTAAAGTTAATTATTTATAAAGTACTATCACTTAAATTAAAGTTTACATATTTTTTTGAATCAGCAAAGTAAGCTTATTAAAAAAAATATTTTATTTCCATCAACTTTTTAAATGAATACCTTGTATTTTATTTTGATTAGCTGCTAAAAAAACTTAAGCGAATGAATCGAAATAAGTAAAACTTGAATAATCAATAACAGAAATTCCAGTAATCACAGTTTTGTTTGGTTTTATTGTAGTAAAAATAATATTTTTATTTGAATCTATCAATATCATTTGCATATTTTCGAAAGGCTATTTATTTTATATTTAATTAAATAATTAGATAATTTAATATTTAAAAATTTATAAATTTACCTCTAATTATAATACTTGTTTTATTGTAAAATTTTAAGGAAGTGAAATTTCTTCTTAAACACTAATATTTCCTTATTGAGTATCAATTTGGATATAATAGACTAAGTTAAAAAAATAAATATTTTTTATTCCATTATCTCATAAATTAAAAATTCATCTTACGTATTAAGTTCTTTCCACACCCAACTGCCATTACTGTTGGTGACTTTCATAATTTTTAATTAAGAATTATTAAGAAAATATTTTTTTTATTTTAAATTTTAATTACAAAAAATACTCCTTACGCCAACGAACCCTTACATGTAATCGTCTGTAAGGAGTTAGGATAGCCAACTATATAATTTCAGAAAATAAATATTATCTTTATCTTAAAGTTAAAATATTACATTTTAATTAGCCATTATCTATGGTAATTGATATCTAATTAATTTATAAATAGATATTAATATTAATAATTTATTTTTATTTAATTACCATTTCATTATTTAATTTTTAAAGCCACACAATAGAGTTTTGAGCTTTTATATTTAATTTATCAAGATCTAAAATATTTTAGGTTACTAAAAAGCGGTTTTCTCCATAGCTAATAACTTTAAATAAATAAATAAATTTTTATCATCAAATTGAAAAAATAATTTTACTTTGTGCTATTCTCTTTGTAGAATTAATTAGCTAGCTTCCCTTTTGTTAATAAAAATAACTATAATTCTACTTTTATAAATTGTAATTTTACATTAAAATAAAGTAATAAAAGGCATTTAATTTATGAATAAGATGTTTCTCCCCCATTATTCAATGATTTAGTAGAATCAATTACTGATAAATAAAATAATATTTGATAAAGGTATTATTTCAAATTTTTATTTGTTACCATAGATATTCATACTTGATTCTAAACTAGAAGAACCACAAATAGCTTTCATATTAGTATTTAAATAAGAAATGCTTGATGATTATTTAAATTAAGTTTATGTAAGAATTTCTTTTGTAGTCTATTATAATGATATTTCTATTATAAATAGAAAGGCAATCTAAAATATTATGCAATGATTATATCGAATCATTTTTCAGATTAAAATTAGAATAAGTAATTTAATTTTTTTTTTTTTATTTTTCTCCTACTTTCCAAATAATATTAAAATAAGATTAGTTTTATTTTCTAAATATTATTCGTTCAAAATGGTTAAAAATAATCAAATTTAATAAATACTGAAGCAGTTTATAGAATAATTAGATAAATAGAAATGAATTTTAGAAAAAGAAACCAAACTAATATTTTTTGTAAATTAATATTTAAAATTAATTCAGTAATAATTTGAGAAGGGTTTATTTGGTTGATTTTACACTGTTCTAGCCACTTAAAATTTTTTTCTTCATTTATTTTAAAAATCTTTGTAGTAAGCATGTTATAAAATGCATTTGGAATATCAATTGTTATTAGATTTTGTATAAAATTCATTTTTATTACTTAAAAATGAAAGTATATCTCTAAAAATTCATAATTTTTGTAAAATTTACAAATATTGTATAAATTTCTAAATAAAATTTATATTATAATGAATAAAAGAGCAAATATGTGTCAATTTTATTTAATTTTTTATTATCAAAATTATATTTAAATAGTTTAGTGTTGAAAAAATATTTTTATTGTTGTAAATTAAAATAATGAGATCATATATTTTTGTAAAAATTTATTGAAATATTCCAAAAAAAATTATCAAAAGATTTAATTATTAATTTTATTCATATTAGATATCTCTAACAATGTTGGTTATATCAACATTAATACTGTTAATAAATTATTTATTCATTAAAAATAAGAAATATATTTTGTTAATCTTAATAATCTTAAATATCCACCTCTTTAAAAGAGAATTTACAATCGGAGCATTTTTAGATCAGTAGGTAGAAAAAATGGCATTCTACCTTTAACCTGTTTTTATCAATAAAAATAAATTAAAAAGTTTTAATATATTGTAAAAAATATATTTTCTAAAAGGAACTTTTCTACTTTTCAACTTTTCTAACTTTTCAACAAATTGCCTACAAAAAAACCTATATAGCCCCAGAAATAAATTTTATAATTTATTGATGTCTTACATTAATATTAAACTAAGAAAAGAAATAAATAGTTAATAAAAGAATTATCTGTGTATTTAATAATTTGATGATTTCTGCTTAAATAATAACATTCATTTATGATAATAAATTAATAATTCTATTTTGGGATAAGAACTATCATAAATTAATGGTATAAATAAAGGATATTTTAGGAAATATATAATATAAATTAAATAAAAATTTAAAAAAGATAAACTTTTAAAATAAGATGAAAATTACTATTGCTCTTATTATTTCAGTAGCAACTCTCTTTGCTACTGTTTATTGTTAACAAGAAAACTTTGCTTAAAAGGAAGACGATATTTGCTCTAGACAAGGATTCTACTCATGTAGACTTAGTCTTGGCTGCTATTATATGGTGCCACAGCTTCTTGCAGAAAGATATAATAAAAGGAATAAACTGAAAAGCTTTCATAAGAATATGATCATTGCAAAAATCTTGGTTCATATGCTTGTTCACCTTCTAGAGGATGCACTCCTGACGGAAATGGTGGATGCAGAAAGATTTCTACCTAAAATTCAAATGGTGCCTTGAAAACTAAATCAACTCCTAATCCTGAAAATGGAATCAACAAAGATGACGGCCATTGCTCTAGAATAGGATTCTACGCATGTAGTTCTGATAGAGGATGTATGATTAATCCTTACACTGGTTAATGCTAAAAACTTTCAGACTAAGTAAAATAATCTAATCAAACTAGTGAAAACTAACACACTATAGAATAATCTGCTTCTGATGATATTTGCACCAGAAGAGGTTTTTATGCTTGCAGTTCAGATGTAGGATGTTGGATTGACCCTTACACTGGTCATTGTGCTAAAATTCCTCAATAAGTAAAGACTTTGTAAGATTCTTACGATCATTGTTAAAACCTTGGTTTTTATGCTTGCTCTTCTTCTAGAGGTTGCACTCTTGATGGTAATGGTAGATGCAAGAAAATTTAACCTTGAAAATTTGGATAAGCGAATAAATACAATAATATATAAAATTATAAATTATTGATGTGTTTTTATTTTTTGTTATAATTAGAAATTAAATATAAAATTTATAATATTTCAAAAAACTCAATTAATAATCTTAAATATAAAAATAATACATATGTATACCTTTTTATTAAAAAGTAATAATAGTCCAAATCCAAAACAAGTAAAACTATTCTGAATCTACGAAACTATAATATTCAAACATGTAGTTGTATTATCAATTAGCGAACCTATTATTTAACAAGTTTATATTATAAAATTATCAAACAATACTGAAATCCTTCAATCATTTAATTTAAAATCAGATATTAAAAAATTAATTCCTTACTGCTTTAAAAATTGTTGTCTTTTATTTTTAATTTAAATTTTAACAAAAAATAAAAATATTTTTAAAAATTATAAAATGAATGGTTTATTTGTTATACTAGAATATAATTATTTCACATCATCAATATTATATATATAGTTTATTTCACCTTCTACTAATTTTTTATTTTTATTTAACATCTGCTCTTAATTTATATCTATTTAAATAAAAGTTGATACATAGTTTTTTATATGAATTTAAGATTTTATGAAAAATTTAAAATAACTTATTAAATAAGTATAAATAAACACTTAATAATTAATAAGAACAATTAAAAATAGCTTAAAAAAAATAAATAATATAATTTATTTAATTTTAAATTTTAAAAAATTAATTCAGTACCAAATGATGTTCTCAATATTATATTTTGATGTATCTTAAAAAAGTAAAGTTAAAGTTAATTTAATTAAAAATACTAAAAAATATAAATATAAAAACCCTTATCACTTATAAATAAATAAATAATTAGATTTCATTTTTTATTTGATTTAGGCAGTTTTTTCTTCTTTTAAGAATTTTAAGAAGAAGGTTTTTTATTAATTTCCTTTGAAGATTGTTATTCATTTTATTTATGAGAATCAAACAAATTAGAATTACTGATATTATTACTTATGGCCTATTTATCATATTTATCAGATGCAGCAGTTAATTGTGACTGTTTTCTGTTGCTATATTTAGATTATTTTTTCCTTTATATTCTTATGATGTTAGTGCTCTCATTATTTTTCATTTCAAAATTACCAAACATGCCATTTTAGCTACCTTATTTAATTAGAACTTAGGGGCTTGATAAATCATTCCAAGAAGAAATTTAATTGAGCCTATTAGAATTTTAATTAACACTCATATTATCATTTTAATAAATGCTTTTATTGCAGTTAATTTACTGAATAGAAACCAATTCTTAATTACTATATACTTTAGATTAAGCAACTATATCTATTCTATTAGTTTCTATATCTAAGAAATCTTGTTCTTTTTCTTACAAAAGCTAAATACTTTTAGGCTAATTGCTAATTGATATTTCTTAGAAATTTAATATTTTTTTAGATATTATATTTTACAGTTTTTATTAATCTACTACACTGATACTTTTAATTTAATCTTATTAAGATGATTAAGAATATTATTTTATTTTGTCCATATCTATTAAAATGTCGTTAGGAACTACTTTGTTGCTTTTGCTTTTAAACTCTTTAATTTTAGCTCTTATTTTAGTGAAATACATAAGTAACGCTGTACACGACTCATGAACAAAGGATAGAAAATCAGCTAAAATTATTATAATAAGATTTGCAATAATGAACCAACATAGATTTATTCTACTCTCCTCATTACTCTATTCATAGCTCTTAAATAATATAGTAATTAGCATCGTTGAAGAAAAGAAAAATAATGTTTAAATCATATGTTTATAATTATCAAGTTTAGATTTGTAAGGTTTAAATTTTACAGTTATAACTAACTGTATTAAGTTCCATACCATAAAAAACACTATCTGTATTAGTGGATAATCGTATAAAACTGTAACTACTAGTATCAAAAAAAATTTTCTAAGATATAACAATATATTATAATATTGAAAATTTAAATTTTCTGTTAGTATTTCTGTGAAATAATTTTGTTTCCCTATCTTGATTTAGTAACAAATATAATAAGGGAAAACTATGAATACTATCGAAACAAAAGTGAATAAGTAGCTTAATCCTTCTAAAAAGTAATCAGCATATTCAATTGACTGAAGCTGAAGAAATACAGCTATACACAGCTCTATATATAATCCCCAAAGGATATCCAAATAAAGTTTAGCATTAAAAAGATTAGTTCTAGCTGTTTTTATTAATTTTCTTAATTTTTGAATTGGCAAAAATCTTGAAAATAAATTCATCAAAAGGTCTACAAGTATTATTAAAATCAAAAGAGATAAGTTATCACCTTTTTGTTTTAAAATAAGTAAGTAAATGTGTTTTAATATTATTAATAAATTTTACCAAAATTAGCTAAATAAAACCCTTATCTGTCTTCTTCACTGAATTTTTTTGGAGATTCGTTATGAATCTCATCAAAATGTTCCATTTTATCAAAAAAGTTTGTAAAAGGAATATTAAATTCTTGAATGGCATCATAGAATAGTTTAAGATTTAATGGCAATCTATAATATTAATAATAATTAATATTTGAAATTTATCAAATCTCTTTAAATTATTTCAACTTAATAAAGATTTTAAATTATAAATATTATTTTACTCTATATTAATGAATATCATAGCATAAATTAACTGGCATATATCCAAAAGTGAAGCTAAAAATTGGAAATTTCCGCTTATGAAAAGAGGAAGTATTGAAGATACTGCGATTTTTGAACCTGTTTCTGTGATTGAAGTGATCACTTATGTGGCTGTTTAGTCATTTCCTTTTAATTTAGCTTTTAGCTGTACTTCTTAGCAGTTCGAGTAGCTTTTTAGATTAGGAATATTGCAATTGCTTAAGTCTATACTAACATTACAATCTTATTCAATACCCACATTAGGATTTATATTAATGTCTATTTAAGCACTACTGATAATTTAAAACTATACATCAAATTAAGAAAGAGGATGTTCAATAGTCCAAGTCTCATCTGATAGCCTATCAATGGTAATTTAAATACAATCTTAAATGATTATTCCACTTTCTAAACTATCTTCGAAATTAATTTTTAGCTCATTACAGCTACTTGAAATAAGTTAGAAATAGCTTAATTTCATTTATTAGCATGAATTTTGATGGACTTCTTAATAACCTTAAATACATTAGCATTAACCATTTTAAAACACTCTATTATATAATTAGTTGCAGGGCAGGCATGTACCAGTCTTATTATTAAAATCTGTAAAGTATTATTCAATGCAAATACACTCATTATTTACTAATCTTCTATTTGCAATTTGATTACACAATTTACTAGCTTGGCACTCTGCTATTTAGTCATTACATTAAACACATTATTTATCTTTTTCATAAAATCCTTTCATGCAAACACATGTTTATTTGTAGCTTTCTCTATTTTATCTTTAATCGCATAATATGCATGTATCTTTATTTTTACATTAAAGACATCCAAGGGGACACTGCTGGCATAACTGTGTTTAGTCATCTATGTAATATCCGTCTTAACAAATGCATTAATTGTTTATTAATATTTTTTATTAAGTTGGATCGCATAGCTAGCATATTCCTTCATTTGTTAGGCTAAAATATTAACTTTTACAATCACAAGTATATGTAGCTGGGTTTAAAACTCTGTTTAATCCATCTTTGCATTTAGTACATTTATTTTAATTATCTTAGCAAGTTTGACAGCTTGCAGAACATGGTTGGCAGTTATTATTAGGATCAGCATAATACCCGTCTTTGCATTAACAGACTCCATTTATCAATATGAAGTTTTTTGTTTGATCACAGAGAATGCATTATTATAGAGAATTTTCAAAATATCCTGATAGGCAAGCACACTTATTATTAACTAATTACCTATTAAGATTAGGTAAACATTTTGTACATTAAGAGTTTAAACAATCTTGGCAATAAATTGGACATACTTCACATTTTCCATTTTGTAATGAATAGCCTAATTTACAAACACATTTTGTATCTTGTTTTATAACATTCATGTTCGAATCACAATTATAACAATTATCATTATTTTCACATTGTGTACAACCAAACGGACATTTAACACAGCTTTCATTATTCATATAGTATCCATCTATGCATATACAATTACCAAGCATAAGCATTTTATTTTATTTAGGATCGCATAATTAGCATATTTCTTGGTTTGGAAGGCTAAAATATTATGCTACGCAAAGACATTATTTTATTGGTGGACTAAATATTCTATTAATACCATCTTTACATGAGGTACACTAATTAGCTTAATTTTGGCATGTTTTGCAACTAATATCACATTATTAGCAGTTACCATCCGCATCCATATAATATCCATCTTTACATTAGCATTAATTATTAATAAAAATAAAATTCTTAGTTTAATCACAAAACACACACTCGAGTTGATCATTTTCGTAATATCCCTATAAGCAAACGCATTTTGTACCAGAGAGTTATCTGAAGCTTTATTTTGAGCAAGATGTACAGTTTTCAGCTGTATCTGCGCAGGTAGCACATTATTTTGAGCATTATTAACATTAAGCAATACTAGGATTGTTAAAATACTGAGGAATACATTAGCACTAATCTGACTAAATAGAGCGAAATAAATCTTTAGTGCATAGTTAACATAAATTTTAGTTATTTTATTAGCATATTGCACAATTAGGACTTGAACATTGTCTCCATGCAATTTTATTTGTTAACTAATATTCTTTAATTTAAAAAAAATAATTATCAACTCTTCATGTTCATGAAAATATTTACCTGCAAATTAAACATTTTGTTTATACAAATATGTGAGAAATACTGATTAATTTCCCTAATTAAAAATATTAAATTAAGTGAAAAACTTATATTATAAATAATATTTTAATCAAATTAAATTTGTGTAGCTATATATTTTGTGTTTTAAAAATAAATAAATATTATAAAAAATGTTTACTTCAAAGACAGTTAAGTTAACTATTTATAAAGTACTATCACTTAAATTAAAGTCTTCTGCCATGTTTGAATCACTAAAGTAAGCTTATTAAAAACAATATTTTATTTCCATCAACTTTTAAAATGAATACCTCGTATTTAATTTTGATAAGCTGCTAAAAAAACTTAAGCGAATGAATCGAAGTAGGTATAACTTGAATAATCATAAGCATATCTTTTAGTAGTCACAGTTTTGTCTGAGTTTATTGTAGCAAAATAAATTTTATTATTTGAATCTATCAATATCATTTGCATATTTTCAAAAGGCTATTTATTTTACATTTAATTAAATAATTTAATATTTAAAAATTTATAAATTTACCTATAATTATGATACTTATTTTATTGCAAAACTTTAAGGAACTGAAATTTATTGTTAAAGACTGAAATTTCCTTATTGAGTATCAATTTGGATATAATAGACTAAGTTAAAAAAATAAATATTTTTTATTTCATTATCTCATAAATTAAAAATTCATCTTACGCATTAAGTTCTATCCACACCCGACTGCCATTACTGTTGGTGACTTTCAGAATTTTTAATAAAGAATTATTAAGAAATTATTTTTTTTATTTTAAATTTTAATTACAAAAAATACTCCGTAAGCTAATAAAACCTTACATTTAATCGTCTGTAAGGAGTTAGGATAGCCAACTATATAATTTCAGAAAATAAATATTATCTTTATCTTAAAGTTAAAATATTACATTTTAATTAGCCATTATCTATGGTAATTGATATCTAATTAATTTATAAATAGATATTAACATTAATAATTTATTTTTATTTAATTACCATTTCATTATTTAATTTTTAAAGCCACACAATAGAGTTTTGAGCATTTATATTTAATCTATCAAGATCTAAAATGTTTTAGGTAACTAAAAAGTGGTTTTCTCCATAGCTAATCACTAAAAACAAATAAATTTTAATCATCAAATTGAAAAAATAATTTTACTTTGTGCTATTCTCTTTGTAGAATTAATTAGTTAGCTTCCCTTTTGTTAAAAAAAATAACTCTAATTCTACTTCTTTAAATTGTAATTTTACATTAAAATAAAGCAATATGAAGCATTTAATTTATGAATAAGATGTTTCTCCCCCATTATTCAATGGTTTAGTAGAATCAATTACTGATAAATAAAATAATATTTGATAAAGGTATTATTACAAATTTATTTTTGTTACCATAGATGTTCATACTTGATTCTAAACTAGAAGAACCACAAATAGCTTTCATATTAGCATTTAAATAAGAAATACTTGATGATTATTAAAATTTAGTATATGTAAGAATTGCTTTTGTAGACTATTATTATGATATTTCTATTATAAATAGAAAGGCAATCTAAAATATTATGCAATGATTATATCGAATCATTTTTCAGATTAAAATTAGAATGAGTAATTTAATTTTCTTTTTATTTATTTTTCTCCTACTTTCCAAATAATATTAAAATAAGATTAGCTTTATTTTCTAAATATTATTCGTTCAAAATAGTTAAAAAAATCAAATTTAATAAATTCTGAAGCAGCTTATAGAGTAATTAGATAGATAGAAATGAATTTTAGAATAAGAAACTAAACAAATATTTTTTGTAAATGTATATTTAAAATTAATTCAGTAAATAATTAGAGAAGGGCTTATTTGGTTGATTTTACACTGTTCTAGCCACTTAAAAATTTTTTCTTCATTTATTTTTAAAATCTTTGAAGTAAGCCTGCTATAAAATGCCATTAGAATACCAATTGTTATTAGATATTATATAAAATTCATTTTTACTACTTAAAAATGAAAGTATATCTCTAAAAATTAATAATTTTGTAACATTTACTAATATTGTTCAATTTTTTTAAATAATAATAAAACAAAAGGGCAAATATGTGCCAATTTAATTATTTTTTTATTAATAAGATAGAAATTTATTTTAAAATAGTATAACATACAGACAAAAAACTATATCTTATTACAGAATTACATTTAAATATTTTATTAGTGAAAAAATATTTTTATTTAACTCCATTAAAAATAATTTTATCAGATATTTTGTTAAAATTTATTGAAATATTCAAAAAAAACTATCAAAAGATTTAATTAATTTAATTTTTTTTCCATCTCTAATTTATTTATATCTGCTTAATACTGTAAATCAATTATTTCCATCCTTTCCTTTATTATTTTAATTATTAAATATTTTATAATTGTAATTTTTTATAAATTTCGAATTAATTTAAACAATTAATTTTTTTAAATGAATATATTTAAGTATTATAAAAAAAATAAATTACAAAGTTATTTAGAATAATGTTAAATTATAATAAAATTAAAATTTTCAGATAATTTTTAAATAAAATTAAATAAATATCTTATTCACTATTTATTTTTTGAATTATAAAATTTATATTTTCAAAAATTTTTTATCATACAAGTAAGGTTTAGTACCTAATTAATAAATAACAAAAATATTTAATCATCTTAATAATCATAAATATCCACTTTTTAAAGAGTTCAAGATAATAATTTTAGTTTTTAAAATTAAAAATATTATTTATTGTAAATAAATTCAAAAATTAATAATAGGTATTTTTTTAATTTTTTTAAATTTAAATCAGAAAAAATTAAAAATAATTTAATAATTTTATTTAAAATTAATATTAATAAAATAATTAGCTTTTTTATACTAAAGAATTTTTATCATTCCATAAAAATTTAATTTGTTATTAGAATATAAGAAATAGATACTCTTAGTTATTTAGAAAAACCTAAAAGATAAATAAATAAAATCTCTTTATTTAATTGATCATAGGTGTATAGTTTTTTAGGAAATGTCAAATAAAAAAGAAGAATTGTAAACAGTTACAATTTTGTATGAAAATTAATATCATTAACTTACTTTAAGCGATGTAATTAGATTGTTTGCTTCATATATATTTTAAAAATTTTTAAAATAGCTTAGCATTTTAGACGATTATCCATAGGATTTTTAGGATTTAAATAATATTAATAATAGTCTCAATTAAGATATTGAATGTAAATATCCAAAGTTTGAAGTTGTAAAATGTTAAGATCATTATGAATTAAGATAGAATCCTTAATAAAATTTGAATATTAGTAATCTGAAAAATCAAAATATCATCCATTTTAGCTTTTAATTTAAATAAATTGAAAAAAATGAATTAAAAACTATTATGATATATTATGTAGTTTTATGTTATGGACAAGGTTTTTTATAGAAAAAAACAATAGATAAACTAAAAGGATACATAGAAAAAATTCAAATTCAAGAAAAAAATAAAAAATAGATTTTATTATACTTTTGGTAGCATGTTCTTCAATTTTAATTTTAAGAAGATATGGTCTAATATCTTAATAAGATTCCATAAAAAATAAAAAAATATGGTTGCTTATATATGGCTGATATAATTATCTCAAATGATTAGTTGCAAAAAAGTTAAATAATTTATTAAATTTTTAAAAATCTTTCTTTGGATTTTACCGAATTAAAAGAAAAAACTTAGAATATAATAGCTGGTGAAATAACCCTTTAACCTATAATTAGTTAAGAAAATGAATCTTTATTAATCATATATATTAAAAATATAACGTAAAGTTTAACATAATTACCTCAAAAATCTGAAACATAGAAAGTTTCATATTAATTACATGATATTAATATTGGCTCAAAATTGTTTTAATACAATGAGGATTGGAAATTTTCGATACTTTCAAAAATTTTATTTGACTTTTAGTAATAGTATAATTAAGAAAGTAATAAAGGTATTATCAGACACTTCTTTAATAAAATTAGAAATAATTAAAATACAAAAAAAGATGAAAAGTAATTTATTGAAAACTATCAAAAATTAAAAGATGAAAAAGAATTAGATAAAAAAACTTCAGATTATTTATCATAAAGTATTTTTGATTACTTGGATTTAAAAGATATACCTACTTTTCAATATATAAATTATAATTAAGCAAAGTAATTAATAGAAGTTATTTAGCATAAATTTAATGAATTAAAAGTTAGAGTTAATCTAAGGCTTTTTAAAATCAGTGATCATCAAAATATAAGCAGGGAAAATAATCTGGATATAGTTTTATTTTATACAGAAAGAAAAATAGTTTTTTAAAAGTTTACAATTTATTGCAGTTAATCTCCTAATAAGTAATAATCGCCATTTAAAAAATTTATAATTTTATTCCTTTTTATTAGATAATAGTAATGTGAAAAATAATAAATGGAGGTTTCAACAATTTAGGAAGATGAGGAAGCAAAAGGTAAATAGGAAATTAAAATAATGAAAACAGCATAATAGTCTATTTAATAGCCTGATCTTTTAAAATATAAGTAAGATAATTAAACTTATAATACACCTTAAACTAATAAGACTAATAATTCTGTAAATTAAAATTAATTGTAAGAATGTGTTAGCGAATTTTAAAATGTGGATGAAAACGAAGGATATAATAAATTTGTTAATTAACCACACACACAATAGTTTAATCAAAGCAAAAATTTAGCTTTTAACACATAAAATAGTATGAACTCAAGCAATTTAACAAGTTTATAACATGATTAGCAATTAGGCACTAATTAATCTGAATCATAAAAAAAATAAAATTAAAGCTTTGCAAACTTTAGTTATTATACTCCTCCTTCTATAACACAATAATTTAATCAGAACACAAATATAGAAATTAACACATAAAATGGTATGAGCTTAAGCAATTTAAGAAGTTAATCTTTTTAACATAATTAACAATTAGGCATTAATTAATCTGAATTATAAAAAAATTAAAATTAAAGTTTTTCAAGCACAATTTAAATTACTCCTCTTTCTTAAACACAATAATTTAATCAGAACAAAAATATAGATCTTAACACATAAAATGGTATGAGCTCAAGCAATTTAAAAAGTTAATCTTTTTAACATAATTAGTAATTAGACACTAATTAATCTGAATTATAAAAAAATTAAAATTAAAATTTTGCAAGCACAATTTATAAAACTCCTCCGTCTAAAAATTAATAGAGTGATAGCTAAATCAGAACAAATTAAAAATAAAGTGGCTTGTAAGATAATAAAAAAGAAACAAGTTCTTTATCTTATTAAATGGATTAATAAATTGAAGATAAGCTTAAGTAATGTAAAGTAATTTAAATATGCTAAAGCTGTAACAAAAATGAAAGATAAATTTTTATAACAAAAGATATATTATGTAATACTTGTTTTTAACGTAAGGCAAGTAAATACTTATGAGTTGTATTTTATTTTTGAATATTTATCAGTATTATTCTTATAAATGTTAACAATATTTTTATATTAAATTAGATTTTAACGATAAAACATCAAAATTTTTTTAATTGAATTAAATTTTAAACTAAATTTATTAATAAAATACTTCGATTAATGATTAATTTATCAAATATTAGGTTAATCTAAACATTTTTGAGAGCAATTAACAAAATTAAAAGAAAATATATAGCATTTATTTCTATTATTGATTGATTGGTAACCATATCATGAAATATTATTAAATTTAAAATTATTATTGATAACTTGTTAATGATATGAAATTAATAAGATAACATATTCTTTAAAGATTGTATAGCCAATAAGATTTTTTTTGAAAATTTGTAAAAATAGTTAACAAATTTTTATTCAATAATAATAATACTTTAAAAAATTACTTAATAATTTTATATTAAAGTGTTCAAGTTAGCCCAACATTTTTTACATTATTTCAAAGCAATAAGATTCACAGAATGAGCTGTTTAACTGAAGATTAAAAAAGGGATTAAATGAATCAGATTATTGCAGAGAGAGCATATTAAGCAATTAAAGAAATAACTCCACAAGTACATTTTTAAATAATAACTTAATGCTAATTAAATTATAGGAGTGCACAAAGTTATTTATTTTAAATTAAATGTTAAAAAATAAGATGGAATAGGATATTAGAAATGAAATTAGAATGAGATATGAATAAGAGTTGCTAGAATATAAAATTGCCATGGAAGAAAAAATAAAGCAAAACTGTTAAAAGGAGATTGAAGAAAGAGTTGAGTTAATGCACAAATAGACTATTGAAGAGTTTAAAAGAAGGAAAAAGAATATAGAAATGAAAGAAAGAGAGTTGCAAAATCATAAATAAAAATTATAAATGCTATTTGAACCTGAAATACAAGCAAGAGAAGAATAGAACTTTAAAGTTGAAAAAGAAAGAATAATGACAGAGTTATTATAGAATATAGACAAGAATCAATTGGTAAATGAAGTTGAAACAGAATTAAAAAAGGATATCATTAAAGAGCTGAATGTTGAAAAAGAAAGTGAGCTTAAAAGAAAAGAAACAATAATGAGATTAAACTATAAAAAAAAGTATGAAAATGAGAGAGCTCATTTAGAAGAATAGATGAAATATAATTATGATAATGAGTTATAAAAGGAACTTGAAAGTATTTAGCTTTAACGATAAATGATTTAGTCTTAAACTCAAGACAAGCATAATAGAATTCAAAATCTTTAAAATGAAAAAAAATAATAATAATTAATGATATAAAAATCAAAGGAAAAATTTTAGCAAATGATCCTTGATTTAGAGAAGGAGTTACTTGATTTAAATAAATTTAGGGAATAAGTTTAGTAAGAGTACGCTGCTTAAGCTCCTTCATCTACATTTAGAAGAGGTAATTCTAGTAGGCACACTTCTCCCTAGCAAACAAGTAAAATTGTCATGTCTGTGAATTAACCTCCTTTAACTTCTACTTCATCTTAGCAGTAACAAATAGCTTCAAGTTTCCCAAATTAAACATCTCCCTCTGTAAAGAAATTTTATTCCACTCACAATCATTAAATAATTTAATATATTTAGATGCCAGCAACAAGCACCAAAAAAAGATAAAGCATACAATTTTAATAAGACCATGAGCATTAAAACCCATCTTCAAGAAAGGCCTCTCCGAATAATAGACTATAAAACGGATATACAACCTCTTAATCAAGTATAAATTAAATTAAGTCTAAAGAAGAAGTAAGCTCATAACAAGCTTAGAATTATTTAAGTGAATAATAAAATACTGTCGTAGAAGACTATCAATTTGCATAAGTAACTAAATATAAATATTTATTTTATTTAGATACTTAATAAAAAAGAATCAATTTATAACAATTATCTATCATATAGCCTCATTAAAAATTGGATACTTTTAATCCTTCTGAGACTTAATTACATACAGAAGGAGATTTAAGAGACAGATATAAAATAAGTCAAGATTCTATTCTAAATACAGAACCTAATGGTAAATTTAATAATAGGAAAGGAGTTTTTAGTTAAAATCAATATTAGAATAATAGAAAGCTAAAGATATTAAGGAAAGAGTTACTAACCTGTTAGGAGAAATACAATAAAACTATAACACAGACCTAAAAGAAGATATTTAAAATTTTATTATGCAAGCAGAAAAAAATACATCAAGTAAAATAAAAGTTTTGAAAGCAAAAATTTTTAAATAGATTCCAAATTTATATTGAAAATAGTTCAAAAAAAATTTCAAAGCCTTCCAACATATGTCAATAATCAGAATTTTGAAAACCGAAAATCATTTGAGGAGTAACAACAACAATCAAATTAAGAAATATAACTAGTACAATAGAGTGAGACAATATAATATAAGCCATGTAATTATTTTATTTAAATAATGATTTCATAAATATTTATATTATTTATAAATACAATTTTATTTCAATTAGCTTTTCATTTGTTAAGAAAAGACTCCAGTGAAACTGAAAACTCTCAGAATTCACATAATCAATAGAGTTAAGAGTAAATACATAAAGAATAACCAACTATTAGCTAAGACACATTTAGAAATCTTAAACATTAGTATGACTAGATTAAAAAATTGAATGAATAGTAATAGCAATAAATATAAGGCTTACCTACATTTAAAACGGAGCCTAATTCGTTAAGGTGTAATACAGTGGGAAATAATTTAGATCACTACTATGGAAGCGATTAAAAATTTAATTAATATTAATATGAAACAGATTTCAATAAGAGAGGAAGTTAGCATAATTAAAATTATAAAGAATCTATGTCTGGCGAAGATGAATACAATTAAAATAATATACATATCAATAGGAATTAGTAAATGATCACTAATCCTTCTAATGGATGGTATACCTCTCAAGAAAATGAATACTAAACTGAAGAAGATTAACATGAGGATAGCATACTTAACTCAAGTTCTAGTACTGTTTAGCTTTAGAAGGAATTAAGAAATCCAGAAAGAGTGAGACCAAAAGAAATACAAACTGAAGAAGAAATGATTAACTATATTTTATAAGAAAAGTCCTTCCCAAATAAAAAGTAGTATTACCTTTTATGGAAAATTAGATCTAAAGATTCCGAAGAAGACAAAGCAATCAAAAATATAAAGCTAACTATAGATTGCATACTTGAAGAGGAAAAAGAGTATGAACCAATATATGAGTAGAAAGTTAAGTAATTTGAAAAAGAAATTGATTCAAATGTAAAAAGATTTTCAGAAGAATCATGGACAGAAGATGATTAATATTAAAAAGGAAGCTTAATAAAAGAAAAATTTGGCAAATTAAAGTATTTTTGGAAGCTTTGTGACACATCATTTAAAGAAAGGATATAAATTATATCAAAATTTACTTCTTTGTTGTAATTATTAGTTTTTATGAATTATATTTTAAGTAGAATTTATTTCTAAAACAATAAAAATTATAAATTAGCTGCATGATGAATAAGCTAGAAAAAGAAATAGAAGATTAGGTAGATATTATGGACATTGTACGAAATAATCCAATTATTGTAAAAATTGGCTAGCAGTTGAGAGAAAGACAAAAAATAAGAGAGAAAATGATTAATGAATTTTGTTTGATTAATTATAAGAATCACAAGGAGGATTTAAAAATGGTTTAAGAATAAATAAACATGCTAAATAATGAATATTAACAATCGGATAAAAAGGGTAAAAAAACAACACATGCTAGACTTTCAAGAAATAAAAACAATCCAAAGCAGCTTTTTTGGAGAAATATTAAAATTTCAGATGTAAATAATTTGTTAAAAATACTTATTAAGCTATTTAAAATAAATATTAGATATTAAAAATTGATAAGTGGGAAGAATTAAAATTGTAATAGTGCCTAATTAAATTAAAACTACAAGGATTCAAATGAACTTATTTATTTATTTATACATTAAATAAACTCTTTATATTATTAATTAATTTTTAAATTTCACTCATTTATGTAAATAATTATCTTTCATATTAATTAAATTTCTATTCAAAAACTATCAAAAAAATTTTAATTCATAAAAATTTTTTTTTTTAATGTTTAGACAGAACTTTATAATAGAATGTTAGATTAAATTAATTCTAAAATATGTTAAATTTTCCCTAAAACAAAAAATTTAATTGAATAAAAAATAACAAACAGTTGAGCAATTAATTAATCGAATTATAATAAAATAAAACATTTATTTTAATTAATTTATTTAATTTATTCTTTATGATCAATTTTTCACAGTTTTTTATAACTTCATGTTTTCTTAGCGAATTTCTTCTATGTCTTATTTGAGTTTATCAAAGCTTTGGTCATAATGCTTAGTAGCTAATAAAACAGTTTTTGCCTCAATAGAACGGGACTCAATCATTTTATTTCCAACTTCCCTCAAGTTATTGACAGTTTAGTCAAAGATAGTGCGATATTCTTGATAAATCTTAAAAATCTATTTACTTAAAGACTCATTTTTCTTAGCATCAGTATTGTATATTGCTTCTAATTCGTTCATGTGTCTTTCTAAAGTACCTTGGTAATACTAAATAGATTCTTCTACAGATTTAACATCTTGAATAATTTTTTAGATATCTCCTCTTTGTTTGTCATAGTTTTTCTTGATTTCCATAATTTTCTTAATATATTCTTAACGATTACCTCCTTATGGCATTCTCTTGTAATCTTCAACAAGCTATACTTTTTTTTCATAAGCCATTTAAAGGTCTTGTATAACTTGTTGCAATTCAGTATCGATTCTTTTTATTTTATCTTTTATAAGTTCTCTTTTCTCTTTTTTCTTGGTAAGCTGTTTTTTTATTTGAAAAATAATAAGAATAAAAAAGTTAACTGTAAATAAATTAAAATACTTCATCTTTAAGCTCTTCTAGCTTTTTAATATCAGTTTCTTAATATTCCTTCCATTCTATTTCTATTTACTGAATGTCTTGCTCTAGTTCTTTTATCTCTTTCTTTAGTTCAGAGCTTCCACCTTTGGTTTCTAATTCTTTAATAAGCATTTCCATATTTTCTATATCTTTCTTAGTTTGCTTGTTTTATTCCTTTAAAACTTCTGCTTCTTCTGTTTTTTATTAAATATTAGTTTCCATTTTTTCTCTTTCCTTTGCGTACTTCTACTTTTTACTTTAAAGATATTTAGTGTTTCCAAATTGATAATTAAAATAAAACAAAAATATTCTAATATTAAAAAAATTTTTTGTATTATTAATATAATTTCGATTTACTTTTATAATTCTTCATATTTTTAAGATAGAGTGCTTATTTCCTTTGAATTGTTTGTTTTGAGTTCATCAATATTTATACCAATATTTAAGTTAGATTTTCCTAAAGATAATCTAGAGTTATTTGCTGCACTGGTCATAGGTTTGGAGGCTTAAGTTGTGCTTGAATTGTTATTAGCACTGTTTAATAAAGAATTGCTGCTATTTAACAAAGCATTACTACTATTCAATGTTTCTGCATTACTTTTATTTAAAGACCTTTCGTTTTTCTCGTCATTTTGTGGATCAAGAACTGGGTTATGTACAGTTTATTCCTCTTAGAATTGCATTTCAAGGTTAAAAATTGTTTGCTTTTCTTCATTTAGTTGTTATTTGACTTCCTCTTCTGTTTATTGAGGTTACTCTGTAAATTATTCAGCAATACGATTAACTTTCTTTTTGGATGCTTTAGTCACTTCAGTGGCAACCTATTTTTTAATTTCTTCGATTTGTAATTAATGTCTCTATTCAGATATTTTTTAGACATCTGCATATACTTCCATTTCATCAATCTAAGCTTTCAAAGCCCTGTTCTCTATTATTTTTGCTAAGGAGGCATAGAGGTTTTGCTTCATTTTCCCATTTATTATGTCAATTATTAACTTGTTGCTCAAAGAATTGCTATCAAGAACTAATTCATTGTCATACATTCTAAACTAATTAAATTTATTATTTCCTAATGCAGGATGTATCCATTCTTCATTGACCCAATTTTTTAGAATTTCTTTACGACGCTACTCTTGCAAATATCTAATTTTATCTTCATAGCTGTCAAATGCCTAAGCTCCCCCACGCTAACTAATGTTTAATCTTGGATTATCACCTTCTTCATGCATAGAAATTTTTTGAAGAATTGCAACTACAATTTTTCTAAGATCATCCTTGGAAGGTGAAAGAAGAGAATTAATATCTATACGAAGATTGCAAAGGTTTTTCAATTCTTCAGATATTTGTGTTGATTAACGGAATTTTTGTTATCCTTTCATAGAATTAATGGTCACTTTTGATCCCATAAATTCTAAAAACTGAAAGCATATTGATCTAAGAATATCTCCATCAACATCAAACAAAGAAGTGATCTTCTTATTTCCTAAATTAAATCCAAATTGTTATAAACTTGCAAACAAAAGTTAATCTGTGTCCTCCATGTTTTTAAAATATTCAAATCTATTATTTTATTTTTAAGTTTATCCTATTTAACTCTTCTTAAATGATATACAATAAATCTTTTATTAATAATTTTTTGATTAACCTTTTTTAATGTAAATAAGATATTATCATAAATTAATCTTAATATTTAATGCATTTTTGAGAATTCCACATATATTTATTTTTTATATTATTATCAGAAAATTAATTTAATAATTAAGGATAAAAAGCAACAAATATTTCTAATTATTAAACTAATATTATCATAATTTATAAAAAAAAACATTTTTTTATTGGATATAAATATTCTTCACAAATAATTTAAGTTTCCTGAATACTTTTTTTCTTAATAACTTGGCTAATTAACATTATTATTATTTTCTTTTTTAATTTAATTATAAAATAAATTAATTTTTTGAATGAATGAATAAATAAATAGTATTCAAAATATAATATGATAAAAAATTATTTTCTTTTATTTATTTTAAAAAATTACCTTAATATGAAAGGGTGTTAGTATATGTAGACTACTTGCATTAATTTATGTAAACATAATTATTTTATAAATAGTTTTTATTAGTTTGAACAATGCTTATTAGATAAATAAAAAAATATCCATTATTTATTTTTAATTAAAAAAATTGCATGAGTTTATATAGATTCAATTAAAAATATATGTAATTAATTATATAGTATGTTTACAATTTTTTAATATAATATTGTTGATCAATTATTTTTTTTATAAAAATAAATGCAAATTTTAATTAAAATATACTAATCTAATAAAAATGTAACAAATACTTGCTTGTTTATATCATTTATTTTAATTATATTATCATTTTAGAAAATGTTCAGGATATTGCTAAAGTAAACAACCAAATCTTTACAAAATATTGGTTATATATGATATTCTTGATGTATATAATATTGTTGGTATGAAGCTTGTTATAATACCTATCAAACTTAGGCTTAAAAGAGTTTTTTATCTACCACTGTCAGTATTTTTAACAGATATAATGGTTGCAAGAAAAAAGATAACAAGATGCCCTATTATTTGAAGGAATCCAAAGCACTAAACCAATTTAAATCCTGAAAGATTGCAGTTAATAAGACAAGATAGTATTTGTCTTAATCCTAACAAATGAATTACGGTGGTCACTATAAAAATAGCTAAAAATCTATTGAAATCAGAACCTTTACCATTTTTAACTAAATAAACGAAAATGAGAGCGTAAAAAGTACAAAATAGTACTAAAGCTAATATATAATGAAACAAGATTCTTTTAGTATTTCTTAATAAACTCTAGTGTAATGTCTTACAGCATTAAACTACTTAACCGTTTTCTATTTAATCTTTTGTGTACATAGTATTTTTATGAACGAGAATTTGTGTTATATTATTTTCAACAAAATTACTTGATAAAAGATTAGTTTTTTATTCATAAGTTATTCCTGTGAAATCTAGCTACATAGATTGTTGTATTTATTTCATACAGGCTAGAAGTAATTTCCCTTGGTAGTCTTCATACGCCTAATCGAAAGAATTATTATCATCATAGCCATATCTATAATTAGGAGGAGGTTTAGGTAAATTTACAGGAAATCCTCCATCTACTCTATAGTTACAAAAAATCTCAGAAGCATTAGCTATATACCCAAAAAGAAAGTCTATTTAGCCTTCTTACTCGTTTCCATTAAATCTCGCTTCTACATCAATAGGGAAGATTTAATTTCCAGATTTCTTTACAACCTAAGCTACATACTAACTATTGTTATTTCTCTAATAATTCATTTACTGTTAAGGATAGTATACTTACTAAAAGTTAAAAATTTGTTAGTGAGTTTAAATAGGTTGATGTATTTCTTAATTGTAAATGATATTCTACTGTTCAGGATTGAAATTATTCATTTTCAATTATAAAATAGCTAATTTAAGTTTTTTGTTTTATTATTAAAATTACTAATTATTATGATGGTTTTTTTTTAGGTATTTAAATCTTGTGCCAAAGTGTAATTTTTAATAAAATTTAAACTGAATTCAGTTTTATATAGAAAAGTACTAATTCGACCTAATTAGATAATTATAATACGAGCTTTTGAAAAATATCCTTTTGGAACCACCAATTATAATCTTTTTAAATTAAACCATTAACAAATAAAAAAAACATTCAGCAATTTCACTAATAATTGCAATTTTGTAAATTGATATAAATAGATATTTATTTACACTAAAAACCTTCTTCCTTATATTTTAATATAAGCAATCCTATCAAAACCTAATTTATTCTTTTAATATTAAGATAGAAAAAAATATGAATAAAAAGATAATTTAAAAAATAACTTTAGAAGAACTTTTTAATATAAAAATTATAATAAAATTATTATTAATTTAAAAAAATTTTGAAATTTTACTCAGAAAATAATATTTAGTTGAAACCATTTTTACTTAAAATCAAGGTTGTTATTTTAGAAATCAAAGTATATCTATTTATATAGTTATCTAATTATCTATCTACTTTTACATTTATCAATCAATCTATTTTATCTTATCTAAAATAGACATTTCAAAATTAAATTTTTTTATAGAAAAATACAGAAATGAAACAAAATTGATGATTTCAGAATTACAATATTTTTAATAAACTACTTAATTAAATATAATAAAAACTATTTTCTATGATTTTATGCAATATAAAATTAATATTCCAAATATTCTTGATTACTTTCATAAATACAAATATAAAAAAGGCATTTTATTTTATTTCTTGCATTTGAATATTTCTTCTTTATTTTACATCAAAATGTGATCATCAAATTTATAATCATCAATATATTACGGTATTTTTAATCATAAATATATAATGGTATTTTTAATCATAAACATATTATGGTATTTTTAATAATAATCAAATTTATTCCAATCAAATATTTAAAAAATAGAAAATTTGTAATTAGCTATTTATGAACTTGGGTAAACAATTTATTTAATTGTTTAGTTAAATTATTTACAATTCTTTTGTTAACTATTAATAAAAATAAAATTAAGAAATTTTTATTTTAGCAGATAACTTCTTGTAAAAATGAAATAAAAGATTTATTAATAGAAAATGAAAAAAATTTTTGTTTTCAGCAAAATTTTATTAAATTAAACGCTTTAAAGTAGCAAAAACACACAATATACTATTTACTATAAAGAGTTTTACCATTAAGTAATATATTACTTCATAAATTTGTTTGTTTGAATACTTAAACAAATATATGAAAATTAATTAGTAATTTTAGCTTTAATTTCAATATTGTTATTGTTAAGTAAAAATAATAGTTTAATAAGATTTTTTTAAAAAGTCAAGTATTTATTATTTATTTATTTTTAGATTTTGCTCAATGGCTTGCTGGACATAAATTCATTTTTCTAGTGTAGAAGTTTATTAGAGAACCTACGTAAGTTAGGACAATAGCTAATAAAATTGAAATATGCCATAGCTAGTGAGAAGCTCCACAAATATCAAATTAGCCTGGCTTATATCTTTCAGGGCAACGGGTAGCATAAATAGTTAATCCACCAAGATAGCAGACTCCCATTAATCCATAGTAAACAAGACTATTACTGAATGAGAAATTACCGTTTTGGGTCAAGTAATAGAATTCATAGTAAATTAGATGGGCAATAGGAACAGCTGCAAAGATACCCAAGCTACCATACATAACTGATTTCATAGTGAAATATTTCTAGGTATGAATAAAATCTTACAAGGAGACAAAGAAAACAACTAATGAAGCTATTCCTATGCAAGCTAAGTAGAAATAACCCAATTCTAAATTGCAATAGAATCCATAATAAAAAATAGGGAAAGTAGAACCACTGATAAGAAGAGAAACACCAGCATAGTCCATTCTTAAGAATATCTTGTAGTATTAAGGATTTATTGCATGGAAAAGATGGAAAGCTGCTGAGCAAAGGAGACAAAGGAAAGCAGTGACTAAAAAGACAAAAATAGGCCATCTTGAAACATGGTTTTAGTTAGAATCAACTTTTTCATTGCCGTGCATGAAATCACTCATATGGAAATCTATCCAGTCGAATTCTTTTGAATCAATTTACTTGATGAGGTCATCTTTTAAGTCATTAATACCACTTAAAACCTATTTGATAATAAAATAAATTGAGTCTACATCTAAATTAAAAGATTTTAAAAGGTGATCATAGTTCAGTTGATAATTTACATATTTTTAACAAAAAAAAATTGATTTTGGTTTGACAATAATTTTTAAAAATTGAGAGTAAATCTTTATTTAACCCTTTTTTTAATTGATTATTTTTATTTATTTTGAGTTTTTAATTACTTGGTTAATTTACTTCTGTAATTATTAATTTTAGGCAAAAAATATCTCTACTGATAAGATTGGTTTGTAAAAATGCAAATATAAGGTTTGATTTCTAAATAATTATTAATAAGTTTCAAGGGTGGATTCTACTATTTTAAATTAAACTGAATCTTTCTAGAAGATTAATAAGAATAAATTTGTTATAAAATTTTATTCTTTTATTAACTTCTTGAAAATACTTCATTCAAATTTCATAAAATATATTAAAATATTGAGGAATACTTGAAAAAATTATGATTTATCTTTGAAAAATCAAGATTAAAATTTTTATTTTAAGTCAATTCTACATTTTTTTAAATGTTTTTAAGGTGGATGAAAGACTAACTATTACAATCAAATTTCCACTTTTAAATTAGAAATTGGTTGTAAATATACTCTTTCGCAATATTTCTTAACCAAAATCATTTAGGGAGATAAGAATTTTGTTAGAAAGGAAGTAAAAATAGGTTTGATTTAAAAAAAATATAATTAGAAGTAAATGAATATACTTTGTTATATTTTATAACAAGCTTTTCTTTAGAAATAAAATTAATTTTTAAAAATAAATTTACATTTTATTTAATTTCTTTCAACTTGTCAAGATCTGCATATTAGTAATAGTCTTATATGGAGAATTCCTTAATCTTGTTTACAATTTTATCAACATTTTCTTGATTGACCTCATTCTTAAGCTATGTTAATTCATTTAAAAGCGAGTTGAAATTCTGAACTACATTGTTTCCTATATCATTGTAATCTTTCTTAAAGCTTTCTAAATTTTCTAAGACTTTTTTGTTTAAACTTTCATCGAATTCCTTCAAGTCCTTGATGAGAGGTTCCAATTTATTTGTTACATTTTCTGCAAGTTTTTATTTGACACTAACAAAATCGATGTTTCCGAACGAAGTTGTGAGATAAATAATAAAAACAATAACTAAAATGGCACCTAAGAAGTGACTCCAAATATTCACAAGCTCATTGTGAACCATAAAGAGACTTTTAGTAATACTCTTGAAAGAGTTAAAGTTGATACGATATCCAGAAAGGATATACATATTATCTCTCACAAACTAAGGAGCTTAGATATATGGACCTATGTAATTTTTAATTCTATCAGATAAGTTGTTCTCTTCCATCTCAAAAGAGTGCTCACTCTTTTATTCATTATTCTCTTATTGTGTTAAAGCTTATTCTTCTTCTTCTTTATTAAGTTGAATCTCTCTTTTTTTTATTTAAGAGTGTACTTTGTTGACCATTTCTTCTAGATTTAATAAGCAATGAATTATTAGTTTGTTTTTTCTTTCTTTCTTGTTTTAATTCCTATTATATTGAATACAGATTTCTTTTCAAACTCAATATTTGATTTGTTTTTGATTTTTATTTATTTGATATTTTTAACTATTTTTGATAGAGATTTAAATCTTAATAAAATAATGAATACGAAATGCATAGTCATTGGATGTCACTTGATTGAGTAATAACTCTTATTATAATAATTGCTTTTTGTTTTGTCAATTTCCAAAAAAAACAAACCAAATGCGCTTTTAATATAAGTGTAAAGTAAAATCAGTACGCAGGAATATATATATATTTGTTTAAATAGTATAAAGGTAAATTAATTAAAATTACATATGTTCCTACACTTTTCAATTAATTATAAAATTTTAATTCACTCAACTCTATTTATTTTATTCCTCAAGATGTTTACATCAAATGTCAAAATTAAATTTTTCAAGAAAAACTTCATTTTGATGATGACTTGAAAATTGCTAATTTCAAAACTAAAATGACGACATTTAATTGTAAATTTTTTAGATAATTCTTTACAATTAAGAATAACTTTTTTGGAAATTAGATTAAGAATTTGTATTTAATAATATTAAATTTGTTAATTGTTTTTAGTTTGACAGTGCGTCATTTATGAAATCATAAATCACATACAAATATCAAATTTATAAACCATCACTTCATGATTATATATTTAATTAATAGAATTTCCAATCATTCTGAAAGAAAAATTAATTTAGTTCTATGATTAATTATTCATTAAAATAGTGTAGAAAGACAATGCTAAATATTCTAAATTCATTAAAATAAAATAGATTAATAAAAATATTTTGAGTAGCTCCAAAACTTATGTATGACTGGACTGACTAACTAACTAACACGTTTAACTATTTATAAACAAAGAGATAAAAGTATAAATTTAAAAATCACATTAAATACAATTATAATATTTGGTAAACATTTTTCTATTATATGAAATAGAATAATTCTCAAAATAATCCAAATTAATTTCAATAATTTAAGCCAATGATGATAAATTTCAATAAAATTTTGATAATTTATTGTTTATTTACCCTATTTATATCATTAAAAATTATATTAATTATTTTCTAATACATTTATTATCATTATAGCTATTCTCAAAGTACTATTAACACATAACACTTTTATTGAGTTGAAACTTAAAAAATCAAAATTTTGTTTTATCAATAAAACTCTATCTATATAAATAGCATTTTTTTCATTACATTAAGTTAAACGATTTTAAATATCTCAATAGCAATAATTTTTGTTAATTTTTATATCAATAGTACATATTAAAAATATCATGTTTAAAATCTATTTAATTAAAATTTTTTTATTTTTTAAAAAATTAAAGATCAAATTAGGTTTCAAATATTTAGGTATTTAAAAATAATAAAGTTGTTAAAAATTGAATCCTTGCTTTTGAAAGCAATTAGTCAATTATATTATTTTTTAGATTTAAATATTGCCAACCCATACTTCTTATTTTGTTATACATATAAAATGAAGCATCAATTCATATTTTTTTAAAAGCCTACCTATTATATTCTAAGGAGATAATAGTCTACAGATTTTTTTGACCATAAAGTAATTACCGTAGATTCTCCTTAATTAAGACACTAAAATTCAAAAATTTTAAAAATATTTAATTAAGACACTTAAGACACCATTTTTCAATCAAACATTTAAAAGTCGAGTGTCTTAATTAAGGAGAATTTACGGTATTTTTTTATTCATTCGATAAATTAATTTTTTTAAAAAGCAAAAGTTTATGCAATTGAGGGTTTAGGGTAATATTAATTTTGCAATTTTGTGTATAAATAATTGTATTTTGCATGAATTCAACCATAAACTATTTAAATAAATAAATGGTTTAAATGTCACGAGTATTAAATTTATCATTAAATATAATGGAAAAACTAATACAGATAAAATGTATGTAAAATTAATATTATCATGATAAAAATAAATTATAAATTGATAAGCAATAGATAGAAAAGTAACTGTAGTAAGTAAAATAAAGTGAATAATATTTATTGATTTTGTAAGTTTATCATATTGATCATTATTACAATATTTAGGGCTTCTAGAATTAAACAACATAATCATCTGTAAGAGTGAATTAGTATTTTTCTTATATTCTAGAATATATCTAATTGATATTTTCTCTACTCCTTGTTTATTAGTTATGATGATTTTATCTTAGGATTATGCAGACAATATATTGAATTAATATTTTATTTAGTGCTTCATTAGTAGTTATAAATTGTGGATCATACAAATTTGCTACAATTTAAAATAATTCAATCGCTATTTCTTCATTTGAAATTGCATATAGATTCAATAGCATCAAAGCAAGTATCTATTCTTCATCGTGCTCTTTTGAAAGAATAATCTCCATAATGTTAGTAGGAATGCATCTATTAGTTCCAGCAAGCAAATCATTCCATTATTTTTTACCAATTGATAAATCTAATACGCTTTTTTTTTACTCATTAGAGTTGGTGTTTTCTTAGGGAAGTTAATGCAAGTATTCTTAAAAATAGAAAGCAATATTATAAATTTTAGCATTAGGAGTTTTTAAAGCATATTCTGGATGATAGCTTTACATTTTTTAAAGTTAAATGTTTTTTTATTCTTCTAAAAAATGGTTTAAATATTCTTCAATAAGATGATTTGCGGTGAATTTCTTTTAATTATCTTCAATATATTATGTGATAAACTTGTTTATTTGGATTTCAGGATAAAGATATATGTAATTTTCTTTGATTCTAATTGTATTATCTAAATCAAACCTTCCTCCTCTATTCTGCTGATGTTGTTGCTACTGCTAGCTGTCAGACAACTACTGAAAAGTGTTTTATTTGGACATAATTTAATTTTTTAGAGAAAGCTGCTAACTATATTTATTTTTTAAGTTTAATTAATTACTTTCTTTTGTTTTTCTTTAAGATTTTATAAACTATTACATAGGTCTACAGATTTAAAAAAATTTCCAATTTAATCAGAACGCTATAATTATATTGAGTTCAATCTATTTTAGAATTTAGTTCTTAAAAGCAAAATTAAAGTTTTGGTGATTGAAGAAATAGGTAAACAAACAAATAATTATTTTAAAAAAATTATTTAAAATTTTTTTATTAATTTCATATGATTATTTGTGAATTTCATAAAGACATTGAAAAAAAAAAGAAATTATAAAATAATTAAAATTTTTATATTTTATAAATCGTGAATAAAATGAAATTTAATTAAAAAAATGGAGCAGAATTGCTAAATTTATTAGAAATAATTACTATTAATAAAGTATTTTTTAAAGATCTTTTTGGTTAAAAAAAATGTGGACACAAACATATCTTATTTTACAAGTTGTTAAAAAATAGAAGCAAAAATAGTTATTAGCAGTGCTTTTGTAATACTAATATTTGTGGTTTATCTAAGCTTTCGTTTTGAAGCATAAATTTAAAGGATCTTAGCAAATTTTGCATTAATTTAAAGGACCTTAGCAAATTTTGCATAAATTTGCTTATGTTTTAGTGGATAACTCATGAATTTTTTGATATGAATATAATGATTATAATAATATCTCAAAATTACATTTTGTTCATATATTCATTCTAACATCAATCAATTTATAAAAAAATAGAGTAAATTAAATTGAAAAAATTATCTATTTGACTGAGCAAAATAAATATAAATATTTGCAAAAGCAAATAAACTTGATTTAATATATATTAAAATAAAGAAATCTACTTTGCTAATTTTCTGATTGGATTTTTGAATTAAATGGGAGGTTGTACATCCTAAAATAAGAACACAATCCATCCTCTAAAAGAAAACAATATTCAAATTAAAAGCTCTAAGACTATTTATTGTAAGGAAATAGATTCAAATGAAAAATTGGCAATGGATAATCTTGATAACCTGCATAGCTAGGTTAATAATGTGATTGATGATTTTGAATAAGCTAAAGAAACTTTCCATACTAAATTGGAAAGTATTTTAGAGCAGAACTTCATATTTAACTAATTCTATAGTAAAATAAAACTCTTAAAGACTATTTGTAAGGAGTAGAATATCTAATAGCTCGAGATTTTGATTGAAGCAGTCCATAAAATACTTTAAAAGTTGCCTAAAATTGAAGGAAACATAAATTCTGTTAAAGAAAAACTTCAAATTGAATAAACAAAGTAAGAAAGTCCTCTTACCAACTAAATAAAGTATAAAATGCAATATAAAATAGATTAAATACATTTTGATGACTTTGCTAATGAAATAGCAGAATGGGATTCAATTTTGAAAAAGTACATAAACATCACTTACAAAGATATTAAAAACAAGAAAAGATTGTCGAACGAATCATGTTTTTAACCTTCTACTACTCTTACTTAAAGTTAGTAATCAAAGAGAAAGACTGTCATCATATAATAAAAAAATTAGAATTAACTATTTTAAAGTTAGGGTTATTTACCTTAAAATTAAACTCTATCTACCTTGAATTAAAGCTAGCATAACTTATGAGACATTTGATTTCTTTAATTTGTTACTTCTCTTTAAATTAAAAAAATTTTAAATGTTAGTACATGATAAAACAGACTTGCTTGCTCGTTTGATATAGCTTAAAACCTTAAAAACTGGCTAGTAACTTTTTACTTATTTTTTAACTCAAAAATTAATATCTTTCTTCACTAATAACAAACAAATCCCTCATAAATTTTCAACGAAACAATATTTATAAAACAATAATTAAAAAATTATAAGTCAAATTCTAAAAAAATGTATTAAAATATAATAAAATAAGCAAATAAATAAAATTAAAATATCAACTTAATTAGTTAAATTAATATATATAAATATATACATATGTACAATATTTTTTGAATTTATTTATTTATTATTTTCATATTCAAATATATAGAAATTTTTTAAGGCAAAGTAAATAAAAAATAAATAATTCTGATCTAATAAATTTATTTATTTATCTGCATTAATACTTTGGTATATTTTGTATTAAACAAAATTTTTGATTGTCTATAACTAAAATTACTTCATAAATACATATTTCTTATCTATTTATCATTCCATAAATAAACCTAAAATTTCATAAAAATAATTATTAATAAATGGCATAAATTATTTGAATTTTCGAATATATTTTGTAGCATTAATCTTTATAATCTTCACTGAAATATAATTTCTATTTTTCTATTCTATAATTACTTACCTAAATAATATATGGTAAATAATATATATTCAGTAAAGTAGTATCATAAATTTATAAGTTTATTTTGCTATAGAAATCTCTATTTTTATTAACAATTTTTGATAAACTAAAAAAATTATTAATAAAGCATAATAACCTATACAATTTAATAAAATCGTTAATAATATTAAAATTCATCAATATAATCAAAATATAAGATTAAAAATTATTTTAAGTATAACTAGTTTATGTAACCTTATAGTAATTTTATTAATTGCTGAAATTATTTTATAAGCTTTTGATATTTTTAAAATTTAAAATTAAAAAAAATAAATTTTTTTTAGTTTATTAATGATGATTTGAAGAGTTTCTTAGAATTATTATGATTTAGAATTAAAAATAATAAATAATATTCTAATTATCAAGTTTAAATGTTTCTTTGGAATCTAAATTTTAACCTTTAAAAATACTTAAATGTCATTATTAATTTAAATTCTTTTGAAATTTTAAAAAATAGATCTATTAAATTGTTAAAATTACATCAAAAAATTATTTATATAAGCCACTAATAATATTAATAGCTTCTGGAAAAATTTTAAAAGCCATTTTAATATTTATAATAAATAGTATTATTTATTAGCTATAGACAACAACCTTAAAGGCATAATCTTTATAAGATATTTCATGAGTTAAAGTAATATAGATTAATAGAATGATAGTGGAAATAAGCTATTACAAAGAGCCATTTTAAATAATAACAATTTATAATAAACTCCTAGTCCCTTACCTTTTTTCGATGATAGCGTAAATATATTAAAGCAGCTAACTAAATTTAACTTAATTTTTATATACAGCTGTTGTTTAACTAGGATCCATTTTAGTAGTATATACCAATAAGTGAAATCAAATAAGAAGACAACAATTTTTCAAAACTTTTAGAATCAAATAATCAATCATTAAATAATACTAGATCTTACTAGGAGATCAATGAATAAAAAAAAGTATAGCCATTTGAAAATTACAGTAATTAATCATAAAGCCAAATTTCAGATGGATTAGACTAAAATATTAATCACATGACTATATACTGCAATTAGAGCTTAAAAAGTTTTGGGTATAGCTAGCTAGGCAATCTAATTAATCCAAGATAAGAAGATATAATGTAAACTTTAAATTCAGTTTATGAATTACTATAGTAGAGGTAAAGGGACATGGAATTTAGAAGTTCAATAGCAGAAAAAAGCGCTAAATTAGAATAAAACTACAAAATATCCCAAGAAAAAAACGAAAAGTATGAATTAGAATTTTGATTTTAAACTCTATTTACTCTTCTCCATATTTAAATATACTAAAAATATAACAACAAAAGATATTAGGTTGAAGCAGCAAAGATGAAGAAATAAATTGGTAGCTTAGAAAATTAAATAACAACGATAGAAAGTAAAACAAAAAAAGACATACAAAAATTGACTTTAGAGAGAGATGAACTTTAGAAGAATCTACAAAAATTACAGTAAAAGTCAAATTAGATGTAAAATGAAATCAGGAAGAAAGAGAGCGAAACAAATAGGGTCAAAGAATAAGTAAAATTGAATTATCCTAATTGCTGACTAGAATAGTTTTTTTTGTATTTTAAATTATAAATTTAAATAAAATATCAAATAACAGTGAGAACAAATTAAAAATATTCTAAAGTATAAAAATTGTCAATTCTAATTACTTTTTTAGTATAAAAATTGTGAATTCTAATAACTTTTTAAATGATTGAATAGCTATTCGTTCAGTCATTCATCTCCACTCACTTACAAACTTACTAACAAAATGAGATAAATTTTAAAAAATAGATTTTTTTCTATAGGTTTCATCTACTATTTTTAAGTTAGTATCAATCAAATAGGAATTAGCTATTTAATTTCCAATAAAATAAAAATACTTCCCTCATAACTGAATATCAGCTACCATTTTTTTTGAAGGAATATTTTTTATATTTAATAAAATATAAGGATTAGAGTATTATAATTTATTTTTTGTTTAAAAAATATACGGATTAAAGATTTGTACTTTATTTTAAAATTTAATCAAGTATTTCAGTAAATAAATTAACAAAAAATAAGTGTAAGCAAAAAGTTTAGTGGTATTTAAATACTCTGTAAATAAATTAAAATTTAGTCAGTATTTACTAAATACCAAATATTTTACTATTTTCAATAAAAATATACTTATAGATGAAAAAATTGACATCTGATAAATTTGATAAAAACTCTGTGTTCAGAAACACAATCGATTTAATATCCTAACACGCTGGATGCAACAATACAAACAACAGCCAACACCCTCAAAAGCCTTGGAAAAATAATGCGAGTGAAGAATTTGCGGACTGTATAAACTAGCAAGCTATTCAATTTAACAACAAACTTTTATCCGAGAATCAGGCTTTTCGCAATACACTAATCTAGCTAAATAATGACTTAAATAACTTTATAAAATAGGCAAAAGAAGAATACGTAAGCTGATATTTAAATATATGAAAATGAATAGCAAATAAATAAATAAATAATAGAGATACTTTTTTTCTAAATTTTGAGTAATGAATACCAAAGAAAAATTTTATGATCAGAAACTATTCAAATATTTAAAATGAAATAGATATATTAGTATTGTAATGGAAATTAAACTTTAAAAATTTTATTAATTAGATACGTAAGAAGATTAAGGAAGAAGGAGACAAAGATGAAAATTTAAAAGATTATTACCAATAAAAACTGCCAGATATTGATTTGATCTACTTCAAAGATGATTGTTTAAATTTACCTTACGAAAGAGTAGGGTCTATGGTTGTTGATATTTTTAAGGAAAATTTTAAAGTTATAAAACTTTTTTTGGCTTCAATATCGTCATTAATATACAGCCACAACTATTACCATGAACTCGGTAAGGAATTAGATAAGATTAAAGAAAATCTTCTGAAAATAAGAAATAATATTGACGTCACTAAAATACTATGTAAGCGAATAGCATCAAATTAATTTCTTTAATATTTTTTCCATCTATTGTTTATCAATTTTGAAAGAAAAAAAATCAATTAATGATAAAATAGATGAGGGTGGGAATGTGCATAAGAGAAATCTTTTAAAGTATAAAAATAAATAATTAAGAGCTGAGATTTATTTTTTCTATATACATATTTTACTTTTTGGTGAAAAATTTATATTGCTTTTATTTACTTTTTGATCAATTATAATTTACTTATTATTTCATTTTAAATTAAAAAATAGTCACAGATAAATCAGTTTATCAATCATCCTACACAGTGGAGGGATTTGATAACAATAGTAATTTAAATTAGAAGAATGATGCAAAGAAAAACTATATTGAAATTACAGATTTTAAATAAGGAAATACTGAAGGTGATTATACCTTATAATCTAGCATTCCTCAAAACACAAGAACTTAATCCTCAAATAAATCCTTAGCTAAAAACACTATTAACATAATTAATAACAATACCAATTCAACTAACAATCCGAGTACACCTTCACTTTAAAAAAACTCCTCTACAGGTAGAAATGTATCACAGAACAGGGGATAGGCTCAAGATAAATAAAAAACTAACATAAGCAAATAAAACAATTAGAGTAACAACAATAATTAAAATAGCAATAGCTTAAATTTAATAAAAAAAGACTCCTAAGTGTAACAGAGCAGAGAAACTGATAATAAGATAGAAGAAAAATATTTGAATAGCTATAAAATTGAGTAAATGATCAAAGAAAAATTGAATGCACGATTAAAAACTCCTCTTCTCTAAACCACCTCTCAACAAAATTCTTCTCAAATGAAAAATGAAAATAAGATCAATAACGATGACATTAGCCAAATTAATAAGAACAAGCATTTAAGAGAGAATTTACTTTCAGATAGATCAAATTTAAATGAATTAGAGGCTTTTTTATCGAATTATTAATATGAAAATTTTAACTTTAATTAGGAGTCAGATAAAACCAATCACACAAACAATAATAACAACAACAATAATAACGATTTGAGTTTATCTTTTGTGAGCAGAGTCTCATTTCGAGACGTACCTTATGGAGGAATTGAATTTGATGAGAAAATGATAGAAGGGCTAGGAATAAATCACCGAGAAATTGTAAAAGGGGGAGTAGATCCCAAGGTAAAAATTTAACTTTTTCATATTTAATTCTTTTTTTATTGATAAATTAAATTATTAAAAGCAATATTTCGAATTAAGAACAATTTGGTTTAAAATATTTTTAATAGTTTTAAATTTTAACTTCATGAAAAGCAAAGCAAAGCAAGCATGCAAATGATAATTACTTGCAAACAAATTTTTCTGATTATAAAAAAATAATTATAAAATTTCTTAAAATTTAAATAAATTAGATACAATTTGACATGAAAAAATGGTAAAATATACTTAGTGCTAGCAGCAGCGATGCAAACTTATTAAATACATAAAATACACAAATATAATCTTAAAATGACCAAAAGTCCTCAGTAGTTTTAAAAGATTTGAATCAAGGTGGATAATAGCAACAGCATTTGCAAACTTTAAATGGGGTAGATGCTAATATAAATAGAAATGTAAGTAAAAAATGACAATCAAAAATAGTTGATTATTCAATTGGGAAAAGTAAATTTCAACAATTTGCATGATTAAAAATTGCTTGAAATTATATATTTAAAAATATGTCTAAAGGATTTTAAGAGTTTATTAGCTTTTGAGAGACTTAATTTACTATTTATCTATTAATACTAATTAATTAAAATAATAAATATCTAAGTGTTAAATTTCAAAACTTCAGACAAAAAGAAGTTAAAATAAATATAAATTTAGTTGGGAAAATTTCATTTGAATTCTTTATAAAATTATGTAATTTGTATTTATTTTTCTACTTTTGAAAAAAATTCCTTTGAAAATCTTATGCAATAATATCAATATCGTTTTGTTGTATTTTGTAGGTACACTCTTTTATTGTAAGAACAAAACCTATAAAATAAAAAATTTCCATAAATGGAAATGCAATATATTATGTTACTAAATTTGAATTTTTAAATTAAATTGGAAACGAAAATATATCCAAAACCACTGATAAAGGATGAATGAGGAGATTCTCTAATATAATGCCTCAATAGTCCACTTTCAAATTGTGTGGTAATTCTTAAAATCAATTATTAGGATTGATGAAAACATTTCTGGTTTATATTTAGATTGATTAATTAATTGAGTATGGAAGTAAAAACCCCAGAATTGAATGATATTTAAGGGATGATTTTAATTTATTTATCTTCATTAATTGTTATATTAATGCATTAAGGAATAATTAAATAAATTGCTTCAAGTTTTTTTTATACGGGTAGAGTAATTCAATAGTTTCTATTCATTTTAAACCTCATTAATACTGAAAAATCTTTTAACATTAAAAATAGATCTTTAAAGATCCAAGAAAATTTTAAATTTCAATTGAAGGATAAATACGGTGGCAATCAATCAGCTTTTAATTTTAGTTTTTTTTTAGTTTGAATAAACAAAATAAAAAATTTAAAATAACATAAGCGCATATAATAATAAAATTGAAATGTCTAATTATATAAAAGTTATAAAGATAGAATATTGAAAAATAATTACTTCATGATAATCAAATCAATATTTTTTAGAATCAATAGAAGTACTTTATAGTAAAAGATAACAAACAAACAAACAAACAATAGTGAATCAAGTTATATTTAATATATTACAAAACTAAGTAATTCTTCTAACAATTACACAATTTGTAATTATAATCTAAACAGAAAGCTAAGGAAGTGTTGTAAAATTTATTAATTTGTTTGTGATAACAGCGGTATTTTGTAATTTACTTTTTATATTTAGAAGCAACTAATATCTAAATCAAATTAAGAAAAGAAGAAAAACAAAAAATCATAAATATCTTAAAAATAAAAAAAAACAAAAATTTGATAATCGTATTGTTAAGAAAGATCAAAGAAAGAAACAAATCTTAACAATCATAAAATTTTAATATAATTTCTTGATATTTTTTTTCATAAGAAACTATAATAACAACTATTTATTACTTTCTTAAGTTAAGATAAAAAAGTTGCTTGCCATCAAATAAAAAAATGTAGGAGGACTTTCCATGCTAAATAGGACAAGACTCATATTAAATGCATATTGAGCCTGATGAGATAACTTCATAAATACCAATAAATCCTACTTAAACAAGATTTAAATCCCTTAGGAGCCATATTAATGAGGTAGAAATCCCTAAAAACTAGAAGGCAATAGTCTAATTAGATAATAATATTAGCCTTTACCTCGATGTAAAGCACTCTTTACAAGAAAACTCTTCATTTTAAAACGATCCTTTCACCTACTTAGCTCATAACAGTTAAGGTTTATAAGGAATTAATAATGAAATAGACTTGGTAAGAGTATCAGTTGGGACATAATTTGAATTGAAAGATAATATATTTACATCAGTAGTAGTTATCTAAATTAAAGACTAAATTTACAATATTATCAGCAATATGTCATTCATTAACTAGTTAGAAAATTCTTAAACATAAGATAAATCCTAAGAGCTCTCTCTTACAAAGTAAAATCTACAAAGTCTTCCTGATGATTCTGGTAAAATTAAACTTAAGTAAATGCAAAAAAGAAAAGGTAGTGATAATTCGAATGATTCAGATGCAACTCAACCTGTGATTAGCGCTTAAACTGAAGTATTACTGAATGCAGGAATTTACAATTGCACTAAATGTGGGGCTGAAAATAAAATTTAATTGAATGATAGTATATCAAACTTTTAATAAAACATTTAATAAACTAACGTAAATTTGGTATCTTAAGATCTAAGTTAAATTAATAGTTAATTAACTGAATAGTAATCAAATGGGATTCCTAAATAATAAAAGATGGAAAACTAATTTCCTGAAGAAGATAAAGGAATTTTTTCCAACAAAATTAAGAGAGTGAGAAAACAAGCTTTAAGAAGTGATTAGAGCTACAGCTAAGAAATTAATAATAGAATAAATGAAAAATCTAAGAGTCCTTTAAATAATTAAATAAACATCAAATCAGAAATAATAGATTAAGACAATAGATCATCTCTTGATTAATAAAGTAAAAGTGAGTTGATTCCTACCTAACAATTATAAATTGAAGAGCCGTATAAATACTAAGATTATTTAATTCGAGACTTTTGTTAAATCTATGAATAAATTCTAGAAAAGCAAGAAAGGGGAAGTTAGGGCTCAATATAATTGCCTAGTGAAAGTAAAAAATTCAATTCTGATACAAATCAGTTGTAAACAGATTCTAATTATCATTAATTATATTAAATTGGTAAGTCATCATAAATTTGTGGTTAAAATTACTCGAGCAGAAATAATCCAATTATCTCAGATATGTTTATTAACCAAGGAGCATAGATTTCTCAATAATAAAATTCCTCTTAGTCTATTCTATTAAAAGATGATTAAATATCAGACCAATTATTTTTATTAAATAAATCTAAAAAAAAGAGATTAAGCAGTATTTCTAATCAAAGTGTTATCAGTAACCATCGATAAAATAACTCAAAAGTGATGTCAGACATTACAAACTTTGATAATATTCCTTCTTTTTCATGCACATCGCTTGCCTCATCTCCTATTTTGAACTCCTAGAATGCTAAAATTCTCTCTTAGAATAATTAAATAAAGCTCTATGAAAGTAATTAGAGCAATCACTCTGACTCATTCATTCAAACTGATAGCGAATTATAAAAGGAAAACGAAGTCTCTCTTTTGAACACTCAACTTTCTTTTGATTAAAAGCAACATGAATTATTCCACAATTCAGATGGAGGGGGAGATGAAGAAATATTTACTGATGAATTTATTGCCAAAGCTGATAAGAAAAATGTAGTCAAAAACTTTGTTAAAGCTTTTATGTCTGAAGTAAAAAAAGACGAAAGCATATTGAACACTTTAGATGAATTTAATCAAAAGGATTCAAAGAAATTTTCTTATTCTTAAAAACTCAAAAAATTCTAAAACTATATGAAGAAATCTAAGTTTAATAATTTGTTTATAAAGCAACTAATAAGCAACAGCGAATACTCATCAATATTTTAATCATTTTTACTAAATAAAGCTGATGACTGGCTAACTAATTCTAATGTTTAAGATAAAGAAACCCATAGAAAATTACTCAAATTCTTTTAATAAGCTATACACGATGAAGATCTACTGAATAAGCTTAAAACCTTAAAAAAAAGTAAAAGAAATCCTAATTCATCTAGCCTAAAAGCCAACTAAAACACTCAAAGCATAAATTCTGTGAAGACCTTAGCTTCTTCTTAAAGAATACCTCCTTTTTCAAATATGTCTTCACAGTTGAATGAAATAGAATATTATAAAAATGAAGAAAAAAGTATGAGCTAGCTTCCAGATGGAGAACTTCTGTAATCTGATAGCAAAATAAATATAGAAGAATAAAAAGATGAATACATATAGACCTAAAATGCTATTCCAAGCATATAATAAGCACTGAACGGTATCCAAATTAGTAACCAATATTACCTAATTTAATAACACGAAAATAAAAACAACCCTTGATTTCAATTATAACAAATAATTTTACAGCTAGTAAAAATTCATAAATATATCATTTATCAATTAACCAAGCAACCAACCTCTTACTTAAATATTTAATTAACAATAAATGCAATGAAAACTCTAATAAAAAATTTATTTAAATGTGTGTGATTAAAATATATAAATCAAATAATAAATTAATAAATGTAAATCAAATAAATATAAAAATTATAAATAAATTCATTTAAGCTAATTAAAAATTTTGACAAATTAGAATTTATTCTTATTTTATTGATTGAATAAAAAAACTAATAAAATAAAATATAAAAAAACAAACAAACAAACAAACAAACAACCTATGTTTTAGTTTATATTTTGTTTTAAAAATATCTTTCTATATGTTTGTTTATCTGTGTTTCAATTAAAATTTCTGAAATTAATTAATTAATTTTCCAAATAATTCCAATGAATTGATTTATTTTATGTATTTTAATCAAAAATTTATTGTATTTTTTATTTTTTTACTTTTACAATCATAATCAATTAATCAATCAATTTAATTTTCCCAAAAAATTTTTTAGTTCTTTTTTCCTATTTTTAACAGTTAATATAATAATTACTATAAAATTAATCCTTTTAATTTAAAATTAATCTTTTTAATTAAAAATTAAAATAATTCTCTAGAAAGGCTAATCTTTATCTTCTATAACTAATAACTATTAGAATTTCAGATTTATTTCTATGCAGAAAATTAATATTAATTTTATGTAAAATATCTAAAAATTCAAGAATATTTATTTTTAAAAATGTTAGATTAAATGATGTGAAAAGTATTTAATTAAATACTATTAAAACAAGTAACTAAATATCTTACTAATTAAACTAAATATAATTTTATAATATAAAAATGTCAATTCAATTTTTATGATTGACATAATTTGATTTATTTATTAAAGAAAAAATATTTTTCTATTGAAATATTGAAATATATGTAAAAGGTGAAAATAAATAATTACACTAAACATTCTTTAATATTAAAATGTATATATAGTCCAGTATGTATAATCATTTAATAAAATAGCATTTTTATTTTAAATTAAATAGAACCATTTAATTTGATGATTAAGAAGATTATATTTACTTTTATAATATTTTATTTATTTTTAAACAATAAATAATTTATCTATATATATATTTAAATGGAATTTCTATAACTTTAAGTAGAAAAGCAAATAAAAGTAATCTTAAATCATTAGAATATCTTCCTTCTTTTAAAATTAATAATTAGTGAATATAAAGTTTATAGTAATTTTTCTTTCTTTCTTAAATGTAATCAAGTTGTATTAAAATATTGATTTATATTTGGGATTTCAATAATAAAGTGACTTATTTCTAATTAATCTGATAAAATTCCACACTTGTCAAAGAAAAGATTCTCTGACTCGCCAATTTGAACTGTCTAGCTAGCTCTTCAACTGGAGAAATTTCATAATACAATATAATTGAAAAAAAAAGTTATTTTTAATTTTTTTAGGTTAATTTGTAATATAATAAAAAATAAAGAAAGAATGAACAGAAATATTAGCATAAAAATATTTAAATAATAACTCTTTTTTAATTTATTAATTATTTGTATATTTATAAAATTATTAATGTTGAAGTAACCTAAAATGTATTCAAATAAACATATATAATAAAATAGATAAACGAATAATGAATATTTTAATTTTAATTCATGATGATGGATTAAGAGCTTCTCCTTTGAACATACTTATGAAAGCTGGAACTATCTAAGGTGCTATTGATATTAAACCAACCGATAAGGTGAGCAAAGATTCCTAGAAATCAAGTTTCAATAGATTAAGTACTTTGTAGCAAATTTATTTAGAATCTATTTCAATCTAAGATTTAATTCTTTGAAAACTTTTTAAGTTATTTTTTAGCATTTTTTGTTACAAATTCTTTTCTTCTGCATTACTGTAAACTTTACCTAAAAATTCTAATCTTCTATCAATATAAAAGCGAGAAAGGAATTTAATTTTTGCTATAATTAAGTCATAACAAGTTATCATAAATGCCCTACTTGGGTCTTATGTAAGCTGTCTTGACATTAATTGAGCATCTTCAGGATCCTCAAACATAACTTAAGTTCTTTAGGGCAAAGGTTGCATTTTATTTTTTGAAACTATTGAGAGAGTTGCTTATGATATTTATTTTTACTAGAAATTGTAATCATACATTTATATAAGATCTTAGTAAATTCCAATTAAAGTATCTATATTATCTCCTGCTTCTTCAATAGTCTCATTATATTTACTTCCAAAGTAGAATCTAAACAGAAGAAAGACATTCAATATCAAAAAGTTAAAAATAGATGAAATAATTATTATAGGATTTAGAAAAACTGAGTTCTTATCAAAGAAGAGATCGAATTCAAAAAACTTGGCAAGTATAATATTCAAAATGAATAAATAGTAAATGAAGATACAGCAATAGCACATTTCAAATTTTTTATACATGCCTTAGAAAAAGAGATAAATAGCTCTACGCGAATTATCCCAAGTTTCCAGGCTTATGCATGAGGTAACATCTAACAGTTTTGTATAGTCGTTCTCAATTTCTATATCAGTAAATTTAATGCAGTCATTAATACTATTAGACATGATTGTCTTTCTACGTAAGTCTTAGTTGCTAAGTAATATGTTGAAGCAGTAAATTTCATTTATGTTGAATAATGTTATTGCTAGAAGATAGAAAATATCATCTGTGTCAAATGGAATATTTATGTAAATAAATATTAAACAACTGAAAATTTTTGCTAGAGACAATAATTGAGTAGTTACAAATTAAACAAAATGAGTTCCTAATATCTAATTTTAACCCTACAAAAATTGGTAGCCAATCAACTCAAGAGTTAGTGGATTTTTAATATCTGTCTGAATTGTATTAAATCTCTGTATTTGAAGGTCTACTTCTAATTTAGAATTCATGATATCAAGATATTCTTGCTTCCAGTTATCTTCAATACGTGATACATCCATATAAATATCACTATCTCTCTATTTATCAATAAGGTCTAACACAAGACCGTTTTGGCTGCCAGGATCGAAGATGGAACATACATTTTTCCATGTTAACTTTAAATCTTATTGTTTTGTGAGTTTAATAATGCTAAAGACTAAGATCTTGGTAAAAAATAAAAAGAAAGCATCGAAAAACAAAATGCCGTAAAAATCCCTTTAAGTCTAATGTATGCCTGTAATAGTAAAGTAAACAATACACAGGACGCTGCTAGCAAAGATGATCTAAACTATTGGATTGATAAATTTTTTTACAAATGCGTGAATTGTGCATTTTTTTTAGCAAGGGTAAATAAAACCAGTCAAGAAAGTGTATATACTTTTTAAAATAATTAGAGGATACGTTAGAACAATGTTTACAATCAAGGAGATTATAACAGTAAAAACTATTGTTGACGTTCCTTCAACTAATTGTTGAGTTTTTTGTACCAATCTTGCAGATTTTGGTGATTTTGGGTTTTATTATACTTGGAGAGTATTGCCATACATAGAAGTGAAATTTGTTTTGACATCTTAAAGATTGGATTAGTAGCTCTAGCTACCTCTTCCATGTGGGGTTCTTTTAGTTTTTTCAGAGAAATCAGGCTCTTATTCAATAATTTCAGCTAGGCTCTCTATTTCATCCTAGTCATCCTTAAACTCAAAGATGGGTTAGTTTTTTCTTAATGTTGGCTAACTCATCCTAATTATATAATTTGTTTATTGCTTTTTATTTGTTTATTTAAAACGAATATCTTAATTCTAATAAAAAATAAAAAATTGTGCGATTTTTTATTCTGCCTTATATTTTCTATTATCCTTTTTACTTTTAAAAACTAAAATGCAATAAATCTATTAAGGTATTTAGAATTATCATTTTTTATTTTAAGATATCTTATATCAAATAAATAAGTAGATTAAATTGCAAACAAACATACTTGATATTTTCTATCTCTGCATAATTCAGGTGATTTATTTTTATGTAAATTCCTTTCAAAGATAAAATCAATCTAAGCTAATATATATTTTTTACTTTACCAAAGTTGAATATATTTTGTGTATTTTAACTTTAAATTATTAAAAAATACCTTGTTTACAGAAATTTCTATTACAATTTTCACATAAAAAACAAATCAAAAAGTAAAGAAGTGAATAAAAAAGTTGATTTGGCAAAAATTTTTGTGAAACATAACAAATATTTAAAAAATATTCTACACTGCTTGAATTTTTATTAATTTTATATGTATATAGCTTATCTATCAAGCCTTAGGTTTTTCAATACTTGAGAATTATTCTATGAACTTAGATATTATAGAAGGTAACAAAGTAGCAAAACCTAACAGAATAGTAAACAAAGTATCTTTAAAGTCAAGCTTTAGAAGGTTAAATAGCTAATAGCTAGAGCATTTGTTATCTACAATAATCTATGATTTGATTCTTTTTAAGCTTTTAATATTATTCAAGATAATTTTCATCTATAATTAACTTTCTTAATCTTTGGTGAATATCTATCCTTAAAATGGTTGCTTGTGCTTGATATAGTATTATGAAATGTACATAATCTTAGAGACAAGAATTTCATAGCAAGTATAGTAATTATTTTCTCCTTCAATTGTAGATTCTAGAAGCTCCTTATCTTTTAATACTGAAGCTGTTTCAGCAGGCTATTTAGCAATTTCTTAGTTTGATTTTTCAACTTCTTTTTAAGACCCTTCTTCTTCTTCATTAGAATCATCTATGTTTTAGTAATATTTAACTATGTTAATATAATCTTAGATAGTAACTCCTCTTTGTTTGAAATTGTAGTCATACATTTAAGCCATATCTTGATAGATACCAATAAGATTTTCAACTTTATCTTAAAGATCTTCAAAAGTTTCATTAAATTTAGAACCAAAGTAAATTCTGAAAAAGATAAGGGCATTCAACAAAATGAAAGTAAATGTTGAAGAAACAACAGTTAAATTTTGTAACAAGATAGAGTCTTTGTGAATGACGATGTATATTTCTCCATAAGCAGCCAAAATAATATTAGCAATAAAGATGTAATATATGAATAAGCAGATATAACTTCTTTCTAACTTATATTATGTTTCAGAGAAAAATTCGTAGATGCAACGACGTGTGTTATCCCATGTTTCTATGCTTTCGCTACTAGTCAAATCAATAGCATTTTCATAACTTGCTTTCTATCCTTTAATTACCAAAGACTCAGTTATATTTTTTACCATCAAAGTCTTACGACGTAAGTCATAGTTACTTAGCATAGAACTAAGACAGTAGATTTCATTTGTTGTGAAAAGAGTTATGCACACTACATTCAATAAATCTTTTGAAGTGAAAGTTTTAAAATGATAGACAATGTAAAAAACACAAAACAGAGTTTTTAAAAGTGCTAGCACTTGCAAGGTTATAAATTAACCCATGTGAGGTCTTAATTTTCTATTTTATCCCTTTATTAGTTGATATCCTACATATTATCTAAATTAAATATGTTTAATAGGGTTAGCAAAGGTATTGAAGCGTTAAGATTTAACATCGACTTCTAAAACTTCTCCCATAATTCTAGTATACTCATCTTTCCATTCGTCATCATCAAGTGGTAAATCCATAATGAGATCGCAATCGAAATCATCAGCATGGACAAGTAAAACATCTTAATTGTCACCACTGCAATCAAAAATTTTTCTAAAGTTCAAATCGAATTCGTCATTGATGGACATCTAAATGATGGTGTAAATCATAATGTGAGATATAAAAAGGAAAAAGCTATCAATGAACCAAAAAACATAGACATCATCCTTTGAACTAAGTACTCCTTATATTGTTGAATAGCAAACATAAATGATACTTAGTGAAAATACTACACTCAAGATAGGATTGATTATTTTTTGCTTTAAATCGAATTCTCCACAAAATACAGTAAATAGATTATATATTAACTTGAAAGATTCAGTTACAACCTTGACCGGATATAATATGAACATGTTCCAAAACAGAGTCAGAATAATCGTGATGAAGACTGCATAGAATTTTGCAGAGGTAGTTTTTTTCTTTTTAACTTCTTCGCCTTAAGCTTCTCCTTCTTTATGTTCCTCATTTTTTTCTTCTGGCTATTGAGATTGCTGCTCTTCTGATTCCTCAGTTTTAATATCCTAATCGTCTTTAAATTCATAAAAACTCTAGTTTTTATTTATTTTGTTATCTTCTGCTTAATCTCCCATTCAAAAGTAATTCAATTTTATTTGAAATTCAAATTTATAATAAATAATATTTATAAAGATAAATAATGTTGTTGTATTTGATTTATTCTCCAAGGTGAGGAGTTATCAAATGGTCATAAACTTTAAGTAAAAAGTATCCAAAATAATAAATTTTATTTAATTAATCCCTTAACGAAAATTTATTATTTCAAATATTTGTGTAATAAAGTTTGATTAATTTGCTTATGATATTCACAAAGAGATAATTATAAAGTCACTATCCACTTTATTAATTTTATGATCCATCTATAATGAAATAAAATTTAATCTGAGTTACAGATGAGAGAATAAAAATAAATATTAAACTAAAGAATTTGATACATATTTTACAATAGCTTTTAGATACTAATATCCAACTTTAAGTAAAAATATAATTATCTCATTTAAGAATAACTATTAAAGTTTTTTTTATATAAATGTCATAACCATATTTAAAGAAAACAATTTCATAAACTGTAATGTAAATTGTTTTCAATAGTTAAGTATTTGCAACAAAGCTTTAATATTTTTGTAAAAAAGTGTACTCCAATATATTAAAATTAAAGTAAGAAATTAAGAAAAAAGGATTTTTTGTATGATGACTATGCATACTTTTCCAATTTGATTAAAGATATTTTTTATTATAGAAGAAAAGTTTTAATATAAATAAAATAAGTTACATTTTAAAAAGTCTTTAAAACTATATCTATATAAATTTGATCTTTTATTTGAATCAAAAATCAAGCAATTTATAAATATTAACATATTAACTGATTTAAATAAATAAATAAATTCAGTAGAGCCTGTTACACTGAGCGAGCACACTTATAGACTAAACGCCGGTTAAAATAGGCAAATATTTTATCCAAAATTTATATACTGGGCAACTGTATATTTTGGGCAAAATTTTTTGTCCAATGGGTACCCAGTCTATAGAGATTATACCGAATGTAAGATAAAATAGAAGCATATTTGAATCTCAATATTAAAGTTTTATCCCTTACCTAATTTGATATAAACTTATTAAAAAGTGTGTTTAGTTAATATAAAGGTAAGTAGAAAGCTATTATTTAAAATATTAAGATTAAAAATTGTTATATTAACAGATTTTAAAATTGTCTTTTTTTTAGATTTAGATTAATTATAATAGTATCTTATTAGACAAATGTAAACAAACATTTATTTATAAAAACTAAAACCAAATTTTTGCTTATAAAAGACTTCTTTATTAAATCCTTTGTATTAATACTAAAAGACATATATTTATTTTTTTATATAATAAAAATAAGAAGACTTTGCTTAATATAAGTGAATAAATATTTTTTTGAAAATTAATATAAATTAAAAAATAAAATAAATTATTTCTTATTTATGAAATCATTATAAATAATTAATTATATTATCTCTTGTTAAAATTATGTCATTTTATTTAATTTTTTAATTTCAGATAAATCATTCATTCATTATAAATTTTTGAAACTTTTTGTTGTAAAGAAAAATATTAAATTTTGAGCATAATTAATAAATTCTCTAGTATAGCTTTGAAGATATTTTTTATGAAAAAATAACTATTTTATATAAAAAAAATGATTTACAAATAAAATTATTAATAGCATTTGAGAAATATTGAGGATAAAATATAACTATCATAAACTATATTTATATCTAATTTATTGATGAAATTCCATTTATGATCAAATTATTATGTTTCACTTATTAATTATTATTGTTTTTATATTGATTTGTATTAGTATTTCAGCATCTAAAGAGTAATATTTGTAGAGGACCTTTAGATAATTAAACAAAATAGCCTTCTTCGTGTGTTACATATGAAGAAAATTACTTTCCGACTACACAATGCCAATTACCTAAATATTTACGCTCAAACTCTCTTTTTATTTAATAGGCAATATCTCTTTCATTAGTATATTTTTCAATTGCTGATAAAGTAATACTTTATGCGTCTTGCTACATATCTTCAGGCATATCTGCTAATTTTATGGTTGGCTTCTTTCCAGCACTTTGTTAAGCAGGTTCTTTAGACATTTTTAAATTTATATGTTCTAAATAAATATGTTTAAGTTGTAACTATTGGTAGGAAATGTTAAGTATAAAATCCTTTTTTATTCAAAGTTTTAGATTAATTTGAAATTTTTTAAGATTGGTTTTACGTAGGAGAAATCAATAAAAAACTTTTTAATCATATCAACAGAAAGATAAATAGAAAATTGTCAAATTTTATATAAACAAAAAAAGCATAAAATATTATCTCTAAATTTTTTAAATTAATTTTATTAAAATTTTACAAAATTTTTGAATTTAAAAAAAGCAATAAATAAAATATTTAATTATTTTTAACAAATTCTCTTATTTGTTATTTGACTCAGAATTAATTCTAAATGAGTGTATGTATTGAATTATTTTCAAGATTTCATTCGTAGCATTAAGTTAAATTTATAAATTGCCAAATTAGATAAGAATTAAAAAATATATTCATAACTCAAAATCAATAAAACTACTTTTTATATAAAGATAATTAATAGATACACAATCAAGCCCTACTATTTATAAACCAATATGAGCGGAACTTTAGGATATTTATTATAGCAAAGTGCTTAAAATCAAGGAAAAAAATCCAATGAAAAGACAAACAGCAAGGCTGTTTCAGAAGTTGCCGATTTATTTTCTAAGGAAAAGACTGTTTTAGCTGAACCAGTTATTGTAGAAGCTATCATTAATCCTGAAAATGTAATTATTTTGATACTCCTACAATTAAATAAAATCAATTTAAAAATCTAAATTATTCTGTTTTTTTATTTAGGAAGAAAATGAGGAAAATAATCCTTTCATTGATGAAAATATGACTGCAAAATAGAAAAAAGAAAAGGATGATAGAACTGTTTTTGTTGGTAACATCTCCTTAGAAGCTACTGGTAGTTAAATTGCTAAAGAGTTTAAACAATACGGAAAAGTAAAATAAAAATATGAAATTACAATATATAAAAAAATTATTTTTTAATAGATTGAAAAGATTTGGATTAGATCAGTCCCAGTTGAAAACTCAAAAATGCCTAAAAGAGCTAGTGTTATCCTCAAAAAGGTAATTTATAAAATAGCAAATTAAAAATTATTTTAGGCGTATTCAACTTACTATTTACAAATTCTTAAAAGTTTAAGGATGGTGCTGATAGAAAGAATGCTTACATTCTATTTTCTACATAAGAAGAAGCTGAAAAGTCACTTGAAGCTAATGGAAAGGTATTTTTGGAAAAGCACTTGAGAGTAGATAAAGCAAATGAAAAAATAGTAAATAGATATAATACTTATTAATAGCAATATAAATAATATTATAATTATTAAAATACAAGTTGGATTACACCAGAACTATATTTGTTGGTAACTTGCACTTTAAGATTTCTGAAGAATAGCTTAGACATCATTTTGAAAGCTGTGGTGATATCTTGAACGTAAGAGTTATCAGAGATCCTAAAACTCATGAAGGAAAAGGATTTGGTTATGTTTTCTTTAAGGAAAAGACTGGATTCTAAAATGCTTTAGAAAAAAATGGAACTAAACTCCTTGAAAGAGAAATTAGAGTTAAAAAAGCCGTCCCTGCAGAGAGACTTGAAAAGAAAAAAGTTAGAAAAGCTGAAAAGGCTAACATTATAAATAAGGAACATGCTATTTAAAGATTAAAAAGTAAATTGAAAGGTAAAGCCGTTGTTCATGACCAAGATGATTCCGATGATGAGTAAGAATAGCCTAAGGTTAAAAAAGTAAAGAAGGGTATTCAAAAAAACGACACTATTCCTACAAAGAACTTTGAAAAGAATATGAAGACAACTAACTTTAAAGAAAACGAAAATGAAGTACTTACTAAATTTAATTTATTGCCAAGTATAATACAAATAAAAAATTATAAAAAAATAGATTTTCGACTTTAAAAATGAAATGTCTATTGCTCCTAGAGTCTTGAGAAAGAAAATTAAAAAACTTAGCAAAAAGGTATTATAAATATTGAATTTTAAATTGAGAAAATTAATTTTTATTTATAATAAATTAGGGAATTGAATCAACTGAAGCTTTTTCAAAGGTTTAGCAACTTAAGAAAAATAAAAAGATTAGCAACGATAAAAATATCTTTAATTCTAAATTCACTCTTTAAGCTAGAAAAGTAATTAATTCGCTTAAATTTTTATTGATAAATATAATAATAATATTTTACTCGTAATTTAAAACAGGATAAAAGATTCAAAAAAGCCATGCAAAATAAGAAAAAAGGTAAATTAGAAGTAAAGAAAGAAGATAGAAAAGACAAAAAGAAAAAAACAACAACAGCAGCAGCCTCCACAGCTAAGAAATAAACTAATTAATGATCCTAAAAAAAATATTATATCAAATAATGACTTAAAAATTTAATATAAAAAAGAAAGTAATAAATAAATAAACACAAAAAATCCTAATTTTACTGTTAATTACATAGTTATTTGTAAATAATTTAATTGCTTTTAAGGATATTAATAATTTTAATTAAAATTTTTATCAATCAATCAATTACTTTTAATAATTCATTAATTAATTATATTTAAAAAGCAAAATTAGTCTAATTATATTAAGATAAAGATATAGAAGAAATATTTTATTTATTTTTTTTATTATCTGTATGTTACTCTCTTTTAAAATTCAAATTTTTTCAATGTATTACAGAACTGAAGCCATTCTTAAAATATATTGCTATAAAAATTAAATATAACTTTTTTCAATAAAATATAATGAAGTAGATTTAAAAATATTTTTTATTTTAAATTAAGAATCTTTATTTTTTGATTTTTTATTGTATATTAGAGTAAATTTAGGTTCTACTTTAATTAATCAATAAATAAGATCTTTTTGGGAGGGACCAATAAGTTAAAGAAAAAACAGGTAAGTAAGTTAAGCTAATTTATGAATTTCAATAAAAGCAGCCAAAAAATATAAAAATTAGTTTTACTGATACATAGAGAAAGTTATGCGTAAACATACTAAGAAATAGTTCACATTAATATATATTTCATTTTAATTATCTTAATGAATAACTTATAATAAAGATTGACTTTTTCTTATTTTATTTTAAGAATATTCGCCATTATATTAAATGATAAATAATTGAGTGTGTTTGTTTGTTTGTTTGTTATAGTGTTTTGAGCATACATACATTTCTAGTTTGGTTTGTTTTTTTGATTTGTTTACTTTCTTTTTTGCTTGATTTTATATTTTTTGCTTGCTTGCTATCAATAAACTTTTTATCTATTTATCAATATAGTTATAATAAAAAATGATGACATTTATTTTGTAAAGTATCTAGATATTATATAGTTAAATTAAAAATTGCAGTATTTAATCTATGTTTTTCAGATATCTAAATCTTCTAAGTTTTTGATTTCTTCTATAGTAGCATTATTTATAGCATTAGTAATCATAGGAGTAGGAACTGGAGTACCAACAAACTAATAACCCATAGAACCCTTCATGGTGGATCCTTCCTGAAAAAATGTATAAAAAACAAATTAAAAATCATATTGATAGATTATAATTTAATTACTGTTAATGATCTAACGTGATCCTTGTAATAGAATATCAAATTGTCAGGCTTAAGATCTAATATCTTTCTTAACTCTTCACCTGCCTTGATTTTTTATTCTTCATCTCTATCTCTCATCCAAATTTCAATAACAGCCTTTCTATTTCTTCTAATTGACAAAACAACACCAATAATATTTGAGTTACCAAAATTTTCACCAATACAGCCAAGCTATTGTTATAAAATGTATTTAAATTCATTACTTAAACTAATTCAATATAATTATTTTATAGTGAGAGATCTATTTTAAGTATTATAAAGGTTATCAGTTTTTAAAAATAAAATCTCTATTTATGTTTAATATAATAGCTAATTACTAATAAATCTTCCCAAATTTTGTTCAAGTTTTTATACATATCGCTTTAAACCAAAAGGATCCAGCAACCACCACACTTCCATTCCTATTTTACAATAGTAGAGTAAATTAATTATTCATTAAAAATGATTGAAATTAAACAGAAATATTTTTTTAAGTTAAAATTTAAAAATGCTTACTTCCCACAAAGGAGTACATCCCTTTCTAAAGAAGAGAACCTTGTTTTAAGATTCGATGTTAGTAGGCTTTTAGATATATATGTAATTTGAGAAGAATTGTTCAACAGTGCTACATTCACCTAATAATTTGAGATTTTTCGAATAATCTTCGTTAATATAATTCTTGTGGCCGAATCTAGGGCAATACCAGAAACACCAATCGTCATTCAATTGATTTTGCTATTCAGAAACAGTGTTATTTTCAGCACTCATACTAATTCAACTTTTTTATATTTTTTTCTATTATATTTGTTAATAATCGCTTAATATTATTTATAAAAGTATTATAAAAATACAATGCACTTTCTTTTTGTCTTATTCTTTATTTATTTTAACAAGGGTTTGATTTAGTTAAAATCAATCTCAAATTTGTGATTATTTTAGCTTCATTCTTATTTTGTTTTATTCATCAAGTAAAAGCAAAATTTTCAAGCATTTTCTATCAATCAATCAATCTCTCATTCATATTATTTCCTTCATTCTACTAGTCATATTTCTATTTACCTTTTCTTTCCTCCTACATACTAAATTTTTTATGCATCGATTATTGCTTTACCTCATTTTGTAATAGATATTATTTATTTTTATAATTAAAAGAAACAATAATTATACTAAATTAATTAAAATTTTTTTAATTTTAGTTTAAAAAAACTAAATTATTTTATGGCTGAGTGAATTTCTTAATTCTACTTTTTTGAAGTTTAATAAAATAAGCATTCTTAAATTATTAAATTTATAAGTAGCTGTTAAAATAATTAATTAATTTTTTTAATCAAGGTTTAGATTTGATTTGGATTTTAATGGTAATGCTTCTTTTGTAAAGTAAAAACCTTGTAATTTGATTAATTATCCACTTCTTTTTTAATTTTTAGATTGATAAATAACAAAGATATTTATTTTAATATCACAACATAAAATCTAGTCAATAATAAACAAGTAAAAATATTTTTAATGGATAAAGTCCCCTGTGATCCAAGTTTACTGGAAAACTATAAAAATGAGATAATGAATTCTGAAATAGATACAGAAACAAAGAGGAGAATCATTTGCCAAACAAAGATATGGACTTCTCTCAACGAAAATCCTCCAATATAATTAATATTGGAGAGTGATATAATTTAGGCATTACTTCTATACAGTGAAGACGAATTATGTGATCCTAAGATGCTATTTGATATCGTTTGGATATTTGGAAATATTTGTTCCTGTTCCTCTGATGAAGTAAAATACATGCTTACTCTTGGGGTTGATGATTTTTTTATAGAAAATTTAGAAAACTAAATTACTTAAATAGTGGAATTAGCGTAAAAACATAAACTTCACATCTTATAAAAGTTTAGAAATATATTTTTATTTATTATTAAAAAGAATGTGGGGACTTGGAAATATAGCTGGTGATAACCCTAAGAGTAGAGATGTTCTTTTGTTTAAAGAAATTGTACCTAAATTGGTTAAAATATTAAATTCAGTTGATTAAAAAAAGAATTTAAAGGAATCTTTTTTTCAAACATTTTGTTGGCTAGTATCTTAACTTGTAAGAGGTAAACCAAGCGCTTAGCCTCAGCATATTTCAGACATCTTACCCATTTTTAGGGAATTGTTGTTCTTAAATAAAAGATATCTCTATCCTGATATTTTATGGGGATTGTCATACGTTACTGATGAAGATGAGACTGTTGCAAATATAATTTCTGATTCTCCAATTTTTGATAAATTAACAGAGTTAATTGATTTATCTTTTGGATTTACAATTAATCACCCTTCGATAAGGATAATAGCCAACTTAGCTTCTTCAAGCGAGAATATTACAGATAAGCTGATTAATAGTGGATTAATTCAGTAGTTAATAATTCATTTTTTAGAATATAATCCTGAATATACTATTATAAGGAAAGAAGTTTGCTGGTGTCTTAGTAATATTGCTGCAGGAACATTATAGTAGGTAATTAATTTTGTCATATATTTATTTATTTTTTAAATTTAAAATTTTTCTTAAGGCTAAAAGCTTGATTGTGATGGGAGAAATGACTGAAAAATTAAAAAGATTGCTTAGATACAAAAAAGATCCTGAAGTATAAAAAGAAACTATGTGGATAATTACGAATTTATCGAATCATCAAGACTCTGATATTTTTAAGTATTTGTTAGATAACGACATTTTTGCTGTCTTTACTAGCGAAATAAATTCAGGAGATAAAAAAATGATAGAATTATTTTTATAGAATACAACTTAAGTAATCAAATTTTTAAACAAGATATCTAAAGATACTTTTAGCGCTCAAGAATTAGAAAAACTTGTACTACTTCTTCACTATATTGAAACAACTATTTAAAATATTAAGCCTATGATAGTAACTGGATAAATAAGATAATAATGTAAGGATATAAAGGATTCTATTTAAAAAATCAATAAAAAGTTTAATCTTCCATAAAATTTAGAATAAAAGGTTGCTTAAAATTGAATTAATTAAATAATTAATTTAATAAATAAATTAACAACCAATCAGCTATGCTAGTGAATAAAAAAATATTCAACTCATATAAATTATCTTTTTAAATACAAAAATATTTATTAAAATTTATATTTATTTACCAAAGTAAATTATTTATTTATTTTTCCAATCAATAAAAATAAAGTTTTAAGCTTAAAATAAGTTATTAGAAATGATAAAATGAAGTCAATCTATAGCAAATACTTTAAATATAATCAGCTAGATTTGTTTATAATTAAATTTTTTTAAAAATGATTTTAAATTTTAACTATTTAAAAATAAAAACATAAAATATTTATATTGTAAATAATATAAAAGGATTTTTTTAGATAAATTTGAAGTTTAAATATATTTTATTTAAATTACTCAAAATAGCTTAATATTAAAATTTACAATAATTAAGTTATTGAGGTGTTCATAATAGTTGAAATCAGCTATTAAAATTCTACACTGCTATCTAAAATGAAAATATATAACTAGAGTATATAACAAATAATAGAAATTAAGAAGACTATATAAAGATTTGTTACCATATGTTTGTCTATATTTTTAGTTATTGGTTTGGTTTAAATGATATAAAATTTAAATATATCACTCAAACTTTATTTGGATAGATACCTATTTTTTATGGAGTATATTTAAATTTAGATATTAAAATATTTAATTACTCTTTGTTTAAATATTTTTATGCTAAACAATAAAATATCTTTTAACTTGCTAGATTTATTATCTCAAAAATAAATATGAAAAATATGGTTGATTGTCATTAGTTAAAAGTAATAGATCTAATAAGAAAATAAATTAATTAATTTTATAATATTTAATTACTTATTTAAATAGTTAAATTGATGAATGTTATTTCTTAAAGTACAAATAAATAGTAATTAATAAAAAATATGAATTTATTTTAGGAATAAACAAAAATATGATATTAGTAGAATTAAATATCTTCATTATTGTTTAAATATTTAACATTGTATTTAATTATTTCTAAAAAACTTGATAATTAACTAATAGTTAGAAATAGTCCACTCACTCACTATATAATATATTGGAATTTTCACATTTTAACAAATCTATAGGTAGTAAAAGACACTAGGAATATACATATAAACACAATATAGGCAAAAAATAATAAAAATAAAATGAAAGTTGCTATATTTTCACTTTTGTGGCCAAAAAATAATTTTTCTGCAGCTTGCGTAAGAACATTCGGATATGTTCTTTGCTAGCTAAAAGAAAATCAAGAGACTTTATTTATTTCTCCTTCAAAAAAAACTAAACAATAAATCAGCGATATATAAATGTTTTCTAATGTTAAGATTTATGAAGCTGATTATAATAATTTTGAAACTATGGATTTTTTGTTAAGTAAATAGCTGAATTTTGTTCCAGACATTGCTATATTTGATACATTTGTCTGTGAGGAGAAATTTTCTCATTATATTCACACAAAGTTTCCTAATTGTATGAAAGTGTTGGATCTTCAAGATATACACTCTCTACGTCATAAAAGACAGTAAATAGTTGAAGATATGGAAGATAATTTAAAGTAAAAAATGATACAAAATGGATCTTAAAATGAATTAGATCCTGAAATAGAAAGAAATATGATGTAGAAGGTGCTTTAAGAAGGGTTTCCTTCTGGAAGTGAAAGTGAAGAATTCAATAGGGAAATGGCTAGCATGCTAAGAAGTGATTTAGTCATAACCTGTAGCGATTACGAATATTTTCGCTTGAGAAACCATTTAAATATTCATAATACAGAACTCTTAACATTTTTTCATGAAACTCCTAGCTTAGAGATAGATGAAAGAGAAACAAATTTTTAAAAAAAGAGAAATTTTGTTTGGATAGGAAATTAGTCACATTATCCTAATGCAGATAGTTTGAAATATATAATTAATTACATTTGGCCTAAAATTCACGAACGTCTCCCAGACGCTTAACTTCATATTTATGGTTCAAATTTTAAATAGGAGTTCTCCAACTTAGATAAACTAAATATTAACATATTCAGTAGAGGCGTTATGCCTTCTTTAGAAAGATTAGCTAAATATAGAGTTATGCTAGCACCGTTACGATATGGTGCTGGTATTAAAGGGAAAATTGTAGACAGTTGGCTGCATAAAGTTCCAGTTGTGACCAGCCCTATTGGGGCAGAAGGCTTATATTATGATACTGCTTATGAATCAATATACACTGATATAGATTAAGGACAGTATACTTATAAGTAAGCGTCTAAAAATTAAAACTTTTATTTAAATTTGCTTATACTTTATTTTCTAAAATAATAAACGCTTATTAATTAATTAATTAGCTAACATTTTACAAAAAAATTTTTTTATTTTATATTAAATAAACTAAATCAGTAATTAATCCTAAACATATTTTCTAACTTTTTTTGTAATTATTCACTAATTTAACAAAAGACTTAATTAAGATCTTTTCTCAAAGCTTGTTTAAAAAATATAAAAACTTTTTAACTCTGCAATTTTTATTTTTTTTGACTTAATATTTTCTAATTTATTGATTTATTTTATAATTATAATGGATTTTAAAAATAATTTTTATTTTATGGTGGTTGGCTTAAATATATTTTAAAAAGCTATCATTTTTACTCTCAAATTTCTTAGATAAATTTCCTGTTATTTCATTTTTTAATAAATATTAATGAATAAACAATAATTTTAATAGGGATATGATGACATAGATAAATAGAGAATAAATATAAAATTAATAAAAAATGGAATCATTTTATTCATATAGTAACTTTGACTTTAGCAAATAACCAGATCATCTAAAATTTGGAGGAAAATTTTGGAATTTTACTGTTGATGATTATGTAAACTCAGCCATTGAGCTATATACTAATGAAGAAGAATGGAAAAAATAAGTGATAGCAGGAAATGAGATTTGCAACAGAAGAATGGGTTTTACAAGAAATAATTTAGTATACATGATGAAATTCAATGAATATCTAATGAATTTAAGAGACAATAGAAAAAGAAATAATCTATATAATTTGACATGGAGTGAAACATTAAGATCGACATAAAATTTTGCAAAGTATATTAACGAGAAAAATAGAAACAAATTATTCTCTTCAAAACATTCTAAATGATAATTTATTTAAATATTTTACTAAAAATTATAAAAACTGTATTAAATATAAAGCTTTATTGATAAAATATTTTATTTATTCCTTTCGTAGAGCTATTTTTTTAGGCAGTATTCAGAAGTTATTTTTTATTTTTATTTTTTGCTTCTATTTAATTTAAATAATATATGCACTTAAAAAGCAAATTTATATTTAATAATACCAATTATTTTAAACAAGTAAAAATCAATTTTAATGGGAATTTATTCAGTTTATAGAAAAAAATTTAGTTATTTTTCTATTATTAGGAGACTAGTAACTTATAATTATTTTTTTTCTTTTTGCTAAGTATTATTGAAAACTCATATTTAAAAACAAAATTTCTTGTTTAAGTGGTACATAAACCCAAAAAAAGCTTTAAAAGCAATTATATTTCATATTTCTTATTTAACTATAAAGGGAAGTAATTTAACTGTTAAAAAGGTAAAAAAATTATAATTTCATAAAAAAATACTTAAAGAAAGATTTTTTTTTTTTTGATTTTAAAATAACAAAGTCAAGAATAATACTGCAGACGCTTTATTATTTTTTGCCCGCAAGGATATATAGAATATAAAAATATGTAAACTATTTTTCTAGTAGTTATAAGATTTTATTATCTATAAAATTATAATTTCAAGGAATAAAAAATTTAATAATTTACCTCAGGATTAATTTACATTCATTTCAATAATTATTTTGTAACCTATACAGTAAAACTAAAAGTAAATAATTTTTACTGCAAAAGTTTATCACATGCATTTTTAATGAGTTTTAATAAATTATAATGTTACAATATTCATTTTACATAAATAATAGCTAAAAATAAATATATTAGTTGTATCTAACTAAGCTAAGCTTCTCAAAAAATACTAAAATAAGTGGAATAAACTTTATTCTTACTAATTATTACAATATTTTAGATAAATAAATTAATAGTAGCTCTCATCAAAAGAATACTTTAATTTATGAATAATAAATAGCAGTTATTTAAATAAAATTTTAGAATGATTGATGAAATAATTTTCTATAACTCTTCAAAGTATGCAATTATCACATATTATTCATAATTTGTGCAAAGTATACAATTTTAATCTATTCATATCCTTACTAATAGATCAATATTTAACAAAAAAAATAAAAAACTCAGTATTCAATTTAAGCTCGATTATACATTTTTAAAAATTTTCAGAATATTTATTATAAAAATATTTAAGAGCATTTCATTTATTTAAAATTTTTTAAAATATGCCTATTTATGATTATAATAGGCTAGTTAAGATTTAATTACGAAAATTATAATTTAGTAAAGAGACCATTAAATATATTTTTGATATGAAGTTGATAAATTTTAAAATAAATGAAGATGTTTGTAATTAAACAAGCTTCGAATAAATTTAAGGATTAAAATTTATATTTATTTTTTTATTTGAGTTTGAATGAATTTATCAATTAAAATTTAGAACCAAATAACACGGAAAGATAAATAAATAAATAGAAAAGGAGAAAGTTTTTTAAAATAAAGTTGTTTAAACGCAATTAAATTAATTGTTATTGCTTTTTTTATATTTTTATAGCCTAAATAAGTTATTAATAATTGTAAGTAAATATTATGTATGTTAGTGATTGATAAATAAATTGATTGATTAATTGATTTGATTTATTCTCTATCTATATTTTTAGATCAAATTAACAATATAGAGAGTACTTTTTAAGCAAGCAAAGAAATTATTAAGTGAGAAATTTCAAAATCTTTTTATTATTTCACCTTCTCTTAATTTAGAGATTCCTTAAATAACTCTCTCAATATAATTGATTTTAGACTTTTCAAACTGATATAAGCTTTTATTTTTAATGATATATTATGTAAGAGAGAATTCTTAGATAAGTTAGAGTTAAATCATAATTATTCTCTCTATTATTTTTTTTTAAATATTGACATATAAATTATCAAATGGTGACAAAAGGTTTTCTATTCCAAATATTTTCTAATGGAGATTTTTAAGCTCTGGTTAGTTGTTTATTTAAAGTGTGTTTTGTTAGTTAAGTCTCAAAAATAAGCAATTGTAGTGGTTATGATTGTACATTATTTTCTTTTTTTATTCTTTTATCTTTCCTGATTTTTTTATATTCTATACAATCTTATGAATCAACAGCTGATATTCAGGAGATACTCCAAGTCTTTTAAGATTTTTGAATGAAAGGAGCTCCAAGATAAATACCATACAGTATTTAGGTAAATTATAGAACTAATTTCTGTTTGGGTTGTACTTTTCTTATTGGTGTGAAGAGAAATCTTAAAATGGGTTTTTAAAAGTTGAATTCTGTAGCTTGGTTAGCTTTGAAGTTGTAGATTGTGATTTAAACGCAATGAATTCATCAACATCGCATTTGCTGGGCTTTTATTCATTTTTAAATGACTCCGTTGATAAATTTGATGAGGAATATGAGTCAGCAAATGCGTTATCAACTACTTAATTTACTATTTAGATGAACGAGTCATTATTTTAAATTAAGTTACATTCATCTTATTAATAATCATCTCTCAGACGCTTAAGTTTTTTATAGTCTCCAATTATAAAAAAGTAATACTGTGCCTCTATAAGGTTACTAAAATATATACTTGGTTAAGGGTTTCTAATGATATTTGAAATATCTATGTAATTAAGCATAGTTTGTTCGTGCAGGCAATATTGAGCATATTATTCAAGTATTTGCTCATCATTGTTTGTGTTTGCCCTTCCAAGACTTACTCCTTCAAATTACTGTATAATTTTCCCAGCCAATTTTTTGGCCTTCTTATCTTTTTGAGTTAGAATTTAGCTAATCGGATAGCTCCTCATAAAATTTTAAATATTTTTGCAATGAACTTAGGATTTATCAACTTAAAAGCTTACATTCTACAGTTAAGAGAGCTATAGGTTACAAATTTAATTTGTATTCAGGGCATTAGTTGAGAAAAAGCTAAGCTATTAGTTCTATATTGAAATGCTATTACTAGTTGTATTAAGATTCAATTATGGTTCAGATAATGAGCGGACTCTGGCTTCATAATATTAAATTAATTAATCTGATTAAGGACAATCAAAAATTGAAAGATAATTTTTGTATGAGTATATTGGATTGATATTTTGCTATTTAATATCAGTATATTTAGCATATGAAGTTTATTTTTAGCTAGAGCTACATTGCTAGGCATCTTCAATTTTTAAATATTTCTTGGTGTTTGCAGCAGATAAATCGATTTCTATAAATTAAAAAATTCAAGGTAAGTTATTATGTAACAAATATATTAAATTAAATAAGTAAAATATGTATATTAAAAAGAAAGGCTGTCTATAATCTCACTAATGGTTCAGTATAATTTTATCTTTCTATATGATAATCTCTAGTATAGTGTAGATAAGCTGGCAAATTTATGAATCAATAAATTATTACCTTTGGAGTTAATCTCTTTCCTTGATGATAAAGATAACTCTGTATGAATAGTGGATAACATACAGCGATCGCTTTCATCAAAATCTTCAATTTTTTTCTTTCTTTTTATCAACGATGAAGTTAATTGCTCTTAATTATAAAGAATAGAGGGCTATTCTTGCTTCACTTAGCTTTATATATACTTTATTGGAACAGGTTTATAATTTTGCATTCTTTGGCAATCTTCTGCTTTGATGGTTTGCTGATGAAACGATTATAATTGTTGCTCTTTTGTTTAAACAAAAGTCTGATAGCACATATAATCTTATTTATTTTTCTAAATTTTCTCTAATTATTACTTCTTATTTAATATGATTAATTTTTAATTCTTTCTCTTACTTTTAATATCTAATCTTTCAAGTTAATAAATTAGTAATCCTCTACCTTTATTTTATTATATAATTTAATCACAAAACTCCTATCAGCTTTTACATTTACTATTTTATTTATGCTTTTAAATAATGAATTTAAATATAAAGCACAATCAATTTAAAAAATAATTAGTTAGATTGCTTATTCACAATTTATTCTTAATTTAAGATATTTTTTTCATCATCTTTTTAAGTTTTTTCAAATATATCTCTACATAAATAGCATTCTTTTATTTTATTTGTTTTTTTTAAGGAAATAGAGCTAAATTTCATCTTTTGATGAGTGCATTTTTGCTGCCAAGTTAATTTAAACAGAATATAATGATTGAGGAATAAATAAATAATTTTTTATACAATATTAAAAAAAATTTGAGCAAAGATAATGAATGATTGATTGATTGATTGTAATATTGGATATCTATTATCAATTTCGTTTGAAATTCCTTTGATCAATAAAAATTTATCTAATAATCATAATTCCCCACTTTATAAAATTGCTTACTGCTTGTTTTGGTAATTATTATATTGGTTTCAAGCTAGCATTCTATTTATATTAATAAAATAAACAAATAAATAAATAAAACAAAGCTATTACATTTAAGCAGTTAAATATAATTTGTTGTGATCTGAAATGTATTCGTATTCAAATAAAGAATACTCATACTTAAGTGATTAGGTTTAGCAATTCTGTTAAAATTTTGTACTTTTTTAAAATTATTTATTTTCAAACGTATTTATATTAATTTTGTTCGATGTGGTATAGCTTTATTAAATAAAGGCTGACGGAAATTAATTTGTCAATTTTAAATATTGAAATTTGATCTTTTGCAATATACATTAGATTAAAAAATTAAGGTGCCTTTCCAGTAGAATGCTGATAGACGAACACCTAGCCTGAAATTAAGAAAAATTAATTATTAATTAAGAGATAGTAATTTAAAAGTGATTTTTAGAGATAAACCAGGGAGTTTGAAATTTTACTAAATTTTATTTAATTCTTTTCAGCTTACAGAGATAGTTTATGAACTAATACTTTTAATTATGAAATAATATAATAATTTGCTATTTTCATGTTAGTTATAGCAAATTATATAAATTTATAATTTTGCATCTCAACTCTAAATAAACAACCTTCATTTTTGTTTGGTTTCAAAATATTTTACGTTTCATATTAAAATTAAATCTATTTATTTCATTTCGCTTTCTTTTTGCTCTCAATTCAAAAATCTCTTTGCAAAATTATTTTTAAATAAAAAAATTAGATTCCACAATAATCTTTGAATAACAAACGTTGCGATAATTTCAAGATAAAGAATATAAGACTCATTAAAACTTTATAAGCATGAGTTTTTCACGATGGATACATTAATCGCTTCATAATTAAATATTTTATTAAGATTTATGTATTATTGAGCACTTAGAAGATCTGAAATATTATTCAACTGTTTTTTATTGTTTGTTTGGCATATTTTTTTGATACGATATCATATTATTAATCAAAAATTTTCAAGGAATATACCAAAGTTTTTGGTTATTAAACTTTAAACTATTAAACCTTTAGAGCGCTAACTAAAATATCTACTAAAACCCTGAAAAAATGGTGTAATTTTAAGGTTTTAAATAGCTAATAGAAGTAATTATACATCTTTTAAGTAAAAGTTTACCAATCATTTATATCAATATAGAAATATACAACCAAACTGATTAATTTTAGAAAAAATTGCTCAGAGATGATCTTACTGCTTAATTATTATGTTTTTTTAAAAGAAATTAAAATTTTTAAAAGTATAAATTTGGTTGTTTTAATTTGATTCAGTTTACTTAATATTTTATAACAAATATATATTTATTATTTTTAAAAGGGATTAGCTAGCCAATATTTCTTTTAACTAAGAAAAGCTAAAAAATCACTAAAAATAAATATAAAAAGGGAATTTGAAATAACTAAATAAAAATATTTGAAATTAGTTTAAAATAAAATTATTTAAATGATATCTATAAAAATAAAAATTTATTTGTCTAGACAGGCACATGACTAATGCCAATATTAACATTAGCAATAATTAAAAAATTCTTTTTATTTTACTATTTTTATAGATAAAGATTATTCATATAATAGGTCATGTGATAAGTAATATATTAATAATGATTATTAACAGTATTATTTATTTTTTGCTTCATTAATAATAAATTTAATTCTTTCAAATAAAATATCTATAAACGCATCAATATAAACAAATAAATAAAATCTATACCTTTTATTTGTTATTCATTTTTTTTTAGTTAGAAATTTAATCAATTTTTTAGTATTTGTTTAATTATAATATAATAAATAAATAAATTAACTTAATTTCATAGAAATTTACTTATCAAAAAAAATAAATATTTACTTGATGTATTCAAAATAATGAATGATATTTGTATGCGAAAACTAATTATCAATAATTTTAATCAAATATATTTGTATATATTATCTCAAATACATTTAAAAGTTTAATTAATTAAGAAATATTAATGGAAGTAGAATAAACTCAAAATAAATAGCCTAAAAAAATGCGATTATTCGAATTAGGATCGACTGAAGATAAAAAATAAGTAGAGTTATTTTATTTATAGCAATTAGAGTAGCTACCTGAAGATAAATATGCTGAAAGTGCAAGCGAAAAATTAAAACATTACTTAGAAAGCAAAAAATTAATTGATACAAGTTAATATTATGAATCAAAATATAAACCTCTTGAATAAAATGATATATCAAATAGTGATGAAGCTTATTAAAAATAAATGAACCAAGCTAAAATTTTAGAATATGGAAGTAATTTCGATCCAAGCGTATATGATCCAAATTAAGTAATTTAAAATGAAGATGAGCTACTAGATAGTATTCTCAAAAAAAGTGTGAGTGGAAAATCTGCTTTGAATTAATTTATCAAAACGCCTAGTTAACCAGGATAAAATAATGGGAATATTCCTTTCAGTGGACCTTAAGCTATTGTTGCAAGATTTTCAGGTTATTCTACAACTGTTAAAAATGTAATTCCATCTGCTATCAACAAGCAATGATTTTATTTTAACTATTTAGACACAGTGTATATAAATTAGCAACAAGCGAACTAGTAAGAAAAGAAAGAAATATAAGTAATCAAAAAAAACAAACAAACTAATATTATTAATAAACAAATAAATAAATTTCATTTTAATTATTTTGAAATAAATGTCTTTATTTATTTTCAAAATATTACTAAAATCTTATAAAGGTAAAATATCATCAATTAATTAATCATAAAGTGTATTTTTATATCAATTTTTAGGCATGTTATGATTTCGAAGTCTATTTTAACAGAATATTCTCTAGTAAAATTAATATGATAAATAAAGATAAAAAATATTTTCTATTTAAATTAATCCATTTTCTTATTTTAGAATATTTTATTTATTATAAATCTTATTCTTACTTCACTTTGGTTCGTTTTTATCTGAATGTAGGTTAGTAGGTAAGAAGAGTCAATTTTTAAAAGACTTATTGTTATTTGAAAATAAAAAAATAATTTTAAATAATAAAATATACTTAATTCAGGTAACTTCTACAAAAAATTTATTTAAAATAAATAATCAGTTAGTTTGTTCTAAAAGAAATGAAAATATTATGAAATAGTTTTGAACAAACAAGCATTTATATAAACAGTATATAAAATAAAATAAATTTTATCAATTTTTATTTACTTGAGGCACTTTTTTCATTTTTTTTAAAACATTTTCTATCGTCTTGGTCATTTCACCATAATTTAACTCTCTGCTTATGTTAAGAGCTATTTCATAAAATGTTTTTGCGTATTAAACGTAGAATAAATGCTCATGCTCAACAGCTAAGTTAAAGTATGCAATTACAGATAAATATTTTAATTAGAAAATATCTTGTTCTTCCAAGTTCGCTTCCCATTCTTTTCTAAAGCTTTCCATATTATCTAAAGCTTTTTTAATGGTATCTATTGATTCTAAATGCAATCCTAACTCTGACATGATGACAGCCTTATTAATATAAGTGCTAGCTATATTTTTATTTGATTCTCCATAATTTTCTCTCACTAAAATTTCTTCCATTTCAATAGCCCTATCAACTGCCTTTAATGCATCATGATACATTTTATTTTAGCGATATATGCAGCTTAAATTATTAAAACATAAAATTCTTAAATCTAAAACTTTAGAAAAAGGTTCGATTCTTGAAAAAATGGGCTTATATAAAAGCATATCTATAGCCCTACTTAATAAGTTAATTAGTTCGTCAAATCCAAGGACATTACCACTTTCCATGGCTTTAAGATTTACTTTTTGTACAAATTAAATGGTTTCGTTTTTAAAGTCAAAGTGCAATTCATGTATATTTGCTCCTCGTTCAAGCAAGTAAGAAGCAGTGTATAAAAGCCTCTCTTACATTAATAGTAGTGTATTGACATCGCTTTCTCCTTTAACCTTTAGGTAATCTATAAATTTAACTAAGAGTTTTAAGCTATTTGTATTAATAACTTCTTTTTTATTTGTTTATTCATCTTAAGATTAAAAATTAGCTGTTTAATTAATATTTCCCATATTATTCTGCATAGTATCAATCATATCTTAATTATGCATATTTTCTTCTTACTACCTTTACTACTGAGATATTTTTTACTCCTAATGTTCTATAGATCTGCTTTCCCTCATTTTATTAATTTAATTCTATTACTAATAATTATCAAATTAATTATATTAGTTCATTTTTTTTAATGTTTGCTTTTTAATAAATGTAAATTTAGGTTTCTTCTGTTAAATAATAACAAATTATAATTGAGTTGTACTAAATATTTATCCAATGTTTATTAATCAATATATGACGAATAGCAAAAAAAACAAATAAATACTAACGAAACTTAACTAAGATTAATAGCCTTTCATTTTTTCATCAATATTATATTATACATTTTTAATTTATTACAATACCAACAATTTGCATAAATTAAATTCTAAAGTTACTAAATTATAAAATTTTAAATCAGATATTTTTAAGTTTGTTTTTTATTACAATTTAAAAATAAAATTAAATTTCAAAAAAAATATTTTTTTTTTCTGTCAAAATTTATTTTAATAAACTGAATTTTAGATTTTAATTTCTAAACAAAATTGAAGAAATATTTATTTATTTATTTTTATGATTTTTACATCTAATTTTTGTATTTTAAATATTTAGTTTTAAATATTCTTTTTTTAGTTTGTTTATTTATTTTTTTTGCTTAGCTCTTTGTAAAATTTGATTATATTTTAACTAATATCTATGTTTTGAATTTGAATACGATTACTTATAAAGAAATACTTTAAAAAATTAAGTACTTTAGTTGGTCAATATATCTATAATTTTAATTTTCCTTGATTGAATTAGTAATCATTTATATTGAAAAATACAAATGAAAAATTCAATTTGACTTATTTTGCTGTTTAAACTAAACATCATAATCAAATAATCAATCATTCATTCATTCATTCATTCAGCCAATTAATCAATTGATCAATCAAATAAAATCAAAATCAAAAAAACAAAAATTAAAACAATAAACAAAAAGTTAAAAAATTTCAAAAAAGAATCAATTCAATAGGAAAATAAAATAGAGAAGTGATTCACAAAAGATACTCAATACAAAATTTATTTATTTTTGTTTGAAAGTAGTACAAAAAAGTTGAAGAAATTATAGAAACAAATAGCAGAATATTTTAGTGAACAGAGAGATCAACATTTTTCTTAAGATTTTCATCATAGTAGTTATAGCTAACAAAGTAATTAATAGCAATGAATAATTATCACATATATGAAGATATTGCTAAGGGAAAATACTCTATTATTTATAAAGCTCGTAAAAAAAAAACTATAGATTATTTTGCAGTTAAGTCGATGGAAAAATGTAAAAGAAAGAAAGTAATTTTTTCTACTTTTTAATATTGTTTTATAATTCCAGATTATATTGACTTCATAATTCTATTTTTTCAATTTTATCAATCTTTTTAAATTATGACAAATAGTTAATGAACGAAGTTAAGATTTTCAATTTATTGGATCATGTAAATATTCTAAAGTATTATAATTGGTATGAAACTAAGAATCATTTATGGGCAATATTTGAATATTCTTCAGGTGGCAATTTGTTATCATTAATAGAATAAGATAAAAAATTGACAGAGCCTCAAATCAAAATATTTGCTAAGGATTTGATATAAGGTAATAAATAAATAACTATCTAACTATTTACACTTCTAAAAAAAAATCATTTTCAAATTTTAAAGCATATATTTTTGAGAATTTTGTGGTTTTCAAAGAAGTTAAATCAAAATATTTTATGAATAGGGTTATTGTATTTGCACTCAAAAGGAATTATTTATTGCGATTTAAAGCCATCTAATATTTTACTTAATGAGTACGGCACTTTGAAATATTGCGACTTTGGTTTGGCACGTTAAATTGTAGATTTAATTCAAACTGATGAAGATGTAATTTTAATTATTACTATATAAATTAAATAGCGATAACACTTAACCAAAATATAAAAAACTCATTATTTCTTCTTGCTTTAAAATTTAGAAATTATACAAATAAAAAAAATGCTAATAAATAGGTTAAAGAAGGATCAAAGAAAGGAACTCCTTATTACATGGCTCCAGAATTATTTTAGGATGATGGAGTATATAGCTATCAATCAGATTTATGGTCTTTAGGTTGCATTTTATATGAACTATCTAATGGAAAGCCTCCCTTTGTTTCTAAAAGCTTTTAAGATTTAGTCTGGCTTATTATAAACAAAGAGCCAGAAGTAGTAGAAGGGTTTTCTAGCGATTTTCATTCTTTTGTTTTTGGATTATTACAAAAAAATCCGTTAAAAAGATTAAATTGGAGTGAAATCATAAATCATCCATTTTTAAATTGGAACTCAATTTAATTAAAGAATCTAAGAAAAGTAGAACTTCCATAATAACCTCACTTTGATAGATGGTCCTAAAACAAATACGGTTTTTAGTAGGGACTTTAAAAGAATAACTCTAATAATTTAATATCTCATTTTAAAGGACAAAATAATGCAGCTTAAGGTTAAGTAGCCTCTAATGGTATGGAAGGAGTTAATGTTTTGAGATTAAGCTTGAATGTTTAAAAGAACTTAAAAAGAGAATAGAAACAAGAAGATACTTATCAAAATGGTTTATTCAATTCTACTAACAATAATTCAGCTTCAAATAGCAATAATGTTAGTAATTTTCTAAAATAAACAAACAATAACACTTCAAATAAACTAATTTTTAACGACTAAGACCCTGAAAACAAGAACGAAGAAGATTTCTGTTTACTAAACAGAGACTAAATTATAGATATAGGATACAACGAAAGAGAAGACGGATCTTAAGAAGAGGAGTTTTCTGGTATTAATACTGTAAATTTAATTCTTGGAAACACAACAATCGATTAATAATCTAAAATAATACCACCATATTAAGAAGATCAAGAAAATTTTAATAATTATAACAATACAATAAATAATAAAAAAAATGGGGAACTTGAATCTACTTTCAAGAGTCTTTATTCAAACAATAGTAGCAACTTAGGAATTAACACAAACTACTTAAACTGTAATTAAATACCTTAAGTCTAACCACTCTCTACTGGTAAAAGCTAAAATACCTCACAAATTCCATAGTAAACCCAAAAATTCTCTCTATCGACCCGCTCTAGAGTAAATCAATAAGAAATCAGTACAGGCAGATAAGGTGCATAGACTCCTACATCTCCTAACAATGTAAATAGAACACCGAATTCAAAGAACTAGACTGCAAGAAACAATTCAAACGGTACAAGTAATCACCATTTGCAAAACCTGACTACGATTATGAAGCAAAATTTAATAAAAACTCCTTCTACTCCTCACAATCATAGCACTGGTAGCAATTAAGGTCATGCTAAAAGTGTTTCTCCATATTCTAACCATGGTAGTCTCTATTAAGTTAGCAACAATGTGAACAATAATATCAGCATAACGTCTAATTTTAATAATTCAAGTTTACTCAATACTCCTGCAACTCCTATGAGCAATTTAAATCATAATTAGAGTAATTTGAATGCTAATACTCCTAATGGCTTTAATGGAGTTCTTAAAAATTTTAATATTCCTACTTCTAATAATAGCAACTACTCTAGTGTCTTAGCCTAAGGAATGAGTAATAGTAGTAATAACGTAAGTATGGTACAGCCAAATCAAATGCATCATCACCAACACTAAAATAGCTGTGGTAACTCTAATAATACTAGCTATCATACAGGAGTGAGTCCTAACCGCAAGAATTCTACTTAAAATAATATTAGTACTTGCAGCAATTACCTTGAAGCTAAGAATGCTGAACCTTAGGTTATACCGTTGGCTAAAAAACCTTCATTTGTTATTGAATCTCTTGAAAAGCTATTTTACCATTAAACTGATACTTAAGTAAAGCCAATAATAGGTAAATTATTACAAAACAAAATTTTATCGAAAATATCAAATTAATTTAATTTATAATTTTAGGGCATAAAGACATAGAAAAGTATCCTTAAGAATCTGTATACAAAAAAGAAACTCTTCCATTTTAGTGGTTTAGCGCTTAAGATGTAGAAAGTGGGATTGATAGATAAGAAATTGATTAACTATTTGAATAAATATTTAATGCTTTACATTAGCCCAACACAGATAAATATAATATCCTTTGCTACTTTGAATCTATTATCATGAACTCAAGCGTTTCCAATCGTTACATCAACTCTGCATTTGTAAATCTGTTACTTGATTTACTAAAAAATGTAAAAGTTTCAATGATTAGATTAAGAGTTGCAAGCTCTATTGGTTTTTTGCTACGCTATGCCACTGTGATTGAAAATGAACTCAGCAATCTCAATATTCCAAATATAATAATAGAAGTACTTTCTGTTGAAAAAGAAAGCAAAGTTCGTAGAAAGTAAATAATTAAATAAATTGTTGTCAATGAACTATTTTTCTAATTTTAAAATATAAAATAAGACTTCTAGCTACATTAGGAGAGTACCTCTTTTATGCTGCAACATAAGTAGACGATGATCCTATTAATAGTGTCTGGAAAATTTAGCCACAAGTTTTATCTTTTATAGTAAAAACTATCAAAAATTATGAAGAGGATGAATTGGTGAAGTTTTATGCAACAAAAACAGTTGAGAATATTGCCTCACAGTCAGTTACAGTAAGTTAATACTTTTGCAATCAAGATACAATTAACGCTCTAGTTGGTCTTTATTTCTTCACAAGAAATGAAGATCTCAAAATAAGTGTTATTGTTAGTTTGAGCTAAATAGCAAGATTAAACAACTCTTTGGCTGAATTTATAATCATTCAAATTCAAGGCATTCCTAAGTTAAAAGAAATATTAGTAGGAGATAATGCTCCTACTCGTATTTAATAAGCAGTCCTTACTCTCATCAATACTTAAATTTAGGCATTCCCATAGAGTGAATTTTCTCAAACCCTTATGAGAGACTCTAGTTTTATCGAAGCAATAGTTTATCTTTTAGAAAGTCCTCATACAATTATTAGGGGAAAGAGCATTATTTTTTTACTCCTCTGCATCAAGTTTAATCTCAGATGTCTGATCGATCTTTGTTCAACCAAATACTTTACTTAATTAGATAAACTCTCTCGTGATAACTTTAAGTATGTTTAATAATGCTATTAGCACTTGAAACTTCTAAACGAAAGCTCAGTTCCAATAATGATTTATTCTATTAAAGAGGAAATTGTTAGAATATAAAAGGGAGAAACAACCTCAGGGAATCCTTATTATTATATGCAAAATAACTTTAGCAGCAGAATGCCTCAACTCCAAGGAAACCTTTAATACCTGAATGTAAAATATTTAAATTAAATTTAACACTAATTAATTTTGATTTATTTAAAAAAATAAAATAGGTTTTACTTTAATTTACAAAATACTAACAACTTAAGAGCATTATGTTTGAACAAAACTACCTTGAAGACTTTTTTAGCTTATTTGATTTGGTGCATTAGTCGCACAATTCATAGCTCCAGGAAGCTAAATCAGTCTTATTAAATTTATATGAAGTCATTTTAAGCAATACAAGCTATATATTAGATAAAAGAGAATTTTTTATGAATGTTTTGTTACCTAAACTTATGGATTAACTTTACATGAATTTATTATACTCGAATGCAAATATAAATAACAGTGGGATCAACAAAGATAATAGTCCTCTAATCAATAACAGCAGTAGTAGTAGCTGTTATGATGGAGCTGATTGGAAATTTAATTACACAAAATTAATTCACGATATAGTTACTGTTTTTATGTCAGAATGGTAAAAATGGTCTTAGAACTCTTAATAAAAGACCAATGAATTATTTATCAATAAATTTGTTGGAAGTATTCTAAATGGGCTAATTGGTAATGCATCACTTGAAGATCAAGTAAGTTTAATGGCTTTCAAAGTCTTGCAAATACTAGTAGAAAACTAACCTGCTTTGTATATTTCTGCATTGAAATAAAAGAATTTATTGAATCTTCTTTTGCAATAATTTAACTATAATGCCTCTAGAAGCACATTAAAATTAGTAGCTAAAATAGTCTAGGTCTCGTCTCTTTAGGAAATTCAATCTTATGGAATAACACAGAAAGCTGTTAACTTATTCTAGCACTTTATTTCAAAAGAATAGGATTAGTGTTATGAAGATATGATTGATATCTTTTTAAATATTACAACTAAAATGATTTCCCTAAAACCTATTTAAAATATTGAAAAACCAAGCTCTTATGATTAATTCGTTGAACCAAAATATGAGATCCTACTGGAAGCTTATAATCTTTCCTTTTCTCTTCTAAGGAGCTTAGATTTCACACTTAGTGATAAAGTTGGAATGTTTATAATACAAATAATTTATATTTATAGTAAGTCAAGCAGAAATAATATAGGAGCTAGCTCTTAAGTTTTAAATAAAAGTGATCATATAATAACCTTATTGAATTATATATCACAATACCAAATGATAGGACCAGTAATTAAAAGAAACACAAGAATACTAAATTGGATAGTTTAGCTTTTAGCAATTTCAAAAGATATTAAAGAGTCAATTTACTAAACAGTAGAAAAAGTGCTATAAAGTTCAAAGGATTTGAAAATAAATTAAACTCTAAGAGAGATTTAATTCTATTTAAAAAATCCTATTTGAATTAGCTTGCAAGTAGATAAATTATAAAATGTAAATAAAAGACTGAATGCAAATTAATTAAAAAAGCAAAAAATACAATAAATTAAAATCAACTGAAAGAATACAAATAAAAAATTATATAAAAAAAATAATTAATAAAAAGAAGTTTGTTGACCCAACAAGGTTTGAATTAGTTTCCAAAATATATATAAATTATGGTAATAATTAACTAGAAAAAGATAAATAAACTTTTATGATGATAATTAACTTGAAAAATATAAATATACTTTGAGATATTTTAGCTAGTGTATAACAATTTAATAAATATAATTTTATAAGGCCTTTTACTTTTCCTTTTACTAACCAACCATAATAAATAATATAAAAAATGGGGTTCTTTTCTAAATTTTGAAGAAATAAAAGGATCTTGGAAACAAAACATAATCTGAATCAAAAAAACACAATTATAATTAAAAATAACTCTAATTAATTAATAAATAAATAAATAAATAAAATATTTAATTTTAAAGGACAAAATTTTTAATATGATCAAAAAATTTATTCCTATACTTCTAATCTATTATCTATCTATCTATCTTACTTACTTCTTTGTATTGATGGTTTATATGAATTGAATTATATGTAAAACGCTTATAAATATTAAAATATTAAAAATTTTTAGGAAAAAATAAGCTAGATTTTAATGATTTAGATAAATGTTTTGTTATTCTATTTTAGATTTATATTTTATTAACCCTTTATAATAGAACAATAGAAAAACTAAATTTAGTTTGAAATTGCATTTGATTTAATTTGTTTTGTTTCTGATCTAAATTTATCTTTATTCGAGATCAATAGTTTTTTAAATTTACTAGACTTATTTAATTATCATACTTAATGAAACCCAAAATCGTTTAAATTAATAAAAATTTACTTTAAATTAGGGTATTTATTTATACTTATAAAAAAAATTTAAAATAGTATTTATCTATTGAATTTGGTTGAAATCAATAATCAAATATCGAAATTAAGTAAGAGTTAATAAAACATTCCAATCATTTATCTAAATTTATCACCTTAATATTCTTCACAAAAACATTCAATAAATACAATAACCTATTTTTTCTATATTTATTAACTCTTTGTTTTCTTTTTCATAATTTAAAAAATCACTCATTTTATTTAATTTTCATATCTATCTATATGATGCAACATACATCCAAAAATAAAAAATCCCTGAAAATTCTTTAAGAAGATAAGCTAAACAATTTTATTTTCTTATTTTTTTTGAAAAACCTGATATTTTTCAATATATAGCCATAGATTTGTTAAAAGTTATCATAAAAGACAGAAAAGAATTAGAAAATTATAAAATGTCTAAAACTTAAAACCCATATGTAAGTGAGTTATAAGTGTAATTTAAATATTTATTCTAAAGCACTTAAATGATAAAAGTAGCAAATTAAAAGAATTTGCACGAAACATTGTTTAAAATAGATAGATAGAAAATCTTATAACTATTCCTTTTTTACAGATTACTTAATTTTTAGATGAGTCATCTAAAAAAATAAATTAATCATGCAATTATCCTTAACTAAAATGAAAAAAGTGATAAGTTGGATTTGTAATTGCGTATTAATAAAAAGCATGTAAAATTGAGTAATAGATAAATAGAAGTAGTTTTGGTAAAAAATAAGAGTAAAAGTAGTATTTAAATCAAAATCATTCAGATTAGTAATTATTATAAATATTAAAAAAAATTATTAAATCCTTAATAAGAAAAGTAATTCTAAACTTTCATAGCAAAAAAGATTTAAGCGTTAAATCAATAAATATTTTCAAAAACTAAAACTATCTCCCATCTTAAATAATTTATTAGATCGTTTTTGTTAAAAAATGGCTTCTCCTAGTAGCAATAAATAGGATATTCCCTTGATATCATCAGAAAAATTAGTGAAAAAAGAATCTTAAATCAATGAGATGGAATAAAGACTCTCAGATAAATTCGAAGAATTCAGCTCAAAACGCGGTAACCAAAGCAGAGTAATCAACCGTGACCGTCCAACTGAAATATTAGAAGTTAATGAAGTCAGTCCTATTTTGCATTTATTAGAGGAACGTATCCGTAAATTTGAATAAACTTATGGCAAAAGGACTGGATTTTATTTTGGACTTATTTGCTCTGCCATACTCTCATTTTGCTGCATTGCATCTGAAGTTTATATGCCTTAATTACCTACTATTGAAGTACTTTTTGTAGCCTTCTTAGTCGCATTCCTCTTTAACTACTATCTTATCCGTGATGGTGAAATCCTTCCTTACATTGAAACTGAATCCGAAAATTTTGTTGCCAAGATCTCTGGTATTTCTGGTTTTGCAAGCATTATTTTATTCATATACTCCTTCTAAAAATGCGAATTGTAAACTTCTCTTTTCTGGTTTGGTATTTCTTGGATCTTCTATATGGCTTTTGAATCATGCTCAAAGAATTCTAAAGCAAAACTCAATCGTAATTAAATTATGTTCGGATTATTAATGATTGTAGTTTCAGGTTTAATTTTACGTCCTAACTTTGCCCCTGAAGTTAAAATGACTTAAACTCCTGCAAATCCCGATGATGATGCTACTTCAACTATTGAAGTAGATTATTCTCATTTCTATGGTGTTATTTCAGCTCTTGCTTCTGGTATCTTCTTTGGTTATATGAATATGTGCATTCGTCAACTTAAAAACTAAAACTTCATTACTATTACCCACATCTTCACTTACATCCAAGCTCCTTTTATTCCTGTATTTTTCCCTTTATAAAAGCTTGTATCTCCTTCTCTTGCTTAATGGGTATTTATGATTGGATTGGGTTTGATCTTCGTTTTTGTTCTCTAACTTTATATTCGTTCTTGCCAACTTGAAAATACTACAAAATCACTTTTGACAATCCCCCAATTCATTGCTTTTATAACAATATTCTCTTTATTGCTTGGAATTAATACTTTTGGTGAACCTGATATCATTAAGTTGGTCTGTGCTTTGGTTATACTTGGATTAAGCTTTAAATTCTCAACTGAAATAGATAGTGAAATTAAAGAAGTTGCTCCTCTTACTTAAGTCACAACAAAAGGATAAGATATTCCACTTGAAACATTCAAAGATAATACTACTCTCAATCAAAAGCTTTTAGATGATTAAAATTGAAAATTATATATAAAAAATTAGTATAAAAATTATTTGTTACTTTTAATAAAATCATACTCTCTAATGATAATTTATATATTGTATTTTTTTAAGTTAAGTAAGTTTATTGGTTTTTAATATTTCTATTGATATTTATTTCAAAAAGCTTACAAGCTTTATCAAATAAAAAATATTTAAAAAGAAACTTTATAAAATAGAAAATAGATTATATTTAATTTAAAGAAAAAAATAAAAAAAGATTTTTTAAATTAATTAAATATTTTGTTAAAAATAGATTAATTAAATTATCCAAAAAGTAAAAATATTGACTCAAAGAAATTAATTCAAATTAGTTTACAAATATTTATTTGGATTTGCCTTGGTTATTCATTCATTCACCTTTATGCTTTTATTATTTAATTGATTAAAAATCAAATTATTATTTTCAATAACTACTTAACAAAAATTAAATCAAATGAATACCGCTTAAAAATTTGCTGAGTTATTTAAAGTATATGGTCCTGCTGTCATTGTATCTTAGCTTGGTGTATGTGGGTTGTGGTATGGTACTGTCTTTGCTGGAGTAAGATCAGGACTCGATTATAAAGCATTAGCTGTAAAAGTTGGAGTAGATCCTGAAAACGAAAAGTTAAAAACTGCTTCTGATGCAGCTATAGCTTATATCATTTATAAAGCAATGGCTCCTGTTCGTATCCCTATAACAATAGCAATCATACCTTTTGTAGCTAAATTATTAAGAATAGTACCTAAGTGAGCATTACAATGAATTTATAAAAATATCTATAATAAATTTGTAAAATAGTGAATTTATGTTTTTTTCAAAGTATTTTTTTATGCATTTTAAAAAATATACATATACTTTTCTTTAATTTTCTAGAAATTTTCTTACCTCTCCTTAAAGATAGTTGTTTTAAAATAGGGGTTGGGGTTGGGGTTGGGGTTGGGGTTGGGGTTGGGGTTGGGGTTGGGGTTGGGGTTGGGGTTGGGGTTGGGGTTGGGGTTGGGGTTGGGGTTGGGGTTGGGGTTGGGGTTGGGGTTGGGGTTGGGGTTGGGGTTGGGGTTGGGGTTGGGGTTGGGGGTTGGGGTTGGGGTTGGGGTTGGGGTTGGGGTTGGGGTTGGGGTTGGGGTTGGGGTTGGGGTTGGGGTTGGGGTTGGGGTTGGGGTTGGGGTTGGGGTTGGGGTTGGGGTTGGGGTTGGGGTTGGGGTTGGGGTTGGGGTTGGGGTTGGGGTTGGGGTTGGGGTTTGGGTTGGGGTTGGGGTTTGGGTTTTGG